CAATTGACATACCAACAGACTTAACACATCAAGGTGAATCGATATATATTGTGTATCACTGCTGAAGCTATTCTTTAGCAACACATTCAACAACAGCCAGGATACACTCACATGGTGTATCAACTACGATCGTCGCACTCCACTGATCACCAACATCGTCCAACAAACACCTATGACACATCATCAGACTCTACCCATCAAGAAGAAGCGATACATACTATATTCATCGTCGTTGGGGTAATCTACATCAACTTTTGTCATCAACATCCAACTACACAGTGGGTAACAACCAAAACCTTGGGCAGATCGTCGCACTCCTACTTCTAACAATAACTAATACCAATCAAGATTATAGTATAGTAATACTCAACACATCAAGATGAACCGATCAATATATTATACATCACTGTTGAAGTGATTCATAGGAATTACAGTCTTGGACAGCCATGCAACGACGACCATTTCAGCTCACTTGGATCGTCGCACACCAAACAAGGACCAACATCATCCAACAACTCCTATGATGCTCCAACAGACTCGACTCATCAAGATGAAGCGATATATACCACACTCATTACCGTTCATCGTAATCTATATCAACGTGTATCATCATCCCTCCTCAACACCCAATTGCCACCTCCACCAACAACATCTTGACTGGTGCGGCTGCTGACCCGACTGAAGATGCTTGACGAGATACTACATTATATGACAAGCTTCCACGGACGGGAGAAGTGACAAGACACACCATCAGTGACCATTCAAATTTGCGAGCACAACCTAGCCCGACAAGGACCTCTATTGCATCTTCAGCACTCCAGCCAACCCATTTGGCTGACACCAAACATCTATAGTCTTAAGAACCCCCTCTAGTGTACTAAAAGAACGTGAGTATCGAGTAGCATCAATGACCAAGTTATCATACCTTTCACTCTTAACACACTCATACTGACCCAACCTTCCACTTCATCTGTAGCGAATGGTCATGTTTTCAAAACACCGATACGTATACCAAGGCAGTCCAGGAGGATTATGTGACCAGTACCAGAGCCATTCAACAAAGTCATCGTCACACAGCACTGCTCAAGAGAAAGTCTCTGGCTATGTCTCCATGGTGAGCTGCTGTGGGGCTCATTGGCCAGAATCCGAGGAACAGGACGACGACATAGACGATGACCTCAACAACAACACAAGGATGCTTGGTCAATATACTCTGAGAGTATGATGAGAAAAGGTGGCACCAAAAAGAATCTCTCGCGCGAAGACTTTGAACAGTTGCTTCAAGACCAAGTGGATCCACTTGCATTAGTAAAATACTTTTAATAGGCATAATAAAGGTTGCGTCCAGCAGGTATATTGTTTGGGACATTGTTGATGGTTACTTCTTGTGACTCCATGTCGAGATTGTGGATGTCCAGCTCGGTGGTGCTCACTTGGTCAAGTACAATGATGAAGTTGTTTTCTGTGTCGTGGACAAAGGGTGAGTAGGTAAAGCTATTTGCAAATGGATTAATGTAGGCTGGAATGGATCGATCGGGTATTGATATCAGCTTGGTCATCTGACCAGACCCCAAATTGATGGAGGAGACAAAGACCTCGCCCACTGTGCCATTTGGGCTCTTAGCAAGGAACAAGTTCGATCCATGCCCATAGAGCTGCATCATGTCAGTGTTGAGGACTTCCCCACCAATATCAATTGTGTAGTGACTCTGTTTATACATCTGAAGCTGGAGCGCCACAATTGTAAGTTGGCTCGTATGACCGGGCGCAACAAAGGCCATATAGTAGGTTTGAGAGACTACATCGAGTGACCCAGATGGGAAATTCTCAATCTGATAGTCCATCTCAAAAGAAGTGCTATTGGAGATGATTAGATTAATGTTGCAACATTTGGTCTGTGATATAGTCTTACGCTAATGTAGAGTTCAGATCATATGCTATGGACATTTGTTCGATCTATCTGAAACCAATTCAATGTTGATTGGATGAGCGCAGGCACAACCAACAACAGTTGCATGGATCGACTCTGTATGTGCCTCACTCACAATGATGAACTTGTCATCAGGTGATGTCACCCAGAAGCAGATGCCCTGCACCAACGTACTATCCTTTCTCTACAAGACTGGAGATGAGTATCTGGTCTTTGGTATAGACTCAGTCAACCAGAGCAACTATCTCATACAACCCTATATCAAGACGGTGAATGCAAATGCAGGTATTAAAGTTAGCTTAGGATAGTTTGTTGTGACGAAATGCAACTAATGTATATCTTTCAGTCTGGAGTGATGACAGACGTTTCATCTGGCATCCGCACCATACTCTACTTCAATCCAATCAGATTCATCGCAGGCTACGACTCTATCAATAACATCGTCTACGCACCAGTTCGCCTGGAACTACTGGCACATCAGATCTCCTTATCGAGGACTTTGGAAGGTCGATTGAGTGGGTATCAATTGCGTCACCTGCGATAGCTCAATGCAACAACTACTACTTCTAATACTTACACTACATACACATCCAATATCCACCAGACGCTATGTTACATTTGGAAATCTTATGACTGGTTTGGCCTATGGCGCATACGATCAGTACTCTCAGACCTACTATATGGTCATCAACTCGGATTACGAAATGCCTGGCTTCACACTTGCCAAGTACTCTATCGTTCACAACAACTTCACAATGCATAATCTCACGTTCGACTTCCCTCTCCCGTCTGTCAAGGAAGTGTTTGTCTACAATTCCACTGTCTATGTTGGTGTCCATTCGGTATCCGATAGCTACTATGGCCCTATTTCATTTGGCGTGGCCAACCTCGACACCAACGAGGTAAAGGTCATCTTCTATGTTGACAATGCCTTCACCTATCAGGGAAATATGTGCACGTTCACTCTCGATCACAACACTGGATACCTGCTTGTACTGACCACCTTCCAAGTACTAGTGGATTTCACCGAGTACTTTATCAACCTTGAGACCTACGAGGTAACAACACATGTAATCACGTGGCCAGCGGACAAATACACTCCGTGGATGTGCTTTGCTTCATTATTTAAGCAGAACAGAACAAAGGTATCGGAAGTAGTTCTTTATCCATTCTGTTTCCACTTAAACTATGAAGATAGAATGATCTGGCTACCCAAGAGAAGGACACCTTCCTCAAGAGCTCGTGGGTCTATCAACATCTTCATCAAGATCAAGGATAAGCGACTGTGTGCGCTTGAGACCACCCATTCCTGCTCAACCACCACTACCTGTTTCACAAGCACACCATCCTTGTCCAAGGATTGAGTCAATTAGTGTATATTGTTGCTATAGCAATATTTGTTAGCATGCTCGAGACAACTATTGACGACTGTTGTTTGAGCTGATGTCAACCATATTTTCAATGAGACTCATCACAAATGATAAACCAGTCAATAGTCACAAAAAGCGAGAATGTAAGTGTAAGGGTATGGGTCCAGATAGACATACGTTAACAATTCATCAAATGGCTATCATCCCGAAGGATGTGTCAGGATTGAGTGTTTGTTTACTATTGAGGTTGGCAATTGCCATAACTCACTCGGCTTTATTTGTTTACATTAATAAAAAAAAAAAAAAAAAAAATGTCATTAGTAGGATATCTTCATCTCTTACTTGGTGGCCTTTTTGGTTGACTTGGAGGCAGTCTTCTTAGTCTTGGTGGTCTTGGCCTTGGTCTTGGCGGCAGTTGCCTTTGGCTTGGAAGCCTTTTTGGCGGTGGTCTTTGGTTTGGAGACAGTGCGAGCAACCTTCTTTGGCTCATCAGTACCGACTTAAAGAATAGAAACAGATGTTAGTTAATGCACCACAACGTCTAGATTATCTGAGGATGACCATACTGCTGTTTACCAGTCTGGCGGGAGGGGTGATTTTCCTTGTGCTGGTGGCGAGTGGAGCAACAGTCAAAGGCTTCTTTGGAGCTGCTTTCTTTCTCTCTGTCTTTTTGGCGGCTGCTGAAGTGGACATGATGATGTGATTATTATTGTTGTTGTTGTTGCTGGTGGCAAAGTGTTGAATGATCTTGAGTGAATGAAGAATTATGTTGTCTTTGAAGTGTTGATGGTGACGAGGAGCAGTTAAAGTTACAAATATTGTACTAGCTGTTTAATTCATTGGGAATATGTTAGAAGTTTGGTAAGGTGATAGACGCTATTCAATATAGTTGCACTAGAATTATTTGGACACTCACGGATGATATCTCTCTGTTCTTGTCGATGTTGAATGATAATGATGTTGAACAATAGTGAGTTGCTAGCTTCAACTCAATCCAAACATTATCACTCAACTGTGTGCGGTGGTTGGAAGGGGTGAAACAACAACAAAAAATCAAAATAATCGAATCAAAAACAACAACGGTTAACGGATTATCGAAAATTGATTTCAAATTCAAATTCAAAAGTCGCGGCTTTTTTATTGATCGGATAAAGTGGACGGAGTAGCAGTTCCAGCCTCGAACAACTTGAGTTTGTTGGTGACCAACTGTTTGTCAATGTCAATATGAGCATCGTGGAAAAAAACTGATCGTCGTTCAGTCTGTTGGCTGTTTGGATCATAGGACGCCGAGAGGGAATGGATTTTGGATGCAGATGCCATACGCTTAAGTGTTGGCGATTGTCTGCCCACCTGTTGTTGTTGTTGTTGTTGATTTGGTTCGGACAAATGTTGTATCTGTGTTGGCGATGAAGAGGAGGAGGAAATTGATGGAATAATAGGTGCTCTTCCAAGAACTGGTGCTGATGTCCTTTGGTTGGTAATCTGAGCAGGCGAGCCATCATGCAAGACTGGAGCTGATAGTGGCCTGAAGCCCTGGGAAGCCATTGATGGTGTGGTTTGGCTGGAGATGTCATCGCCAACAGATATTGGAGATGGGATGAGCGTGGCTTTGTTTGGTGTTATGGCGGACTTTGGTGGTAATTGGTGCGTGGTTGCCACCTGTATAGGAGAAGAACTCCTTCTTCTCTCAATTGATGTCTCATTCTCGACAATAACTGCATGCTTTGCAACAAAGGACTGTTGTTTGACCAATTTTGGAGGTGATGGTTGTTGTTGTTGTTGTTGTTGTTGCTGTTGTTGCTGCTGTTGCTGATCTCTACTCTTCATTTCCTCCAGACATGATACCAAGGGCTGAAGTTTCAGAGTGAAGATTGTCAACATGTTCTGAAGCTCTTGATTGATGTACGAGACCAGTGTCCTTTCCATTCCATTTATGTGCTCCTTGATGTTTTCAACCGCCTCAGAGTTCTTGGCGTCAACGTATTGAAGTATGTTATTCTCCATCGACTCCATCTGCTCCTTGATTCCATATGATAGGTGACTAGTTGACAACAATCCAAGACTATCACTAGATAGTTGTTGTTGTTGTTGTTGTTGTTGATGTTGTTGTTGATTTGTTAATAGTACAAAGTTGTTTGCCTCTTCCAGATGAGTGGGAACAAACAACCTCTCCTGGCTGCTATAGGGTGGCAACGGTGGCAAAGGCTTGGTTGGTGCCGAAACCAGAGTTCGCATCGGGTCACTGCCTGCCAAAGCTGCTGATGTGCTCTTGCTTCGGGAGTGAGTTGCCTTCCTTACAGGCTTTCTAAAGACCATTGTACCAGTAGCGGAGCACTCTGGATCGCTACCGTTCTCTTCACTAGCGCCATCTCCAACGTCCACCTTGACGTCTGGCTTCTCGGCGTGGAAGACTGTGGTGCTGAAAGCGTCGACCTCATCATCCTCTGAGTCCTCCTCATATTCGTGGCAGGTTGAGTATACACCCTTGAACACCATAGTGCCACGAGAGGCAGTGGCAAGCAATGCAGTGTTGTTCTTGGTGACCAGCTTGTCAAGGTGATCAGTACCGACGTCCTCTTTTGAACCATCGCTACTAGCACTCTTGTCACTCTTGTCACTCTTGTCGCTCTTTTCACTCTTGACAGTCTCTTGTGCAGGGTTCAACAGGTGTTGCTTCTTCTGCTCGTCGTGTTGTTTCTTCTTTATGCGCAACACCTGGTGTACAAGGTCACCGAGTACCTCGGGGCCTCTCTTCTTCTTGAGGAAGTGATGGCTCAGTAGCTCTTTTGGCGAGGGTCTCTTGTCAGGATCTTTGCACAAGCACTTGGCTAGGAAGTCATTGAGAGCGGGTGACCACTTCTTGGGCTCAGAAAACGTTGGTGATGGCCATATTGGAACCATCTAGTAGTAGGTTCGGTATTGTTAGTTGAGAGTCCTATCTACTGATATCAACATCAGATTTTGGTGACATTGGTTACCTTCATTGCTCTCATTGGATTCATCTCCATGTGTGGGGGTAGACCATCTGCCATCTCAATGATTGTGATGCCGAGTGACCAAATGTCGGCCTGGTAGTCATATGCCTTTTTGAGTATTACCTCGGGTGCCATCCACAAAGCTAATCATTCATTCATTCATTGTTGTCAATGGATTGTATATGTTAGAATGAGTGCCAGTCTGTAACAAGTTTTAACGTTGTTCATCACTTACGAGTTCCTATCATCTCTTGTGATTGGTCATCCATCGAGGTGAGCTTCTCAGAAACACCAAAGTCTGTCAATAAATGATTAGTGAGTGAGTGAGTAGGATGAATTTCGGGATGATACATCATCACCAACACCAACAACAACATACCAGCAATCTTCACCTGAGCTCCCTCATTCAGAAGGATATTGGCTGCCTTTACATCACGATGTACGATATTTTGATTGTGAAGGTATATCAATCCTTTCAGTGTGTTCTTGATAACATAGGATATTTGTGACTCGTTCAACGTCTTCTCTGTTGACTCTATAATATCTCTGATTGAACCAAGTGCACAAAAGTCCATCAATATCTATTGGATAACAAGGTAAATTGTTGTTGGAGTGTAAGTAAGTAAACAACAAAAGGTCTACAGCTACCACCTCTACATACCCATATCTTGTCCTCATGTTGGAGGGAACCAAAGTAAGAGACAACATTTGGACTCTTGCAATTCTTGAGGATGTTGATCTCGTTCTGGAGCGACTTTTGCGTCTCCTCCTGCTTCATCTCGATCACCTTTATGGCCAGTGTGAATCCCAGATCCCTGTGTGTTCCTTTGTACACTGATCCATAGGCACCATCGCCTAGCTTCTCATTGAGAACAAAGTCATTGTGGCCAGTCCATTTGAGGTCAAAGTCCACATGCATCTTGTGTATGACGCTGTACGGCATGGATATCTCAGTGTCCACATCGAATCGCGCAGAGTTATGTCCCTTCTTCTTGTTGTTGTTGGCCGACTTTGACTTTGACTTTGACTTGCCAAACAGATGGAGATCTGGCGGTCGCAGGAGTGACGCTTTCTTCTTGATCCTGTCCAGTGCTGAGAGATTTTGGTAGCTGGTGTTTGCCGACGACGAAGCAGGTGAACCCAACAGAGACGAATCACTGTCAGACTGAATAGGCGAGCGCATTAGGCTGGGACTGGAGATGTTCTGGGCCTGATCCTTTTTGAGCTGTCTTTTGTCACTGCTACCACTGACGTGAATTGATGATGAGTGTGCTATGGGTGAACCTGGAGAAGAGTGTCCAGAGGACATAATATCTAGGTCTGCATCCTCTAGGTCATGATGATGATGAGTGGGACTCTGTGGTTGTTGATGTTGATGTTGTTGTTGTTGTTGTTGTGGGTGCTGATGGAGTAGTGAATCATAAGAGTCGTCGGAACGAATTGATTGATTGCTGTTATGTCTTTGCAAATTTCCACCTGCTGATGATAATGACGAGGAGGACTCTGTTCGGCTGGTCGATGTGCTCAGTGTTGGTGGTGGTGGTGATTGTACATCAGTGTGAGCATTGACAGTCAATGACGTTGTTATTGTGGTTGTGTGATCAGTGTTTGGCGTGGGTGGAGGTGATGCACTTTTGAGTCTCTGAAGGAGACTTGGTGATGATGATGATGATGACATTAATATCTATATATACAATGTTGTTGTATCGTCTATCTATCTATATATCTTTTGTTTGTATGAGCAATAACAATGTTTTCTTTGGGTGTTGTGGTCCTCAATCAATCACCAGTCATCAATCTCACTTTGATTATTTGAATCAAAATGAGATATTTTAGTAGGAATACCAATAAGAATAATAGTAATTATTTACTAATCTCTCAATTATGTGTTATACAGGAGTCGCGCTTGATAATAAAGTAAGACACTCTGAAGGGTCCTGTCACTATAGATCAACCTTGTGCTCCGCCGGATTCTCTTGTTGAGCGTCTTGTTGTGCAATGATTCGAAGTACTGTTTTCTTGCTTGTCTCTTGCAACTCTCCTGCCATGATCAGTTCGTCTAATATATAGTATGCTTTGTGGAAGTTGAAGATCAAATCGAGCTCACAAACCTGTAATATGTAATGTACATATCTTGTCAGTATCTATATCTCTTCCTATGTCTCACTCTCACTCTATATAGTTACATTTCCAAAGTAGCGATCCAGAATCTCTACAAAGTGATGAATGATTTCCAATACAATGAGTTCATTGTCTGTACGATCGACACAGACCACAAAGTATAGACTGGCGTATCGCTTAAAGATGATCTTATACTCCTTCCACTCCAAGAAGTTGCAGAGCTTGGGTGGTCTAGTGAGCACCATATTGCATATCTCTCTCGAGAATCTTGCCTTCTCTTTGGTCGTGAACGATGAGTACCATTTAGCCAATCGCACCTTTCCCTGTCTGCTCAACAACAATAAGAAGTGAAACTTGAGAGAGTGATATACTATTAATACAAAAGTGTAAGTAACCTCATCATCTTTGATCAATGCATACCATATCTATCTATCTATCTATCTATCTATCTATCTATCTATCTATCTATCTATCTATCTTTATAAGTATATTTATCTCTTACAAGTTAAACTTCTAGTCACTGCCCCAATCACACACTTCACTCTTTTTTTTTTCATTCACACTGACTGATAGATGCAACGTGAGCAAGAATACTAGTTTAATGTTTCGGGAAAGAGAGAATGGTTGATAACTGAAGTCACTCTAGTGAGTTTGAATTCCAGTCTCGAACCTGTGTCTTCTCTCCGTTGTTGTTGTTGTTGTTGTTGTTGTTGTTGTTGTTGTTGAGCCATACGACTGACGATTAAAGAGATCTCTTATAGATCTTACCCAACAACTTGAGGAACACCTCTTGTGGCATGATCCTAACGTTATCAATCTTGGCAACAAGCTCCTTGTAGGACTGGTCCTCATATTGCTTGAAGATCCTCTTGATTCCAATGTCATTGTAGATCTTCTTGACCGAGGCAACGTCCTGAGCACTCTCACGACCATAAACCTTCTTCAAGTTGGCAATCTGCTCTGGTGTACCGTTAAGGATGGCCTGACACACGAGCCAAGTGCACTTGTTCTCCTCAATATCTCTGCCAATCTTGCCAATCACGGCGGGGTCTCCGTAGCAATCAAGGTAGTCGTCTTGAATCTGGAAGTACTCTCCCATGGGCAAAAGGATGTCCAGAGCAGTGTCAAAGGCAGGCTTGCTACTGATGCCGGCCATGTGCATGGCCAAGGCCACTGGCAAGTAGAACGAGTAGTAGGCAGTCTTGTACTTGACAATACGTCTGTAGGTGTCCAACGTAAAGAGGGAGAAATCACCACGGTTGGGTTGTGTCGTCAAGTCCAAAAGCTGACCAAGCTCGGTCTGGTAGGAGGTCTTGTGGAACAGGTCCAAGATCTCTGCGTAGTAGGACTCATTCCTAAAGTACTTCTTGATCAAGATGTAGATGCATGACTCAAGGATGAATGAGTCGTTGATGGCAATGTTGCCTACGGTGGCGTTGGACTCGCTGGACAAGGGATTCTTGGTGCGGTACCAACAAGGGTTACCACGACGTGTGATCGATTGGTCCATAATGTCATCAGAGACCAAGAAGAAGGCCTGCAACCATTCAACACACCAACCAAGAACGTTGGCTTTGAACACCTCGGCTCTTCTCAGTGGACGACCCTCGACAAGAGTTTGGAGACTGTGGATGACGGTCAGACCACGGTTCATCTTGCCACCGGCCACACTATGATCGATCAGACGAGATATCCACTGTTGAGCATGCGATGGAATGTCCATTGAGGGCAAGTCCTTCAAGATCTCATTCTTTAGGATTGGGAAGATATCCAAGAAGTCTTGCATACCCTCGGTGGTCTTCTTTACTGGTTGTTGTGTGGCAGTGGTTGCACCTACATCATTCGATTGCACCTGAAGGTGTTCTGTTGTTGATGGATGGATCAAAAAGAGAGACAGACGAGATAGAGAGAGTTTGTTAGTTGGAAGGTATTCTATTTTATATAAAAATGTTGATCATACCAGTAATATTGTTACTGTTGAGATGAGAGGAGATTATTGCAACACGTTGTAGTGGGTTGCTCATTGTATCCTTGGAATAATGACTGTGTGTTGATAGTAGTAATAATGACTTGAAACGAATGATGTGTTTGAAGTATCTAATTGATTGTGTTGAACAGTTTTGATGAGCAACTTTGGGAACCTCAAAAAAAAAAAAAGATATTTAAATTATTTAATTTAATTAATCACTATCTATTTCTAATCTATCACAGTTAAGATGGATTGATAAACTTTAATTCATCATTATGAATGAGAAAGAATATATATATATATAAAGAATATACATAAATATAAATAATAATAACAGTAACAATAATACTTACAGAGTCATATAACCTCACCCAATTGGGTGGTGTCAAAACAAACAAAACTTGGAGTGAGATCTTCATTGTTCATTCATTCACAACAAACACCAAGAGTCACTTTTTATATATAAATTAAACAATGTCTACGCCTCCAGCAACTGAAGCTGAAGCAGCATCAACCACTAGCAGCAACTCACAGGTATGTGCGATTACTACGTTGTAGACATCTGGTGTAATTGATTGTAGCTAGCTCACCTTCTATTATTTAAATCTCCTACACATTTAGTCTGCTCCCTCATCACCAGCAACAACATCACTTAGCTCATCGGGTGGTAACCGTGCGAAGCTTCAATGGACAAAGTCGACAAAGGAGATGAAGCTGCCAACAACGGAGCGTGTCATCTCCAGTGTCAAGTATCCTGCTGCAGAGCCACTTGCACATAACATCCTCTTCAACGCCGACAAGACTGTCAACCTGGTCAAATTGCAGGAGCACTTCTTCAACGAGGGACGTCTCTTCCATGATGATGTCAAGGAGATTGTAGAGCGTGCCGCTGGCATCCTCGAGCGTGAGCCCACCCTTGTCTGTGTGGATGCTCCAGTAACAGGTATGTGTAACACTAACCGGATACGACCCAACAGATCACTTACCGTACTTTCAATCATCATCAACAACAGTATGTGGAGACACTCATGGACAGTTCTATGACTTGATAAAGATCTTTGAGAACGACATTGGTGGAAGCCCAGCCAGTACCAACTATCTCTTCCTTGGAGACTATGTTGATCGTGGATACTTCTCGATGGAGGTGATTCTCTACCTCTACTCTTGTAAGATCAACTATCCCAAGACATTCACCCTGCTGAGAGGTAACCATGAATGTCGTCATCTTACCGACTACTTTACTTTCAAAGAAGAGTGTAAGTTTGTATACAAATTGAGCCACTTATGATAATAATGCTAATCGTAAACACACTGTAATACAGGTCTTCACAAGTACAACGAGGAGATATATGACTTTATAACCGAGTCATTCAATGCACTGCCATTGGCAGCGCTTGTCAATGGCAAATTCCTCTGTGTTCATGGAGGTCTTTCTCCCGATATCAAGAATGTATGTGTTCACTTGTGTCATGTCATTCATCTTTCTCACTCTCTCCCTATTAATAGCTCGATGACATTGCCAACATTGATCGTTTCAAAGAGCCACCTTCATCAGGACCCATGTGCGATTTGCTATGGGCTGATCCAATGGAGGAGTTCTCGCCAGACATTAGGGAGCACTTTGTTCCCAATGAGGTCAGAGGCTGTTCCTACTCATTCAGCTACCGAGCGGCATGTACTTTCTTGCAGAACAACAAGTTGCTCTCAGTGATCAGAGCTCACGAAGCACAGAATGCAGGGTAACTATCTCTTGTTGACAAACATTTGAGTCAGTGGAGCTGCCTCTTCTCATTATTTACCAATTACCATTCATTCAATAGATACAAGATGCATTTGCAGAATGACGCCACTGGATTCCCATCAGTGATCACATTGTTCTCTGCTCCAAACTACTTGGATGCCTACAATAACAAGGGTGCTGTTTTAAGGTATGCATAGTTAAACTTTTAAGTTTATGAGCTGGCGGACTCTCCACTACACTTTGATTGTCTAACGAAATTTCCAATCCTTTCATAGATATGAGAACAATGTCATGAACATTAGACAGTTTAACTGCTCGCCTCATCCTTATTGGCTGCCAAACTTTATGGATGTGTTCTCTTGGTCCATGCCTTTCGTCGCCGAAAAGACTGCAGAGATGCTGTTGGTGTTGCTCAATCTATGCGACGATGAGGAGGCCGAGAAGTTGGAGCACTCCGGTGACTCAGAGGAGGAAAAGAGAAGACAGATGCTACGTGCCAAGGTCAAGTCTGTCTCCAAGATCATGAGAATGTTCTCCATCCTTAGACAGGAGCGTGAGACCATCATGATGATCAAGAGCTTCACGCCATCAAGGAAGATCCCTCAAGGACTGTTGTCAGAGGGCAGTGAGGCACTCAAGAAGGCATTGGGTGACTTTGCCAGGGCACGCAAGATGGATCTGGTAAACGAGCGTCGTCCGCCTGCCATTGACCGTGTCAACAGTCGAGGCGAATTGCTCCGTATGAACAGTCGTGGCGAGTTGTTCCGTATCAACAGTCGTGGCGAGCTCTTTAGGAGCAACTCGTACGCAGACCTGAAGCCACCCACTGGCCCACAGGAGACTATCCAGATCACTGAGGCACCAAAGTAAAGCATAATATATGAATAAACTGTGAGCAGTTTTGGTTTAATGTCCAACAACAAATACCAAGTAGGTCAATGAGGTGGTTGGGAGTGGCATCACACGATCAGTGTATGAGAGTCTTCCAACTAGTTGGAAGAGAAGAACTTCTTGATCTCTTGAATGTTCAGCTGGTAGGACTTTTGCTCAAAGTTGATAACGTCGTTCTTGACATCGGAGCTGAACTCACCTTCCCTATATTTATTACAAATAATGTTGTTAATGTTTGTTGGTCATCAACATCCATACGTCAAGTTAGTTAACTACTTACCAGGTGATGAGAGTTTGGTTGGTGTCAGAGATACGGTGGAGTCTGATTGAGCTGATTGTGGCAGTGACCTCGGTGGGTGGGTTGCTCTCGATCACCTCCCAGACAACAGTGAGAGAGATATCACTGAGCTCAAGGAGACGGTGCTTTCTGATCTCACCAGTCTTCCATTTCAATGTGCGGACGGCACCAACAGAAGTTGGGCTGGCGTTGTCATCCATGACGGCGGACTCGATCGTAGAGATGACCTTGGAGGGGAAAGTAAAGTCTCTAATCACAGACCATACTTTCTCAGTTGGTGCGGCGATGATGGAGCTTGCAACAGAACGTGTAGACATTGATTGATTGATTGATAGATTGATTATTTGATTGAATTGATTATTAATCTTTAGATTTAATTTTGACAATTGATGTTGAACTCATCTATCTGTCATTCATTGATTGGTCTAACTGGGGCTAAATAATAAGAAGTTCAGATTTTTTCTGTACATGTTTGTGTTGGGTAAGAGAATGCGAAACAGTTCAATTCGCTTTCTATTGTATTCAGTACCAGGATAAATCCACAATAGATCCCAAACAACATAAACAAAGACTTGACACAACATGTTCGACAACATTTAACATTCATTCATTCATTCATGGAGCTATATAGAAGACTACTAGGATGGTCTTCAAGAGCCAGACAATACACCCCTCTTGACTCGACTCAACAACATCAGCAAGATCCAGTCAATGTGACAGAGGAGGTCGAAAGAGATAGTCTCTTTGATCAACCGTGTCCTGAACAACATGCTTCTCTCTTGTCAAGAGTAAGTACGACATCGTATTGGGAGTGTTACAATGACATATATGTCTATTTCAAGATACTAACAAACATGTTAAACAGTTATCATTCTTTTGGGTTCAACCAATGATGATGACAGGATACAAAAAAGCACCTCTACTTCTAACTGATCTGTGGCGAGCACCGGAACACATCAAAGTCGAGAACACTGTTCAATATCTGGACAATCTACACTTGGATTGCAAGTATGCACTCATCAGACACATCTATCGTGAGTTTGTCCTGAGGAATGTTACCCTCATAATTATCAAGATCTTTGGTGCCATGGTCACTATCGGTTCACCAGTCTTGCTTAAAACGTGAGTTTACATTGTCCAAAAGGTGGAATCCAGTACATCATCATTATTAACAACATCTCTCTATACCGATTACAACAGATTCCTCTGGTACATCCAAAACGATGACTTTCAAAAGGGATATGGATGGCTCCTATCTTTTGGTCTGTTCCTCACATCTATATCATTGTCACTCACCAACCAATACTCCTTCTGGTTCGGTATGAAGATGTGTCTAGAGATCAGAGGATCATTGATTGCCACAATCTTTCGAAAGATGTTGCGCATCAACAATGACTCTCGTCGACGATTCAATTGTGGAGCAATCATGAATCTGGTGGCCGTAGATGTCGAGTCATTCTCAGAGTTCTTTTGGAACAACTGCATCGATATCTTCATCTATCCCTTTACCATAACAATGCTATTGGTGTTCCTTTGCATGGTTGTTGGTGTGGCACCAGGCCTGGTTGGCTTTATCCTCATGGTCATTGGTCTTCCTAGCAATGCATTGTTAAGCAAACGACAGAGTGATCATCAGCTCAATGCAATGAACATTGGGGATGAACGAGTTGGACTCATTGGCGAGATGCTGGAAGGTATACGACTTTTGAAGCTCTATGCATGGGAGCTACCTTTCATCAATCGTGTAATGTCTGTCAGAGAGCGACAAATACATGCCATTAAGAAGCGGAACGTCTTTTGGGCCACTTCATCTCTACTCACACAGGTGTTGGCTGGTGTAGTTCTGTTCTCAACATTCATGGTGTACACCCTGTTGGGTAATCAGCTGACTGCAACAGTTGCCTTTACAAGTCTTACTATATTCGTCAATATGCGTCGACCACTCGAGATGTTGCCAGAGTCCATTCAGAGACTAATGAAGATCATGGCATCCGCACAGCGTATCGAGTCATTCCTCAGGTGTAGTGAGGTGCAAGCATCAATGTTATCATACCAAGATAACGACAAAGATGTACAAATAATCAATGGAGAGTTCAGTTGGGACAGTACCTCCTCAGCATCGACACTCAACCAAGGTCATGAGGAGGAAGAAGAAGAAGACGACGACAATGATGATACTATTCAATCACCTGATGAAGCTGATATAAAAGCATCGTTATTCAAAAAGCAATCATCCATCGAGTTGGAGAACATCACCAAACATCAGTCAACATCAGTTCTCAAGCAAATCAACATTGTGGCACCAGCTGGAAAGCTAACAATGGTGTGTGGACGTGTTGGAGTCGGCAAGACAAGTATTCTAAGTGCATTAATTGGCGAGATACACAAAGTTGATGGTCAAGTGCAGGTTCCACGAAGGATTGGCTTTACATCTCAAACAGCCTTTTTGATCAGTGCATCACTACGTGACAATATATTGTTTGGACAGGACTTTGACCAAGATCGATATATCAAGGTATTACAGGCCTGTGCATTGGACTCTGATTTGGGCCAGTTGCCGGCAAAGGATCTAACAGAGATTGGAGAGCGTGGCCTGAATCTTAGTGGCGGCCAGAAGCAGAGAGTATCATTGGCACGAGCAGTCTACTCTGATCCAGATTGCTATATACTTGATGAGCCACTGTCTGCCGTAGACTCTGAGGTTGCCAAACATCTCCTTCAGCATTGCATTCAAGGTGTCATGGCCAATCGTACCAGGATATTGGTGACACATCAACTTCAGTTCCTACCTGCTGCAGACCATATCATTGTGGTTGGACCCTCTGGTGAGATCACTCAAGGCTCCTATCAAGAGTTGGTAGACAGTGGCATTGACTTTGAATCAATCATGAAGAACAAGTATGGCGATATGCAAAAGAGTCTTCAGCAGCAACAACAGAGACAACAAGAATCAGATGTCGACTCCATCACCACTTCCACCACAACTGAGTTGCCACGGGCACCTTTACCAACAACCCCAGTCCAATCAATCCACGATCTCATTGCATCAACCAACGAACCAAACCTGGAACAAAAGGCCAAGCTACTGGTTCAAGAGGAACGTAACAAGGGTGCCATCGGTTTAGATACCTATGGACCATACGTAAAGGCTGGTGGAGTGATTGGATTCTCCATCATTGTCTTTTTCTACATCACCAGTCAAGTGATCTTCCAGAGTGCTGACTATTGGCTGGTGGTATGGACCAAGAGGCAGCTGTCCACACCTCACACTGACCGTTGGTATTTGATGATATACTTTTGCTTCATCGTCGTATACATCATTATGTTGGGCATCCGATACTTTGCCCTCAGTCGCTTCACAGTTGTGGCATCATCATCGCTACACAATCGATTGCTCACCAATGTCATTGATGCACCAACACTATTCTTTGATCAGAATCCATCCGGTCGTATACTCAATCGATTCTCAAAGGATATTTCAGACATTGACATATCACTCCTAGATGTTATCTCTGACATTATGTACAATGGTTCGTCTGTACTCGTATCGATCTGCATAATGATATTTATCAACCCAATCATGGTGCTACCTCTTGCATGTCTGGGCGTACTCTACTACTTTGTTCAACAAATCTATCGCAGCTCATCCAGAGAACTCAAAAGAATGGAGTCAATCTCAAGAAGTCCTATCTTCTCAACATTTGGTGAGAGCTACAATGGTTTGGTCACGATCCGATCGTTCAAACAGCAGACCCGCTTCTACAATCAACTGATTGAGCAGCTGGATGTCAATATACGTTTGATCTACTATAGCTATGCGTGCCATAGGTGGATGGGCACACGACTCGAGTTCATAGCATCTGTCACTGTGTTCTTTTCGTCATTGTTTTCAGTATACAATGCAGCCGATAACCCTGGACTGGCTGGCTTGGCAGTGACCAGTGCCCTTGGTATGACAGGATTCCTCAACAGACTGGTACGACAATTCACAACTCTAGAGGTCAAGATGAACTCTGTTGAGCGTGTCAATACCTATATACAAACGCCATCCGAAGGTGTTCGATACTCTGATGCACACTCTGCACCACCAGAGGATTGGCCACAAGAAGGAAAGATAGAGTTCCGCTCAGTTCAAGTACGCTACCGTCCAAATATGGAGCCGAGTCTCTCCAATGTCACGGCACTCATACATCCAAATGAAAAGATTGGAATAGTTGGTCGCACGGGTGCCGGAAAGTCCACGATTGGTGTGGTACTATTCCGAATGGTCAATCCATCTGCTGGTGAAATCCTGATTGATGACCTCAACATTGTAGATATCGGGCTGTATGATCTCAGAAGTCGCCTCTCAGTCATACCACAAGAGCCATTCATCTTTTCAGGTACATTACGTGACAACATTGACCCTGCCAAGGTCTACTCAGACGAGCAGATCTGGAGTAGTCTGGAGAAGGTGCAGATGAAGCCTGTCATAAGTGGCATGCCAATGGCGTTGTCAACACCAGTGGATCGCGGGGGAGATACATTCTCAACAGGCCAGAAGCAGCTACTCTGTCTATGTAGAGCACTGTTGCGAAACTCAAAGATCGTGTTGATGGACGAGGCCACGGCAAGTCTTGACTACCACACAGACTCTATCATCAAAGAGACAATCGCCAACAACTTTAAGAACAGCACCGTGCTGACCATAGCACATCGATTGGACACCATCTATGATAGTGATCGTATTATCGTCGTTGATAAGGGTCGTCTGGCAGAGTTTGAGTCACCTGAGCTACTGGCAAGGAATCCAGACTCTCGATATACTCAACTACTGGTTGCACAATCTTCATACAGTACCAGCCAATAATTCAATGAACATCGCCTTTATGTAACCCAAAAGCTGTTTTGTTTTTTTGTTTGGGTGGTTCACACCTCCAATCTATGCATTAGTAATTGTTCAGTGAGAGAGATTTTGATATTGATACAGATACAGGTTGATATATATGCCACTAATGTCAAAGAGGAAGAATATTGATGAGGATGATGATATCAGCGACATCAGTAGCAAGACAAATAGAGCCTACAATAATGTGAAACAAAATGGTGGTGTTCATACCATTCATAAGGACATTGCTGTCAACTATATTATCTGTAATGATAACAACAACACAAATAACGATTACGAAGATGATGATGAAAGTAGCAACAATGACGACAATTGCAGCAGTAGTGTCAAGACGATAAAACCAATCAAGAACAGAAGGAAATACAACAAAAACAGTCATAGCAGAGACAACTCTCCTCCTAAATGCTCATCACCACCCTTAGCAACATCAACCGCCATTGTCACAGCTATCCAACAACAAAACAGCGTACCAACTGAAAAGAATCTTGAAGATCTACACCTCAACAATAGCCAGGAGATCCCTACACTACTTAATAGCAATAGCAACAGTCATTCATTGCCAACAACTACTCCAATAACAAATTGTATACAGAACAACTCAACAAACTTATCAATAGTTCACAATAATAATAATAATGACAATCAACGACATAAGGATCATTCAACACCGCCGTCAGTCAACATCACTGGTCACTCCCCATCACTAAATGGTGTGCCCTCATCAAGGCAGCCGATAGGCAATTCGTCACCAAACCCAAATGCAACTACTTTACACAACAACAACAACAACAACAACAACAACAACAACAACAACAACAACAACAACAACAATGTACACACGAACAATAATCATCAACAGCAGCCAACTCAAACATCCAACGTCATTACAAAGCGTAGTCCATTGCTCAGATCACCACCTTGGCTGGAAGAGGCCAACTATCAGGTGGACGACCCTAGCTCACTAGAGTTGGAGAAAGAGTTGGAGATATTCTATCAGTGGCTGGCACCGACACAATATGAGAACAGGATGAGACAGCTGATAGTCAACCAGATTGAGTTTATCGTTCACGAAAGGTGGCCCACAGCAAAGGTCATTGTATTTGGATCATTCGCAACGGACATTTGCATCCACTCGAGCGACATTGATATTCAAGTATCTGGAATCAATGACAACAACAACAACAACAACAAAGGCGACAGGTTCTACTACTATGACCCAATCAGAGAGCTCCATGCCAAGCTGATAAAGGGCTATCAAAGCATATTCTCAAACATTAAGCTCATCCCATCAGCCAAAGTTCCAATCATCAAGATGTCTCACAAGGGCTCCTCGTACAATGTGGACATATGCTTTGAAACACCGAATGGCATCGAGAATACTGTCATTGTCAAGCACTACTTAAAAGTAAGTAGGAACAATAATGATGATCAATCTATCGACCAATCCACCTCTGACCCGTCACACATTATTCACATAGAAATACAAGTCAATGCGATTGCTATTGATGTTGTTAAAGTATTTTCTATTCCAACACAACCTTAACGAAACATACACTGGTGGCATTGGCTCATATGCACTTGCACTGATGGTGGTCAGCTTCATTCAACTTCGATACGTGCCCTACGAGAAGAGATTGAGTACCAACAGAGCAACCGATCAAAAGAGCAGCTATCGACATGCTGGAGATGACACTGATTATGGTGCCATGCTCTTGGAGTTCTTTCAGCTGTATGGCGAATCATTCCAGTACAGCAAACATGGTATATCATTGAACAATTGTGGCTACTACTATCAAAAGACCGATCAGTTTGGCACCAGTCTCTCGATACTCGATCCACATGACCCCAACAACGATGTTGGAAAGAATAGTTTCAACATTGCCCAAGTCAAAGAGCTGTTCACAAACTCATTCATCAAACTAATCTCTCAAGAGTTTCGCAATGAGAAGTATCCAAGTATCAAGTGTCCCACCATTCTCTCGCGCATCATTGATGAGTCGCTTTATAGACACCAGGCCAATGGACGCAAGTCAGTAATTGCTCTCTCAAAGACAATGGATGGCTTTGGACAGGTGAAATAGACAATAAATAAAGGGATGAAGTTCAATCTGGTCATGATTTGTAAGTGGGGGATAACGAAAACGATCTGTAAAACTCGTCCAAACACTTTTGAAATCTTTTTGTCCAGCCCTGACCAACACGAAAAGTTGAGCGACTATTTCTCAAGGCAATCTTCACCATCATGATGGACAATTCCCCTTGGGGGAGAGAGGACACGGGTCTTTGCACTGTTGTTGTTGATCAATCACTAAAGCACTCAAAACTCACACACACACAAGCAAACAAACACACAAACAATGAAAGTTAATAGTTTCCTACCAGGGACACTAGTCTTGATTATGACAACGACAATGATTATTATTTCGACCTCTCTACCCATTCCATCCAATCCGTCATGTGTTTTCGAAGGACATGACTTTAGCCAATGGCAAAAGTAAGTAAGATCTGATAGTAGTTAAAGCAATATTTGCTTTAAATAGTTAACTGACCACAACAACAATGATGGTATAGCCATACTTTCAACTTTACAGGTACCACCTATCTATCCAACATTACAGTAACTATCATGTCAATCGCTCTGACAATAGAGTGAACTGGTGTTCCAGTCGTTATACTGCACCACTCTATCTTGTTACTGTTTCACTAATTCATTCAAAACCATTGCAATAACCTATCTATAGGCAACATACTACTGGTCATTGTGCGGCACATCAAACTACTGCTATGACAACTTTGATAGAAAATCACTGCCTAATCCTCCACCAATGTATTCATGTCAGAAAATACCTTCCACTTCTGATTGGAAGGATAATGGTGATAATGTATTCACTCCAGTTTGGGCCAAGAACAAAGGTAATAATCTTAATCATATTGATTTACTTATCATTATTATCACTAACACTTTGATAATCTCTAAGCCAATTCAACTGGCGTGGAGATAATGTATCAATCGGATAAACAAAAATGTTTAAACAACACGATCAACAGAAATACGACGGTCCACATTGCTTGTAGCAATCTAACCTCTGTCAACAATGTGTTTGAGCAACAGAAACCTGTGTGTCGCTTCCACATTTATATGACTTCCCCACTGGCCTGTGACTTTCCTCTGATCAACACAGCATCGCTTAGTCAGGCTCCCATGGGTGATTCGTTCCTTCAGCTCAACATCACCTATCCACCAGAGTTGAACCATCGTGTGCTCTTTAATGGTGTACCTTGTGGAACTGTCAATGGTCCAATCTTCACGTGCAAGACCGGCCTGAAACTAGAGAATGGTCAATCTTACACTGTGGAGTTGGCCAATGACTATTACTCTGACAAGAAGGTGTTTGAAAACTATGCTCTGCCATATCCAAAAGTGACTGCATTCTCTACATTGACAACAGAGGGTGGTTCCATAACAATGTCTGGTAGTTTTGGTCAACTACAACAACCCCTAGTAACAATCAATGGTCAACCATGTAACATCACCAGCACCAAACATGATAGTCTCACATGTACAATAGCTGGTCCCCTTGAAGCTGGACAAGCCACTGTGGACATTCAAGTAGATGGTTATGGATTCACCAACAAGTTACTCAACATTGCCACCAGTGCAAAGTGCCTGAAGCCAGGTTTCTGTGGTAGTCATGGCTCGTGTGACACTGATCTTGGTCAGTGCTCATGTCAGACCAATTACTATGGTGAACAATGCCAATACTCTTTGTCCGACCGTGCTGTGTTCACACCCAACTCGTCAGACCCAACAGCAGTATTCGTCTATGGAGGATATAACTTCCGATTCTCCATATTCTCAGTGCAGGAGATACTTCCCAATGGCGACGTTCTTTATGAGGTGAAGCCCACCAACTGGACTGGCCAAGTTACCAACAGTACATCCCTGACTACGATAGACTACACCTTGAATCAGACTGATGCCACACAGACCGATCTCCGTCTGTCTGCTTCGATTGCCTACTCTGATGTTGCACGAACAGTGACCTTTGGCTCCAAGACCTTCAATCTTGCCCCACGATCCATCAAGATTGGAGTGAACATATCTGATTGGAAGTACTCTAGCAACATCAACACACTGAGAGTGGTATTTGTCACAGCCATCAACCCCAACCAAACGACTGGATGCGACAAGACCAGTCTTCCATCCTATGGCTATGCCCAAGGATCCATAACCAACCTCATGGTTCAAAAGGATGAAGTACTGTTCTATGGACGATTCCTGGACTATGCCATCTCTGATGGTCGCGAGACCTTCACTAGAAACGAGCTGATTAGCACCGACCTGGAATCAGATTTGGCCTACATGGGCATCAATCTACCGCAGTGCAAAAAGTGTATGCTTGATCCAGACTTTTCAGCACTGGTCTCTGGTGACAACAATCATGGTTGTCCTCAGGCATTCGAGGTATGGAAGATCGCCCTGATCAGTGGATTGGTCGGTGGTGTTGTACTGATTGGCTTGGCTCTAGTGATCTACACTCAGAGGAAGGCCATCTATCTAAAGTACTTGGATCTGACTGGAAAGAGATCAAACTCCAAAATGCAGTTGGATGAGTTGAGTAGCTCTCGTGCAAGTGTAACTATTACTGGATAACCAGGTTTCTACAACCTTATCACTACATGTTGTATATTTAAATATATAAATAAATTGTTTTTTTTTGACCAAAAGTTGAACTTGCGCCTTTTTTTTTATTCAGTGAGAGATAAAAAATGATGATCATCTTTCGTTCAATTGCATTCATTCATTCACTCTCTTCAGGTGATACACAAATATGTATAACACTTGGCAGCAGCAGCCGCAGCAGCAGCAGCAGCAAACCCAACAAGGGTTTCATTCGACAATGATGGGTGGCCCTCCAATGTCAATGTCTCAACTCTATGCAACATCTGCAACAACATCAACACCTCTTGGGTCACAGTATCAACCACAACAACAACAACAACAACAACAACCACTTCAGTTACCTCAACCCATTCAATACATTGGACAGCAGCAGCAACAATCACCTATACAACAGACCACAAGATACCTATATACAACTACACCATCGCCACCACACATCAGCTCACCAATGTCACAGTTTGGTGCCAGCGGCATCTCACCACTATCAGTCAACGAACCATCCAACTACTATACCGAGACCTCATTGGTCCCAATGCCGTCTCAACAACAACAACAACAAGATATTCACTCTACTTCAATGATGATACCATCATCCATCGTACGACAACAACAGCCACTACAACAACAACATCAACAACAGGTATCCACCACCACTGTAACCAACAACATCAACACTTTCTCAAAGGATGTCGAGATGCAGCTCATCTTTAAAAACTCTGTTGGCATACTGGATGAGGTGATTGCAAACGTTGACCTGTTGCAGGACCCAACCAAGACGTTGGACTCTGCACCCGTCACTGGATACAACTACTTTGAGACAACGAACCAGGTGTGGAACACCATGGTCTTGGAGAAGCACGTCCAATTCCCTCAGGAGGTCACTCAACGTTACCTGACGGCCAACACCAAGACATTGCAGGGTATCTTCCCAGAGATTGGACGTGCCTGGATATCGATCGACCAGACACTATTCCTGTGGGACTACAAAGATACTGGAGACCTGATCACCAACCATCTCTCACAGATCATCACTGCCTGCGGACTGGTGACACCACGCAAGAATGTCTTTAAGGACTGCGTCAGACATGTACTGGTGGTGGCAACACATGTGGAGATCTTCCTGTTTGCACTCGCCTATGATGAGGATGGCAAGTTTGAATTGATTACCAGTATGTAATATTACTATTATTATCCTTAATGATGATTGTTACACAAACATACTAATATGTACATCATACTCAATGATCATAGCACCACTGGTTGTACCAACGGATTCAGTGATCATCAATGACATTGTTGGCACTGATGATGGTAGGATATTTGTTGGTGGTCAAGATGGTAATCTCTATGAGATTGCCTACAGTGATGGTTCAGCATCATGGTTCAGAAGCAGCAAGATATCAAAGATCAATCATACATCATCAATGTGGAGCATTTGGTCAAGCAAGCGTGCAGAGATCATTCAGATCCAATACGATGTCTCTAGAAGGATGTTGTTCACTCTTGACAAGAGTTCAACTATACATGTATGTGTAGTAGTATTGTTAGAGTATCATTTCAATCGTTCACCTACTAACAACCAACAACAACAACAACGATAGAGATATACACTGTTGAAGAACAAAGATCATGGGCTTAAAGCCGAGCAACCATTGACACCACTGGTCTCCAAATCAGAGCCACGTCTATCAATCCTCTCCATTCATCTCTCTTCACAAAGCGAGTACCAGATCGTTGCCATTTGTTCAGATGGTATTAGACGATATATTTCTGATGTAAGTTCTTCACATCACGATCACCAACCTCATCAATTAACACATCAATTATCTTCCTTTTTTAGACAACTGGCGCATCCAGATACGCACGTAGACCACCTGTACTCGTCCATCCTCATTATTCGTTCTACTGCAATGGAGTGTACTTTGTGGCGGCAGAGGCCGGTGAGCACATGGATAACCTCTATGGAGTGACACCATTCTCGAGAAAGATGATCAAGAAGCTGTACGAGGTGGACAACCAAGGCTTTGTGACATCATCCAATGAGGACTCGTTGGAGGAGCGACCAAACCTCTTCAAGATCAAGGGCAGAGTCAATGTGATCAAGGAGGACTGTGTCAACACTGGCAAACAACCAACGGTCTTTTACAAGGAGTTCAAGAATGAGCACACCACAGTGCCTCGACGATTCCTATGTCTCAACTCGTTGGGAATGCATATCATTGCCAAACTACGATATGTAGACACCCTACACAATCTACTTGCCTCTGGATCAGCAACTGATATTGATGTAAGTGTAATCTAAAAAGTACCGTAATGCTCATTCTAGTATTGTGTTGCTGACAACAACATCCATTCACACTCAAACAAACAGGCATTCTACAATGAGTTTGGACCAATCTACTCCAACTCTCTATGCATTGCGCTCTACTGTGAGACACCACAAAGCGCACCTATTCTCGCAGACCAATTCTATGGCACAGTTAGTGCACCGAGGTCTGCACCTCTTCGAATCGCCGATATAGCTATGAGCCAGTTCAAGAGACGTGCTGGCAAGCCCAGCTACTTGCAGGCCAAGACTCTGTTCTCACAGGATATGGGCGCCAGTGTGAACAAGTCAGAGATTGCCTACTCGTACGCACACAATGCAGTGGTCGCCTATCTGAGTCGAGTGCTCTCACCTCTCTGGTCCCATCCAATGATTGATTCCAACTCCTCTCAATGTCGCTGGTCGGTCATCCAGCTCAAAATATTGCAATCCCATCTGGCCAACCTTTTGCTGTTCTTGGAGAACTCGCAATTGGTTCCAAAGACATCAGACAATGATATACCCATCACAAGAAAGCCCATTAACGAGCAATCAACCGATGATGATGCTCTAAAGGTATGTTCACTCTTCTTCTCTCTAAACACACCTACATCCAACTGACACCATTCCTCCAACAACTTAGAACGAGAAGAGAAGTCTGCTTGGAATCAAGAGGTTGGTGGTCAAATCAATACAGGTGACCAATCTATTCTTGATCATGTTGCAGTTCAACTTCCAACAGATATTCGAAGGAATGGATGGGTAAGATTAATTTAAACAAACTCCACCAAACCATATCGTTCACATTAACTAATATTTTATTCCTCCATACAACCAAACAGACTCAAGTCTGACGACAGACTGAGGATTTACCAATTCAAGTTCAGAGACTACGTCACTGATCAAACCGAGTTGGCTACAGACCCAACCAAGAATGTTCCATCATTACTTATCGCCTCATGCATGAAGCTGCTCAACTCACTCAACATCCAGATCGATGGCGTCACTCGACAACTAGAGTACGAGTGTCCAGACCTTTTCAAAAAGAATGACAAGCTCCTGCTCATCGCCAAGGACAAGCTAAAGATAGCCATACGTGACCGTGGTGTTCACACTGACTCACTTGTCACAGACGCTCTGTTGATCCTAGACGAGGTGTCCCCCTTCTTTGACCTAGCCGAGATGATTGGCTACCTGGTATCACTGCAAAAGTTTGGCTTCATTGTACCTTTGGCATTGACCTTCGCCGGTAGACTCGATCCAAACAATGTCACACAGCAGGACCCCTCACAGCAACAGCTGAGCGCCAGCAAGCAAGCAGAGCTGGCTCAAAAGGTGGAGTTGAAGAAGAAGGCATTGTTCGAGATGTTCAATGTTATCAACCAGATCGTCAACGACCAGAGTCACTACCCAACCACTGTTATTGATCATCTCATTGAACAGATCCTGAATTGTGACGATAGAGTTGCACACGAGTTGTTGTATCATTGGCTGTTGAGCAATGGTCTGAAGGGTAGACTATTCGAGGTAACGTACTCTTTATATATTTTGGATTCCACGCTACTAACTAACACCTTGACTTTTGTATCTTTCTATCTCCTCTATCTAGGTCAACTCTACATTCATCTCTGACTTTTTGTTGGAGCACGACATTGATCTGTGTTGGAAACATCACGCAAAGAATGGAGACAAGGATACAGCTGCAAGGATAATCATTGAACTGGCTGAAAAGTAGGCATAGAGAGAAGGTGTTAGACTGGATAGAGATGGACTAACAACTAACAAAAACAACGTTACAGGTCAAAGCTCAATGACAAGATCACCTGCTACACAAACTGCACCTTGTTGATGAACGAACACAAGGAGAGCGAGGTATATCTATATGCCAAGAGACAGCTTATGGTATGTTACAAACTTGATTGAGCATTAGTATTAGATGCCGATGAGGTTATTGACACTTAGTATAGTTATGTGGATTGCAGAAGAAGATCATCAACAGTCTTACTGGTATTCTCAAGAGCAGCAACAACAACAACAATAACTTGGATGAGGAGATTCACAACAAGATATCAGTTGCCATCCAAACACTGGACGACAACGCCTTTGATCTGACAACTGTAAGCAAAGATTGAGTTCATCAGCAAACAAACAAACAAACAAAATTAGATCACTAACAAAGTTCCACCAACCATCTTCAATATCATCATCAGTTGTTCAAAGACTATGCCAGACCATATTTCTTACACGAGGAGATGTTGTACATTGTTCACTATGGCAACCATGATGACCAACAGTTTGTCAAGAACATTTGGAAGATCATAATCGAGAATGAGGCAAACCAGGAGTTATACAGAGACGTCAATCAGATGCTTGAGGCGCTCAGGAACAAGATTGTTAACATTGGCTACGACCTTCATCCAAAGGACTCTACATTCCCCGTGCAGTCAATCATCAACATTGCAGAAAAGACTGCATTCCTATATGGCAAACAGACTGGCACTACGATCGACAACCCGATATGGTTGGCCAAGGCATTGCATAACCAGGTCAAAATCGACTATTTCACGTTGTTGGACCAATACAAGGCGATCATCGAGGAGCAAGACACCAGTATCGAGTCGAATGAAGTCACATGGCGTCAGGGCGAGGAGCAGGACCATCTCATCCTGATATTTGTGGCACTGATCGAGTCAATACTCCGAGAGCCTCTCAACTCTATGGACAGACACATCATCTCGTCCAAGCGTATCACCTACACACTCAAGATGCTCAAGGAAAGGCTCAGCCAGTCGGCAAAAGACACATCCAGTCGAATTGATCAACAGATTGATAAGGTGAATGGTCTTCATCGTTCAGTTCACATGTAACTAAAGAGCACACACAAAACTTTCCATGTTCTAATTTTGGAAACGATTCGCCTTTTTGTTTTCATTGATTGCTTTTTTGATCAATCAAGCTGTTGTTATTGGTGTGGGGGTAGCTAGTACACACATCCACTTTGGTACTGATCACATACACATTTGTTTATTCATCCACCATCACATTTATTGTTATTATTATTATTATGTTGTTGTAGGTTTATTATATCTATTATATATATATAGAGTGAACAATGTTCAACAAATTGAAGAAACTCTTCAATGGTAATGCTACCAATCGTTCCAACACCTCCAAGAATAATAACAAATCAACTGAAGGAGTCAACAATGGCCGAAGAAAAGGAAAGAATAATCGTAATGGTCAACCAGACATACAAGAGAGTGTGACACAACAACAACAACAACAACTTGATACTGCAAGCACATCATCATTGGGAGTACAATCAGATGCCCATCTATTTGAATCGTCTGGTGGTGACTTTGTAGAGAACGAAAACAAAGACACCAACAGAGATGATGATGTCTCTACACCAACTCTACATCAAACAAAGACTGGTTCATTCATCCGTTCAGTCTCTTCACAGTTGTTCAGGAGAGGTCTGAAGAGTTCTGGATCAAGACATGACCAAGACAATGACAATGATGAACACGATGATATGCCTCAACAACAAATCATACCCCCCGTCAATGATGATGAGGAGAGTGATGATATCTACGAAGATGATGGTGACGACCAAGATGACTACAACGAGGATGAGGAAGAAGAGGCCTTCATCAAATCACTTCAAGAGGTGGAGAATGAGCTGGAGGCAGAGAGTCAACAGTTGACATTCAGGTGTCTGTCCCCCAATGAGCTGGTTCAACACCAACAGAAAGAGATCAAGGATGTGGCAGATCTCCTACAATTGTCCCCATCATCTGCACTGGCACTGCTCAAACACTTCAATTGGAAACGTGAGAAGATGCTCACCAGATACTTTGAGTCACCCAAAGACGTGTGTAAGGAGGTCGGTATCGAGTTTCCTGGTCGAAGCAGCGGTGGCAATTCATCAAGGAGCAGATCGCCATCATCCATTGGACATCAATCACACGACAATGTCGTATCCAACATTGGTGCATATTCATCCACAACCACTACAACACAATCTCATCATCATTGCGCTGATCAGCACGAGCTGGAGCAAGAGCAAGGTGAGTCTGAGGAAAGAGTCTGCTCGATATGTGGTGATGAGAATCAAGACGAAATGACCTCTGTCAAGTGTCGCCACTTCTTTTGCAATGATTGCTGGGGTGGCTATTTGACGTCAAAGATCAACGAAGGAGAAGCAAACATTCGATGTCCCTTCTACAAGTGTACAGCGTTCGTTGATGACTCGATAGTTCAGCGACTGGTTGCCCCGGTCACCTATGAGAAGTACCTACAGTTCGAGACCAAGAAGTTTTTGGCTGGCAACCAGTCTCAGGTCAGGTGGTGTCCAACTCCTGGATGTGACAACGCAATCACTCTGATCAAAGACTCTGCATCCACAACACTGGAGATCGTGCAATGCTCGTGTGGAAGAAAGTTCTGCTTCAAGTGTCACCGAGAGTCACATGCACCTGCCACTTGCGAACAAATGAGCCAGTGGGAGGCCAAGTGTCAGGACGAATCGGAAACCAGTCATTGGAAAGTTGTCAACTGCAAACAATGTCCAAAGTGCAGTGTTTCTGTAGAGAAGAATGGTGGATGCAATCACATGAACTGTCGTCAGTGCCAATACGAGTGGTGCTGGGTGTGCATGCGCTCCTGGAAAGGACACAATGACTTCTACGTTTGCAATCGTTTCGAGAAGGAGAAGGAGCCAAAGAAGTTCCTGTACCTATTCAACAAGCCAACTGCCTCATCAAAGAAGAGAGAGAATGCAGAAATAGAAGAGAGAGAGAAGAATAAGTATGTTAAAACAACCTCTTCAATTTGGATACCAACCGAATAGTCTACTAACCCATTCTCTATCTTAGGGCTGAACTATTGAGATACCTTCACTACTATGAGCGATATGTAAATAATGATAGTGCCAAGAAGTTGGAGAAGGTGATGAGAGATGAAGCCAGGTGCAAGATGGAGGAGTTAGAGAAGCTTGACTCCACCTGGGCCAATGTACAGTTTATAGAGAAGGGAGTGGACCAACTACTAGAGTGCCGCAATGTTCTAAAACACACCTATGTGTTTGCATTCTTCTCCTTTTCACAGAGCAACCAACAACGAGTGGAGACCGCTCGGGAGTTATTTGAATTCCTGCAACAGGAGCTGGAAAAGTCAACAGAGAGCCTGGCCGAGGTAATGGAGGAGGTGTTAAAGAAGAGTGTCAACCAACTTGGCAGTCAACAGCGAATACAGGTCATGAACATGATCACCCTGACAAAGACAAAGACACTTGGATTGATCAATGCCGTTGCCAAAGATTCATTGTTCGAGCTGTAGTAATACTCTCACCTAATATATAAAACTATTTAATTTGTATTTGTAATCGCTGTACACTTAGTTGTCTATGAGAGGTGGATTAACAATGAGATAGGTAGAAAGCACAATAGATAAGCAAGAAGCAAGCAGTTGCTTAGCGATTTAATCAATTGATTGACCAAACTAGAATTTAAACTTCTTTGTCTTGTCATCCTTTGAAGAACCAGTTGACTTCCTCTTCTTGCTGTCATCTATCAAGTCATCCTCTCTAGGTCTGACACCGCCTCGTTTCTCTGCCATCGCCTGGTCGAATTTCTTCTTCAGTAATTCCTCATCCAGTCCATCCATGTCCTCCATCTCTGAAGGGTTGAGTGTGATATCGACTGGTGCCGTCCTATGGCTCTTGATAAGGTCCACTTTGTTCGATTTGGATGTCGATGTTCGAGAGGTTGCTGCTGTTGGTGCTGGTACATTGTATTTATAGTTTGATTCCATCATTCCAGAACCCAAACTCCTCTATAAAGTGTGTCATATAGGATAAGAATATAGTGTTTAGTAATCAATTGTCCAATGCAACATAAACCGATACCTACGTTTGATTGTTCTAGAACTTGATAAAGTTGACGTGGTTGTCCACCATCAACAAACTTGCTCTTCTTGATGTCAATTGTGTCTGGTGTCTCCAATCCGCTGGGTACTGATGATATTCCTTCGTTGATCTCCATATCATTGGGTTGTGGTGGTTGAACTGCTTGCTCATCATCCTCTTCATTCTCTTGTTGTTCGGTCTCTTCTTCTTCCTCTACCTCCTCCTCTGGTAGCAACTGGCCCCAATGCTCCCTCTCCACTGGATTGGTCAAGGCATCGATATTGGCATTTGAGGTTGAGCTGGTCGAGGCATACTGAGCTGCCAGGTCTGCTGGAGGTCTACCCCACTCACCAGGATGTATTCCATACTGGGCACCCTCGGGAATGGGAGCATTGACACCAGGCACCTTTAGGTTAGGATAGGATGGTGGTGGGCCATGTTGTTGCATGTGGATGAGCCAGGGAGGTGGATATCCATCAGGCATGCCAAGTGCCCTCCTCAGCTCCTCTGATAGAACACCTGGTTTGGTCTTCTTGATGGCCACCTCAAACTCCTTGCCCTCATAGTAGAGTTGGCCCTGTATCGTCAACTTTGGCTTGGTCTGATGGATGAAGAAGGCGTCTCGCAGTACCTCGTAATCGATGTTCATTGATCTCATCTTTGGTTGCAGTCTCTCTCTTTGCTTGGTCTTTGTTTTCTGCTGTGCCTGCTTCTCGAGTAAAGCCTCTCTGATCTTGGTGATGCCAGTAGCTGCAATGAACTCTGGCAGCTCGAATGGAGTCTTGACGTAGCCTCTCTTGCCCTGTAGATACTTCCTCTTGACATTCCAATGTGTTGGTACCTGTACACTATTTCTACAGCCCTTCAATGCAATCAAGAATGCTGGATTGGGTGAGTTTGTGTCATGTAACTAAGATGTGATGTTGTATGTTAGTGATATCATTGTGGAACTTGAGTGTTTCATGCTTTACTCACCTCTACGATGTCAGGTCTGTCTACAAGTTGCTTTAGGATTGGAAGGTTGAGCTTCTGTTGTCTCTTTCTCTCGCGATTGGACATCTTCTTTGGCTTTGAAGCGTCGACCTCTGCAGATTCCTCACCATCGTTATCGTTTTGTTGTTCTCCATTGGCATCCTCCTGATCAACAGGTTCATCAACCTGCTTGCTCTCAGCCTGCTCCTCCTCATCGACCTTTGGCTCCTCGTAGCCAGTTGGATTGTCAAAGTGTTTCAACAGCTTTGCGTACAGCTCGAATGAAGGATCGCTCTCATCGATAATGATATCATCATCTGCAGTGGTGATGTGATGTTCATCAACCATATGTATATCATCATTGTTATTGGTCTGTCCATTTGTTGTAGACGTAGTTGTTGTTGTTGTTGCAGTGGTAGCTCCATTGGTATGCTGTTGATGCAGTTGTTGATGTTGTTGAGTATCGATCTTCTTTTGTTTCTGTCTCTTCTTTTGCTCTTTCTTCTTTTGTTGTTTTGCCTTCTTTCTCTCATCTACTTTATTATTATTATTAATGTTATTGCTGCTGTTAACAGCAGCTTCAACAGTGAGTGTATCTTCTTTCGCCATCTAACTAACTATCTATCTATTTATCTATCAATCACTATCAATATCTACAACAAAACAAAGATAACTAAATGAAGTGATGCATGCGTTGTTCATCAAACTTCTGAATTCCAATTGCAAAAATTACTTCTGTAGACTGTAGGTACTAGTAAGGTTGGTCATGTGACGTCCAGCGAGGATAACATTGTTGTTGTTTATTGTTTCCAACAAATAGATCAAACAACCATAGATAGATGATGGATGATAGAATGTTGATAACCTAAAATACATAGTTCTCTATATTGTATCTAACTCAATATTTGAATATTGAATTGGTATGTTCGTTCTCTGGCACGTACTCCTCCATGTAGTTGGCACCATTGGTGTCCACATTCTGAATGTCATCAGAGAACACCTCTACCATGTCCTGTGGCTGCTGGTTCTGTTGATGCTGCTGCTGCTGCTGTTGTTGTTGTTGATACATCGAGCCACCAAAGCTTTTCAGCTCCTTTTGATTACTCGGTTGCTGTTGTTGTTGAAACTGAAGTCTCTGTTGAAGAAGTCCATAAACTTGATTAAGTCCATACTGCTGTTGTGGCTGCTGCTGTTGTTGTTGTTGCTGGTATTGCTGTCCACCATATTGTTGTTGTTGCTGCTGTTGTTTGTTTTGTATGCCATACTGTTGGCCATACTGGAGACCATATTGTTGACCATACTGTTGTTGTCCATATTGTTGTTGCTGACGATTCGGCTGCTGTTGTTGTTGTTGCTGCTGCTTTTGGTCATGGAACTCATATTGTTCGTATTGATCGTACTGTTGTTGTTGTTGTTGTCCATACTGTTGCTGTTGTTGTCCATATTGTTGTTGGTCATATTGACTGTATTGTTGTTGATTCTGTTGTCCATACTGATTGTATTGTTGTTGTTGTCCATATTGTTGTTGATACGATTGGTCATATTGATCATATTGGTTTGAATACTCTTCTGATGTTGAATGTTGTTGTTGTTGTTGCTGTGATTGAGAGGTACTTTCAACTGCAATAGCTGATGTTGGAGTGGCTACAGGGGTCGTTGTAATGGTAGGTGTTGTTGTTGTAGATGGCTTCTGTTGAGTATCAGTAGTGGTGGTAGTGGTGGTAGCAGTAGTCTTTGTCGTCTGTGCTTGAGGCTTTAGAGTTGGTTGAATGGGCTTTGCTGTTGATGGTGATGGCTTGGCGGGTGGTTTGGCAGATGCCTTGCTCTGAGATGGTGGTGGTGCTGCTGGCAGCTCTTTCTTTGGATTCAACACCTTCTTGATCGATATCAGCTCCTCCTGAACTGATTGAATCGTTTCGGCATTCTCAACACTGTAGTATTATTCCGAACAAGTGATGATGATGATATTGTTAGAGTTTGTCAAAGAATGATGTGGAATGTATACATACTTTCTAACAGTGTCCAGGATGTAGACCACTCTCTCCAGTCTACTTGCCAAATGCATCTGCTTCTCCTTGAGTGCTTCGATCTCACCTGCTGAATCCAGGTCATTGAGCTCATTGACCAGCATCTTTACTGTCGATGCTACAGTGTACAGGAATCCACCTCCAGCCTTTGTATCATTCTGTGGTTGCGTTGTTGTCTTTTGAGCTGGCATTTTAGCCCTACTACTACTGGACGATGATGATGATTGTGATGTGCTATTGTTGATTGATGGCGCAGCACCAGGCGCCGACGAGGAGGATGAATAGGTCATAGTGGCAGACTTCTTGTTCATATTATAATGTGGTCTGGCCTTTGGTTTGGGCTTTGGTCTCTCCTTCTCGGACTGATAGTCAAAGTTGATCGTAGGGTTCTCAGCCTTGATAGTCTTGATCCTCTCGGCCACACTATACGCTGTGAACAACAATGATGTCGGATCATTGGTCATTGGATAGTTGAATAGTACTTGTAAACAATCAGAATAGTCCCTTCCAATCACTATAGTATGATTATAAGTTAGTGGCCATTCATGTACATCGTCATCGAGTATCAAAATACTTACATAGGTCTCTAACAACCAATAGCATTGCAACACAAATGTGATCCAAAAGATCTATTGACTCTCGGAACATGGCATCCCAAAGAGTCAGTAGACTGTTGAGTGGGAATACCTGTGCCAGCAGGATACGTAGCCATCGCAGTGCGTAGAGATGTGGCTCGATTCCCATGTCCTTGAGATAGGCATGCAGTTGCGGATCGATGATGCCCAGCTGGTGGAAGATGCTAAAGCACTGATCCACCACAACAATGTTGATGGAGGCGTCATGTGCCTCACTCTCCGACTGGTCGTATTGCTCCTTCTTGACACCGGCCAAGATGGGCGTGGGCATTGGCGAGTTGGGCGGCGATGAGAACCACTTGCTGACCAGTGACATCAGTGCGTCAAACAAAAAGTACGTGTCATGTTCGTAGAAGCGTGCATCACGGATGTAGGACGCTAGGTCGAGTTCATCATGAGGATAGGCTATTGGCTCAGCGGGATATTCAATCTCCACTGGTTGTCCATACTCATTCACAGGCTGTCCCAATCGGTAGACCTGTCTGTAGTCGCCCCAATGTGAGTCGGCGTAGCAAGCAAACAGCAGAGGTGCAAGAATCTCATTCATTCCCTGCAGGTACTTGATCTTTGGGTATTGTCTTGAGAAGATGAATAATATCCTCTGTATTGTTGTTGTATGTATGTGTTTGTTAACATCATTTCTAGCAGCATTCAAACGATGATTGTCAATCAATTCAAACAACTTACAGTCATTGTCTCTTGAATGTCCTTCCTTCCAAAGAAATCGACATCAGGATAGGTTCGTGTAATATCATGACCAATCTCCTTTTGTGTAGTCTCATTCTCAAAGAACTGATTCCAAACGCTCTACAATTCGATTAAACAACTGGTTAGTCAGCTGATTGATAACTGATGACGGTTGGTTGGTGATGATGATGCTGATACATACATCCTTATTAAGTGATAGTGGATCATCTACTACAGCATTGGCCACCTTTTTCGTTCTAGGATCGATGATGTAGACACGCTTCAATGTGTCGTATTTGGTTCGTTGCTTTCTGGTCTGCTCACGCCACTCACTCTTGGATTCATTGGATAGGGCACCCAGTGCAACCTTCCAGAACACACCACGCACTGTTGTATTGACAGGCAGTCCATAAACACCCAAGTCCATATCGATCACTGTCTTCTTCTTTGGTGGCTCTGGTGGCACTGAAGCTGAATCTGTTGTTGATGCAACTGGTACTGATGTCGCGATGCCAGAGTTGTTATCGACTATGTCGCCAAGCGGTGAGGCTAGTTGACTCACAGCAGCAGTAGTTGTGTTGGCTGGTGTAGTTGGAGGTGGTCCAAAGATGTCATCCATCAGATCCTTCTGCTTCCTCTTATCATTATCCTTTGCATCACCTTGGAACATGTCATCCATTATATCAACATGTTTCTTTGCTGGTGATGGTTGCTGATGCTGAACTACAGGTTGATCAACCTGCTGAACTGGTTGTTGACTAACACTAAAGTCATCATGTGTAGTAGTTGTTGTTGGTTGTTGAGGTGGTGTCTGAACCTCTAGATTGACAAAGTCCTTTCGCCATTGATCCAACACATAGTCAGGTATGACTTGTTTTGTGACAGTTGGAGTTGACTCGACCACAGGTGGGTCGACTAACTTGTCCATTCAAGAATGTTAGTAAATATATGTATGTTATATATAAATACTGTAATGTAAATGGATGGTAGGTGATTGCAAACAAAAGTACTGAAAGACTGACAAATAAAAATCAAGGCAAGTGGATGGAAGATTCCAAGTCTTTTTTGTCACTCACGATACCAAAACTGTGTCTTTTTGGCAAGGGTAAGGTCTTTCGATTGTCCAACGTTGTTATTATTATGTTTGTATTTATAGATGTAATGTATTGTACAGTAGTATATGGACATAGGTGTATTATTACTTTCTCCTATCGTTGATAAAGTTGCTAATTGTTTGAACGTCCTGATTATATTTATCCATGATCATCGCGATCTGTCTATCCTTCTCAGCCTCTATCTCCTCCAAACTCTTCTCCAGTTCATCCAATGACATATTGTCATACTATTGATTGATCATCAGGGGTGACATGTCAATATAAAGTGAGTGAATATGATTGTTTGACCAGATAACTACTTACGTTGTGCACATCAACAACAGCAGCAGTAGAAGGGTTCTTTGACTTGTCTTTAAACTGCTCCATGTATGCTGGTACGTAGGTGTTCTTCTTCTTCTTTGTGGAACTCAATCTAATTGTTGAAGAGTCCTCATCATCGTTGTTCAGTACAACTGTACCATAGTTGTTTTTGTTGTTGTTGTTGTTGTTGATGACCATCGTTCCAAAGTCATAGTCCTCATCATCGTCGACATCCACCGCAGAGTCATAATCGTCCTGATCATTGCCATTGTAGTGATCGCCTCTGTACTCTGCCTCCTCTTCATCGTCGCAGTCCTCATCATTGTCGTCACTGCCTGAACGTCCGGAATCACCCGACTCCTCTTCCTCCTGCTCGCCTTCCTCCTCGATCTCCTCCTCCTCCTCGAGTCCCAGTGCAGCCTCTCTGCCCTTGATTCCTATGATTTGCTCCTGCTCATCGATCAGAGGCACGAGAAGACCGTGAGACTTGGCATTGGTGATGAATGGATGTTTGAGTAGATCGTCCGCAGATGGACGTGCCTCTGGCTTCTTGACCAGACACTTGGCGATAAAGTCGTTAAAGTCATCGGACCATTGCTCTGGCTCGGTAAGACGAGGTGGTGGACGCGATGGGTTTGGGATCATGAAGATGACCCTCATCGGATGCACGTTGAACAGGGGTGGCTTGCCCTCTGCCATCTCGATGCATGTTATTCCAAACGACCATATGTCTGCCTTGTAGTCGTAACCCACCTCCTGAATCACCTCGGGTGCCATCCAGAATGGTGTTCCAATCACAGTCTGTGCCTTGGCGATCGATCCGTCCAACTGACCACTGACACCAAAGTCCGCCAGCTTACACTCGCCCTTGTTGTTCAACAAGATGTTTCCGGCCTTGATATCGCGATGTATCTTCCTGCTAGCGTGCAAGTAAGACAGACCCAACAGAACATCTCTGCTGACGACAGCAATCTGCTCCTCTGACAAAGTCTTTTCTGTAATCTTCATGAGGTCGCATATTGAGCCAGAGCTACAATACTCTATGACGATCTGCAGTAGATGGTTAGAATGAATGCCACCAGATGTTGTTGTATGAATGTGTACACATACCCATATCTCATTGTCCTTTTTGAAGCTGCCATGATAGGTGATGATATACTTGCTTGTGCATTGTTTCATAAAGTTGATCTCCTTCTTCATGTCATCAATGTCTGCATCGACTGATATCCTTTTGATTGCAACCTGTACACCAGTGTCACGATTGATAGCCTTCCATACTGAGCCATATGATCTATATATTATTATTAATATATGTTAGAATTGATCGATCGATTGATCAACAACAATGATTACTCTCTAGACATACCCTTCGCCCAGCTTTTCCACTATCTGGAAGTAGTGTTCAGGGTCCTTGTTGCTCATTACCTCATCGGGTATATTTAGAGTAGTCAACATCTCTTTATCTCTCTCTCTCGCTCGCTCTCTAACTCTCTATCTATTCTATAAATACAATATATATGTTATCTGTTTTTTTGTTATGCCTTTCAAATTACTTTACACATTTGGGGTTTGGGCATTGGGTGAACCATTCTCCAATTTCAAAATTTAATCAGTTTCCATAATCCTTTTGTCAATAAGAACTTATGATCAGTATCAAAGTCACACACATATCATCGGCAACACTATTGTGTTGGACTGAGATACAACAACAATCAATACCTATCAAACACACACACACACACACACAAACAAACAGACAGACAGCACTCACAACTAAATCACCACTAAATTGGTATACCAATTTAGACATTTGGTCAGACAACAACAAACACCACCCCCTCTGCTACTGTTGTTGATCATGTGTCTGGTGTTTGTTATTGTTATTGTTGTTGATAATGATGCTGATGACGATTATGATTGTGATGCTAATAGATAATACTATTAACCCTCATTCCTTTGTCCATCAATCCATATGTGTCCATCAATCCATGCATCCAGCAGTCCGTCCATCAGTCCCCATCCATCCATTTCCATACTAGAGTTAACAGTATCACTCCACCTTACTCCATCCCCATTCCAACATCATTATGGTACTAGTTGTCTCTCTCTCTCTTATTGCCTATCTATCAATCTCAATCTCTAAATATCTATCTCTAAATCTCTAATTATTATTCCATGATGAGCTCTGACAGCTTGAAACAACAGCAGTCACAACAGAACTTACAACAACCAACTCAATCCAATGTCAAGAACAGGTCACAGCAATCAATAGACAGATTGGACAAGAAGTATAATGATATCATTGATGTATGATCAATCTCTCCACGCCAATCTGATCATATCCACTAACAAACCAACCAATCAATCAATCAAATACTATGTAGCTCCTATTATCTCCACAATTTGAAATAGTCAATGTACTATGCTCACTTACATTGGTGAAGGAGTCAGCACGTGACAACAGTGTCAACTTGTCCGATGCTCTGGTGAACTTCTTTGAATTGCACTGTACACACCGATCGACCAGTCTACTCAAATGGGCAATCGATAAGGAGATTGACTATACGGCCAATGGTGCTACACTCTTTCGTGGACTATCCACTGCCACCCGACTTATATCGTCCAGTTGCAAACGTCTGGGCGAGTACTACCTAAGATATTTACTGCAACCATTCATCATTGACCTCTGCTCGAGGAACTTCTCCTTCGAAATCGATCCGGACAAGGCAAGCAAAGAGATGGACGTCAAGTTCAACCTGGAGCGATTGATCACCATAACACAACAACTACTGGACAAGATACTGGACTCGGCATCTATCTGTCCCATGTCCATACGCAATGTGTTGATGCACTCCAAGGAGAGGGTGGAGAAGAAGTTCCCAGAGATGCGCACAACAGTCATTGGAGGATTCATCTTCCTTCGTTTCATCTGTCCGGCCATCGTTGCACCAGAGGTGTTTGGACTGATCCATGATACGCCCACCACCGACTCTCGAAGAGGACTGGTACTGGTATCCAAGTTGTTGCAGAACCTTGCCAATGAGCTACCATTTAGTGGCATCAAGGAGGAGTACATGACCTATCTCAATAGCTTCATCTCAAACAATGCAGAGAGGATCCATGTGTTCTTTAATGAACTGGCCTGTGATGATCAGCCCAACGGTGCCAACAATCCAAAGGAACAGTGTCGTGTCAAATCCAGGACTGAACTCATACCTGGCAAGATCCTACAACAACAACTAGAGGCAACAGAGGAGTCGATGATTGATAACCTATTGCTCATTGCTGGTCAGTTGATGGAGAATAGGGACAAGATTGATAGCATCCTCAATGAATCAAATCAACAAGAGTTGGCCAAGCGCTTCGATACTGCCCTTGGTCCATTGCAAAAGATGTTACAACAGCAACAGACCAGCAACAAGACGTCACAATTGTCGTTTGGTTTCAACAAGATCACAAGAAAGAAGTCATTGGGCAGCACTGGATCACTCAAGAAGAAGACTCCACTGAACACCTCTACTTCATCCAGTGTGATTGGACCAAGTCCAACCTCTCTCCTGCCCTTTCAGTCAGATGCCGAAGAGGAGTTGAGTGGCCAACTACATCGATCCATATTCGATATCATATCGTACTATCGCCATCAGTTGGAGTTGAAGAACATTGACATTCGAGAGAAACAGGATGAGTTGGAGTTGCTCAAGAAAGAGTTGGAGGAATCCAAGACACGTTCCAATCTCATGAAGAAATTACGTGATGAGTTTGAGTCTGAGCGTAAGAGAAGGATAGAGGCAGAGGTGCAGTTAAAGAAGAGTCAAGACAAGCTCAAGGCATTGGGACAGGAGATCAACTCTAGTTCAGACAGTATCCAAAGTCAACAACAACAACAACAACAACAGCAACAACAACAATATGATGATCCACTAAGTGAGTTATTGGCAGACTTGAGCTCAGAGTTCAATGTGTCCACTCCAAGTAGCACCAGTTGTGGTGGTGGAAGCAAGAAGACAACTCTAAAGAAGAGATCACCATTGGGATCATCTTCCAGTCTTGTCAAAAAGTCAGAGTCCAGTGTACAACTATCGACCCCTCTTCAATCAGATGGGTCGGCCATTGACCAGGAGGCTCAACCACAGGCCAAGCAGCTGACCAGCTCAGAATCAGTGTCGGAACTTGATTCATTAATGGATCCAGAGACTGAGGATCGCATCATACAATCGGTGGTCGATGGACAGGCTCAAGAAGATGATGATGGAATGGACTTGTTGGAGTTCTTGAGAGAGTACAAGGAGAAGGTGATAAGTCAACAACAACAACAACAACAACAGCAACAGCAACAACAAGGTGATAGATCTGAACTGAGTAGCAGTGGTGAGCAACGAAAGAAGAATGCAAGTAGTGGTGCAGGCTTCTTTAGACAACTGGTGATGAGCAGCAAGAAGAAGAAGAACAGTGCAATTGAGACCAATGCCTATATACAGAACAGTAGTCTACCTATTCAACAGACTCCAGCTGCAGTATCTGATGCTGCTGCATTGACTCCACTGATCATCCAACAGTAATAAATAATAATATTATAATTATAAAAGCACATTGATACATGACCTCTCAATAAATCTAATGACCAGGAAGTCTCAAAAGATCCACATTTTGCTCATTCTGATGAGGTTTCAATATTTATTATTTATTCGATTTTAATCAGAGATATTCTTTTTTTGATGGTTGATGTGTTTGTGATTCAATAGACATTGACAACAACAGTTGCAATAACTACAACTAAAGATACAAAGTATATCTTGAAGGCAGTTAATTGAACAGCATCAGTAAACACATACAACAAGATAAAGAATGTTCAAAAGCTTCATAGATTCAATCCTCAATTGGTTTAGAAGCCTCTTTTGGAAACAGGAGATGGAGTTGACTCTGGTTGGACTTCAGAACTCTGGAAAGACTACTCTAGTCAATGTTATATCAGTATGTGATCATCTACTCTCTCTCTAACAACCATCACTTACTCACTCATTCATAACAACAACCCAGTCGGGACAGTTTGCAGAGGACATGATCCCAACTATTGGCTTCAACATGAAGAAGGTCACTAAAGGAAATGTAACCATAAAGCTGTGGGACATTGGTGGACAACCAAGATTCAGAGGAATGTGGGAGCGATACTGTAGAGGTGTCAATGCTATTGTGTAAGCATCGATCAATCAAACATGGTTGTGCTTTGTGTCTAACCTCTAGTCATCAACAATAACCCAAACACACACACATATATAGATATGTAGTCGACTCTGCCGACAGAGAGAAGTTTGAGCAATCTAAACAAGCTCTGCATGATTTGGTAAACAAACCACCTTTGGCCAAGATTCCTCTGTTGGTTGTTGCCAACAAGAATGATTTGCCAACAGCAGCCTCTATCGAGGAGGTCATCACAGCCTTGTAAGGATCATCTCTCTTCCAGAAGTTATTATTCATTTGAACATTCACTAACCATCCATTCATCCATCCATCCATACTCCAGTGACCTTAAATCGATTCAAGGTAGAGAGGTCTGCTATTACTCTATATCAGCAAAGAACAGCGTTAACATTGATATTACATTGGATTGGCTAATCAAGCACAGTGCCACTGCTTCGAAATAAGCGGTATACCGATCACATGTGTCGATTAAACACCCTACCTTAATAGGCTGGACTACTTATTATATTTATCCAAACTCTGTTATCTAGCTAGTGGTGCTTTGGCTTCTTCATCATAGACATATATGGAACAACACAATGCTGCATACACTGCCATCGATTGATACTGAAGTCCATTCCATTACATTTTGGTCACTTGTGTCTAAAATAGTTCATGTACTTTGCATTCTTCTGGATTGTCCTTGTTTCCCTGTTGTTGCTGCTGCTGCTGCTTCTTTATACTCTTTATGACATCGAGCAACTCATTCCTTATACCAACATCAGCATATATCCTAAAGGTCTCTACCTTTTCCTCCTTCTTCTTCTCTATTGTTGTTGTTGTTGTTTCTGGAAGTTGTTGTTCCTTGGAACTACTATCTTGTTGTTGTTTCTTTATACTATCCATTTATAATACTACTATTAATAATTTGTTATCTTCTTCTTCTTCTTTCGTCTAGTATCATCAACTTTGTGACGTCACTTATAATTTGAAGTTGTTGAGAAATTGAGAAGATAGGTTATGGTCTGGTCGCGCCCCAACAACTTTACTTTATTATTGAGAAGTCCTCTTCTCTACATCAACAAAGCCACACAACATGTGATAAATAAAATTACCAGGATGTTTGATGTTGATGCATGTCCTGATCCAGATGTACTACCTGTTGTTGTTGTAGTGGTGGCAGTTGATGTTGTTGTTGTCGAGCAAGCTGCAATCGATTCAATCTGAGAATAGAATGATTTCCATAATTGATCACTTTGGATACAGGCCGTACCTCCACCTCTTCTGTATTGAGTGTACATTCTATTGATGTCTCCAATGCAGATGTATCTTGTTGTGGCAGTGTCTAGTGAAGCTGCCCACTTACTATGATCGATAGTGTAGTCCCAGTCCAGCAGAACACCGCCTGTCAGATTGACTTGCTGATCAATGATATTCATACTATCGTACGTGTAGTTGCCTCCCAATGTACTCTTGCAGAATGATGGCATCAATGTGTCGTTGGCACCATTGCGCCATGACTGTACCACCATTGCTTGGCCAAGTGATGGTTGAACCAAGTACTGATAGAGGTCATTGTTCCACTTGGTATTCTTTGCGTAGGACTTGATGGCTACACCACCATTCGAAGTCAGCTCTGTCTGATGTCCAGTGGCATCGGCCTGGTAACCACCTCCAAGCATATCACTCAGCTGTGTGGTGGACAGTGTCGTTGACTTTGGTACCTGTGAACTATATACGTAGACTCTGTTGATGTACAACTGGTTGATGATGGACTCAAACTGAGTGGACTTGTAGGTGACACAGAAGAAGGTCTGTCCATTGACCGTGCCACTCCAAGGGTAGGAGTAGTCGGCAATCTTGGGATCAGGTGGGAAGTTGGGAACACTGTGAATCAACCAGAAGCCAGTCGTGTTGCCAAAGGACAATGCACCCTTGGCATGGGCATATGTGGTGGACACTGAAATATTGGGCGGTTGGTCATTGTACTCGAGCCATAGGTATTGGGACTTGGACTGGTAGAGTGGTGCCAAAGTTAGGGTGAGGGCCTTGCTCTCGTTGACATAAGAGTTGGTGACTTCATTCAGTGTTTGGGAGTTTGCATCTGCGTAGGTATATCCAAAACCTTTATAATATGGAGTAATCCTTGGTTGATCCTTAAGTGCTGGTCTCTTATAGATCACCCACCAATCCACTGGTGATCCATTGTTATCAATACATTGTGGATCAGCTGCTACTGCTACTGATATTACTGTCAATGATATTGTGAGTATTATTATAAATAATTGTTTAGATATCATTCTTATTATTATTATTATTATTCCTTATGCAGAAAGTAGATTATTTGTTTGAATGATTTGATCGAGACTCCAATCAACCAATCCCATTAGTCTGGCTCAATCAAAGCTCTATTGCCAAGATGGTAGTGCCAATCATTTAACGAACCATTGTATGTAAACCCACAATCAATCACAATCACGTGACACTGCTCCGAATCAAGAATGGTGGGTAGGTGCACCTACCCATGGGGTAATGCAAGTGTGAAACACTCAAGAGTCACATTCAGACAGTCTTAAGTCTTTATTATAAACAAATAACATTTATATATCTATACTAAATTCTATCTGCCATCTGTTCAAGAGATAGATATATATTCATTCAAGTTATAGTTACAATAGGCATTACATCGAATATGAAAGAGGAGTGAGGAGTGGTTTGAAGTGACTTAACCTTTGAATAACACCGACGTTCTTGTCGTCGTCATTGAGAGAATAATACAAATCTTATAAATTACGTATTAACTTAAATCACCATTATCATCAGGATAGAGAGTTCAATGTGATGCGTGTGCTTGTCGTTGTAGTTGTACATGTGTCACTTTCCATGTACATATGTCAACTGTTGTTGATTTTTTGCAAAAGACACATCCAAAATCCATTGTACAAGGTTCTCTGTGATTCGATTCGCAATGAGGTGGGTTTTGCGGGCCAAATAAACGAAGCCAACTGACCAGTCTACCTGCAAATCAAACGTGTTTGGCTCATACACGTGTATGTGGTCCAATTACCGATGGGTGTTGGGGAGATCAAACGCCAGCTAATGTCACTGGTTGTTGCGACTCAACAGATATCTTTTTCGATTCGCACTATGATCAACAGCATCTACATCCATCTCGGATGGGTGGGTGGTACACCATCATCACCATCAGTGACATTGATTCAATCACAACTCGTAGCTAAGACAGTTCCCAACAACATCAACAAACAGACTGCTGTTTATTGCAATAAACAACAACAAAAGTATTTTTAATAAAGATAGAGAGAGAGAGATACAGACAAACAAAGACAAATGAAGATACAATCTCTAAACGTCCTATTATTACTGCTGTTGGCAACAGTATCAATATGTAGTTCACAACTTTCAAGTGGCGAATGTATGTTGACATTCAAATAGTTCCAGCTCACAACGTCCTAACATATTTTGTATAATAGTGAGCTCTGTTCAATGGATCATCCAACAATATAGAGTCGACTGGAACATTAGTGCAACAACCTGTAATGAAATATCACTTGGATCACAATCAAAATTGACTTGTATCATAGACAATAATATTGAAAGTGTCCAGTCTATGTAAGTACATGATCGATGACCACAATCGATTGTTGATTAATCACTTATCCTAACCCATCCACAATCCAATCCAAAAGCGCATTAAATATTACCAATCCAACTAGTCCATCAGAGCCCCTACCAGAGACAACTAAACTCAGCTTCCCCAGTCTCACATCTATCTCCATATCACTGGACAAGACAGTCACTACATCCAACTCCACACTCAACATACTGTCAATGCTCGACAATACCGATAATATCAACTTGTCATCATTGAGGTAAGTGATCAATAAGAAAGAAAAAATAGTTTGCGTACCGGCCTAACACATAATACTTAACTACTACCTTAGTATCTCAATGTACAAGGACACAATAAGTTTCCCAGCCAACTTCCCAGCAAGCATTCCACTAAAGCACATGTAAGTTATTTTAAAATATCACAAACTGCCGATTGTCCTAATACTAATACAAATAATATTATTATTATTATTATGTCATAGTCATATCAACAATGCCAATGTTGATAGTGATATTCCACAGAGCCTCTTTAGTTCATCGATGATTACAGTCGAGTTGTTAGTGGGTCAATACAACTATGCAGTCACTCCAACCCTTCAACTTCACTTTGATCCAACTGGAACATATACCAACCTTGCTTACTTGTAAGTACTTATAATTTCCAAAATGGACCCAAAGTCAAACAACTAATATTAATCAATCATACATTTAGGAACCTGGTATACCCAAACACTACAATGACCAACAATAACCTTCAATTCACAACGAAATCATTCCCATCTTTAATATATTTGTAAGTCAATATATATTCGTTGGTATACACCATGAAAGTTTGGTTACTAATGTTTCTATCTATTCAATAGGGGTATGGATGTTCAACAAATGGTCAACATCAGTGTGGACTCTACAAACTTGGCAACACTTAGTTTCGTCGTTCACAGCGCTGACAATGGATCTTACTTGACAATTGCCAATGCTCCATCTTTGAGCCAACTGTAAGTATTATCACCAATATATTCTCTACTCCAACTGCATCTACTGACCAACCACAACTTGTGGCCACCCAACAGTACCGTCACCAACTCTCACATAGCACCTACCAACCTATCAAGTTTGCCAAGTCTATCCAAGATCAAGTTCACCAAAGTACCAGAGCCAATCACTGGTGCCAACCTTCTCCAAACATTGTAAGTTCAATCACCAACCTGGAGTTAATACACAACAAACATACTAATTATTATTATACAATCAATGACCAACCAGGGATTATGCCAATGGAGGAATGACAACATTCCCATCATTTGATTGGTACACTGAGCAATCGATTGTACGTCTACCACGTAACCGTATCACAGCGCTGCCACAACCACTGCCCCGTGTCAAGTTACCATTGGAGTTGGATATGTCCAATAATCCACTCACTGGTAGAGTGAATCTGGCCTTTTGTAACCTTACCAAGTTCAACTTTGTCGGTACCAATATCAATGGTATCGCCGATTGCTTCCTGTGTCACTGGTTCTACACGTCACAGTTCTTCCCACCAGCTGTAAAGCCTCCTGCAAACTATCAATGCAGTAAGTACATCACATCATTATACCATAAATTCGTTCACATCTAACCAACATCCAATATAGAACCTGTTATCGATAGTACATCATATTATGTAAACAGCTCATCCACTGTACTCACGATCACTGGTGATAGACTTGGATATGGTCTACCAGGTGACTTCTCTCCATCAAACCTTCAAATGATTGTACCTCACAAAGTGTTCCTGTATGTATAACATTAATCAATCAATCACATTCAATCAATTGGAGGAATACTAACTATTTATTAATAGACTTCCAGTTACTGGTGAATCTGGATCAATGAACATAACCTTCTCAAACACAGCCAACATCAAGTACACCATAGCATGGGGCAACAATGGTATGTTATTAAACTTTGGCATCAACTACAACAATCAATCAAACAAACAAACAATGATGGCTGACCCTAACATCAACCATATATATATAGTTACCATTATCAATGATGTCTATGCCAGGAACTTTAACAGAACACTGTATGTCACTGTCACTGGTAACTTCTTCACAACCTACACAATGGCCGTCACCAATGGAGTTAATTCCAGACCATGCACAATCGTCGAAAAGTCAAACACATCAATGAGTTGTATGGTTGAACTCAAGAATCCTGTAAACAAGAAGAGACTACAAAGAACATTCATCGTGCTCACTGATGATCTAGGAAATGTTACTCAACATACCTTCAATGTTAGGAGTATGTATATGATGTTAAAACTTCCACATCATCCAATTATTACTAACACATATTACATCATTACTAGATTATCCTGTTGTAGCCTTGTCCACAACTATACCAACATCAGGTGGTAATGTTACATTGTATGGATTCTTTGGACCAATAATGATCAAGGCCTCAAGTGTGATGATCAATGATGTACCTTGCAACGTGACTGATAAACTACTTGGACGTCTATTCTGTACGATCAGAGGTGGTCTACCTGTTGGGCCTGCCAATCTAACTGTGACCGTTGGTAACCTCGTCTTCAATTCATCAATGTTGGTGACCAGTAAGTATCATCCTCCCATCACTCACTTAGCATGTTCGCATCATCTAATACATTTCATCATCATTCCATCCATAGTCGTACCAGATGTTATACCAAATGATTGTGGACCAAAGGATGGTTGCAATGGAAATGGAAAGTGTCTCATTGACACCACCAAGATATGCTCCTGTAATGAAGGCTTCAGTGGATACTATTGTGAGTCCAAGGTGTTGAACACAACATCTTTCAACGTTCACCAGAACCTCACTATACCATCGGCCGTACTGAGCTCCAATGATGCCGAGTTTGACTTTAACATCTACGCCGTTCAAGAGCTTGATGCGTTGGGAAATGTTGTATTCTCCCTTCCCACCACCAACTGGACAAGCAACACCACGACCAACGGCAACATTGTGACCAAGTTCTACACTCTGGACTCTGGTGCAGACAACAGTAGCTCACTGGTGATCAACGTCCAACTGGACATCTCCAATGAGACTCGTACCATTCTCTTTGCTGGCCAGTACAACACCTACCCTGCCAACACACTCAAGATGACCGTGATGATCAATGACTGGGACTATGAGTCCAACCTAAACACAATACGTGTTCTCTTCAACAGTCCCTTCCAGAACCTTACAGGATGTGAGCGTACTTCAGACAGTGGTGTCGGCGTGGACCAGTACTACCAGAGTCTCCAGTATCTCAAGATCAAGAAGGGTGACATTGCCTTTTACGGTCGCTTCTTGGACATTGCCCTGTCGGATGGCCGTCCCACCAAGGCGATCAATCAGATCATCAACAGCACTAGCGACAGCATGATCGTCGGCATCAACCTGCCGCAATGCTCCCAGTGTGTCATTGATCCAGACTTTTCGGTGCTGGTGGCCGTGTCCAATCCCAACAATGGCGATGGCTGCGCTGAGGGATCCAGCTCACAATCACCGGGTGGACTCAGAGTCAAAGGCCAACCCAACTGGCTGGTGCCAGTGGTGGTAGTGGTATCAGTTGTAGGAGCACTGATAATTGGCGTAGGCATGTTCCTCTTCACCAAACACAAACTGCATGGTAGACGTGTTGGTGATGTCATCAAAGGAATTAGAATGTCCAGGACTGTAGCCGTCAAGCGTAACAGTCAAGCTTATCATAGTTAACCAGTTTTAGATAGATAGATAGATTATTTAACATTATAACTTTATTATTATTAGATAGATTATTGCCAACAACAACATCAACAACAAATAACTACATCTTCATCATATATATAACTATGTAAATATATATATTTATATACTTTATTTAAATAATTAATAATTAATAAACACACAATTCAAATATTGGTTTGACCGTTACAATCAACAACCACGACTTCATCCCTCCCACTCATACACACACAATTCGATTATTGATTGGTCAAGGTGGCATTGCATTGAGTGATATTAATGGTTGGGTGAGTGTATGTGTGTGTGTGTGTGTGTTGCCCCTGACTAGAGCTTCACCTTCAACCAACAACAACAACATGATCAACTTTCAAAGTATTAATAATATGTACATTTGATTCTTTCAAATATTTATAACATTAACAATAATAGTAATAATAATGACATCTATTGAAGGAAATCTTGTTGCATCTGACAAGGTCAAGTTATTCACTAGATCATGGAAGGTATGTATTCTTTGTTCTATAATACCAAGAGAACCTAATCATCATCTAATAATATTATTTATATTTTAGCCCGCAGGTCCTACTTTGGCAACAGTAACATTTATACATGGATTAGGTGAACATTCGGGTCGTTATGAACATGTGTTCTCAAAGTTTGCAGAGAATGGCATTGCCGTCAATGCTTATGATCAGAGAGGCTTTGGAAAGAGTAGTGGTCCTCGTGCTTACTCTCCATCCTTGGATCAGACGATGAAGGATGTTGCTATGGTGGCTGCTAGTGCCAATCCTAATCTACCTCACTTTATAATGGGTCACAGTTTCGGTGGTTGTCTTGCCCTACACTATACTCTCAAGAAATCAGAGAGAGACCCAACTGGTTGTATTATCACCTCCCCACTCATTAAGCCTGCCTTCAAGGTATCCGATGCCAAGTACTTGGTTGGTAGCTTCATTAGCAAGTTCTGGAGTACCCTTACTGTTGACAATGGTCTAAATCCAACTCATATCTCCAGAGATGAAGCTGCCGTCGCTCTCTACAAAGAGGATCCACTCAATACTGCCAAAGTATCGGTTGGACTTGGAAAATGGATGATACCAAAGGCAGAGCAACTTCTCAACCTGGCGCCAACCTATACTCTACCTCTACTGTTGATTCATGGTGCAGATGACATGATCACCTCTGCCAAGGCATCGCAGTCATTCTTTGATCGATGTCAGTCTCAAGACAAGACATTGAAGCTATGGGAGAATATGTACCATGAGGTACTCAACGAAAAGGATAAGGATCAGGTGATACAGATGATCATTGATTGGATCAAACCAAGATTACAAGCACCACAATCCCAGGCTATACCAACTGGTCAAGATCAATCTATTCCCCAACCTGTGATTGCTCCATCGATTCCAGTAGAGGAACCTCCAGTTCATGTAGAACCATCAAGGCAAGAGGACCAACAAAAACCAGTAGAGGAGCCTCCCAAGCCTCATGAAGAGCCACATAAAGCTCTTGAGGAACCACCTAAGCCTGTTGATGAGCCACCCAAGCATGCAGAGGAGCCACCCAAGCCTGTAGAGGAGCCACCCAAACAGGTTGATGAACCTCCCAAGCCTGTAGAGGAACCACCTAAGCCTGTTGATGAACCACCTAAGCCTGTCGAGGAAGCCCCAAAGCCAATAGAGGAGGCACCCAAACAGGTTGATGAGCCACCCAAGACTGTCGAAGAACCACCAAAGCCTGTAGAGGAATCAGCTAAGCCTGTCGAGGAAGCCCCAAAGCCAATAGAGGAGGCACCCAAACAGGTTGATGAACCACCCAAGCCTGTAGAGGAAGCACCAAAGATTGAAGAGAACAAACCTAATGAAGAGTCCAAGCCAAAGAATAAGAAGAAAGGAAAGAAGAAGGGAAAGAGAAACTGAGCTGGACTGTAAAGTAAAAGTTAACTGTTTATTAACTCTCGTCCATGTGCAAATCGTGTGATCTATGTTGTTGTTGTTGTGGCTGTTGTCGCTGCTGTTGTTGCTGATTTTGTTGTTGATTTTGTTGTTGTTGTTGTTGTTGTTGTTGTTTCATTGAGGTCACCATGAATTGATTGAGGAAGTCATGTATCTCTTGGAACTCTTGTTTGATCTTGGCAAAGCGGCTGTTGACGTGGGCATGGATGGCGTTCTTCTCCACCTCCAGACTCTGGTATATTTCGTTGAACCTGCGAATCAATGAGATGGAGTTGGATGGAAGTGCGTAAGGGGAGGGTGGAGTTGTGCTAATCTTTGAGCTATCGTTCGAGTCGGCACCATGATTGGGGCCATTTGGTAAGAGTAGAGAATGTACAATTGGGCTGGCAGGTTGTCCATTGGAGGGAAGCTCCTGTATGATTGGTTGGATACGTGACTGAGGTTGTTGGGAGGTTGCGTGTGGTGACTTGTGATACAATGTTATAGGTGATTCTTCAGGGCTTTGATGATCCTGTTGTTGATGCTGTTGTTGCTGTAACTTCTGTTGTTGTAACTGTTGTTGTTTAGAATCATAGATTAACTTGGGTTGTTGTTGTTGAGAATCCTGAGTTATAATAATGGGTTGTTGTTGTTGTTGATGTTGTTGTTGTTGTTGTGATTGTGGCTGTGGATGTAGTTGATCCATGTGTTGTGATATCGTCTCCATCAATGATGGACCCTTTATCACCAGATTGGACCAAGGTGAATTAGGGACACGCACTGACGAAGGCTCCTTGGGTGCGGCTGAACTTGTTGATGGCGAGGATGCCGGTGCAGGTAGAGGTGATGACGGCGTAGTTTTTGGCTTGGAGTAACCAGAGCTCGGCGAGTTTATACAATCACAATCTATCTGTGCAATGCTTGCCTTGGAGAAGCTCCAGTGCCATCCACTCTTCTCGATGATCTTGCTCATTTCAAACAGGGTGTTGTGTGGCTGTGTCGTCTTGCTGGAGGGCAGCTGGAATCTGTGAGCGGCCTGTATAATCTGGATGATGGTCTCCCTGAACAAAGGCAGACGGTAAAAGTCATAGTTCCAGTAGCCCAGACGAAACCTGGCGAATTCTCCAATGGGCTGTTGTGGCAGCGTTTCGTCGTTGATCGATGTCTGTTTGGAGTGTCGCAGAAATGACCCTTTCTCATCCAGCAGTGGTTCATAGTCAATGTCCAGCAGGATGTAGAGGCTTTTGTCGAATCTGTCCCGTTGCGCCTTGCTCATGATCGACTTGCTCTTGAGTCCAGTCAGCACGGCCAACACCTTGCGATAGAACATCAGATTGTCATCGTCTGACACCAACTGTCCCTCTCTATCATTCTCCATCAGATCCCTGTCAATGTCATAAGTATCAAACTCCTTCTCATTTACACTTATAATACAACGCGTCAATGTTCCTAGTATGGTAATGTAAGTATGCAATATATAACAAACATCATTGACATCTGAACATACCATCAGCTGGCTCCTTGTCACGACCACTAAGGTTGGTGTAATGTCTATTCTTCTTCCTCTTTGCTGGTACGGGACTAGGCTCCAAGTCCATATCCCTATCTTTAGATTTACCAAGTTGTGATTGCTGTGGTGATTGTTGTTGTTGTTGTTGTTGTTGTTGTTGTTGTAACTGCTGATGTTGTTGTTGTTGTTGATGATATTGTTGAATATGTTGATGATCTTGAAATTGTTTCTCTAACAGCTGATTTTGTATAATGCGATGTTGTTTCTGATCGTGTACCATTTGTTTATGTTGCCTCTCTATGACTAACTGCTGTTGCTCTATCAGTTCACTCTGTTTCATTTGATGCTCCATCAACATGTCCACCCGGTCCTCCCCGTCATCTGACACACCATTGTTATGATGAATGTTTGTACTATTGTTGTTGGAATGGTTCGTATTGTTGCTACCGCCACTAATACTACTACTACTACTACTACTACTGTTGTTGCTATTGATGCTGACTACTGGGTGACTGAAAGGTGGTAATGATTTGCGTGGCATCAAGTTGTTCATGAATGTTGGCCTTCCCGTCGCGGTAAGGAAGGATATATCGGATGGTGTATTTGTTGATGATGATGGATTACTGCCGACTATGTTGTTGTTGTTGTTGTTGTTGTTGTTGTTGTTACTGATCATATTCATTTGATCAGTGTGACTGCTGACCTTGCGTAGTACGGCATTTGTAGTGATCATATTCTTTTTGCTTCCAGAGCTTGGATTCATATTGTTATTGATGTTGAAGTTGATTGATTAAATATTATTATATTATTATTACTACTATCGTAGGTTGTTGTTCGATCGTTTGATTGATTGATTGACGGTAATGACTCAATTGAATTGATTGAGGTGACTAATTTAACTGATTGATTAATTGATTGATCAATTAATTGGAAATGCTCCTTCTAGATGATGAATCCTTGTGTTTAAGGTGGAGCTGTATCGATGCTGATGATGATGATGTTGATGCTGAATTCTGATGCTAAACAACAAGTTGTGCCTGGCTACAAGTAATATGGTTTATAGGTGGGGCGACTTTTGTTTTTTATGTTGTGTTATATAATTATTGTTCAATATTATCTTTTGAGCTACCTTGATAGTTTGCAACATTGTGGTGGTTTGTTTTTGAGGTGTGTTGTTGGGTTCTCCCATCTCCTTTTGGAGGATCAAAATCAATAAAGGAAAGTAAAAGTAACGTTACTTATCATTTCAGTTTGTTTAAATAATATTGGCATTGTGTCTGTTCCATCTTGGGTGAACCCCGATGCATTAGTACGTACCGGTAATCCTTTCGGTTCAATTCTATAAATATTAGGTCTAATTATTATTAACTAATTTTGAATGCTTATGCTTTATATTCATCCTTTTGTTCATTTGTTATAGGGTTGCTGATGGTGGTCAAGGTTGCATTGTCTGATGATGTGTCAGTTGAAGTTGTTGAAGTTGTTGATGTTGATGTTGTTGATGTTGAAGTTGTTGATGTTGAAGAGGATGATGACAAAGTTGATTCAGTTGGCTTCAATATTGCAATGTTCTCATTATCAAGTAATGTCAATTCACATTGATAATGTTTGGCAATCCATTGGAATGTAGAACCACGGAAGAAGCATATATGAGTGATGTCTCGAGGATAGTGCCATGTGGCGAACATCTCATCGTTCTTGAGGAATTGTGTCATAAAGAGCAGATGTCCACCAGTTTTGACCATGCCCTTCAGTAGCAACTTGTCCAAGTCATCCTTTGGTCGTCTAAAGTGCTCGATGGCCTCTGTGCACGTGACGAAATCGAATGGCTCGATCGTCTTGCCCTCCTCAACTTGCTTCACCTTGTCGTTGGGCATAAAGTATGGGTCGTAGTTCTCCATCGTGTGTCCCTTCTCGCCAAACATCAGACTGAGTGCTGGTCCAGGTCCACAGCCATAGTCGAGACCACGAGCACCAGTTGGCAACAGTGGCAACAGACTGTTGAATGCGGGCTGTAGGAATGAGACGTACTTCTTGTCCAGTGGGGAGTTATTGTGGAATTGATAGCGTGTCTTCTCCTTGTCCTCTGTGACGTGATAGTGTTGATGGACAAAGACCAGAGTGCACACAGTACACGAGTAGTAGTTCTTTTTGAATGCCGAGCTGAAATGAACAGTATTCTCATTCAGACACAATGGACACACTGGAGTTGGCAAAGAGTCCTTATCTGGCTGTTTCTCAAAGTCTTGATCATCGTGTTGATCTCCATATCTATTCCTCTTTGCATCTCTTTTATATTGTCTTTGATATCTACTCCTATTTCCACCATTATGTTTCCTCTTCTTTTGATCTTCCATTCTCTATCTCTTTGTATCTCTCTAGTATTACGTGTAACTTTCACTCGCTTGATAATTCTCAAAGAAACGAATTGTTGTTGGTGTGTTTGAAAGTTGACTTATTTGAGTTGATGAAATAATCAAACATTCTGGTGTTCAAGTATTTGCACTTTGTGTTGAGCAAACATCCTGTTCATCAACATCACCGACCTGTAAATTCAATCGAGGAAGAGTGGCAGATGAATGTTCACAGGCAGAGCCACGACATTGCGTCGTGGAATTCCAATGGAACAGCTCCCCTCCGCAATGGTAGTCGTCCTCCCGCTGAGTTATTCACACACAATGTTGTATTTGAAGTTCGATATCTTAAGAGAGAGCACTAAAAGAGTAAGCATTATTACATGTAGTAATGACAAGAAAGCTCGAGTAGATATTGTCATTGAGGGAAGGACACGTCATCGAGATGGGATGGTCAGACAAATGAAGGGATTGGGTTTATTAATATTATGATGACCTCACTTTGTTATAAAGCAAACTTTACTCTATTTAAATATTTTTAGCTTGGAAGCGGTCATCCCTGAGAGCAATAAAAGGATGAAGTAGTTGATCAGTCAACTGTCGCAAACAGGTCGCCTAGGCGACGAATCTCTATCTTGTTTCGAGAACAGTGTTTTAACTTATTTAAATTTTGGCGCTCTATTTGAATTTCTTCACTCAACTTTATGATCGGGCTGTTGGTAATCTAGTGTGATCACTCACTTGACACAGCAGTAGTAATCATTCATCCTATCTATCTATTCTATCTACTCTACCATACATACTAGTAAAGCAAACATATCTATCAAACTCTATATACATCAACAACAAGCATCAAATTTAAAAGACTCATTGTTCATACTCAGCAGTGCAAACTAGTTGATGTAAGTACATAATAATACTCATTTCATCAATATATCTCGATGATATATTATATCACATTATGATTGCTAGAGTTTGATCATCATCGTTTGTGTGATCATTTCTTGGAAGACATAAATGTGGTGAACATTGGAAACAAACAAACACATAAATATATATTAACGACATCATCATCCAATCCAATCCAACCAATTCAAATATGAATTCCAAACAGCCTATAACAACAACAAAAACAACAATGTCTAGAGTGTCGATTACACCAAAAGACCAACAGACAACACCAAGCAACAAGATGTTTGTCATCAAAAGAGATGGCACAAAGGCTAATGTTTGTATCATCCATCTGAATAATATCAATTATTTGTTACCCACATAACTAATTAATTATAACAATATATACTTTAGGTACAATACGACAAGATCACATCAAGACTACAATATTTGTGTGACCTTGAGCCAAAGATTAATAATGTTGACCCTTCAGAGGTCACACAAAAAGTGGCCAGTGGCGTGTTCCCAGGTGTGAGGACAACTGAGCTGGACAACCTGGCTGCAGAGACCGCCGCCTACATGTCCACCAGACATCCAGATTATGGTGTGCTGGCCGCTCGTATCTCTGTGAGCAACCTCCACAAGCAGACCAGCACCAGCTTCCTCGAGACCGTCACCAAGCAGTACACCTACTGCAGTCCCAAGACTGGCCAGCCCGCGCCACTCGTCTCTGAGGAGCTCTACCAGATCGTCAAGGCCAACTCTGAGCTGCTTGAGAAGACCATCGACTACAGACGTGACTTTGACTACGACTTCTTTGGCTTCAAGACCTTGGAGAGAAGCTACCTGCACAAGGTCAACGACGAGATCGTCGAGCGTCCACAACACATGCTCATGAGAGTGTCCATTGGCATTCATGGTGCAGACATCAACGCCGCCATCGACACCTACAACCTGCTCTCGCAGCGTATGTTCACACATGCCACCCCCACCCTGTTCAACTCGGGCACGCCCACTCCTCAGATGTCGTCCTGCTTCCTCGTTCAAATGAAGGAGGACTCGATCGACGGCATCTACGACACACTCAAGCAGTGTGCCCTCATCTCCAAGTCGGCCGGAGGCATCGGTGTGGCCATTCACAAGATCAGAGCGTCCCGCTCCTACATCCGTGGCACTAACGGTACATCCAACGGCCTCGTCCCAATGTTGCGTGTGTTCAACGACACTGCTCGCTACGTGGACCAGGGAGGTGGTAAGCGCAAGGGATCATTCGCCGTCTACCTCGAGCCATGGCACGCAGACATCTTTGACTTCCTTGACCTTCGCAAGAACCACGGCAAGGAGGAGATGCGTGCTCGTGACCTGTTCTATGCCCTCTGGGTGTCGGATCTGTTCATGGAGCGTGTGCAGAACAACGCCGAGTGGAACTTGTTCTGTCCAAATGAGGCACCAGGCCTTGCCGAGTGCTGGGGCGACGACTTTAGGAAGCTTTATCTCCAGTATGAAGCCACCCCAGGTCTCTCGCGCAGAACCATAAACGCTCAGGACCTCTGGTTCGCCATCATCGAGGCCCAGATCGAGACTGGCACTCCATACATCCTGTACAAGGATGCCTGCAACTCCAAGTCCAACCAACAGAACTTGGGCACAATCAGCTGCAGCAACCTCTGCACTGAGATCGTCCAGTACACCTCACCAGACGAGGTGGCCGTGTGCAACCTGGCTTCGATCGCCTTGCCCAAGTACATCCGTCAGCGTGAGGGATCCACCAACCCCAAGGACCTAGTGTTTGATCACCAGCGTCTCTTTGAGGTCACCAAGACAATCACACGCAACCTTAACAAGATCATTGATCGCAACTACTACCCCGTGCCCGAGGCTCGCACATCTAACATGCGCCACAGACCAATTGGCATCGGTATCCAGGGTCTGGCTGATGTATTCATCGCCCTTAGGTATCCATTCGAGTCGACCAACGCCACCGCACTCAACAAGGAGATTGCCGAGACCATATACTTTGCCGCACTGACCGCCTCGAGCGAGCTGGCCATTGAGCATGGACCCTACCAGTCGTTCCCCGGCTCGCCAGCCAGCAAGGGAATCCTGCAGTACGACTTTTGGAACGTCACACCCACTGCACGCTGGGACTGGAATGGCCTAAAGAAGACGATCGTGTCAACAGGACTTCGCAACAGTCTGTTGATTGCCCCAATGCCCACTGCATCCACCTCCCAGATCCTCGGCAACAACGAGGCGTTTGAGCCATACACCAGTAACATCTACAGTCGTCGTGTCCTTGCCGGAGAGTTCACCGTGGTCAACAAGCAACTGCTGCAGGATCTTATGGAGTTGGGCCTCTGGACACCAGAGATCAAGAACGAGATCATCGCCAACCGCGGCTCCATCCAGAACATCTCGATCATTCCCGACGATCTGAAAGACCTATACAAGACTGTGTGGGAGATCCGTCAGCGTGTGCTCATCGACATGGCCGCCGACCGTGGCGCATTCATCGATCAGAGCCAGAGTTTCAACGTGTTCATCGCCGAGCCCAACTTTGCCAAGCTCACCTCGATGCACTTCTATGCCTGGAACAAGGGCCTAAAGACCGGCATGTACTATCTGAGGACTAGAGCCGCCGCAGATGCCATCCAGTTCACCGTGGACCAACAGATGTTGGCCAAGCAGAAGGAGGCACAGGCCACCACTGAAGAGGCCGAGGCTCAGGTGCTCAAGACACCCACCAAAACACCAACACGTGTTGGCGTTCAAGCAACCAGTCCAACTGTAATAACAAGTCCACTGCGTTTCAATGCCCAGTCGACCCAGCAACAAGAGGAGGACTATGAGAACATGGTCTGTCGCCGTGAGGAAGGATGTGTAGTTTGTGGATCATAATCCCAAATGATGGTCCAGTGGCCTCCCATCCCCTATCCATGATTATTTATTGTACATATAACAAGTCCAACACAATCTCCAACCATCCATCCACCATCCTCCACCAGACTCTTCGGCTTCTGTGTAGTCCGCTGTACCGACCAGTCCCTTTCAAACAAACAAACAAACAATAAATGACATGAACCGTTAATTCAAGTTGACCAATGTGCCTTTGATTGTTTACTACTTTGTTGTTGTTCATTGAGTACCAGCCATGTATGCCAGAGCACCTACGAATCCAGCATTGTAGTCCAGAGCAACTTCATTTCTGATGTAGTCTGTCCTGTAATCTTTGTAGGAATCATCTTGTGATGGTCCACCCACCAAAGCACCCTTGAGCAGATAGACGTTGTTTGTTGGATCCTGTATGTTGTTGGTCGTTGAGTGATGGGAAGCACGATGATGTGCGTTAATTGGAAAGTTTGGACCCAAACCAATGACGAATGACTGTTGTTTTGGATTATCACCAAGTATGTAGGCCATTTGATTCTTGGTGAATTGGACATACTTGTCCTCTCCCTTTCCATATATTGACATTAGGAATGCTGTTGTGGCCGAGTACCTACATGGACCCCATTGTCTGATCAATGCCAGGCCACCAGGTGTATATGGTACACCTCCACCTTGAGAGTTCGGTAGCCACCACTCTAGGTATGCCTCTAGATCCTTAACATAGATAGAGTTGTCCGACAATTTGGAAAGGAGCAAGGCAGCACCAGGTGACTTGCAATCCCAGTCATGCGAGTTCTGGAAATTGAGTTTGGCAATCTCAAAGTCAACATAGTCCTTTTCAGCCTTGTCCAGATATGTCTTGTCACCTGTAGCCTTGTGGAGCCATATGGAGGCCCAGACAATCTCATCCTTGTAGCCAGACCATGACTTGTAGAATGTTGACACACCTGGCACATTGTCAGAGTAGGTGGCACGATAGGTATCACCAAAGGTATGAAGTTGTTTGGCATGAGTGAGCAGGAGTGTAGGCTGGGTCATGGGATTTGAATGCAATGGATGCTGCGGCTAGGGCAGCGGCCGCCTCCATAGCCACCTCCGTTCCAGGCTTTGATGTATCCAGGTAGTAGGTAGGACGATCCATAGTCATATTCTCAGGTGGACCCCAATATGAATGATCAGCATTCGGTTCACCAACTTGAACTGCCAACTTATTCTCGGACTCATGAGCAGCAATCAACCAATCCGTACCATACTTGATAGTATCCAAAAACAAACTAGTCTGAAGACACTTCTCAAAATTTGGCTCATATTGAATGAATGCCCAAGACAACATGGTGAGAGATGATGCTAAAGGGAATCCAAACTGTTTTTAAATTAGTGATCGATATCTATCTAATTGATTTACAGTACATACCTTGACATGATCACCTGCATCAAAGTAACCGCCAGACAGATGACCATCTGGACCACCATCCTTGAGACATTTGTCTCCACGCCATGGTACATCATTGTCTGGTAATTTTCCAGCTCGATTGTACTTGTAGAAAAACAGACTATTGTGAAGGTATTCACAATGGTCAAATGTTAGAGTACTCTTTGATTGACCTGTAAGCAATGCCAGGCACAACAGAACAGTGGCTGCAATAATATTTGACAGCTTCATTATTTGTATTAATAATTGTAATAATATTAAGATTTACACACTTGTTGTATAGTTTATAAATGGATATGTTAACCAGTCCATTATTTAATGGATTAATCATTGGTTAAAAGAGTTCATTGGATACGAAACCAATCACCAATGTAGTCATTGGCATTGTAATTGTGCTGCAAACAATGTGATCAGTGATTTACAATTGGACACTTGTCATTATTATTATATGAATGGTGTAGCCAAGCTTTAGAGAGAGAAGAAGGAGGGTTGTGTGTGGTTGGCAGCGATAGAGTTTGAAGCCTGCCGACTTGACCGAGTAGGTAAGTATCGATTATCGATTATCTAGGAGGCGCTGAAACATTATAGTGTTGAACGAAGAGCAATCATCCACTTTGTGGCGGTGGAGGACAACGCCTGTGTTTTTGTCGATCTTGCGGTAGGAATACACACCATTCCTGTCCACAACCACATTGTAGTTAATGACGTTGGGAACTAGTTTTGTGAGAGCCTTTACAAAGGCTATAGCCTGTCTTGATCTATTCATAGGAATGTAGATTGTCAGTGAGTCCATGTGGAGTGATGATGGGGGAATGTCATCAACTGAGCGATATCGCGTGTCCACAGTGATGCTGAGCGAATGTAAAGATGGGAAACTCTGCAGTTGTTCAAGAGTGGGTATCGTCAAATACTGGAGTTTGTGGAGGTCAGATATGTCCACAAGTTTGGTACTTGGTCCGAGCATCAATGATGTCAATGTGGCTGGAAGAAGACCGGGTGTAATGTCTTGGACAGAGTCGAGGCCATTGAATGAGAGAAGTGCTGGCGGCAATGTACCAGGACTGATTATTCTCCTGTATTGATACGTGAATGTCAATGATCTGAGAGTGATTGGGAGAGAAGAGAAGTCTTCACAACTGTAACCATCAGAGTCATATAATGTTATCGACGTAATTGATGGGGGTAATATATTCACAAGACTCTGTCGGAATGATACTCCAAATGTCAAGGTTTGTAGGGATGAGGGAAGTGCATTGTTGAGCGGTTGATTAAAGTTTGAGTCGAAGGACAAATTAATGAGTGAATATGGCAAGACTCCAGGTAAGAGTAATCTGTTAAATCGAGAGCCAAACTTTAGTGTAGTCAGCGAAGGTGGTAGTGCTCCGCCATCAATGATGTTGTTAAACCAGGAACCAAATTCAAGTATTTGGAGCGACTGAGGCAACATTTCAGGGATGATTCGTTGGTTGAAATGACAAAAGAAGGTAAGCGAAGTAAGTGTTGATCCCAATGCACCTGGATCAATTGGTTTGTTGAATGCGTCTCCTAATGTCAAGCTCGTGAGGGAGGGTGGGAGAATTCGAGTGGTCAATGTTTCGTTAAAGGTGTTATTTATCCGCAATGATTGGAGCGACATTGGGAAAGATCCTGGGCTAATTGTGTGACATATGTCACCCTCCAACTTGATAAGTGATGGTGGGAAACCGCCAGCTTTAACCAACTTGTCCATAGGGTAAGAACCATAAAACGTCAAAGATGTGAGAGAACATGGTAATGATCCCACGAAAACTTCTTGTCTAAACTTATAACCAAAAGTCAGAGAGGTGATTGATGACGGAAGCGAACCAGGCGGAATCGGTTGATTGAATGATTCACCAAAGGTTAGTGATATTAGAGATGTTGGGAATGTACTTGAAGTAATAGGTTGATTGAACCATTTGCCAAATGTGAGCGTTTTGATCGTTGTTATCGACAGTGCCGTGATATCCTGATTGAATTTTGGGTGGAACATGAGCTCCCTAACATATTTTTGATATCGAATTGTATCGCAGCTTGTGACATCCTTCACGAGTGTGTTCCCCATTCTAAACGTTGATGTGTTGAGAAGCACTGAGAAGAGTTTCTTACATGTCATTCCCAAGCATATCATGTCCAATTTTTCAGACACATTCGAGAATATCTTGGTGATGATGTTCAATGGGATTGTTGTGCTTGTGCTCATTGTATCTGTAGACTTGCAATATCTATCTTAAGGCAAACAAAACTCAGACCATGAGAGCCACAACAAATTTTATGAAATGGCGACAAATTGCATATTAACGTAACGTTCTGTTCCCACCTTTTCCAAAGAGATGACAAATGTCATGGTAAAATTTGTATGTATAATGATTAGTATCAACAATATATATATCTAATAGATAATTAAATAGAATAATAATAAGATGACGTTCACTAATTCGTTCATTCTTTCTTGTTGTTCAGAGTGAACAGATAATAACTTATTATCTCAAATGACTCGACAAAGCTGAAAAATGGGGTGATAGACCTTTTCTTAGGTTCTGAGGACTTGCTGTGCTGGCTCGCAATTTTAGCAACTTTGAGAGCTTTTGGAACTAATAAACACAATCCTCTTTATTATTGTGTGTAATAATTCGTACAAATACAGTTAGAATATTATATAATATATATATATATTAATAATAATGAGATTAAGTTCAACTTTAACATGGTTGGCATTATCGCTGACCATTGTGTTGGCAGTCGTTTCTGCTCAAGATAATAACAACATTTACAATAACAACAATACTTGTTATGTCTCAAACACAGTGACAAACTGTCAGACAGCAACATCCAACATAACCAATAACATATGTCCAAGTGTATCTGATTGCTGGACATTGATGGTTGGTCCACTCAGAAGAACACTGACCAACGCAGTTTACATCAAGGTACAGCCTGGCGTCTATTCTGAAGAGACAATCATCTCAAACTTCAAGAGTGTGATGCCCTCTCTTGAGATCTCTGCTGTGGACCCATCTGACCGTCCAGTTTTGAATATTAATGTTGTAAGTATTAATTTATCAACAATGTGTTTGAGACAACGTTGGTGTCATAAACTAATCAATATAAATATATATATATATATATAATAGCAATCCTTCATCAACATTGATTTGGCTCAATACACCAATCCGATCAATGTCTCCCTCCTTGGTCTGATCATTGTGGATAATGTTGGATCCACTGAGAAGGATATGATCAGGGTCCAGGCCGACCCACAGGCTACCATTGGCACCTCTAATTTCACCTTTATCAACTCTACCATCACAAACTGCAACAGGACCTCTTCAGGCTACTACTACTACAGTCCCTACTCCTGTCTCAATGTTAAGAACTTTAATGTTGTGATGAGAAGATCCTCCGTGACCAACTCGACTGCATTATCCAACCGTATGTATTTCCTATTCATTCACACAGATTAGTCCTGCCTTCCTTACACTTTATTTTCTAGCTGTCGTCTCACTGAGATCCGAGAAAGCAGTTGTCGATCACTCCAGCTTCACTGACAACACCGGTACCTCTCTTCGTTTCGATGGCAACAACTTTGGTTCGTTGCATCTCAGCAACTCCAAGTTCGTCAACAACATTGGCGCAGCATTCAAGTTGGACGAAATGGGCTCACTCGCCAAGGTCGAGGTAGATAACTGTGTGTTCCACTCCAACAGTCCAAACATGGGACCAGGCTATGGTGGTGCAGTCTACATTGGCTCTTCATCCTTCAACGTCAACTACATCTTTAAGAACAATGTATTCTCCAATAACACAGCCTCCAGTGGGTCCGCTGTCTACTCCACAACCTCAGGCAGCGTTTCATTCCAGAGCTGTAACTTTACAAACAACCATGGTGATATGGGTACCATTGTAAGTGATGTCTTCGCGATCCATTCATCCAGTTCATTCGTACTCATCCTAACACTACCTCCTCAATCCTCCAGTACATCTCGACATATTCCTACTCTGGTGCCTCTCTTGGTCTTGTTGGCTCTCAGTTTATGAACAATCATGGTACCTATAATCAAGGAATTGATTTGTACTATAACAATCCCATTGATATCGAGGGTGGTATCTTCCATACCCCAAGAGAGTAAGTGTTCATTCATTCATCCTAACGACCTTCAACATTAAGATTCTAACCTTCATTCCCCACCAACAACATAGACCAATGTTCGCCGCCTTCCCAACAAACTCATTGGCCACTGTCTCCATGTATGTTGAGAGCTTCATGAGCTGCAAGACCACTGATCAGTCTGTGTACGTTGGCGAGGACTCTGGCTGGGCCTGTCTTCAGCTCTCCTACAACGGTGACTCATCATCCTACAACAATGACGATGGATACACTCTCTACATCTGGCAGGCAATCGTCTCTTCCATCATCCTTGGATTGACCTTCTTGGTTTCAATCGGATGTATCGTTCGTGAGTTGCTCAAATAAGTTGTTGGCGGATGACCGTGCTAAGTGGTAGTTGACGGTCAGTCACTACCTACCATCCAATAACAACTAACTCTCTTTGTAATAAATACGACATGTCTACAACAAGTTGTGAGCCATGGATAAATACTTGTTTAATAACATTATCATCATTTGTTTCCTTTGACTTTGATTGATTGTCTGTAGCAGGCAATGATTGATTGGATCGTCTTGTTTGTTTGGTATGTTTTGTTTGATTGTATTCCTTTGATGTCCAATTTTGCACCAATATCCACCAAGTACTCCAACATATAGGTGTCTGAACTATCAATAACTTGTCTACTTAATGTTGTTATAGTACTTTGTAATAAAGTTGTACGTTGTCTCTTATCCAGTCCATTGAGTATACTACCCAACATTGAGATATGTCCTCTATTAACTGCTATTCCAACCAGTTCCTCCAACTGTCCATGTCCTGAATAGATTGGACATATTGAATGAAGGAACTCAAACATTGGAGTGTTGCCAAGGTCAACAGCAGTCTTTTTCAAAGAGTACCGATTGGGGATGTCTCTATGTTGTTTGTAGCAATGTTTGAGGTACTCAATTCTATTGAGATAGACGGCTCTCTCAATCATATTCAGTAGGAGCTCATCACGATCTGCGCCAGAGGTCAGATGTTTGTAGGCACCTTCAAACACATCAATGTTGCTAAAATCACCAATCCTCCTCCAGTGGAATAAAGATGATATTTTTGCCAAGGACTTCTCCAACCTTGGTGATAAATCGCCGCCCAAGGAATATGCCAACATCAGCAGTCCAGACTTTTTGAATATGCCAGGTCGCAGACTGATCAATCTGTGGATCAATGGTATGTCGCGAATTGAAACAGCAGCCAATGCAACCAGGTAAGCCCACTGATCACTGATGTAGCTGCATTGTGTTTGAAGAACGTAGATGCATAGGTCGAGGTCAACAATATTGAGGTGTGTGAGCCACGGGAATATTCTATTGTTCTTTGACAAGAGGAAGTTGATGCAGTCCATGTCACCAAGGAATAAAGGTGTATTGGAACCATCATCGAAGCGGGTCGATATGAAGCTCTTATCATTGAGATAGCGGACCACCTGTAGTCCATTGGAGTGATTATCACATTTCGCAAAGAAGTCAAACAATTGACCGTTGCAAGGTGAGCTTGGGAATCTAGAGAGATTGTTCCTTGGAAGATATTCAATCCAGTAGCCAACCTGTACCTTTGCCTGAGTGACAGTTCCATGCTTCACAATGATGTTGAGTAGGTTTGAATCGTATCCCCACAGTTCGTTAAGATATGGTATGAGAAGGCAATCACCTGTCTTAATGTAGGTCTGCTTGACATAGTCCTTGCACATTTGTCGTGCTGCCAGTTTGGCAAAGATCATCCTGGACTCATCTCCAATGTCGATCAACTCCTTCTCAATATGTGATGATAGTATTACATTTGCTCTTGTAGTTGATATTCCCAATGATTGTTCAAGCTGTGATAGTTCCTGTGTTCTTGGTGTATCAACTTGCAGAAGCTTGTGATTCTTCAACCTTTCAATGTGTTCCAGTTGTTGAGTTGGTGTTGCATTTGGAAGTATGTCGAATTTGGAATCAGCAATGTGAGATAGATCTGTAGTTCTTCCAATCAACAGATCAATGAGTGTTGTATCACCAGTCATAAGAATGTTGGTTGGTGATTCAGACTTAGTTGCACAGGCCTTGATCCTATTCACAAGTTGCTTGGGGAAGTTATTCTCATCCAGTACAAAGTTGATGGTGGAAGATGAGCGTGTAGAATATAGGTAGTTGGCCACACTCTCTGATTCCTCCAACAGGTAACCAACATTGAAGAATCCAGTATCAATCAAGTACTTTAACATTATAAACTTCTTGTTTTGCACTGCATGCCAGAGTACCTTATTCTCATACTTGAATTGTATTGGCTTGGTCTGCAGTAACAGTGTTTGAACGATATGGAAGTTGTCTCCTTTGACAGCAATACACAATGCTTCTTGATCTCGAAAGTAGCATTGATAACGTGTATATCTTATCGAATGTGTTATTGTCAATGGTCAGTCCACATATCGCAGACATACTGCAGACTGATGCAGATAGATATAGGTTGTGTTTGAGACGATCGTGTATCAAACCAATGTGACCGGCCATAAGAATGTCTTGAATATCGGTCCAGTGATGATATTTAGTCTGGCATAGAAAGTCAATAGATGATAGATCAATGTTTCGTCCCCATTTGTACATTGAGGCGATATTAACAGTACGTTGATATTTAGATAAGATGGTTCGAACTAGTGTTCGGTTGGTCAAGACCTGGAAGAAAACACTTTGTTCAGTTGATGACATCTTTTAAATGTTGACTTGTTTGGTGTAACACTACAGATAGAGATAAGAGTTGAGTTGGCAAACAATTCAAAGACGCTTCAATATTGATGGAAATGAATCAAAAGGTGGAGCGGTTCTTGATCAACTTTGGTGAGAATAATGGTGGAAATGTAGTTGATAAATGTTTAGGAATACTTTGGGTCTGGATATGTTGATTGATTGACTGTGATTGATGAATATGAATGATCTAGATGCGTCTTTATACCAGAGTGAAGGGTGACGACACTACTTGGAAGTGAGAACTGTACGTCCAAGTTTAACAGATGCTTATTCATTGTTCATGATGTATCACTTTCATTCAATGATACAATATAATTATATTACTTATTTGTTTGGATATTGATGATCATCAACAAACACTTTGAAAGTTCAGGAGGTTTCCCTCATCATTGTTTGCCTCATTTACAGTTTCTGTAGACAGGTGTCACAATAAACAATAATGTCACGTGTTCTGCCTCTTGATTTACTATTACTTCAATATACATATATATCATCATAGATAGATAATAGAGATAACATTGAAACAATCAAACAATGAGGGACACAAGTTGTATTAATGAAGTGTTCCACAATCACTTGTTGTGTAAACTTATCTTTGGTCATGTTCATGCCATGCATATTAAGTGGTTGAGCATACCAACGCCTCGTGTGACATCACCACCACCGACCGATGATGTTGATGGAGTCCTACGAATCATCGAAGTGATGAAGGGTGCCGAGTTGTTCAAGGGTAACCTTCTTGAACTACTGCAGTTCAACGTCACCGAAACGTTCATTAAGGAGTTTGACAGAGTTGCCTCCATCTACCCACCCAACGTCAGTCTGTTGACATACGCCGCACACTACAACAACACGGTGGCCTTCAATCATCTTAGACGCCATCCGAACATGTACTACGATCCCAAGTATTTCCCCAATCTGATCACCAAACATGCCAACATCGACATGCTCCAGGGCTACCTCGCTGACGTTCCCGACCTCTGGTTACCAATCAATTGCATACCATCGTCGGTGGACACTGGAAACGTGCAGTTTGTGCGTCTGATGCTTCAACACTATGGTGGCACCATTAATCTGGAAGAATACAACAATTGTCTCGACCAAGTCAAGTTCACTCGACGTGGTGTCGATGTGAGCATGCTCAAGATGCTTCACGAGGAGTTCAACTGTCTTTACAGTTTGACCAACCTCTGGCTGTCGGCACTGAAGCACTCGGCAAAGTGTAACATGTTGGACAGTGTCCAATACATCCTTGACAACATTCCCCAGGTGGTACGCAAACAGGGAGATGAGAAGGAAGGAGACAAAGAAGAAGATGATGATATCATGGATTATCAGATTCTTGAGAAGTGTCTCATGAGATGTGCCAAGATAGGAAATGTCACCATCTTCCAAGCGTTCGCCAAGTCAGCAGTTGGCATCAAGTATCTCAAAAAGAAGAACATCAGCGAGATCATTGACGAGGCAGCCGACCGTGGTCAAGAGGCATTCATCAAGCATCTGTTCAAACATCATGTAGGCAATGAGAATATCACGACTAGGTGTGAGGATAAGCTCCGCGACCTCTTGGAGGCGCCACCAGCCGGTGGCTCAATGGAGTTGGCCAAGCTTCGCCCAACACCCTTGGCTGCACTTCGCAACGATGACATCGTGTCGCTCGAGTCGCTCTTTGACAAGTTGGATGTGCTGGAAAAAAAGGATTGCCTGAAGATGTCCGAGTCAATGGCAAGGTTCATATCCAGTCCGCGTGCCACACCGTTGAAGTTCCGTGGCACATCAATCTTGAACATGGTGAAAGCTGTGGGCAAGACTGGCAGCAACATCAACGCCGACATTGTGTGCGAGTTCATCAACAATTGCCAACACAAGTCAACCAGCTCACTCTACAGCGCCATGAATACCGCGGCCGGCTTCTCTTCAAAGATGATGCAGCTGCTGCACACCAAGTTCAACACAGATTACGAAGCCTCTAATCTTTTGAAGGCAATGAAGAAGAAGTGCCGCGAGACCATGACTCTCCTCTTCGAATGCCTGGACAAGAAAGATATTGAAGCCGAGCATTCCCTCAAGAAAGCAATGTTCAGTTATATCGCCAATGCACCATTGGAGGATGTGATCTTCTTGCTGGACAACATGGACCATATCAAGAGCAACATTGAAATCTGTGAGTGGGCGGTGTGCAACAACAGAGTGGAGGTGTTTGAGTATGTGATCGGTCTGTTCACAACCGAGCAGTTTATGAAAGATACTGTCATGGCCGAGCTCATTGACCAGGCTTTTACGAAGAACAAGCCCAACCTGGTTCGCATACTCCAACAACGCTTTGAAACAGAGGAGAACAAGCCATTGGTGAGACCAACACTGGGAATACTCCTGGTGTGTGGCGAGTATGATGCATGTGACTCGCTTGAGTTCTACTTCAACTCATCGTTATTTACCAGCATGCCCAGTCTGGATCGTTTGAGGTCGCTTTACTCCATCCAGCATCACACCTATGATCACGCCACACACAGAGTGATCAACTTGTGCAGTGATTATATCAAGAGGATCACACCAGACCAACATCTGTCAACTCAAATGTAAAACCTACATCCAATCAACAATCAACCAATCAATCAATTGATCACTAACATTACCTGATTCATTTCATTCAATCAATCAAACAGGCGAGTAGAGTACAAGCTAACAACAACAACTAATGCCCAACATGCTTCGCCAAAGATGGAGAAAGCGTTCCACTTGGTATTCAATGATAAGAAGTTGGGTATGCGAGTGATGGACCAGATTGGATATATCTTCAAGTCATTGGGCTTGGAGGATGAACATATCAAGGGTAAAGATTTGCTCAACAAACATTGTCTGAATGACTACATCCTTTACGGTGCGACAGAATGGTTCATCAAAGCATACTCCGCATCCAACTTTGCCAACATCGCCTATATGAACGATTCTCTGTTGGAGGAAGCGATGGCCAAGTGCGACCCGCGCGCAGTGAATGTCCTAATGGCCAACCCATACATGTCGCTCAAGCCCGATCTACTCACTTCATACTTTGTTTGGAACGCGTCGAGCTGCACCAGTCCAGAGTGGGAGAGGATGTTTGATGAATTTGTCAAGATCACATGCCAGACCGCCCAACTTGATATCAGCAAGTCCAACCTGTCACTGGTCAAACACCCATCATTCATACGCAAACTGATTGAGAGCGGAACCATATTCAAACAATTCAAAGGCAGAAATTCCTATATTGAAAGCCTTGAACGGTCCTGGCTTAAGGAGAAACCATGGTCATTGGAGATGCTTCAACTGATGATGCAACACTCGCTCTTTGCTCCAAAGGGTCAGGTACGTCTGCTGCTAAAGGCCATCGAGCTTGGTATCACACCCATCGTCAAACATCTGGTTGTCGACGGCAACCTCATTCAACAAATATTGGATAATCCCGAAAGGTCGATGTGTGTGACTGCAGAGGAGCTTATTGATCATTGTTGCGAGCAAGGACGTCTTGAGTACCTGGAGATGCTACTCAAGGTCATCCCACAACAGACATATACGGCTACCGAGGACAACTCCAATGAACCGGGTATTGGACTGCGTCAGCCTTTCCTCTCGGCGGCCATGAATGGACATCTTGCCGTTGCTGAGAGGTTACACGCAATCATTCTCTCTTATGGTCCTAGCGACTCGTCACATGCAATTGACGCGATCACGGATGTTTTGTCCAATGGACACCTGGATATGGCCAACTTCATCCTCAACATCCTTTCGTCCAATCCCGAGCGCTGTGCAAAAGACACTCGCTACATCGATGTTGTTCATGAGCGCATCTTGTCGATTGAGTTGATCGATCGAATGTTGGCACATCCCAATCTCAAGTGCAGGTTTAACGGTGTGCTTGGCAATGCCATTGCCTCGGGAAACAAGGAGGTGATCAACATGTTGATGGGAACACTTCCAGAAACAACTCCAATCAAGACGAACTATCGAGAGGCTCTTGAACAAGCGGCAAAGATCGGAGATGTGGACATGATCAGTAGGATCTTGGAGCACAAACCAAAGTCCAGTCTCACCTCTACTCACATGTGCCTTTTGATAAAGCAGATAGGCCTTCCCGATAGCAAGGTGACAGAGGACGTTTTCATCGAGTTGGTCAACAAAATGGATGGTGGACCAGGGCAGTCGTCATCAACCCTATGCTCTTTGTTGTTGGCTGCAACGAGCAATGGTTCACTCACAATCATCAAGTTCATCGTGGAGAAGATGTCAACCTTTGAAACAGGTGATCCCAATAGCGCAGTGCACAAGATAAGCACTTACAGCATGAAGGAGATTATCGACTCTTGTATCGAACGTGGCGACATTGAGTCAATGGAATATCTGATCCAGGTGGCCATGAAAGTTTCAGCCACAGCCAACAAGAGGGGATACAAACATAAGATCAGCGAGCTCTTCACTTTGCCATCGTGTAACATATCGATTCTCACACATCTCTTTGACAAGGGCTACATCACAGTCGATAACCCCAAGGACAATACCGTGTCATCTCTGGTGGACTGGGCCTGCAAGTATGGAAAGTCGGACATTATTCGTCTAGTGTACCAGCGTTGCACGACACCGGTACAGCTTAAGAGACATCTTCCATCGCTGAATTATATTTATTTGGCCGCAGCTGAGAACCATCATGAGGTGCTCACTTATCTGTTTGAAGGTGATGTCAATGGTGGTGAGCCATCACCCTTCAAACAATCCGAGGTCAAGTTGGACATGAATCGCATGCTCCGATCAATTCGTGTCAATGCACTAAATAATGGCTACCTCAAGATCATCTCATTGATTGACCGATTGTTATAACAGAATCAACATTAATTAATTATTATCAATAAATTCCCAAGGGGGCCCTACTCCTGAGAATCAATAAAGTTACGCGGAGTTATTCTCGAACTTCATCTTTAGGTTGCCCAGATTTGTTTGGCTATTTTTTTCAATTGCACAGACACATCATGATCTTCATTGACCAACATTAATTAAATACTAAACTACTACTACTACTCTTCACTGTAATATTAATATTAGAATTATTAATCTATCATCCTTGTTCCGTTCTAATTGATAGCGGTGTTTCTCCCTCATAGTTGTCAATCAAGTACGTGCACTAGGCTGTTCAAACGTTGGTCGGGAGTGGACTTCCCCTTCCCCTCGACCAATAACTGAGCAACGATGGACAATAATAATAATAATAAAAACAATAGCAATAATAACAATAATAACAATAATATAAGTCCAACCAATTCACCTCCAAGTAAGTAGACGCCTACAGACAGCATGCATTCAATCAATTGATGATATATATTAATACCATGATAGAAAAAGCTCAGAAACAAGACAAGGAATCACCTACATTTACACCATCGACAGAGGAAATAGCAAGATTATTGCACTTGTTGGTTATGTATGATATCTGCTTATTACATTTGACATTGTCGCCATTCTAACCTGCCAGTTAACTGTTCAATTCATTTAGACCTTTCAGACATACTTTGAGTTCACGAACGACCCTACTGATACAGTACCTCACGATATACTCAAACAATTTGCGTGTAAACATGGTCTCGATGAACGCAATCTCTTCAGATATATTGGACACACGTATAAAGACATCTTGTTCTGGACTGGACCAAAGAGGAAAAAGAAATATTTGTTTAGAGAAAAGGTATTACTTTCAGCTGTAGCGAATGTATCATGACCAATGAGTAACAATACTAATACACTCCCTATTTAGAACCCGACCACTGTTCATAACTTTGTAGACTGCAGAACAACAAACTCTGCCACCATCTCATCTACGACATCATCGATGGATCATGATGATTGGATGCCCAGCAACGTAAGTCCTGCCTTCACAGTGATTAATGAAATGGATGGTATATTAACACTGTCATATATATATTTCTAGGATGGGCCCATGGACATGCAGAATGACAGCTTGTTAGACACAGTGGACCAACAGAAAATACTCATTGACGAGTTGAGGACTCATAATGACGAGTTGAAGACTCATAATGACGAGTTGAAGACTCATAATGACGAGCTGAAGACTCATAATGACGAGTTGAAGACTCATAATGCAGAGTTGAGGACTCGTAATGCAGAACAGAAGACACTCATTGACCAGTTGGAGGATACAATCAGGAAGCTTACCATAGAGCTGAATGATTTGATGTCCGTAAACCACACCGACGTACTACAGAAGGACTTGAGCATGCGTGGATCCGTATTATCTATGTTTGACACCTTCCAGGCCAGCCAAGTCAAGTACATCATCAGACAGGACCCAGCCACAGCAATCAAACACGTCCACCAATTCTACAAAGGGAATGGCCCCACTGTCAACAACAAGGCATTGTGGTACACCGAAGATGTCCGCCCCAGTGGACCCAAATTATGCCGAGGCATGTGGATCACCTCACCCTCGTCGTCAGCGTCTGCACCACATATCAACACTATCTTTGGCCTAGTACGTCATGGGTATCATTGGACAGTTGGAGATGCTAGTTACAAATCAACTGCGATCTTCAACTTCAACGCACAACAATTCTTTGTTTGCGGTTCTGGAAAGGCAGTTGCCACTGGTCGGCGCGCATCTATGTGCGATGATTGCATATCGTTCAGCGAGCGAGCACGGAAAGAGTACTCCAACTACAAGAGGTCCAAGCCCTATCTGGATTCCCCAGGTGATTCATGGCTCACCAGTAATTACAAACTGACGATGGTTGACCCACTGGTAAAGACCATCACCAGCCTTCTTGCAGACAAAGAGAGTGCAAAGAAGCTCAAGGAGAGTCTATTCTATCAGATTGTCTACGATCAGTTCAAGTCATGGTCCAACCCCCACGGCGCCCGATGGTCACAAGCCTCGATTGACTACTTCCAAACACTGCTGCACAATCATGGAAAGAAGTTACTGTCACTTTATGTTGGATCCAGACGGGACGTGGCTGATCTTGGAGTTGGAGGTGTACCTGCGCCCAGTCGTTCAACTCTTCAGGCCAAGACCCAAAGCGCGGCCGTCAACATGTACGACAACAGGACCCACAAGCGCTTCAAGGCCTTGCAAGCAACCGTTGGGCCTGACTGTCCTCAATTTGGCTTCGTTGCATACGATGAGATTGACATCTCCAAGGGTCTCATTATCAGAAACACCAACTTTGGCAAGGAGATGATCGGCTTGACTACAGGGCCTGTCAACCAAGAGAATATTGAAGCCTACCTCAATGATCTCCCCTCGGTTACCGAGAAGCTTGCCACCAAGGTTCTACAGTTCTTCTATGTGTCACTCCAGGGCCATATCTCAATCCCCATCGCGCGCTTCCCGACCAATGGCAAAGCTACAATTACTGTTGCAATCAACTGCATCAAGTATTTGATCGGAGTAGCTGAGAGGTACAACATCCGCATCATTACAGGCACAAGCGACAGCCATGACACACAGAACATAGTTCCCACTCAGATCAAGAATTGGCTAATGGAGCGTAGTCAATCACCTGTGTCCACTCAGATAACTATCCTGCCATCGCCATCCAACCTGCCATCGTCGTCGACCATTCAATCGCCAACCGCGCTGTCGACCATGCCGTCGATCAATCATTCGTCCACGCCGACTACCATTCAATCGCCGTCAACCGATCAATCGCCGTCAACCATTCAATCACCGTCGACCATTCCGTTGACCAATCATTCGTCCACGCCGACGACCATTCAATCGCAGTCGACCAATCATTCGTCCACGCCGCCGATTACTCAATCGCCAACCGCGCTGTCGACCGTTCAATCACCGTCGACCATTCAATCGCCGTCAACCATTCAATCACCGTCGACCATGCCGTCGACCAATCATTCGTCCACGCCGACGACCATTCAATCGCCGTCAACCGATCAATCGCCGTCAACCATTCAATCGCCAACGACTCTGCCCCCTGCCTTCACCTACAACCACATTTACGACTTTATTCATATAGTCAAGAACCTGAGAAACTTCTTTCTCGGCCCTGTTCCACTAAATGGACCCGATGGAGAGATCCACTTACGTCCACTGTTTGAGTTGAACACCACCCAGATTCGGGCATTGCTTATCCCCGATGACATTCATCCCAGCGACAAGATGAGACTCCAGTCAGTCAAGAATCTCATGTCCAGGAAGGTGACCAAGCACCTGCGAGAGCGTGTACCTGGTTCCTATCGATACCCTGAGAAAGATACCAAGGATACAAGGTGCTATGGAACACTTGGACTCAGGTTCGACAGTGAGACCACAGCTCAGTTCACCAAGTGGTCTCAACTCATGGACAAAGACGACGAGGGGTGGTTCGATGTTATGAATATGGACTTCGAGTTTAGTAACCTACACGACCAAGAGCCTGAGTCACATCACTCTGATGGTGCCCCACCACTCGAGCAGTCAATCAACATCGGAACATCTGTCCAGTCCGTCAGTCCCAACACTCTGAGCGTCGAGCAGTATGAACAGAAGTTGCAAGACTTGGCAAAGATCTTCTACTTGAAGCGTGTCTTGACCATCCGCCAATTGAGTTGCTACAAGAAGTCCGCCGGCCGAACACTCAAGATGTGCCCTATAGATGGATGTCAGGCCATCTTCTCGTACGATACCTGCTACCAGACACACGTCAATGACGACACTGCACACTCCCTTTTGAGGATTCCTCTCAACTCCGACAAGGATCAGGCCATTTCATCATTGAAAGATGAGTTCAAGAGGCTCATCCGCGACATTACTCGAGACGAACGCATTTGTCTCCCTGCCAACAATCGCATCAAGATCATTCTCCTTGACACAGAGACAGCCAGCTTCGATAAGGGCTCACTCATCGAGGTCTCCGCTCATGAGCTCGCGACGAATGAAGTTTTCTACTCGCTCGTCAACCCCTTAGCCAGATTCAGCAATGGCGCCATCAAAGCACATGGCATACACCCAGCCGACGTCAACGGATGCCCCTATTGGGATACTGAGGGAGAGAAGTTCTTTTCATGGCTCAGAAGACACGCCGACGATCACTCAAGAGTGTACATCCTTGCTCACAACAGTGCATTCGATCTGGGTGTCATGGTTCAGTCATCACTACGTTCTGGCCTGACGTTGGAATCATTCCCGCCCAATGTATACTTCCTCGACACCATCAACATTCTGAAACACCACAAAGACAAGTTCAATCTTACGCCACAAGTTGGCATCGAGCCACAGGGCAATGCTGTTGAACTGCACCACGACAACCAATCAGATGACGTGCTCCAGAGCAATGAGGTGTCCTCCGACCAACATGACGACACTGATCACCAGTTATCCAACGATTACGTCAATCATTTCAATGGCTCCAGTAGCGACGACGACAGAGATTTCAGTGACGACGACGACAGTGATTATTGTGACGACGACAGTGGTGACAACGACGACAGTGGTGACAATAGTGATGTCGACCGTCGTGTGTCAACAGTTCCAGCAACCCCACGACCAGCTGTCAATAACGAGATCACTTCTGATGACACACCTTCCAAACCTTCCAAACTATCCTACAGTTTGGACAACGTTACGCGTGCTCTGAACATTGGCAACGTCGATACGGCCATGCTATCGAGACATCGCTCCTCCTATGACGTGGTGGTCCTGTATCAGGTACTAGACAAACTGCGCCAACTTGCAGACCGTGACCTGTCGACATTGTCTTTCCTTCAGAAGGTGGCCTTTCGTTTGCACTCAAATGCCAAAGTCCTCCGTCTCCATTGCTTAGAATATTTGAAGAAAGACACAGACCTGACCACCGAGATGATACAGGAGCTATATGAACTCTCGCCAAAGACTACCCGTTCCACAAAGACCACTCGTTCCACAAAGACCACTCGTTCCACACAGCCAGCACCTGCTCCGCAACCGCCCGGTGATGTGATTAATTCAGAGAGGTACTTGGCATTTATGAGTTTCAAAGTGAGCGAGATGAAGGCCTTGCTCAAGGCAAGATCTTGTCCGTTCAAAAGTGATGAACTCAAAGCTCAATTATGCTACAGACTCTATCTGAAAGAAGATATAGCGGCGCCTACCAAATAAATATATATGTTGACCACTTTTAATAATTAATTAATTAATTATTAAGTTAATGCCAAAGTGATTGATTGAGTGAGCCAGGTGATTGAGAGGTGCATGGGTTTATGATTTGGCGGGAACAATTCAGTTTGAGAATATTTGAAAAACTCGTTGTCGTAAATAGTGACCGTCCTTACTGAGGAGTAGGGCCCCCTTGTAAATTCCTTCTCCTCACCATTGATTCATTCGACCGACTGATTGATACCAAGAATTAAATCAGAGTATGTGAAGTTCATAAGGATGGTTATGAGTTGTAATGTTAATGATTGAATGGCAACGAATTAGACAAGGTGACGTTTCTACCCTTACCCTACCTTTACTCTTGCCTGATATGTTAGATTGTTCGACTAACACCACATATTTGATAAGATTGATGACAGCTTGGGTCATTGGGAGATGAATGAAAGATAAATGAGAGAGACTGCCAACTACTCACTTCACTTGTATATGTAGTCAGTCGTTAACAAAGTTATACAAAGCCAGATGGACCGTATAAAAGACAGGTCATTAGAGACCCTCGATACAATGTCCCCTGCATCATCTTCCTTTATTTTTAAAGTAAGTCTTCATATCTTTAACCTGGCTACCTACCTACTTACTTAGCAATCTCTCTAGCCCCACGATAAATCAATGACAGATATCACTCGTATTCCTGATCGCCCTGCGAATCCCAGTGCTGAGTACCTTCAGAATGAAGGCCAGGTATACCTCCTACGATACCCAATGCTCACCGGAACGGCCCACCACTTCTCGGTGATGATCGACCTCCGGGCCCAGTCCGATGACCTCAATGTGACAGGCTTGGAGTTCCACCTCATCAAGGGAGACTCTCAATCCGAGAAGGTCCGACTCTACTACTCCTATCGGACCAGGGGAAGGAACATCTACAATCCCATCAATGTGGGAAAACTGGGTCAAGTCCTCCAGAATGACGCCTGTCCATATGGTCCAGTCCAGATCCTGCAAGACCACGAGATTGTAGCCTGGGTCAGCCTCAGATTCTCCAACTTCATCAAATCGTACTGCCACCAAGATAACCACTGGGGTGTCCAATGCAACTGCCAGACGTTCGCAAGGAGTCTCATTGGTGACTTAGGTCTCCAATGGCCAGCCGATGTCCAAGTAACAAGTGTGGAGTATCCATGGGTGATGCAGTGGGCGGAGCACTTCAACAAGGGAAGGGTCAGATCCCACCGGTCTACCTCCAAGACCTGCTCCTTGATGTAGCCATGTATGAACCGACAAGTTGGTCATCTGTGTTGGCAACATTCGTGGATCACCTCTGTCTCCATATGGCTATCCATCAGTGACAACAGCTTCTATCTCCAACTAGACATGACTGTCCGCCATCCTTCCAAGTTGACGAACCTATTTATCCGACTAGATTGATAAACTGTGAAGTGACGAGTCCTCATATTGACCCAATAAACGCATCGACAGCAATTATATCTAACAATGCATCGTATGACTTTAATGATGGGATGTTGTCATGTAGCTTATAAGGTCAAATGGGTGCAGACGGATCGCCCTTTGACCATCCAAGATCTTTTTTTGGTTTGGGTTGTGAATGGGCACACCCATTCAAAATGACCATTGGACTTGGGAATGTGGAGTGAGGAACCCTGTTGTTGCTTTGTTGTGGCTTTGATGATCTAATCACCTCATTGTTGATCAGATATATACAGAATAGTACTATTCCATCATCATCATCATCTTATTTATTATAAACACTCTAAAGTAGTATAGTTTAGTCTCGTTAGTTAGTTACATTTATTGGTAAGTCCCCTCAAAAATTACATCATCAGCCAAACAGGCAGGGACAAACAACAGCAGGATTATTTAGAATGAACAGGATCAGTTGTCGATTGATGATGATGCGATTGCAGTTCATTGTGATAGACGACTATTCATATTCAGAATGTCCATCTCTCTCTCTTATCACTCTAGAGGCGAATACAAACATACAACCTCTGCTTTCCTGTCACAGTAGTAACTATTTGTCATTAGTGCCATTCACCTTTACTAGTACACAAACTTGAACAACTACATCTTATTTTGTGTAAACAACAACACCCTATGAGATAGATAGGATCACCAATGTAACATCCAATCAACTGCACCCGCCCCTTAATTAATTAATTAAGTAATTCTCCACCCAGGGTGATGATGAATAGACTTCTTTTGGTCATTTAGCATAATGAACCCTTATCCATCTTGTCTAAATGGTCTGTCATTCAGTCAGTCACACATGACACACCACACAACATTCATTCATTCATTCTTTCTTTCAATCAATCAATCAATCAATCAAACAATCCAATTCATTCATTCATCCATTAATCCATATCCATCGCAACCAACAACAATGCTGCTGACCATCTTTGATTAGCCTAAGACCAACAACAACCCCCATCTATCGATAAATAATTAAAGTAACGACATGTGTATTAGGGATGCTGGAAACATTCACACTCTCACACACACACACGCACGCACTCACCTTCAACACAAACACAGTGTCAGGTGGAGACGATCGTCAGGCCCAACATTTCTCACTCACCCACCCACAAACCAACTAACCCACCCCAGCCACACCCACCACTCTCAACTCACCATTCATTCATTCTTTTTGTATTTGTTTGTTGTTGTTGTTGTTGTCTCCAATCCTATCTGAGCTTGACAAAGGTCGTCATCAACAATCAATCAAACAAACAACACATCGTCTCACCCCTAATATTGTGTGTGTAACATTATATTATAATATCATTGTATTACCATTTATCTGTTTCAATTCCATCAATCAATCAATCATTCAAACACATAATCACTCAAAAGAGAAGAGAAAGAGATAGAGAGATTGAGAAGAAGAAGAAGAAGAAAGAAACATAGTCAAGACACTAACACTCAGGAACATTGTTCTCAAAAGTAATACCTCCCCTCATTCATTCATTCAATCATTCAATCAAGCAATCAATACATTTACCAAGTTCGAATTGCAGCATTATTTATACACATCGATGTCGATACATCACCAACCTTCACAATCATCTACAACAACAACAACGAACCGATCAATAGTCTGACGACGATCTCGACGAATATAGATAGATTTAGAATTACATTATACATTACGAATACGACATCAACTCAACCAACAAATAGAATAAGCACCAACAACAACAGCATCAGACAATTACAACATCTACTATACAGACAGCAGTTATCAACAATGTTGGAACGCAACTTACTAAAACTACAAATTGAAAACCACCTGAAGCATCAGCTACAGCAGAGGCATCAAACAGGTCCAATTGGTTCAGTATCATTGCCAATATATACACCGACGCCGACGCCGACACCGACGCCGACTCCGACACCGACACCGACACAAACACAGCCATTGTCGACAACAGGTTATAGTAGTAGCAATCCTCCACCAATCGCTCCCAGACAGGACATACAGCCTTCGAGCACACCGCCTTCATATCCACCTCCACAGCCACCTCATCTAACACAGAAACAACAACAACAACAACAACAACATCAACAACAGCAACAAATAGAACAACAAATACCAGTAATAGTATCAACTGTTACTACTTTAGATACAATAGTAGAGGACGATTTCCAAACAATATCAACCTCAACTTCATCGGCAGTAGCAGTCGACGAATCATTCATGTCAGAGACACCATTTACTTCACCAAAGAGTCTGCCAGATGGTGCAGACCACAAGAACTCACCCGTTCCAACTTCAGCCAAATCAATGTCGTCAACAACCAACAGCAACAATGTGACTGTTACCCAACAGCAACAGCCACAGCCACAACAACAACAATTATTACCAACACCTCCACTCTCACCAGAGGATTACTCAGATCGCTGGTCAGTGCTGCATCACAAGATGAAGACGGTCGACAACCGCCTTGACCCAAAGCGTGGCTCCATCCTTATGGAGCATCTCAGTGAAATGCACAAGCAGGCGACATCGCAGGTTATTGTTGGCGAGGAAGAGGTGCACTCAGAGTGCAAGGATTCAGACGATACCAACTCGGTCAGCAGCGCGCACCCACCAAACGACACGGTTGTATTGGCCGGCATCAAACTCTTCAACGAGAAGCCCAAGAAGGGAGTTGACTATTTCATTACCAATCACTTTATCGAGAGAACTTCTGCCTCTGTGGCTGAGTTCCTACATACCTGTATTCTACTCAACAAACGTTCTATTGGCGACTATCTTGGCGACAGGTAAGTTCTTGAAATGTTGTTGACATACTCTTAGCTCAATCAACTCACACACATCTCTCCCTTCACTTCATTAGTGAGCCATTCTGTATTGAGACACTTGAAGCATTCATTGCAAGGTTCAACTTTAAGGATTTGGACTTTGACATGGCGTTGAGACAACTGCTATACTGCTTCCGACTACCAGGTGAGGCGCAAAAGATTGACAGAATCGTTCAGAAGTTTGCCAATCAGTTCTACAGAGATAACCTATCCAATGGAATATTCGAAGATCCTGGTATGTGTACTTTACATTACATCATCTCATTGTTGACCTCACCATACTTATCATCCATCATCTTAATCAATCAATCAATCAATATTAGATGCTGTTTATATATTGGCGTTTGCAATTATACTGTTGAATACAGATGTACATAGTCCGGTTATCAAGTCAACAATGACCAAATCAAAGTTTATCAAATCACTGACTCGTATCAACAATGGAAAGGACCTACAACAAGAGTATCTAGAGGATCTCTATGATAGAATCTTGTCCGATGAGATCAAGATGGACCCAGCACAGTAAGTTGTTTGTGTGAATGATCCTTTACCTCTATCCCGACCCTCGCTAACCTAACCATTCCCATTCCATCACCCTAGAGCACAATTCCCCTATGCAGTAAAGAAGGGATGGTTGTATATTCGTGGTAAGGGAAAGGTAACGGACAAGTGGAGTAAGAAGTGGTGTATCCTTAGTGAGGGATCATTGTACTTCTTTAGAAAGCCAACGGACACTATACCCGTAAAGTACTTGCGTCCAACCGTGATCACTCCGCAGGGCAAGGAGGTGAAGGGAAGAAAGCATTGCTTCATGCTCAATCACTCCTCGCCCTTCTCCGAGTTGTTGAGCTCCAGCGGCAACGACAAGACCGAGCAGCTACTTGCTCAACTCAAGCTCAGAGACACCCAGAAGGTTCCTCGCTTCTGGGACTCGGTGGCTGAGAAGATGGGCGATGAGCTCATCCCTCAGACCAACGCCATCCGACTCGAATCGATGCAGGTCGAGGTCTTGGACACAGACTCTGTGTCTTCGGTCGACACCTCCTTCTCTGACGCCTCGTCTGCCTACTGCGAAGAAGACATGTCCAGTTCACTGTCGTCAAGCTCGTCCTCGCCCAACTCCCCACTCTCATCGTCAGTGCCAGGTCAGGGAAACCAGTATCTCGATCCAAAGAAGAAGGGATTCTCACTGAGATTTGGCAAGGAGAAGAAGCAGCAACTGCGACAACAACAACTGCAAGGTCATCAGGAGAGTATGGCGTCTGCCACAGCTGGACCAAACAAGTCACCAAACAACCATCACACAAACAACATCAACAACAACAATAACAGCAACAGCAACGGCTACCAGACACCAAACCATTCACTCACTCAACCACGACCAACGACACCAACCAACTCCAAGCCTGCAACTTCATTGATACGCTCGTCCAGCATATCAACATTCTCCACGCCCAACCCACTCAACGAGTCCACAGGTTCCACCAACAGCAGCAGTACAACCATCTCCAACTCCTCCAATGCCACCTCACCACTCAAGACATCATCCACACCGTCCACATCCACAACATCTACCACCAACAGCAGCAGCAGTAACAGCAACAACAGTAACATTGAGCAACAGCTATTGAAACTCCAACAAAAGATGGAGAAGTCTAAGAAGCAGACCACATGTCTGCTCAGTGCCGAGAGCAAGCGCGAGATGGAGTCTTGGACCAGACTAGTACTAGCTCAGTTCCAACAACAGAAGCATTAGCACTGTAGGCACAGACCACAACTTATATATTTATATTATATACATCACTATCATCAACATCATCCAATCAATTCATATCAATATCAGTAGTAATAATAGTATCAACCATACAATGGCAGTCCATTATTTATTGTTTAGCGGATAGACCTTTGTAGAAGGTAGTTGGGCTGCAGCGATGAACAACTTGAACACCCCTTCCGCTTCCAGCTATCCAATACAGTCACCGCCAACTTCCAATCACACGCACATATATAGTAGTTGTTGTAAATTACACCATACCATTCCAAACCCAATAAAGGTTGTCCAGCATCCAAGATGTTGCTGGGTAACAATTACAAATCAATCAATCAAATGTCTGTCTAGACAAACGAATGACGTTCATTCATGGGGAGTTTAGGAATTGATCGATCACGTTGGATAGAGTAGTGATTGGAGATTCGGCATAGTTGAACTGGGCAGCATTGTATCCAAACTGTTGTGCTGCATGGACATTTGCCAACTTGTCATCGATGAATATGAACTGTGACTTGTTCAAAGGTCTGGCCACCTCCAGCAATAATATGTGCTCCCAACACTTTTGGAATATCTCTTGTTGTGGCTTATAACTGTCGACCATGTACGACACGATCAATCTCTCTGTGTCAGGGAATGCCTTCAAGAACATCGGATCACTGTCACGTATATAATTGAACCAATCCTTGCCATGATTCGAAAGGATGAACATGCTTAAAGTCGTAGTAATAGTATGTTAATAAGGGCATTCATTACATAGATACAAGTGATACTCTATCATTCATACCTTGTACCGCTTTCTCTAAGTGTATTGACATATTGAAGACTGGGAGGGTTGCTGTGTAGCTCCTGTCTGGTCTGTTGAACGAAACTGTCGAGCAGCTGATCATCCATAGTCAACCCAATGTCATGGGCAACATCTTGCCAGAACTGTCTATCGGTGTAGTTGGCATCTATCCTTATCCTAGACCAATGTGTCTTTAAAGACTTGTTGAACACGTCCATCTTGGAAGGCATATTGTCTTGTACATATTGTGTTGCAAAGGTGTACTGCATATCATTGGCAAGTACACCTCCGCAATCAAATATAATATACTTCTTATTGTTGTTAGACATGTTATTATTACAATTAGTGATTGATGTTATTGTAACAATAATGAACATCAACAACAACAATGTGTGTGTTGTAGTTGTAGTAAATCTGATCATTTCTATCTCTATGAACTCATGATCATGTGACCAACAATAGTCTTCAATGATTGTAACAAGAAGAGTACATCAAGGTTATTAAGTGATGGGTAAGGGTATGGTAAGGGTAGGGTAGTGACCTTGGACCCACCCTAACACTTCCAGGTGTTGCTCAATCAACTCTCTGATGGGTAGTTTGAGCGGGGAGGGTGTTGCAATGTTGTATTGTATTACTATATATCTATCCATCCAGTTTGATGGTTGTTGACTCTATTACTACTACTACTACTACAAAGCACTACTTCATCTCCTTGATTGGTACAGACTCCAACCATAGACCGTGTAGAGTATCGTACAGATTCTTGGTGACGCTGACCTTGTAGGGTGTTGGGTTGCTTGGTCTAAGATGGTCTTCCCGGATCTTGCCCAACTCTGACAAACAGTAGGTACGTATGTCGGACAGACTTGGAAGTGGCTCACAAACGACACCTTGGTCAAACACCTTCTTGTGAAGATTGACGACGGAGGATGGTGTGACAAGCACTCTCTTCTGCTCCTCGAATGGATGCAAGCACATCACTCTCTTGCCAGCCTCTGGGATCTCATCTTGCACGTGTGCCGCTGAACCATTGTCCTTGTCACCGTTGGTGTGGTGTGGCTGGATCACCAAGAGGTCGACCAGAGGATGGCCAGCCTCTCCAAAGATGCGGTAGGCAAGCTTTCTGCCTGGCAGTGTCACCTTGCTCGACTCTTGTGAGAGCTTAATACGTGGCTGTCCATTGATCTCCACGAGCTTGTACACACAACCAAGTGCTGGCTGTGCCTGGCATGTGACCAGATTGGTTCCAATGGCAAACACATCAATCTCATGTCCTTGACGATTGAGTGCATTGATTGTCGCCTCATTCAGATCATTACTGGCCACAATCTGCAACTTGTCAAAGTAATCAATGCCATACTTTTGTCCAACCTTCTTGAACATCTTTCTGCTCTCTTTTGACAAGTATGACAAGTCTCCACTGTTTTTATAAGCGGGCAATTGTCAGTTACTAATCATTCAATCATCATTATCGATTGGGTCCAACAACATACCTGTCAAGTCTAATACCAACACCTTGGTAACCAATCTCATGAAGTGCCAACGAGACACAGAGGAAGTTGGGTACACCAGAGTTGAGTGTGTCATAAGTGTCGACAAGGGCAAGGAATCCCTTGGGGAATGTTCTGGCATATGCCAAGAAGGCGTACAACTCTGAAAGTACTGTTGTCTTGAATTCGAGCTCATCTCTGTACTTCAGTGCCAGCTTTAGAAGGTCATGAGTCTTTCCATTCGGATCGAGGACAGTTGACTCTGGGAGGTCATCAATCGCTAAGAATATGTTGAGTGTTAGTGAGCGAGCTAGCGAGCGGGTGTCAAAGCATCGACTTACAATGATAAGATGTGACAAAGCTATGTGCATGTGTACCACGAACGGGAACACCAAAGAAGCAATGAGCAAGGACGTTGCTGGTACCATCAGCACCACCAAGGTAGGCATAACGTGATGCTGACATGGCTCCATCTGGACCTTGAGCTCTGCGCAGACCAAACTCTAGCATGATCTTGTCCTTGCCACAGGCGAGTCTGTGACGGGCAGCATTGGTTGCGATCAAACTTGCAAAGTTGACCAGACAGAGCAGGGTAGTCTCGAGCAGTTGGCAGATGGCCAGTGGACCCTCGACACGAATCAGAGGGATGCGAGGGAACACGATTGAGCCCTCCTGGATGGCGTAGAGCGACACCTTTGATGCGTCCAGCTTGGAGAGGTACTCGAGGAAGCCCTCGTCACAATCGGGCAAGATCGATCGCACATGCTCAATCTCGGATTGAGTAAAGTGGAAGTCGGACACGAAGCGAATCACCTCCTCCAGACCGGCAAACACGGTGAACTCGCCACCAAACGGGTTCTTGCGGAAGTAGAGATCAAAGACGGCAGGGTTGTCGTGACGGTGATTGCGCCACAAACTGTAGGCCATCGTTATCTGATACATGTCTGTGAGCAAAGGTGTGACGAAGCCATTCAATGGCTTCAGACTGCCCTGCTTCTCCTCGTCCTGATAGACATAGTTGACTGTTGTAGCGCGCTTTAACTCTCTTGACTTTACATGACTATGTGAGCCTGCCAAGTCTGCATTACTAAGTTTTCTCTTTAGTGATGTAACTGGTGTTGTTGTCGTTGGCGTGTTGCTTGACATCTTATTATTATCTCTTTATATGTATATTATGTTTAAGTTCAATGTAATAATAATAATAATTATGTCTGTCAGAAGTCAAAAGATCATCGAGAGAATTAATATCTTCTTCGAAGAAGTGTGTGTTTTCGAGTTTGTTCACCCTGAAGATGCGATCATCAGGTGTGGTGTCACTTTTAATTTATTGGATTGATTTATTAATTTAATATTGATGGTATAGTTCCAACAATCTTGGTTCATCAGGTGATTGTTCACTTGTTTTTTATTGATCAAAACGAAAGAGATAATAATAACCTCTCAATTTGATTATATTAATATTAATTACAAATTATTTGATGATCGGGGATCGCAATAATGTTGTAAGTGGGTGGTGGGGTGATGGAAGGAGGGTGGTTTGAGCATTGGCTCATCAACAATAGTGTGAATGAGTTGATAGTGAATGAGCAGTGATAGACAGGACACTGTAGGGAGATAGAGTGAAGAAAGAAAAGAGATAGAGATAGAGTGAATAGTAGAGTAGTAGTAGTAGTCACTAATGTTAATGCTAACAACATAAAAATATCATATCACAATCACTTTATTAAACTAAAACATGGACAACAACTACAATAGAATAGTCATAGGAAGAATTAATAATAATCAATTGAGTATACCAGATAACTTATTACGTTTTATATTAAGTTTCTTAAAGGATACTGTTAGACATCATGAGACAACATGGAATCCATTGGCTGCAACATCTTTAGTCTCTACATATTGGATGACACGTATTGCCCCAAGATCAATCAACTCTCTCTCACTACTGGAGTATAATCTACAGTTCCTACACCAGTTCCCAGAGTCAGTGTGTCGCATGATAACCGGTGGCAGCACGACACAACAACAATACAACAACCGACAACATCTGAATAATATAAGACATATGTTCAATCTGAACAAGTTGACCATCACCTTTGACCCCGTCAACTCGGCACTGACTCGCATGTCTCGACAGAGCTTCGTGAACATGGTCCGCGAGATAGACATCAACAACGTCTGGTGTCTTTCAATCACCTCCATCACACTGGTCAACATCTCGGGCGGTGACCAGCTACGCTTCTTGCCTCTACTCGTCAATCTAGAACGCCTTCGAATCTATCTCATAAACTACAATCGCATCGCCATCAACTGGAACCACATGGTCAAGAACAATCCGTCGCTACAACACATCTCTATCAAGTCGTCGTCCAAGACCATCCAGCTGATGGACAGCATCGACATCTCGTCCATCCCCGAGAGGATCAGCTCCTTCTCATTGTCGGCCAGCATGATCGGCGTCAAGAACAAGATTGTCAGCAGTATGCGCAACAATCTCAATCTGCGCAAGCTCTACCTGGACAGCATCGTCATCAACTACCAAGGCCTGGCGCTACTACTACCCACGCTGGTCAACCTCGAGGATCTCGCCTTGATACATATCTACAATCCGGCCAAATGGATGCACATCAATCGTCACGTGCTCAGTGGTCTGACCCATCTTCGTCGTCTATCAATCGATCATATCATACCAGAGCCAGGCATGACCATACCACCTCAAAACTACAACATACTCTATGAGGAGCTGATCCTTTTATCCAGTCAATTGGAGCGTTTAAAGTTAAAGAATCTAGAGCTGGACCTAACGCAATTCCTGCCAATCCTCAGCTCAATGACGAAGCTGCAGCGTCTCTCCATCGATGACACGAGCGATGAGATGGCCATGGTGCTGGATGCTCTCTGGCAACCTTCAAGCCTCAACAAACTATCGATCAACTCTAGTCGTACGCTACTTCCAGCGATCGGCACACTAATTGAAAGGACCAAGACGATCAATCACCTGTCCATATCAAACTTGGCACCAGATGACAGTGAATCACTTGTGCCCAGTCTCTTGATGAACAGGTCGCTGGCAGAGCTGTGTGCCGATCATCTCATGGACCAACAGGATCGTCTACCATTCGTCGTGCACAACAAGTCTAAATTCCAGGCCAAACAACAGTCCAAGCATCATCACTATGAGAACACTCTGTTGCAGAGGATGTTCTACATACTTCAGAAGCATCAAGTACCTGCCAACGATGACGATGTTGACCCCATCATCCCGCCAATCACTGGCGTCTCTACTACCATACCAACCCCAATACAAGGTGGACACAGCTTCTGATACAAGTATGAGGTGCAACAGTGATATTAAATGCATCACTGCTTCATATATATATGTATTGTACAATCAAAAAGGGATCGTGTCTTACAATCTCTCTCTTCTCTTATGATGATGTTGATGATGATGTTGTCGTAGTTGGGATAGGGATAGGTACGTTTGCTGCTTCTTGTCCTTGCTTTAGCTCGTAGAATAGGACATAGGCCTCTGGCGATCTAACTGATGACTCACTGATTGAATAATATGAGGAGTCACTGACCATAAACCATCGGTCTCTATACTTTACGCTGGCAGTGTAATGTCCTCCACCCATTCCACCCATGTGATTCTATAGTCGTAGCGAGATTGGTTAGTATCCATTGACAATCATTCAACCAGACATGATAACATACGGAGACGGCGTAGAGTTGATAGATTGGAGGTATACCGGCTTTGTTCAACACCCATCTTGACAGGTCCAGATTGTCCAGTGGGAAGTCTATGTATGCGTTGATCTTTTCATGTCTCTGATTGTACTGGAAACGCTTCAGATGTATGATCAGGAATCTTGGTGTCTTCCAGATCTCAAGTTTCTTTGTTCCCTGTGATTGATTAAGTGATTGATTGATTGAGTGAGTGATGGAGTGAATGGTACCTTGGATTGATTGAGTGGACTTACTTCATTGTGTTGCTTGCAACCTGGACAGAACCAGGTATCGTTGGGACCTAGCTTCTCGTTCTTGGTGAACAGACTGAGACAGTCGTTGAGGTTGATCTCTCCTCGGCGTTGTGTCTTGAGTGCCACAGTTTGATCCTGCTTGACCAGGTGATGATTGTCCAATGATTCACTGTCCTCAAAGAAGGGCAATGCCTCTGGTCTCCAATCGATGATAATATTGTTGCATCCTTCACTCCAGAACTTGGGCTTGGTGAACACCTCCTTGAGTGGCGCGCCATCACACGTTATAACGCATCCTGTGCAGCCATTGGTACATCGATCACAGACATTACCATATCCATTGGCGGTCTTCAATACAAATGGATACATATATTCATTCTCAGACTCATCGTCTGTGATTGAGCTATTATCATCGTCCGTTGCCAACTGACTAACATCTGGATTGGAGAAGTTCTCTGGTGTGCTAACAGGGCTGTCCTTGTTATCTTGGTGACCACCGTTTGTTTGTTTGTTGGCTGCAGTAGTTGTTGTCGTCGCAGATGTTGATGTTGGTGCTGCTGTGGTGGTTGAGGAGTGCGCTGACACCAGGCTCTCCTTGGATGAGCGATGGACGGCTGAGCGCCATCCTTTCTTAACTCGATGTCCAACTCGCTCCCAAACCATACGATAGATGTCCTTGCAGGTGACTTGGGAGAACTTGCACAGTATGACGAATGGGATGAGCATCAGGTCCTTGTGTCTGCGATGCACGATATGTAGACGTGACACCTCTTCACCCGATCCTGGCGGCAGCTCGTAGGCAATGAGTGTCTCGCGCTCCTTGATAAATGAGAGCAACTTCTGATCGCTCAAGAAGGTGTAGATCCTGTTGTTGAAAATCTCTGCCAGTGCGATGCAGGTGGATGGGATGCCCGTCAGCATGGACAGCTCAATTCTCAGTGTCTGGACATAATCGCGTCTGTTCAGTTTGATACAATATCTTATTGGTGCCATTGCATTGTTTAGACTATAGACGCCCTGTGCATCAGGTCCAATTGGTCCAACTGGCTTACACCTATACAGCAATATCTCAAACAGTCTATCGTTGGATATAGGTATTGGCAATGTAACAAACATGAATGGATCGAATGTAATGCTGACCTTTGAGCACTTGCTACACACCAACGTACTCTTATATTGTCCTATGTTTGAATGGCGGGCGGAGTTAGTACCGGTGAGAGGCACATGCTCATGCTTTCAATCATACATACCTTGGAACAGATCAACTACAACTGATTGATTCCTCCTGAGATGATTGTCCCAGTATTCGGATGCCACGATGGAGTCCTCCCTTGGCTCCTTGGGGTCCTCCTTCTCCTCGATGTATGGCTTCTTGAGCACTCTGTTCATGTCCTCGTGCAGTCCATCGAGCAGGAATGAGATGAGCTCGTGAGAGTCCTGTTGTGAGTAGCCACTGAACTGTGGCGCATATCGACCAATGATCCACTTGAGGTTCTTGGGTGCAATACATGATGAGCCCGACCACATGTCACGCATCAACTTGCCGTAGATCTCGGCAATCTGGCCCTTCATGCCCAGTGGATTGACCTTGTTGATGTCACTCACGTAGCGGCCAGAGAGGAAGAACTCGGTGAATGGCATTGTGTGTGACAGACACTGCAAGGCAGAGTTCATAAAGCATGTGTTGCCAAGGTTGGTCAGACCGCACACACCTCTATGCTTGGCCAACTGTTGTGAGGGGTCGGCGACATAGGTGGCGGAGGCGGGCGCGGAGGATGAGGCAGCCGCACCAACACCCGAGGGATGGGCTTGCGCCGCATCCTTCTTTGGCGCCAACTTGCCCTTGAGCTTGCTAAAGAATCCACTTCGATGCTCATCACTGCTGGCGTGGAATGAGATGACGTTCAGACGATCAAACTTTAGGTCTTCCAAACTGATCGTATTCTTCTTCAACTCTTTCAACTTGACATTACGATGCTTGCCAATCGTATGTCTGTACATCACCAGCTTGCTTGAATCCGCACGTTCCCTTGCAGCATAAACTCTCTAATGTACTCAGTGGGGACCTTCGACTCCTCTGAATGATAAAGTCATAATGTTGACTCTTTGGCTGTGTCTGTTGTGCTTGTGGCTGTACCTGTGTCTGTGGCTGTGGTTGTGATGGACTGCTTTCAGTTCCATTTAGTGTAGCATGGCCATTCGATTGACCATTGACATTGTGATGATGACCATTGGTGGATTGTGCTGGAGTGGGGACGGACTGAGGTGGCGGAGCGATCAGGTTGTGATTGTATCTATGCACGTATTGCAACATGATGATCACTGGATGTACCTCTACCACTCGCTCATTCTTAATGCCAACCTCTATAACCGACCTCTTGATCTCTGGACCGCCACCATACAGTCGATGCAGATGTTGCCAAGCAGCTTCTGGTATGATCTCGTAGTCATCTCGTTCGCGAACTGTCACTGACAGTATTGGCAGTGTCTCTGAATCGTCACGCTCGATCAACGACCTGTTGTTGATAGGCTCTGGCGGAGGTATATCAAAGAATGAGTTGTCCGTGGCCATGGATGCTGTGGTGGCGCTGTGTCCATTGACTGGTGCCGCTGGGATGGCGCCAGCAGAGTGATGGCCATCCTCCAAACCAACATAGTTCCTCCACGTTGCCATCCACTGAGCAGATATTAGGAACATGGATTGGCCTGTGACCAGCTTGTCAGCTGACCGCATCGCATCCAGTACCTGTCTCTTCTGATCCTGTCTACTCTCATTGATCTTGATCATCTTTATTCTCTCACTATCATCTCCACACTCTTTAATACCGCTACTATGATGTTGTTGTTGTTGAAGTTGTTGGTGATGTTGATGCTCTGTCTCTAACATCTTATTATCTCTATATCTCTATATCTCTCTCTTTGTCTGTCTGTCTGACTGACTTCCTTTGCTAGTTACACCAACTACTCCTTGTTTCTGTGTTCGGTTGTTATTGGTTGTAATAGTCGTTGTCTATATAAGTATGAATATGAAGATGTCAATATGTATCTCTATCTATCTATCTATCTCTATGTTTATCTCTATTCTCAAACAAACATTAACAACAACAATAACAAAGATGATTAATTCAATGGATTGCAATGTTGTTGTTGTAGTTAGCCCATCCATCCATCCAACTCATCATCGACAACCTTCAACATCACATGCTATTGGTCTTGCAAGCAAGCAATCAAGCATGTCTCACTCCACAACAACAACAACAACAACAATGTTGTTGTAATGATGAGATTCAACTAGTTAACTTCTCAATACACATAATGTGAAGTGTGTGTCTGTCTATCTGTGGTTGTGTGTTGTCTGTGCATGATCAGAGAGAGTATATGGTGTGAACACTGTTGTTTGTTCACTCACTCTTTCACTCTATTTGATTGGATTGTGATTGATTGATTGATTTGATTGATTGATTGGCAACTAGTGTCTATTTGTGGTCCACCGTGATCATATCTCAATTAACCTACATTTGACCTATTCTTTGTAATTGTGTGTGTGTGTATGTATGTATATATGTATGTTGTTTAGAAGTATTATATTAACATAACATGACCTGAAACTCTAAATGAATAATAATATCACCATATTGAAACAATGTTGAACCATTTTCAATGAAGTTAGACCTCACAAGACCGTGAAGCTTTAATTAAAAAGTCAAACATTGTCAACAAAAACCTGGATCAGGGAAGAATGTTCCCAAACAGCAGCAGTTTTTTTTGCTGTCATTCTAAGGTTGGTCCAAAGATATAGAGACATAGAGACAGAGAGACAGAGAAGGGACAAAGAGAGATGGAACCATGCAGCGATGATTTGATGGAAGTGGAAGATGGTCTTAAGATGTGTACTTTACACAAGAATGAGCAACAGAGTATTATATGTTATGAATGTCACGAGCTCATATGTCATGTATGTTTGGCCAGTGAACTGCACAACAAACATCACTTTGAACACTTGGATGATTTAAAGACACAATTCACCAATTCCAATAACAACAAGAGGACAAAGAGGATTGATGCCAGACTCGACTCACTCTGGGACACATTGCAAAGCCTGGCATTCTCCTACGAGACCCATCTTACCTCGCAAAGATCTGTCGCTAATCAGTACAGAGAGTTGCATGAGTTCCTAATGAGGGACGAGAGTCTTCTCATGAAGACGATCAATGAGAGTCTAGAAAAGACCAAGACATCAATCAACAACATCATCGATGAGATTGCCACGATCAATGCACGAACAACTCACGATCTAAAAGACTACATTGTTGTCAATGGAGATGAAGATGATCAAGTTGATGGCAGAGTTGGAAAGTTGGTGCAAACGATTCAATCATCAAAGTCAATCGATCAATTCATTGGCAAGTCGTTCAAGGAATGCGACGATATCCCCATGTGGGGTGATGGTCAGTTGATGGACTTTGTAAGAAGGGTATCACAGTCCACCCAGGCCATACACAATGTCATTGAGCCAATATGGGTCCAGTTTGATTCATACCATTTGGAGAGCGGTATTATGGAGCTCTTTAATAAGTCTACCATCATTGAAGCTCCCAAACAAAAGACTGAACATGGCTTCAGGAACCACATCTTCTCATACTGGAATGACTCTTGCTCGATGCTCTCATTGGACACTGGTGAGTGGACTGTCTTTGATGATAAGTGCACACCAAGAAAGCGCATATTCAGATCGGTTGTATATGCCCGAGACAGTGTCTATGTGTTTGGCGGGGAAGGAACACCAAACACATACTCTCGCTTCTCACTCATCGATCAAAAGTGGCACAATGACCTGGAGATCATCGGTGTCGATGGTGGAGAAAGCATATCAACATGCTACGATGGTGACAAGCACATCTACTTGGTCGGTGGATTCCACAACAACATGCTATTGGACCGAGTTGATTGTTTCAACATTGACACGCAGCAGTTCACGTCATTTGGAAAAATGAAGAATGCGACCCGATCATCACACACATTCATCCATGGCAAACTGCTGTTTGTCGTTGGTGGCTATGTTGATATTGAATGCACAACCTCACTTGCCAACGTCTGGTCATTCAACCTGGAAACCAAGAAACGTGCCCTCTTCCTCAAGACTAATTTCAAACCGGAAGAAGTCCTCCAGACTTGCTACGATGGAATGCACCATGCTTTCATTATTGGCGATGAGACCTCCCTATTGGTCGAGCTATGCAACGAAAGGAAGACCAATGAGATCTGCTTGAACATCACCGATCCAAACTTGACATTAATCAATACCAAAACCCATGGATTGGTGATAGTGGATGGAGCTGGACACAACACCAGATACAAAGTATTGAAAGATAAATGGGTATCGCTCAAAGACAACGACCCTGTGGAGGATAGGCATTCCTTTGGGACATGTTATATCTATCATTGATGAATTAATTGGTTGATTAATTAATTGATTGATGAATCAAGAAAACTCTAATAATAAATAATAATAACGACTAAATAACGACATATATATAATATGTGTTATAATTAATTACAATGAGGTTTGATGTGATACATGACATGATCCATTTGTTGGATAGATGGGTGGGCCATTGTATCTCTCTCTATGAGCCTGCCTTTGTCTTGACCCAGTCGACATATTCATCCAACAATACTGGCCATGCTCCATTCTCATCATAGTTTGATGCATCAGGTGCTATTGTCTTTACAAACTCTGGAGTATATGGATGGATGTAAGTCACATGACATCCAACTACATGATTGTTGATTGAATAACTACTTACCGAATATTGATAACCATTGATCCATGTTTATACCTCTATAACTCTTTTGCTATAATATATTTGAATGATTGAACGACAAGTTAGTACCATTCATTCGTTAAAAGGGGATCAGGACACTTACATGATTGGTCAGATAGTCAATCAATTGTGTGGCCTGCTCATACTTTGGACATAATACCAGTGATATCATATCACAAGCATTGGCCAACTCCAATATCTTATTGTTCTCACTCTCCTTGGAAAACAGGAATGCAAACCTGTATATCTCTTTAAAGTTATTGGCATCATCCAAGTCCTTCCTCAAGCTTGGTAGATGTGATTGAAGTTTAGCCAATGAGTCGATCCTAATTAATTTGAGTGAGTTAGCTTTGTCCACACCATCATCCATCATCAATCATGATCATACCCTAGTTCAGAGAGTCCTGTTACAAACTCTTGTTTGGTGAAGTATCCCATGCTTTTGGCTTTCAAATGCCATGCAAGTACCAACATTACAATCTAATAATGTGATCATTGAGATGTTAGAACAAATTTGAATCAAGTCCATAATCCATAAGGATACATACATCCTCTGGCTCTACACCTAGATCGGAGCATAACTGCACCACTCCATCTGGTCCGATCGAGTCAGTACCTTGTTCTCTATACTTCTCAAAGAATTCCTCCAGTCTTTTGGTCTTGTCCCCCGGTGTATCCTACATAGAAACGAGTGAGAATCATGTTGCCAATACCCGGGTCAAAGGGTATGTATACATACCTTATGTGTTGTAGTATCTACCGTTGTTGCATTATTGTTTGTAACTGATCGTGCTCTACTACTACCGCCGGATGTTGAAGATGGTCCGCCACCAGTTGCTGTCAACGTTGTTGTATGTGGCGTTACAGACGCAGGAACAGGAAAGTCAATCTCACGATCTATCTCACTCTTATTCTTTGATTTGGAATGTTTATTCTTCTTTGGTCTTTTATCAAGGTCCTTATCCTTATTCTTTTTTGATGAACTGTTACCCATTACTACTACTACTAATACTACTTTACAACTATGTTACTTATATTATATCTATTTGTCTTTGTACACTATACTATACTATACTATATACACATAATTTAGATTGAATTGGAATTGGAATGATTGATGATTGAATGAATGAATGCCACTGTATGACTCGGTGACACTCACACGGTGGTCTCGCGTCCAACATAACAACAACCAGAGTATTTTTGGAATTGCCCCCACTGTTGTTCGATCTTGAATCACCACCAGCCCACTCCGATGATGCTTGGTGCTGTGGATGAATGAATGAATCCAAACAACAACAACAACACTAGTCCTACAACAACTTGCAAACAGAAAAAGGATAGATAATCATTACTTTATTGATTGACAGTTGATGTGATAATACGTGTGATGATAAAGAACATCCATCTATCCAATCAATTAATCAATGAATCAATGAATCAACCAATATTTAGAAGAGGAAAGAGAGAAAGAAGAAGTTTATGCTACAATGGATGACTTCTTGCCAGTCTTTTGAATGTTGGTCAAGAGCTCCTCAGCTGTCAACTTTGTGCTGTCACACTTGACGATCTTCTTCTCGAGATCAATCTGAATGTTTGAAACTCCATCTATAATCATAGGAATGAATGATGTCAGTGTCATTGATATCAATGTTGTATCCTGTTTGTTTGATCAAGTGTTCACTTCTTCTTACCCAACTTTGAGAGGATGGCATTAACAGCCTTTGAGCAACCTCCGCAGGTCATATCAACATTGAATGTATGCTAAAGTAAAGACATGAAGAGTCGGGTTTTGTTTGGTCAATAACTCAAGCAATCATTACAATCAAGTAACTACATACGCTAGTCATTGTTTAGTGGATTGTTGTTGTTTAATATTATAATATATATAGGGATACAGGAGAGTATTATTAATGAAAGTGAAGTGAACTGTTGTTTGTTGTTGGTTTGATAGTTCACCAAGTTGATCGAAAACCAAACCCACACAGATTCCCACGTCAATCTACAACAACATCACATCAACGACGACAACAACAACAATCAACTACAAACACATGTCAGTCAGTCAATTACATTATCTGTACACATCATGATGATTGAATGAATAGTGGATGACATTGATTGATGTGTATGTTCACAACTTGTAAACAGACAGAGTGCCATTGGCAAATTAAAAACAAAGAAGTCTCTTCTTCTTCAACAAGGTTGGTCGTCGATACTGTCCATCCATCCATCCATCCAATCATCAAACCATCTCATCCGTTTGATGAGACTAACGTTCAAACAAATCGATAGATAGATAGATAGGATCTCAAAGGATGTAGGGGAGTGTCTCCGCGATGCCGGGCCAATCAATGAGACGATCAGGGTGTCTTTGCCTCCCTATCCTATTACATCAATCAAAAAAAAAAAAGAATAAAAAATCTAACTTATCGTTTGAGTGAAAAAGGACCAAACCCGCAATACTACACTGAGTGGAATCATCACTACAACATTAATAATAGCTTTGTCCTTCTTCCTCCTACATACTAGTACATTCATTCATTCATTTACTGTTAACAACAGATACCTACAGTCAATCAATCAGTCAGTCAGTCAATCAATCAGTGATTTGTTAATCATTATTATAACAATCACACACACACAAGATAGAGAGATAGAAACTGTTCACACGACAGCCCAACAACACACCTCAAACGACCCCCTTGTTCATTTCTTCTTCTTCATTCAACTTCAGAAGAGTGATAACGAGTATTATTATTATTATTAATAATAATTATTATTAGTGTGTGTTTGTACAACAACATAAGAAAGAGATAAAGAGAGTGAAAGCGTGAAGATAGATAGATATAGAGTGCGTACGAAGGTCAACCAACGCAACAACAACAACATCAGATAATACAAGCATTTTTCAGTAACAACAGTAGTAACAAGTAAACAGACGCAATAGGAACACTTGTCATTATCATATATTTATTTATAAACATATATATAACATAATAATAATAATATATAGCACACGATGAATATATTCTTTAATAAGAAGCAAAAGACTCCAGCTGAGCTGGTCAAGTCAATCAAGGAATGTCTATCATCGATCGAGAAGTCTGGTCCCAACTCAAAGTCATCTGAGAAGGTAATACAATAACAGCAACAGCAGGACATGTGATTGATTGATTGATTGAATGATGAACATTGTTTGATTGACCCAAAATACAACATTATTATGATGTAGGCATTGGAGGAACTTTCAAAGAGTATGCAGGACATCAAGAAGGTGCTGTATGGCGATGGCGAGCATGAGCCCAACGCTGAGCAATCAGCCGCTCTCTGCAATGAGATCTGCTCAAGCGATGTTATAGCACAATTGATCAACAATCTTGGCAAGCTCGAGTTTGAGGCCAAGAAGGACTTTGCTCAGATATTCAATCATCTGCTAAGAATGAAGAGTCCACGTTCAACCGTAGAGTACATTGCCAAGAATGCTGACATATTGAACTCTTTGGTCAAGGGGTATGTTCTCGCGAGCATTCAATCATCTCAATCAATCATCTCAATCAATCATCTCATCATCTAACTCAATTGACATACATAGATATGAACAACAAGACATTGCACTTAACTGTGGAACAATGCTTAGAGAGTGCATTAAGCAGGAGATGTTGGCAAAGGAACTTCTTTATTCACAGAACTTCTGGGAGTTCTTTAACTTTGTCGAGATGTCCAACTTTGATGTGGCATCAGATACGTTTGCAACATTCAAAGAGTTGTTGACCAAGCACAAGACACTGAGTGCCGAGTTTCTGGAAAGGAACTACGACCAAGTCTTTGAACGATACACAGTCCTTCTCAACTCACAGAACTATGTAACAAGAAGACAATCAATCAAGGTACGTACCTTCATTCATCATGATTCACTATTGATCGATCACATCACTCACTCATACATACATCATATGTTCAATCAATATATAGTTATTAGGTGAACTGTTATTGGACCGTTCAAACTTTAATATAATGACCAAATATATAAGTTCAGCAGCCAACCTGAAACTGATGATGAACCTGCTAAGAGATAAGAGCAGAAGTATTCAGTATGAGGCATTCCATGTGTTCAAGGTGTTTGTCGCCAATCCAAACAAGACCAAGCCAATCCTAGACATCCTGTCCAAGAACAAGGAGAAGCTGATAGTATTTTTAACGCAATTCCATACTGACAAGGGTAAGTTCATCTCTGTAGCCTCGATCAATCATTCAATCAAAACATGTACTGACAAGACGACTATGACCACGCACTCACAACAGAGGAGGATCAATTCAATGATGAGAAGGCATTCTTGTTGAAGCAGATCCAAGCAATTCCAACTGATTAGATTATATTTGATACAAACACCAACATCATCCATCATCACAACCATCATCGAATCACCATTCATCCATCCAATCCAGCAACAGCGGCCTCCCTCCAAATCATTTATCCAATTCGCATTTCAAATATGATTGTTTGAATGATCGTAATCATTCATTCATTCATTCATTCTCAAGTCTATACTGCTCCAACAACAAACATACAATCAAACAATCAAACAAACAAACAACCATTAACCAATGTTTTATTAATCACAGCATCACAACAAAGTGACCATTCTTCTTCTATTCTTCTATCCATACATACCACAACTTTACAATAAAATAGGTATACAACAATAGCACCATTCATTGACAACAACAATCATACCATCTTTATCTTTGCCAATTACCAAAGTGAGTGCCTAACAATACAATGACAAGGGTCACGACCTTTCCATTTCTGATGGAGGCTCTCTCTCACGCACAGTTGATTTTTTTGGAGATTTTTGTTTGAGTGTGCGTGATGGCCTTGATAATGTGTGTTGGCGTCAGTTTGATTCGATTGTGTTACTTATGTGGGAGGGTTCGCAGCGAGAGGCAGTGTTGCGTGGCTTGGACTATCCAAACTTGCGATTGTGTCAATCAATTAATCAGTCCTGTCAGGGTAGTCATTCAGTCACACATACTTATACATACACACACACACACACACACACACACCATACCATAATCAGCATTGTAGCACCATTATATATACATACATACTCACTTGTTATTACCTTTATTATTTAATTATTAATATTGTTATAGCATATTGATAAACAGATAAATAGTTAAACAGTTAAACAGATAATATTAGTACAAGTAGTAGTAGGACTGGGATTTAGAATGACACTGAGATGAAAAAAGTATCATCGATCAATAGTTTCTTTAAGAGAATCAATCAATCTAGTTCGTCGTTGCCAGTGGGTGGCGTGTCGCCTGGCAGCGGAAACACTGCACCATTGTCAAGCTCGACACAGGTCACTGGCGTGGAGTACGACCCCGAGGACAGCTTCTTCAGCACGACACCACTTAGCACGCCATCCTCATCGCACAGCTCACTGCCAACGGTAGGCGGAACAGTCGTCGATCAACACAATGTGGATGGCGCGGCATCCTCCTCGTCTGCCGCACAGCCACACCAATCACAGCAGACGATGGCCGTGTTTGCTGAGCAGATCTTAGCCGCCACAAACAACCTGGCCATCGATAACTATATATTCAGTCCGCGCACATCGCCCGCTGGTTCGCTGCGCGACGACGACGCTCCCAATGACTGCGCGGCGGACGAGGCAGAGCCACACGCACCACCCGAGGTGATCAAAAGTGCTTTGATCATCTCGACAGAGACCGTGGCACCCAATCACAAGCAACCGTACACGGCCTACAAGATCCAGGTCGAGACCAATCGCACAATGTACAACGTGTTGCGTCGCTACTCTGAGTTTCTCGAGTTTGACCTGAAGCTGCACGCTGCCTACCCGCTGAGTCGTCTGCCATTCCCGCCCAAGAAGACCTTTGGCAAGATGAACAATGAGTTTATCGAGCAGCGCAAGGACCATCTCCAGCAGTTCATGACGGCACTCTTCACCCATGCCACACTCGTTAATCTCCCCAACGACCCCCTCGTCGTAGCCTTCTTTGCTCGCAGCTCAACAGACATGCGTCATGACACTGTATCACCAATGCGAAACAATGGTCTCACAGCTGACGACCTTAGTATGTACTTATGTTGATTGTTAGATTGATTTATTGATCGACACTAACACTGCTCCACCTCATTAGTCGTCAAGTACATTATATCAACACTGCCATTCTGGTCGGACAACTTGGACTATCGCTCATTGTTGTCATTGACAGAGACTTGCAACTATTTGATGAACACCGTGTCGCATTATAGTGATCTTTGGCGACGTCACTACTGGCGACAGTATAACGCACTGCACTTTGGTGTGTCGAGAGCGTGCTCTTGCTCAGCGGACCTTGGCGGCAACGTCGTGCCACCTCGTGATCGTAGCAACAACAATTCACGCCGCGACAATAGTCTGTCGGGCTCACAATCTGGTTCGCCCAGCCCATTCAACCACATCAACCATGCGTTCAACTCGCTCAACAGCTCGTTCAACAACATCAACAACCCATTCACGAGTATCATCAAGCGCAACCATCAGAAGCAGAGGTCATTGGATCACTCATCGTCATCACTCAACAACAGCGGCTCAGGCATCCCCAACAACAACAACAACCACAACATGTTGAACCAGTCATCGAGCAGCCTCAAGACATCGCCACACTTGGGCAACTCCCCAGCTAACAGTTCATCATCGCTCAACACCGACACTGTGGAGTACTCAAGACAACTGTTTCTTCAGATGCTCTCGGTGCATCATTATATACGCACGTCAGCCGACTCCCATCGCCTGTCCGACTGCGACTGCATGGCGCCCAAGTTCAAGGGAACGATCATTGGCATGCCCAACATCACCTCTTCATTCCTCCAATCATTCCACACCGAGTTCAAGGGTGCCAACAACCAGCAACCACACCAGAACAAGTTCCAATCGCTCACATCCTCAGCCGACCTTGACCAAAACCAACAACAACTACAGCAGCAACAACAATCCAATGGACTGCAGGTGTCTGGCGAGCGTCCACCTCTGAGTATGAGTGCTTCGAGCGATCCTATCCACCTGTCCTCCTCCGTCTCGTCGACATCAGAGAGTGTGGACATTGACTCGGCCAGCAACTCAGTTCCACCAGCCAACTCAGCGCACACAACATCAACCACCACGTTCAAAGTGTCGCACATTGTGTACAATGGCCGTCTGCTGTGCGTCAGCACACAGGACTCGACCAACCTGTCCAAGGAGGAGCGCAAGTACAATCTGTCACTGTCACACTTTGTCGTGTTGGTCTTCTCGCTGATTGATGAGGCCTCGTTCGAAGCCATTGGTGAATGGTACGAGGAGGTCAAGCAGATGTGTCCCGAGTCACCCATCATACTTGTCGGTCTGCAACGTGACCTGCGCGAGAAGGTGTCCGAGTCCAAGCCAACAGTCTCCTATCAACAGGGCTTCCAACTGAGCCAGAGGATACCCAACTGCGTCGGATACTTTGAGTCACCCAGCGCTAGTGATGGTGTCGGAGGATGGCGTCTCTCTTTGCTCTCCGAGTTGGCATCACATCTCGTCAATCACTTCCGTCATGTGTTTGTCCAAAATGGCCACAACAACAACCACAGCAGCAGCAACAATAAGAAGAACATACAGACTATCAAAACTAGCTTCCTCTCAAAGATATTCCCCAAGTATCCCGAGGAGGTGCTGTTCAAGACGCTGAACAACAATGATGGCGATGTGGAGAAGTGTCTGGAGCTGCTTGCACAGGACTATGGCAGCTTTCTCGAGTCCTCTGAGGACAGGTCTCGCAAGTCCATGCAGATCAGACGTCAGAGCATTGACAAGAGCGTTGGAAGTGTCGTCAGCTCGTGGGTGTCACCGCCCACCAGCTGGAGCGAGAGTCCCAGCTCGCCACTGCGCCAGTCGGTCAAGATCTCCGAGAGCCAGATCAACTCTCTGGTAGAGAAGCTCAAGAAGAACTGCGACCAGTTTAGCAGAGGATTCCTACGCAAGAAGAACCAGTCGCAGGATCAGCAGGCCGAGATTGTATTGTCATTCCTCAGGGAGATGGGCACACAGTTGAAGTCCAGCCAAGTGTTCAGTCCACACGTACAGAACGGCGAAGCCGACGAGGACCTGACCAGTCTTCCACTGTCCGAGATTGAGAACCATCTCTACACCACAATCTACAAGGCAGTGTTTGCCACTAGCGAGTCCCTGGAGAAGGATGAGTTGCTGACCGATCGCATGAACAAACTTGTGTTTGTCGAGCCACAACACCTAGAGATCAATGAGATGCACTGGAACAAAGACCTTTGGACCGCTGCCGAGAGGGAGCTGTTGAATCTCAACGAACTGTCCTCGCCCTCACAGAAGTTGGAATGTATTCTTAACTGTTGTAAAATAATATTGTGTAAGTATACCTTGTGGCCGGCACCCTCATCCGTCTGGCATAGACACTAATCATTACTTCAACCTTTACAGTCCTGTTGTCCAACTCTGAGAGTCCTGGAGGTGCAGACGATTTCCTTCCACACTTGATCTATGTTGTCATCCATTCCAAGGTGCCTAACCTCTTCTCCAACTTTGAGTAACTATCAATCAACTCCCATTCATTCAGTCAATCAATCAACTCTAACATGTTACCTCTTTCCTTAACAGGTTCACATCCAAGTTCTGTAACACAGAGTTGTTGAAGATGGAGCGATATTACTATTTCACAACGTTTGGCATTGCAGTCACATTCATAGAGAACATTGATGTCAAGCATCTAAAGATTGATCCAGACGAGTTCAATGCTTATATGAGTGGCAAGAAGAAGTACGTACGCAGGGATACATTGTCTAGCGATGATGCAGTTAGAGCCAAGATCATGCAAAGTATTGGTGATGGTCTGGAACAGAACACATCGTCTTCCCCAGCGTCTACCGCCACAGCACCATCATCACCAAGCAGATGAACTGGATGAAGTTAAACACAACAATAGTAATAGTAGTATAGTAGTTATGAGCGTAATAGCAACAAACAACAACAATAACCCAATCAACCAATCAACCAGCAGCATCACTACATTGGCAGTACTCATCAGCACCAAGCAATGTATTGCTATCAAACAACAAGCGACATAGAGTTCGTTTGGATATGTTGGCAAGGTGTATGATGTAATGTACTATCATCATCACCTTGCACCACAATGTTTGTTCATTTGCCAATGAAGGACCCAACTATCCTTGGGATATTTATTCATTCTTCAAATCCATTCTTTTGATAATTCCGGTTGGTGATTATTGACAAATGGATTCAGCTTGAGACTTGGTCCATAACTTGATGTCCTTGTAGAAGGAGATCGCGGCCAATGGCTGTAGTCATCCATAATGGAGAGGTCATCAGGCCAGTGAAGGTGCAGAGTGGTCGCCAAGCGTCTCGCGAATTGGTGACAGTTGGTAATTGTTCCCCATTGTCGATTATTGTTACAGGGCTCTTTGATGAAGTTGGAGAAGACCGCAACTGTGTGTTCAGTGAACTCAATGAAGTCAAACTCGGTGGTTGCCCTGCCTAGAGGAACAGACTTGAACAGAAGGGGAGATGGGGGGTCCTTATTGTAGCGACAGTAATCGTAGACAACTTCCTGGGATTCCTCCGGCTTCCTGTACACCAAGTGCATTAAAAGTCCAACAGGATTGGCAATGTTGGTAGTCTCACCGTACTAGTCCAATACAAGGGAATAGTGGCCAAGGTGGTCAGAAGATTCCAGTGGGAATTTGTAGATGAGTAGATATACTTGCATAGCCTTTGCCTCGTCGACGACAACGAGAGGGAACTCAGACATTCCTGAAGTGTCTTCATACCCAGGGGATTGTTTCTTAGACTTTGAATTTATGATACCCATCTTATTCTTTATCTCTATCTATTTAATGAGCTTGGCTGCTAATATTAATATTCATTGACTTGCTGGATATAGATAATGACCAGTAATGGTGATGATTACCATCTATATCGTTTCACACCAACCAGTGTGAATGAAGACCTCCCTCTTTATTGAAATACTGAACTTCAATTCATTACAATGGAATTCCCAACAGATGGCAGTTGTCTGCATGATGATGACGGTACAGTGCTATCCCTCTCCATTAGCAATTTGAGGAGGTCGCCAGGTCTGATCCCAGGTGTCCAAGAAATTCATATGATATATACTTGATTGTGTTCGCACCATTCATTCCAACTACTTCTTCTTTGAGGCAGCAGCTGGAGGGTCCTTCTCGAGAATGTTGTGATACTTGGCACCAGTTTCTTTAGCCTTCTCTTTGAATATCTTGTCGATTGCATGCATTTGACTTGACAACTTTGATTTGTCATCCTTGCCAGTTTTCCTCTTCTTCTTTGCGGCTGCAGAATCGCCAGCCATCGCCTGCTTCAGTAATTCAAGTTCCTTTGACTTCTCTCCCATCTTGTTTGTGAATCCTTCATAGTTACTGTGTGTAATTGAGTTGTAAGTAGGTCACATGCGTGTGGATGGACAGTGAATCAGAACATGGTGGACTTACGAATATGCTTCATTATAGCCATCTGACTCTTCCATCTTCCTCTTGATGCTCTCTGGTAATCTTTCGGAAATGTCGTCTTCAGAGTCGGACGTTGGGGGAGATTCAAGCATGAATGGTGCATTGTCCTCTTCTTGTCGTTTGTCAAACACATCATCAGTGTTTGGATAGGCCTCTTCATCATCGTCATAATCATAATCATCCATGTTTGATGGTAGTGCAGGTCCTGCTCCCTGATCCTCTACCTCCTCCTCCTCGTCCTCATCCGATTGTGGTGGTCGCTGAGCTCCAATGAATTCACCATCTTCCATATCTTCATCCTTCTTCTTCTTCTTTGAATTGTTATTGTTCTCTTCCTCATCGCCATCGACACCAATTGGTTTAAACTCCTCATTCTCCTCTTTATCATTGTGGAAATATGATTTCTTATCGTCCTTTTGAATCGCAATCTGTTGCTTTGGTTCGCAGACATAATCATCCGCGTCTGAGAATATACTGTGGTGAATAGAGTGTTCGTCAGTCAGTGAGTCTGAGCATTCCATTGACTTGGATTTTGATGATCCATCCACTTACTCATCATCTGATTCAATCTGTTGTTGATGATCTTGTTGTTGATGTACAATGGTAGAAGTTGATGTGGCACCAGCTTGTTCCTTGGATGCATGTGAATGTGTGTCATCTGATTGATTGCTCTGAGGTGATAATAATTTGGTCATCCTCTTTATGATTGATGTATCTACACGTCCTGATATTGTCTCCTACATGTATCAATGGGGTAAGTCAGTAACAGACATCGGTGGGTTCACTCAATCAATCACGATTGATGTGATCTAACATACTCTTGGAGGCGGACAGTCATCCTTGCTGATTATAATGGTTGTTGGAAGGTATTGAGAGAAATGTGCATCGAGGTCAAAGACATAGTTCATCCTGCCAGGTAGGAATAGATCAGTGCTGTGAGTGCGAGTAGCGTTCTTCTTCTGTTCGCTACGCTTCATCTCGATGTATCTCTCTGCCTTGTAAATGGACTCTGCTAGTTTAGAGTGCAGTTGTACCTGTTTCTCCTTTGTCTGAGTGCGATTACTGTTGTTGTTGTTGTCATCTTGATGTGCAATGCTGCTATCTGTTTGTGTCTCACTGTTGTCGTTTGTGCCGGGCAGCTCATCTACCTCTCTCGCCCTGGCCAATGCCTCGAAATCCAGTCCACGAGGTCGTTGTCCATCCTCATCATCATTATGTTTCCTTCTCTCTTGAGCACGGTCTCTATAGTTTGGGTCGACATGCTTTGGAAACAGTTCAGCATTCTTTGTTGGTATCCACTTTCTCTTTGACTTTGAGGCATCATTTGCAACACTCTTCTTTAATGATGTTATTGTCGCTTTATTCGTAGCACTACTACCACTACCAAACCGTTTACTAAACTCTTCATTGGTCAATGATTCTTCAGTGATTGATTGAGTCAGTGAGTGATTGTGAGTGATTGAATGACATGCGTACTTACTATTCTCTTCATCCATTGTTGTTGTACATGTATGATTATTATCTTTGAAGAGAATGAAGAATGAAGTTTGATTCGAAGTCTTGAATTGATTTAGGGGTGAACAATGATCCAACAACATTACCTTATTTGGAAATACAGATTGCTTGGTGACACACTTACAATGCGAAGACATTATCCTCCTTCATTCACATCCTCATTCATTCATCACTACAGGTAAATAAATAGAGGTAAAGAAAGTATTTATGTTTATAATACAAGAAAGTAAGTATAAATAAATAAATAAAAAGGAGTCTCAAATTCTACTATGCTTGTTGCTGTAAGTATGAATTGTACTTGATGACCTCCTTGAGTACCAGTTCGATACATTGTTTGATGTTGTTGTTGGTCTTTGCACTGGTTTCAATGAATGGACATCTGAACTCATCGGCCAATGCTTTGCCCTCGTATGCTGGTACCTGGCGCTCTTTCTCCATATCACTCTTGTTGCCAACGATAATCATTGGAATACGCTCGGCATCCTTGGCCCAAAGGATCTTCTCACGGAGCTCCTTGAGTTTCTGGAAGCTTTCACGTGATGCAATACTATATATACATACGAAGCCTTCGCCTACACGTATCGACTTGTCCTGCACGCCACTTGTGTACTCCTCCTGACCAGCCGTATCCAATATTTCCAAAGTTATCTCTTTGCCATCTATGAAATGATCCTTCTTATAAGCATCCTCCACAGTTGGGTCATAGTCTGCTACAAATCTATCCGAGACGAATCGTATACTAATACTTGTCTAAGAGTTATGATTCCCAGAGTCAGTACATGAGCAAAGCTTATTGATTGATGGAGTGATTGATTGAGTGAGGTATATATACCTTTCCAACTCCGCCCTGTCCTAGCATGACCAACTTGTATTGTTTGCCATTTATGAAGCCACATTCTTTCCTCTCACCAGTGCATGGTACTGACTTTACTACCTTCTTTCTCTTTGAAAGTCCAATACCCATTCTTGATTGAGTATGTATATATATGTATGTATATATAATAGGTATCTATTTTAAAGTTGGTAAGATGGCTGACTAGTCAATAACAACAACCTCATAATAATAATTCATAGGTATTTCCATTGCCTTCCCTTCACCCAACTTACAGATAATAGATGACCTTCCAGTGATCCAGATGGTGGTGTTAATTGGTGTTGGCAGATACTGATCTTGAGTGGAGATAAATGGGTTGATGTTATTGTTGTTAACAATAGGGTGTTTGACTGATCAATGAGTTTGATTGATTGACAGGTGAGTAGCGATCAGATCGGGAGTGAAGATCTATTATCTCTATACTATATGTGTGCACTTGGAATGTAGGGGTGTTATGTTATGATTGATTGATTGTTTGATTGAAAAGATGTCCTTCAAACAAGTCCTCTCTTTGCTATCATCTTGACACCAAGCAATTCGAGCTAAACAACCTTCTCCTCTCCATTCATCATCCATAAATGGGGAATAGATTACTCTGAATAGAGAGTAACCCAACAATTTAAGAGGCCTCCTTGATTGTGGCGTGTGGATTGACACGAAGAACCCATTGGGTCCTGTCCTACAACATCACTCACTTGCCGACCTCCCCACCAATTCAAGCAACCAATACACCACAACAACAAACACGAACACTGTTGAGATCCTTTCGCCCCACACCCCACATCTCGACAGTGATCACTTCTGATTGATCATCCCACACACAGACTTGTCCCGAGGTCAATGTAGGTTTAATTTATGTCATCCTGATCATTGATATAATTACTACATGAGTTGGTACCTGATTGGCTTGGTACCATCTTCTTATTCTTCTTCTTCTTTCTTCTTCGTCATCTTCTGTGAAGGCACATGACACACGATCACTCCATCATTCATTGGATTGGGATATTTGTAGGGCCTAGGCTACCAATGGATGAGGTCGTCGTCTGGAGAGACACCAGCTGTTTGTTTGCCGCTAGTGTCGGAGAATGAAAATGTGTCGTCCAACAGGTTGTACTTGGCGGTGGTGCCATCAGGTGATGTCAGTGTAGTGGTGGTCAACGGTGATATCTTGATGGCTTGTGGTCGTTTACGTGCTGATGATGATGATGAGTTATTGCTATTGCTGTTTGGTTTGGTTGGTAATGTTGGTGTTGTTGGTGTTGTTGTCGTAGTTGATGATGATGGTGATGTTGGTATTGGTGGTAATGGAGCTGCAACACTCCTTCTATTATTGCTTATACTATTACTACTGAGATTGATGCTGTTCCTGTTGGATGATTGGTCATTGCTTGATTGTGGAGGTGGTATATTGGATCCTGAGTTGGACAGTGGTTTGGGTGGAAGTGATGGAGGTGAAAGTGGAGGTGATGTGGCCTTGTTGTTGTAGTTTGAACCAAGTTGTGGCGTAGACGTTGATATCATTGAGTATCTGTTCAATGATGGCTTGGCTGGTAGTGTTGGCGGTACAACACTCTTTCTCCAATTATCGCTGGCAGCTGTAGTAGATGCAGTTGTCGAGGAGGTGGTCGATGTTGGTGAGGTCGGGCCTGCCTTTGGACGTTGTTGATGTTGTTGAAGTTGTAGTTGATGTTGTAACAATAGTACACTCTGTCTGTTTAGTCTTGGCGGTGTCTCTGGTGCCTCAACAGACTCGCCACTGTATAACAATTGATAGTTCCTGATCATATACTCGATGGTGGCATTGGCCTCGGTGATGGATTCGATGTCCAACTGGAGGGGATAGAGCATGTTGGGAGCCAATACTACAGCCAGGTTGCTCGACGTCATCTTGTTGCTCTGCTTGTTGGCCGAAATGTTGGACAGCATACCCAGTATGATCTTGCAGAGTGTTTGATTGCGGCGTGGCAGCGTCTTGAGGATTGATGCCAACTTGTTCACAACTATCATGTTCTCGTGTGGTGGCAGCTGTCCACCACTCGCCTTCTCATCGCCAATTGAATCGACCACTGGCTGCACCAGAGGCTTGAACAGATCGTAGGTTAGCAGTGGTGTTGGCAACTCTCGAAGGAAGCACTTGATGAATGATGTGACCATGTGTGGATCCTCGATGCCTTCAAAGTCCTTCCTCGAGCCATTGTTGATGGCCTCCTTCATCTCGTTGAAGTGTCTCTGGTTTGCCGACACTCTGAAAAGGCCCTCTGTGGCCAGCGCGTGTGGACGCTCCAAGTACTGCACAGCTTTGTAAACAATGTTTGGCACCTCCACCTTGTCTCGCTCCTGAAGTGTCTCGAGTGATATGCCAAAGAATTGAGTCGCAGGCGATGATGAAGATGATGTGGAGGAAGTCGCGACTTCTGGCGAAGTGAATGCACCTGATGATGAAGTCTTGAGCACTTGACGTTTCATGTTGTTGTTGTTTGTGATCTCTTCGACCCTCTTCTTCTTCTTCTCGACAATGGCCGTCCTGAGCTTGGCAGTGGACAACTTTTGTCGCTCGATATTTGGCAAGATCGCACGGACAATGTCCAAACTCTTGGCAAAGTAGTCCTCGTAGACCTTGATGTAGTCGTAGACCGTGTCGACACTCTCGATGGTGACCTTATCAATGATGTCCTCGAAAATGAACAATGACTCCATGGCAATGTCTGAGAATTGTTGATTGGCGATCTGGAAGTCCTGCTCCGCTTCCTGGATCCTCTCGGCCGTCGCCAGATTACGTCTCTTCAATGTCTTATAAGTTTCTGTTGAGGCATCCAGTGATATCCTTGCCTTCTCATATCTACCCTTTGCCAACTATGTGTTCGCGTGTGTGCGTGGCGAATGTTAGATTCGTCACAACCTTGCCTGGATCACTCACGTGATACCTACATTCGCATCCTTCAGTTCATTCTTTAGATGTTCCTGCCATTGGTTATACAAAGTGGAGTTGATACCAGTATCCTAGATTGGATTGATTGAATGTGAGGATTGAGTGAGTGGATGATTCCATGAATGTTTGATTGAATGTTTGATTGGTAACATACCAAGGTTGTTCGAAGGATCTCAAACTGATTGTGCATGTCACCTAGGATAGTGAAGGTTGGACCGAGGATTGCAGCGCTGGACGAGGTGTGACCCTCTTCTTGCAGTAGTTGATTGCCACACTCACTGAAACAATCGGCCAGCGAGCAGTTGTCAGTGATCAATGCTTGATGTGCCCTCGACTGCTTTGCCAGACGACCACTGAAATCCTTTATATTATTCCTAATGTCCTCCAGTGACTTTGTCTTTATCCTATAATCCGGTAACTCTACCAACGAGTCACGTTTACCCATCTTCTCCCTGACCGATACCTTGGCCTCTCCGACCACCTTATTTATCTTTTTCATATTATCTCTTTCTTTGAGTGATTATTATGTTTGTATATGTATAATAGGGCAGGGTGTCTATTCAACAATGTTTGACAAGATTGATTTTTTTGGTGTAAGATTATGTGAGTTCGAGGCCTGCAAAAAATCAAAGGTGGCTCGATTTTGCAAAAACAACCTATCTTGAGACCCACCCTTGGTCCGACACCTTGTATGATGCCATGCCATTGTCCAATGTCCAACAGATCGTCAACAACCCCAGTTGACATTATGTAGTCTGTCAACTAAACCCTGGGTAGTACTACCCAGTGGGTACACATATCCTATCCCGTGATAATATCGACCAATCATCGACCCAATCAATCAGTGAAACAATGAATAAATAAATTGATCGGAGCATGCGATCCAAGTCAAACTTAACTTCGGCGCGTTTGAAGGGTGATGGCTCACCACCATTGCCATCACCTTCAAACAGATAAGTGAGTACCTCGTGAAAGTTGTCACCAGTGGCCAAATTAATATAGTACAGCGAGGGAAGATGTCTCCGAAGCTGTGCCGGTGTCGTGCAACGCTGGTGCACCAGACGAATAATGTCCAACTTTCCATACTGGCAGGCCCCGTCCACTAGGAATGACACGATGTTGTCCTTGGGGTCATCGACTGTGATGTAGCCCTTGTCAAAGAGATGTGTGAGGATCTTGGTGCTACACAAGTGTAGATTGAAGAGCCTGCCGGTATTGTATTTAAATCCACCTGTTGCTGTGACTTTGATGGCCACCTGGATCAGATACTCCATTGACTCGATGTCGTCTTGTTTGATACATGTGTCGATAATCTCCCCCATGACGGGAGGGTTTATCATGTGCACTGCGCTATTGGAATCACCTCTTTCGAAGGTTGACATCTTCTCCACCAAGAACTTGATGATTTTGAGTGAACCAATGCTCGCTGCTTGCATCAACATAGAGCCTAGACATCTATACGACAGATTGGGCGCATCATCCATTATATTGGCAAACTCGTTGAACACGTCCTCTGTCACCTTGCTGTCGGGAAGGCCTACGTTTTTCATCAATTCGCACATGAGAGTAGTGTTGAGAACGTACTTTGGTTTGCGCTTCATGATCAAGCGGTGAAGATCATTTCATATATTCTCATGCACAAACATATGTTTCAATCTCCACCGCTAAAGTACCTTATAACTTCATTTGCCAAACGCTTATGTAGTATGTGTATTAGTATTGATCAGTTGATTCTGGCTACCCCCAAGAATAGGCCACCTCATCACACTTAGACATCAGGACAAATGAATAGAGATAGGCACTTAATTGACTCACCGTGTATTGTCAAGAACATCACAATATCACCCTCCTTGCATGCGACGATGCCACAGCGATCTGTGACGTGGATGTACACGGCTGGGACATGCACCAAGCCTCCCCTCTCTTGCCCATCCCTATTCAACGCAACATCCTGCGATATCTCCTCCATGAGCACCATCATCAATGCATGGCAACCGTTGCGTTGGTCTGTCGCCGGTGGTTCAACATGGCCTCCTCAGAGCGTGTGGACGTGGTCATTGACAGGTCACTGGCATTTGTCCACTCGGTCATCATCAGGCGGCAGCTGCTCTTTCGGAACATTGATCGACTGCATCTGGGCGAAATGCCAATCGATGATGAACAACAACAACCTGCTCCCATCGCAAACGACTGTGTCTTGGATACATTCTACCAGGCGATTCGATCCAATGGCATCAAGGTTCGCCATCTCTCCATTCAAGGTGTCCGATGGCGTTGCTCATTGATCGGTCCAGACACATTCAAACACGTCACCAAGCTATCGCTGTGTGGCCGCCAGGAGTTCCTCGAGTTGGTCGCACATATGCCGTCACTCCACTCCATCAAGCTTCACACAATGTCCGACATAAGCATCTGCGAATGGACTCATTCGGGACATGCTTGTCTTGAGCATCCAAACGATCCCTTGCTTGAGCTCGTCAGCAGACACAGCAACATCACATCTTTGACCGCGACTGTCGGTATATATCCCCCGGTCGAAGATCCCGATGATATCCACCACTACCCTCCATTCTACACAGCGGACCACATCGCCAATGCCATCCTTGACAAGGCCAATGTCACCAAGCTGACGCTCAACTCTCCAATCACCGAGGTGTCACTCTTTAACTCATTGTTGGCAACACAGCGATTCATACATCTTGACATTCCAATGCTGGATACCAACGAGACCGGCAGCAACAGCTGCCAAACAGTGGCGCTGATCGAGCATCTTTGTTTGCCATCCTGCCCACTTGTCTCTTTGTCAATGAGGGTGGCGAAACCGCCACTGGATCCCATCGACTTGCTCCCTCCAGAACATCCTGTCGATCTCCAGCTGATGTACAGCGAGCTGGACAGACTGCCTCGACTGCTGCCACCTGACTCTGCCCTCCGTGCATTGACCCTGGACAACCTGTTGGACGCGTACAGCACAGATCTGTTCGTCTTGATGCGACGCAATCGCACCATCACACATTTGACATTCGCCAACCTCTCCATCGACACTGAGAAGCTGGAGTGCCTCAGCAACGTGTTGCTGGCGACCAACGAAACAGGTCTCCGTCGTCTGACGCTCATTGCCAATCGCCTTGATACCGAACAGCCAGTGTTTATGCAAGCGCTACGCATCAACACCACGCTCACTCGCTTGGATATTGTCAATGACAACATCGACATTGATGAGGACATCCAATCCAAGCTGGACATCATGCTCCCGGTGGAATAAAGCAACACAGTCGGCAAGCATGAGTGACACTGTTGACTTTATAGTTTGGCGGGCTGGAAGGGTGTACGAAAGGGTGCCAAGCTCATTTTTATTGGATAGATAGTTTCAAATATTGTATGGTAATATGGATATTCGATTCCCTCATACTTTGTTATCCAGTCAACACGAACTACTAACATTTGATAATATGGTAAATTACAATATTAACCTGTTATATGTAAAGGTTAATATTAATGTTAACCTTTGGTATGCTAAGATTAACTATAATGTTAACCTTTTAACTTATGCTTTATTGAATGAAATGGGGCTATCGGCTATCGGCTGTTAAGATACCCGCACATCCAGAGTGTATGATCCAATTTATCGAGATTCTGTAGAAATCTCTCATCACTAATCATGCTGTATCTGTTGATTTGCAATCGAAGAGATGGCTTGAGTCTAGCTGCTTCAATAATGGATCCAAATGACATTGGGTATGTGTAGCTTTGAGGGGAGAAAGATTCTATGATATCCATCTGGATAAGATTAGATTGTTGAATTATGTTGATAAGACTTTGGTTGATAATGGATTCGTGCTCCCCATTGAAATCGTTTCCCATTTGATCGAGGTTGAATCGAAGAAATTTAATATGATTTTGATCTTTGCTATTGAAGCAGTTGGAGAAAAGAGAAAGTTGGCCCAATCTGACTGATATAGGTTTTCTTTGTAAAGAGAATGATAGATGTTCAAGAGTTTGAATTGAGAAAATGGCATCGATTGTTGGTTGTGTGAGGTTTACTTGTGCCAGTGTCAGACTTGTTAGAGCCATGAATTGTTGGAGAATTTGGTCGAGGCGTGGTTGTAAAATCTCACTATCACTATCTTCATTTTGGAGCCACTGTTTTGTCTCCTCCAAAATGCCAATCTTCAAGTCAATGAGGGTATTGTTAATTGGAAAACTAACTGAATGGTCGTCCATTGTTTGTGTAAAGTAGAGCTCCAAGCTTTTCAATAAAGGTCCAAGAATGAGAGAGAATGAATGAAATGGGTGCACATACAAACATATTGATTCGAATGGAAGGCGACACAACTCTTGACATTGTTCTGGTGTCATGAACATACATCTATCCATAGTGCTGCTGGGCAAAATAGCTATTCTTGGCACCTTGACCTTTGATGAAAGGAATGAATAGTTTTCGTATCTGTTCTCGTAGTTGTACTCAATGGTGATGCTCGTAATTGAAAATTTTTGAGGTTGAGAGCCTAAAATAAGTTCGAGCAAGGCAATGCCCTCACTGTCACTGTCAATGTCAAGATGAATGGGAACGGCCGAATTGCCAATAGCTTTGATAAGTTGCTCCACTCTCTCAATTGTTGTGTCACACATTGTGTCCTTGCATCTGATTCTTACAGACAAGGACTGTAGATTGACCAAGTACAATGACAGATCAGAAAGAAGTGATAGATTTGTGTATGTCTCAAAACCAGTGGCATCGTCCAATCGCGTGAATTGAGTTATATCAAGGTTTATCTTCGTGATGTTTGAGACTCTGTAATCGTTTGAGCAAAGCATTTTGAGAGCTTCAGTATAGGATACCAATGTAAAAGAGTCTCTAACTTTGTTGATAAATATAGCCCAATTCTTGCAGACTAATTTTAGTTGATTGCCAAAGTGATCATTTGCTTCAGCGTCATCAATGATTGTTATCCGATCATTTATGATGTGCTCTATAATCCTCTTGTATATATAATTAGGTAATGTCATAATATTGTTATTGGTTGGTTAAATAAATTTTCTTCTATATATGAGTGAGCTACTTGTTCTGTCTGTGTGTCTGTGAGTGCCAAGCCAAAGCCAACTTCTTTCTTTTTATTTTATTTATTATTTATGTTTATTTTTCGTTTTTTGTCCCATGGGCGGGCCGATGCGTCTGGTCGTCCATTCTAAGACGACATTGTTTATTGTTTCTACACATGTCGAACCATGCAAAAACGACCAAACAAAGAATAAGATAGTTATAATTAAACTCTCACAATAATATTATGTTACAACTTCATTATTGTGAGTCTAGTAGAGTAGATCTCTCCAGATGTAGAAATTTCCTTTTTTTTTTTTTTACTTTAGTATAACAAACAACACTCAACCACTCAACTTGTAAACAATCAACCAGACTTGACTCGATTACTGTCTGGTCAAGCATTATTAGAGTTGTTGTTTTCCTTCAAAAGGACATAAAATTGAACAGACACAACACCCTTTCGTACACTTTCACACCTCTTCAAGTGTTGTTGATGTTATTGTTGTTGTTGTTCTTTGCAAAGACAGTAACATCCAACATTATTGTTATTACAACAACAAATACATACAGATACATATAAATATATAAATGTCTTTAACATTAGAACTATATAAAAAGAATAAGATTGTATTTGATAAAGAGAGGAATCTTGTGTTTCAATCAATTATCAATCATAATCATGATGAGAAGTATATAATATGTAGATTGGAAATATCTTATGATGTTGATTGTCCTGATCTACCAGAGACATCAGATGTCAACAATGACAATGACAATGATGACGATATCGATGATGATAACGATGATGATAGTGAACCTAAATCACTTTATACTCAATTCTTAAACAATCGATACGAGAGGATGTCACCAAGATATGTGTTGGTGTCCACTGCACTGCCCTATCACAGTCACATCATGTCATGGTACGAATCACATCTCGAGTCACTTGCTAAATACTTTAATCAGAGCAGTGGAGGCACATTGAAACTCAGGTACAAGGCCAAGTGTCTGGGTGGCGGCATCATGACCATCAATCATTCTCAAAAGACACTCAAGACATATGGCACCAGCTATGGCTACGGTGCGCCCGACATCAACACTGTTCGAGAGATCCTGAATCGTACCAATCAGTGTAACTACCTACTCGATGTCACAATCACCGATGAAATAAGAGGATAATAGTAATATCGATCACATGGTTAAACAAAGACTTCTTCCTCCTCTTTGTTGTCTTTGTCACTTCAGAGGATGGCAGTCATCCATTCATTCATTGGATGAGCGCAGAGGATTCCAAGCCAAGTAAAGCAAGCAATGGACATTGCTTGGACAGCCACATATATACACACGCAAAGGCATTCCTAACATTGTATAGCAACTCCGCCAGCAATGCAGTAGTAGTAGTGCAGATTGATTATATTACATTTAATAAATAGTAGTAGTTACGTGACCAACTGGACGACATCCATGGATGTCACGTGTAACAACGATCTTTCTTCTTCTTAGGCAACACGAGTGAACAACTCATGTGCAGCCTGTGGAGCACTCTTCCTAATGGCAATCTCAAATCGACAATGAACATGTGTCTCATTACCAGTGTTTCCAACGATCACTGGCCACTTGTACTTTGATGGAAGTATATAATCGCCTGCTGCAAAGAAGTGAACTGTTTGAGTAAGTGATAGAGATAGAGTTAGTGAGTGATTGGAATGATTCCAGTTTGATTGATACATACTCTCTCCCTTGACAACCTCCATGATGTCGAAACACTTGTCATATGCAGACATGTTGAACTTCTCTGCCATCCTCTTGATGATCTCACGTGCTGTTTCGGCTGAGGATATCTTGATGCTCTTGAAGTTGCCACCTCTGTAGTATATCTTGACCACCTCGGTCATCTCGGCGTTGGGCGAGACGGGTGGCGGCGTCGCGTCCTTTGATGGCTTGGAAAGGATCTGCGCCACGGCGTTGTTCCTCTCGTTCAGCTCCTCCCAGATGACGGGCTTGCCCTCGGAGGCGGCCACCATCTCCTTCTGGAACCATCCTAGCGCCAGATCGTACGGCGAGAACTTGTTGAGGTCGCCCAAGTAGATGTCGGCGCCCTGGCGCACCATCCACAGCGCCAGCATATCATAACGATTGAGCACGAGTGAGTGCAGCGGGGTGACGCCTCTCGCGTCCTGTGCATTGATGTCGGCGCCTCTCGCCACCAACAACTCTATCGCCTGTTTATGTCCACGTGCCGCTGCAATATGCAAAGGTGTCGTACCCTTATCATACTCCTTCATATTAATGTCCACTCCACAATCCAACATCTCTCTTAATTTCTTCAGATCATTGTTTCCAACGGCCTTCATCAATTCGTAATCATATTTTTCCAAAACCATTATTTCTTATTATTATATTATTTGTTTGATTGTTATATTATATGTATGTACAAGTTAGAGTTATTAATAATAACAGTGATAAGTGATAAGCCATTCCTTTGAATGGATTGACACCTTTTGGTTTTGGTTGATGCAAAATTATCTGAAAAACGGGACTCAATGGTCCTTTTTTGGTCCATCAAAACTCTTCCAATGATCACCCCACTGGGCTAAAATTATGGTTTGAACAATCCCTCATAAATAGTGATCGAACTTCATTAAAAGGACCAAAGGTTACACGCCCGTAAAGTTCTGTCAATCACTTTTTATCGGGCCTTGCAGTCAGAGTATGATTGACTGAGTGATTGTATGAGAGAGTACTGAGTATAAATGGTCAGTTTCCAACAAGAGTCAATCATGTCATTCAACAATAACCTTAATAAGCTCTTCCAAACAATATACCTACCTTGCCTACTTACCCTACCTACCTGCCATGGATTATCCTCTTAGCCTACCATACTACAACGCGACTTCCCAGAGCCAAAGCACCCCTGTCCAATACTACTCAGTCGAAGAGATAACCTATAATTCTTGGTACCAACCAACACCAACGTCCATCCCAGAGTCCTTTGACCACCAACCATTCCAAGATCAGTGTCAACCGATTCCATACCACCAACAACAACAGCAACATCTCTTTGCCAACCAAGATTACCTGTCCACTCCTCTAAACATATGCCCAGTTGTGGCCACTCATTCTGTACCATCATCTTATGAAGGAATCCTACCAAGTGTTGCCGAAGGCCTCTTTGACATGGACGAGTCTGCTCAAACAATGTCCTGTGAATCCAACCAAGAGTATGACTCTAGCCCTGTCTCCAGCCCCCCTTCAAGTCCTCCAAGTTCTCCAACGTCATCGGACAGCTCTGGCACTGAGGGACCAATGGTCATCAGCTTCTCGGACATGTGGAATTTGACTTTGCATGAGGTTGGCGAGGAGTATAACATATCCACGTCAAAGTTGAGTAGAAAGTTCAAACCATTTGTGAAGGACCTCAAGGTCAAGAAGGCCCCCTTCTTGGCCGGTAACAGTGCGGTGAGACAAACAATCGATTTGGTATTCAACGCCAATAAGAAGACTTGGTGGCCCTCACGCATTATGAATGCCAGGAGAAAGTCGATGGAGTTCCATGTCAATGCCAGGAAGGTTGTGTTGTCCAAGGAGACCATCCGTGATCACCTCTTTCAATTTTTCTCGGGTGATGAGTTCAGAGTGACACGCGGCAAGCTCAAGGCCAGAGGTACCTATGCCAAGCCATCATCACCATCATCATAAGACTTCTTGAGACTACTACTCCTACTACAACTACAACTACTATGTATAAAGTGATTTACTAAAAGTACAACCTGTTTGTCCAAGACTGAGGGCTGGGGGTAGGGTTGGGGGTGTCGGGGACTGTGGCTAGGGCTGAGGCTAAGGCCTTGGACCAAGTATGTGTGGAAGGTGGGAGTGGAGGTTGTCTGGTCTATTGACAACCTTGTATGGGATAGGATGAGTGAAGATGGCGATGGAGATATTGTGGATTGTCTAAATAATGAGTTTGGACCTGTTGTTGTAACCAGTGATGTCGTCGTAATCAGCCTCTGCTCCTGTTGTTCGCTTGAACTTGCCACCAATCAGACAGAGCTCCTTCAGCTCAGCCTCGACCTCAAGCTCCGTCATATCGGCAACGACGCGCTTCTCCTCGTGGCCACCATCTTGTGACGACTTGTCACATACGATTCACGATGTGTCACCATGACTCATACATTCTATCATTGCTGAGTCATCATCCTGGAATCTACAGAACACTATTCCATGTTCCATCTAATCAGTATATATACATCATTCATAATACACTAATAAAGCGGGCATTCTATACATTATACAGTTATACATATATATATATCTATATTTGTTATAATCTGTTTCATCGTTTGTGTTAGTACTCATCCAACCATTCATTCATTCATTCATTAGTCTCATGCTGGGACTGCTTACCATATCTCGCGTAGATGGCGGGTTCAATACCATGTCCCTCACGTACCACAACTGGTAGCTTTGGATTGACCTTCTTCAGCTCTGCATAGTTCTTTGTGATAAAGTTCCTGTTTGTTGGATTGAATGATTGAATGAGTGAATGAATCCAAGAAGATTGTTTGGTTTGGGATGATGATGATCATCAACTAACCTTAGTCCATCACTTGCAGTGGCAGTCTGACAGAAGTGAACTCTAATCTCAAGAAGATTCTGAGACAATAGAGTCTTCCATGCTATCCTTTGTTGTTCGTCTAATGTCGTTATTTTCTACGTTTGTATGAGAGATGGTGTAAGAATCACCGAAGACAAGACTACTTTATAATTAGTCTGTATATTCGTTTGTTTGGTCGCGAGTTGTAGTAGAGGGGAGAGAGGGAGAACGAGAGAGAATGAGAGAGAGAGAATGATAACAAAAAAAGAGAGAGATAAGAGAATAGAAGTAGAGAGAGAGAGATAGATACACTGATGGTTAATTCATTGTGTTCATTGTGATGAATTGATGTACCTCATGACCAAGACCATACACGACCGACAAGGTGTTATTGATGTGATGGTTAATTGATGAGTGATGCTTGATAGATAGAGAGACTAATCTTATGTGTATGTAATATATGTATGTATGGATAGTGTCAATAGACTGGTTTGTAGTGCAATGAATAAGTTCCTGTTTGTTTGAGGAGCAGGAATGATGGAAACAAAGGGTATGTGACAGCACTCCTCTCTGTCTCCCACTCTCACTCACCCATCAACAATCAAAATCAAACAACACCCTTACACCAATCACTCAATGATGGGGTTCGTGATGGGGAAGGGCGACATACTACAGTACGATGAAGATTTGTAAAGGTACAGTACCTTCACCTTCGGCAAAATACATCAGTGGGCGACATCATCTGGGCATCATCAAGATACCACAGCAAATGATTACCAGGTTCGAAGGACCTGTTGATCTCTCACTAACTAACTGTGTTGTTGACAACCAATGTTGGGCATCCAAGGGTATGGGTCAAACGATTCGTCTTTGTATTGGGCACAGGATATTGTTATAAATAAATAAGTTGAAGTTGCTGAGAGATAATTAAAGGTTATCTATAACAAAACAAATCGTTGATGATGTTCTGGGTAAAGAATGGGTGGTTCAGTGCCTCCCGCGCTGATATCCTCTTGGCGGGGTGGTACTCCAAGAGTTTCGATGCCAGATCAAGGAACATATTATGATCCGGGTGGAAGTAGGTCTGAGTGCGATATCGTGTTAATCATTCAATCAATCATTAATCATAAGTATACACTACATACATTGAGTTGCTTCAAAGTGTACACCTTCTCAATACTCTTGTTATCAAGTTCATCTGTCTTCCAATGAAGACATGAATCACCACCTGGATAGTACTTCCTATGAATGATGACGATTGTTGTCTTAGTTAGAGTCCATACCTCCATCCATATTGACCAACAGTAACTTACTTTGAATCGATAGTCATGCTCTGGGGCAATGGTCCAATCACTTTTTCCATCATCGCAAGATGTTGACGGTTGTTGTGCGTGTCAAAGAGTGTGGAGCCAATGTAGAGCTCGACAAGGATGCAGCCCACACCCCACAGGTCGCAGGGATAGGACCAATCGTAGCCCAGGATGATCTCGGGTGGACGGTATGGCCTGCTGCACACCACAGACGTGTGGTGCTTGTAGTCAAAGGTTGCACCGCCAAAGTCGATCAGCACAATGTCTGTCTGGTCCAGATGGTAGTACTCGGAGCCATCTACGCGGTCCCCTCTACTCTTGCTGCTCTCTGCTCTAGCGGGGCCCGCACTATTGTTGTCCGTGGTGCTGGTTGGCACGGCCTGGTCCGGACACTGAATGGGCATCATTGTGTCCGACACCGTATAGTTTGAGTTCTCCAGCAGGATGTTCTCTGGCTTCAAGTCGGTATGAATCAAGGATATCTTGTGCATCGCTGGTGGGAGAGATGGGATGGATGGATGGGAATGAGTCCAGGATAGAGATGAAAAGATAGAGGGAGAAGGAAAGGAGAGAGAGAGAGAGAAGTGAGAGCTGTAAATATGGTATCAGCCTCTTGGTTGCTGTTTGATGTTCTTACTGTGGATGGCGGTAAGAAGTTGCTTTGATATCCTCTGGATATGCGACAGAGGTAGTGGCTTATTATGGTTCTTCTTGAGGAAGTCGTATAGACTCAGACCGTATCTCTTGAACACAAGGCAGATATGATCCTTGTGTCGGAACCAATGTAAGAGTCTTACGCAGTGACTGTCATACAAGTGTTGTTAGTTGATTGAACCAGGGTGATAGGATTGATTGATTGAGGGACAACATACAAGTTCTGATTGGTCATGCCATTCCTCTCCAATGAGTTGAGGATGTCGATCTCGACCATGGCGTCCTCACTGTACTTCTTGACGGCGCGCACAATCTTGATGGCAACGGGCAGCCTTGTGTTCTCATCATAGCATTCCACAACAGTTGAGAAAGTACCTGTTCCAACAATGCTCTCAACCTTGTCTGTGTTCGCCATTGAATAAGTGAGTCAGTATGATGGGCGGCGAAGGATAACATAGCCAACTTACATCTATCGTTCAAATACTCGCCAATCTGAGCTCGGTAGTAATTGTTCTCATCGTCCCATGTTGGACGCCTGAGTACGACGTCAGCTTGTTGATACCTAGTACTGCTGCTGCTGTTGCTGTTGCTGTGATGATTATGATTATGATGATGTTGCTGTTGTTGTGATGGTTGATGATGATGTCTTGATGAATGATTACCACGTCCATTAGTCGTGTAATAACTCGATTGATTACGATAATGTTGTTGATGTTGATGTTGATTATGATAGTGATGTCTGCTGAATGGTGATGGTGAGGGTGATGGTGATCGATGCCTCCTATATTCATTGCCAGAGGTGGGCTGATAGTGTCGACTACTACTACTACTACTGCTACTATTATTATTATTGTTGTTGTAATAATAACTATCATTGTCCAATCTAGTTCGTTTGGTTGGGTCCAATACATGATGATTATGATGATTGTTGTTGTTTGAGGAGGTGACTACACGCTGGTCACCACCATGTCCATGTCCATACCAACTGCCGCCGCCACCATTACTACTACTGCTGCTGCCTCTATTGTAACTGCTCCTACCAACTGTGCTCCCATTACTACTACTACCAACGACACCTTCACGATCCGGTTGTCTAGGGTAATCATATGATCTATTGTTGTTATTGTTGTAATTGTTGTTGCTATTTACATAACTATCGTTGTTGTTGTGATATCCATCATCATATTGCTGTTGTTGTTGATGATGCTGTGAATACTGTTGGTAGCCTCCTCTAAATGATGAGGAGGTATAACTGCGATCATAACTATTATTATAATTATTTCTACCTCTATTATTATTGTTATAATAATTGCTGTTGTTATTGTTGTTGTTATAATTATTGTTATAATTATTATTACTATTGTTATTGTTGTTGTCAATCTCTCTACCTCTATCTCTATCCTCAAATGATCTCATTCTCTTCTTATCCTTTTGAGTAGTTGAGAGTGAAGAGGAGTATTGATACATATTCTATCACTTATAAAGTGATTGAATAATATATATATAATATATGTTTATGTTATAATTATAATTAGTTACACAACGGTTGCATTTCTATTATTATTCTATTCTTTATCAATTAACTAAACTATATATATTATGTATATGTTTACATGTAGTATATGTATATATTATAACTATCAAGTTGTAGGTCCAACAACAACACAAGTGTTTGGGAGAGTGAACACAACCAGTCTACACAACCCTCGTTTGTTTTGTTTGCTTTGCAGGGTTGTGTTTTGGAATGAACTTTGACTTCAAAGCTGTTCTTTGTGAACAATTTCAAAGAGCCACACGTGTCATTGGGTTCTCAGCTTCACCAATCAATCAATCAATCAAACACATCAATCTTGTTCAATCACATTATTACAACATCAGTCAATATACATATATACATATACTTATTAATATAACAAATATAAGATGGGTAATCAAGGAGCAAAGAAGAGAAAGCAACAGAATGAGAAGGAGATTATGAGATTACAGATTGCTATATTATCAGTTAATGTAGTATATATTATTTACAGATATTGGTATCATGGTGATACTTTCACTCTTTCAAACTACTTCCTCTATGCTGCTACTGTAATCTTGACTGGTATACCATATCTACTCATTAGTACAATGGCCAAAGTAACCAATAATGCTGAAGGTGAACTCATAGATGGTGGTGCTGACCTCTCTGCCAAAGGATTGGTCGAGTATGTATACTTATACCAATAATGTATTTGATTGATTGATTGATTGATACTAATAATGTTATGTACATTATAGGTATTACTTTGATTCGATTTATATATCATTGTTGGTATTGTTATTGGGATTGCTGTCGGATAAGGCATTCTTGATATTGTTGGTGATACCTGGCTTTGCTGGATACCAAATCTGGGTCAAGTTCCTTGGTCCTTGGTTCTTCTCTGGTGACAACAAGGAGACAGAGTACGTAGAGTCAAAGTCAAAGAGACAAGAGAAGATGGAGAAGAGAAGAGACCAGAATAAAGTACGTTACGTCAGATAATGTAACAACAAGTTCATCATCATCATCAACATTCCCAACTCCCACACGCCCAATGGTGTGCCATCAAGATATTCTCAAACGATTGTGATTGGCACTGATTGATCAAAAATATCTTTCGCTCCATCTTACGCAAGACCAAGTGATTCAACTCAATCATATCTCCATTCAATAATCAGTCAATCATTCAATCATTCAATAATATATACACACATACATACATACATATACAATGATCAATCAATCAAGATCAATCATATTGTTGGCAACAATCATCATGTTGATGATGAGTGTGCAATTGAGTGAGGCCAAAACTCGCACTCGTACTAGACCATTGGACCCAGCTTGTACTCCACCAGACTTGGAAAGACTGAGCCTTTATATCAACAACACTGTGGCTTCTTATGGCTATTGCGAGGGCACTGAATGGGCTTTCTCCAACTTCTCCACGAGCAACCCTACAGGCATTCAATCAGAGACGTCAACTATAAGCATGCAGACCGCCTCCACGATCAAGCTGTGGATCCTGATGGCCGTGCTCCAGGACATCAACTACGGACTCTACACACTCGACTCGGTCGTTGAGTACTGCTCGGGCGAGTCCAACGCCACGGTCAACGACTGCCTTGAGCTGATGATCGGTATCTCGGACAATTGTGCCACCTACACCATGGCCGCCAAGACTGGCCTGCCCCACGTCAACAAACTGTTCGCCCAGCTTGGCATGAAGGACAGTGGCTTCCACGAGTGGTGCTTCACAGACTGCCCCGGCTACACTTCGCCGTGCCCCAACGACGACGGTACCAACCTGGACAATGTGTTGTCCTCACACGATGTCATCTTGGGACTCACCCAACTGCACAACTTCTCGGCGATCGGACAGAACGCCACGTACCAGGCCTACAAGTACCTGTTGACCGCACACGGATGGCAACCAATGATTGGCTACTACATCCCTTCGCCAGTGGCTCACAAGCAGGGCTGGCTACCCGCCGACGAGGGCTTCCAGCCATTCACAGAGAACGATGAAGCTATCGTATTCTCAGAGTGTGGTGACTTTGCCGCGTCCGTGATGATCACTCGCAACTGGACCCAGCCCACTGAGGACAATGTAGCTCTTGCTCTTGGTGCCGAGATTGGACGTTTGGCCTACTGCACCATGGTGCCATTCGGTGTTGCCAATGATGGTGTGCCATGTTCCACCACCTGGTCCACGCCACCACCTTCCAACGATGGATGTTAAGTCATTGGTAAATGTCCCAACTTGGGATATCGGTAGTATTTAATTTAAATTAAAAGTAAGCTACATCACTTGTAGCCTTCTAATATTCATTCTTGCTCTTGTTCCTCTTCTCTTTGATGATGAACTGTATCTTTGCAACGATCTCCTCTGTGATTGATTGATTGAATGATGGGTTAGGAATGATTCCATGTAATGATCAAACAACTGGAAAGTGTGTAAACATACCGGCGTCTTGTGAATAGAACTCGGACAACTTGCCATCTTTGCACTTGATGTAGAAGTTCTTTGGTTTGTTTGTGATCATATTGACAGAGGCAATGTCTGTTAGTAGTTGTATAGGTGTCTTGAGTTTGGAGTTATTGTTGAACGATCTCTTGAATGATTTCTTTGACTTTGGCGGAGGTGTCAAACAGTTGTTTGGACTCATCACTGGTGACAATCCACCATGGTTACTACCATTGGGCACACTCATATTCGAATGAATAATCCTATCTTGATCAATTCCCATCACTCTAACCGTTGATGTACCAAACTTGTTAAACTTGACAACTTGGTATTGCTATTTGATTGATTGATTGGGCCAAGGTTAGGTTGGAATCACGATCATCAATCAAACAATCAATCATACCTTAAACTCTCCAGCTGTGTCTGGTGTGAAGAAGAACATTGGACCAAGTAACTTGGTGATGGGTCGCGGTGCATTGCCAGAGTCAGCAATGAATGATACTGACTTGGGAATTGATGTTTCTGGATTGATTGAGCGAGGGTCAGTCACCAGACCCTACCAAGACACGACAATGAGTTATGGTACTACTTACTAACTTGGTTGTGTATCAGTTTGATATCGCCCATGCCCAACTCCTCTAGTGTGATGGACTCGTCATTGACCACTTCATTGTTCATCAACATGAATACACAGAACTCTTCGGAGAACTTCTCTTTGCGACATATCAGTGACTTGATTGATGCCAATGTCGCATTATGTGTATATGGCACTGCAATCGAGTCCTTCACGCCAACTGAGTTACTAACACTCGACTTTCTCTCAACATTGAGTGGAGCTGAGGGCAGGATGTGGACCCTGAATATAGGTGGAGGTGAATGTTGTTCTGATCGATTGGGATGATGAGTATGTGATGTTCCAATGTTTGATGAGCGATGTGACATACCTCTGGTGCAGTTTGGATTCTGGATTAGGATGAATGATGTGGACTTGGTCTTCTTGATCTCGAGGAGTCGGTCCAGCATGTGAGTGTCCGCCGACACGTTTCCATCTTCACTGCACACCTTGAGTAGGTAGGCCTTGGGATTGATCGATCCTGAAAGGAATGCGAATGATATCTCATTGTCTCCATTCGATAAATTAGGACTCTGTGAGTCTGATGACTTGGTTGATGTTGTAATAGTATTGTTGTTGTTGTTCGGGTTGTTGGTTGTTGATTGTGTCTGTGTCTGTGTCGCCTGTGCCAGTGCCTGCGACTGAGAAGTCTGAGGATTGATGGTCGCCAATGTGTCCAAAGATGAATATAATTGATTGGAACTGCCACTGAGTAGTAGTCTACGCTTCCTTTCCTTTTGACATAGTTCCAAGACGTCGGATACTACTTTCTCGACGGTGGAGTCATCATCCACTGACAGCTCCACCACTGATTGTGGCTGTGTCGGCACAAACACATTCAAATGCATCAGTTTGCCACCGACCCATGGGTATGAGTTGTAGGCTGCGCCGCCTGCAACACCACCACCCGCGCTCACAGACTGTGCACGACGTTGGCTCGAGCGGACCAGGAATAGCTTGGGCGAGATTGGCACTCCCTTTGGTGAAAGTGGCAGCGTCTTCATGTTGGTCGGAGACTTGAGCAATGATCCGCTGTTGGTGGTATTGTTGTTGTTGAGCGAGGCTGTGGTAGGGTGGTTGCTGGGTCGCGCTGATGCTGATGGCGTGGCAGTCTCGTTGGTGAAGGATGAATCGTCGTATGATGGGCTGTCCGAGTCGATGTCATAGTCATCATAATCATCAAACTCAATGTCACTGTCCTCGTCTCCAACGCTCGGATTGGAGCATCGCGGCACCTTCTCCTTCACATACTGGAACTGAGGTGCCTGTGTCTCAGACCCACTCACATCGCTCTTACTCCAAGTGATGACCTTTGTGTTCGTATTGTTGCTACTTCCATTATCCACTATTGACTTGTACTTGTTGCCATTTCCATTTGTTTGATTGGTCGTCCTGTTACCGCCGCCGACACCTCCATGACCTTGACCATTGGTGAGTGCTGGGGGAGGAGCGGGAATGGGTTGGACGGGCTTGTATACTGTGTACATGTGGGCCAGATCCTCCTCGTCCACGGGTATGTAGGTCTCGATGGGTGAGCTGCCCGAAAGGGTCGGCTCACTCACAGGTAGTGGAAGCAGTAGCGCGTTGCTGTTGTTGACGGTTTGTTGCATGGCCACTGCGCTCTGGTCTTGTAGGATGACCGACATCATGTGACAACCCTTCTGGTTCTTCTTTTGGATGGCGTCGTCAGTCATATTGATCCTGATTCGATACACAGCCATCTCTGTCATTGACTTTTCGAATGTCTGGAAGCAGCGCACCTCCTCCATGTGGTGCAGGCTGCTGTTGGCGCTCAATATCAGTGCGTTTGAATCGATCAATGTACACGTTTGACTGGTTGCCAGTGCCATTGGTGATGGTGACATGGGTGGCGATGACGGCGAGAATGGCGTGGAGCAGAACTCGTTTGTTGGCTCAACGATCAATGTTGGTGGTAGCGTGTCCAGATCATCGATGTGCTCGTCAGATGGATTGACCTCCTCTTCCTCCTCTTCTTCCTCTTCAACTTCCTCGTCCTCCGCCTCCTGTTCGCTTTCAATTACATCAACACTGTTTACCGTGGATGACTTGTCGCCTTCAACTTCATCAACATCATTGTCCTCGTCCTGCTCGCTCTTGTCGCTTCCATCCAACACATTGACTCCATTCATTGTGATTGATGTGATCAATGTGAAGGACAATGGTATTCCATGTGGATCTGACATCACGTCCATGGACTGATGGTGTGTCCCTGGTTCGGATGATGATGTGTCGGATGCCTCGTCATCATCATGACCATTGACGCTGCGCTGGTCCATGATGTGTGGTACCTCTGGCAACAACATGTCAGACCCGGTCGAGGGCATCTTGAGAGATGACACCTTCAAAAGTCGATCAATATTGTCCGTGAATGATGGAACAAAGTCCGTAATGCCGTTGTTGGTCGCCAGGCCATGGCCCTGTACAATCTCATTACGCTTGATATGTGTATGTATCTTGATGGACAGTCTATTGAATGTCGAATGTGTCTTGTCCAGGAAGTTCTGCATCGCCAGGAATGTAGCTATGGCCTGAGGTTGTAGTGTATACGCTTCTTTCACCATTGCCATGCACTGGTTCATCGTCTCCACCGTTGCCAGTAACGTATCAAAGTTGGATAACAATGTATCTATAGTTGTCGTAGACATCTGTTGTTGTTGTTGCTTCTCGAATGCCATCATTGTTGGTGGATGTGTTGTAGCAAACTCGGACATTGGTCTAAGTTGCCTTGTCTCGTCCTTCATCACCAGTATGTGATTAGCTTGACTTTGATTGATTGAGTGAATGAATGAATAGTGATTGATTGATTGAATGAGTGAATAATGATAATGATTTAGAGGAGGTACCAGTGATGATGTTGGTTGGCCTTTGAGTGATCGTTGTTACAATGGTCTCGCAACCAGTCAGCAGTTGATGAATAAGCTCTAAGTAAGCAGTAGGTATAAATATATTTATACTTATCCGTGAATGCGGTGTGATGAATGTGTTGTGGATGATGGATTGATGGATTGATTGATAGAAGGAGGGATCAGGGTAGGGAGGAGGGGACACAGCAACTCTCTGGGATATGAATGAATGAGGGAGAGTGAGAGTCGTATGGTCCACATTCATCACACACACATTAACATTGGAATAGGTGTTGGTGTTCCAACCAATCAGCCACATCCATCCATCCATCAACCATCATTGTTTGTTGATCAATGTGTTAAAGTGGTGATCCTAGCTGGATGGAGCGTTGCTTATCAACAACATGTGACTAGGTGTGGGATTGTTGTTGGGTTGGTTGTTGATGTTTGTTTATCTCTAACTGAGCCAGTCATCTTGTGTGTTTGTGTGTGATCAGTAGGGTTGGAGTGACCATCACACACTCACTCATAACCACATGCTTTGATCAATCACACTTAATCTCTTAATTAACCACACGACTACTTCCTTTAATGGTAGGTCTTGCAAGCCTCTTCAAACCTACAATGATTGATGATCACACTTTGCAAGTTTGGACAAAACTATGGTAACTTCTTCACTGAAGACCATGGTCATGTAATTTATTAACAATAAACACGACAACACTCGAATGTTGATGGACGGACTGACGGACAAAATCAATCCCATATGCCTTCATCGTCTTCATCATCATCATCACCGCCACCACCCATGTTTGGATTGGCAACAGGTAGATCTACAACTGGTCTTCGGACATTGACTGATAGACCAAACTTGAGACATGATGTGAAGGCTTTGGTTCCACGCAGATCGATAAAGGTGAGGTTTGGCAACTTGGTTAGAGGCAACACTTTGTCATCCTCAATCTCATTTGAGGACACATTCAACGATGTCAATGATGACATTGCCGACAAAGCCTGGAACGAGTTGCCATTGATATGTGTCTTCATCAAACTAAATGTGTGGAGGCCCAGTGTCAACAACCTGCCTACTCCATAGTCTGTCACCAATGTCCTATCCAAGTTCAATATCTCCAAGTTTAGGAATTCTAGATTGAGCAAGTGAATTAGTGAATGATTGAGTGAGCGAGCGAGTCGATGGAGACATACGTGACAAGGCGATCATGCTGTCATCACCAATCTTGGTGTTGGAGAGCGACATCTCAGTGCAGTACTTGAGTCCACTGAGTGTGGAAACAGAGTTGAGATAGATGTAGTTGGAAAGGTCTAGCTTGCGGATGTTGACCAATTGATTGAGATGGTGAACAGAGCTGTCATTTATAGAGTCCCTACCAGGCAACTTGATCTCGAACAAGTTCGGAAGTCTCTTCAAGTTGACAAAGCCTGGTCCAGCAATCTTGGTGCCAACAATATCCAGTCTATTGAGTGTGTTTCCGAATGCTAATTGATTGGTTGATTGATTAAATGTGAGTGAGTGGAATAGTTCCATCATATGATTGATTGAGCGGGAGAGACTTACATGTAATAAAGAACAAGGCTTGGTTGCCAATACCAGGACAGTTGGAGAGCGAGAGGTCGGATAAGGGAAGCTTGCTAAGCTTTTGGATGCTCTTCTCTGTGGCCTGGGTCTCTGACAGGTTGAGTACTTGCAACTTTGTGAATGAAGGAATGGTCAACGAGATACAATCGTCTGTGATGTTCAAGTTTGACAAGTCCAGCGATAATAGATTGACAAGAGGTGACAACAATACAACACCCTTGTCGGTGATCAACGTGCAGCTCAACGATAGCTCTTCAAGGCTAGTGAGTTCTGGTTGATGTGGATGGATGGATGGTTAGTATGGACATGATGGACATTGGATGTGATCACTTGACCCAACTTACTGTTAATATAGGGCACGGATACATCGGATATTCGAACGCCACTTAGATTGAGTGATGTGAGATGGGTAAGCTTCTTGAATACTTTGGCACCCTCGTCTGTGACGTTGACGCAGCGTGAGAGTGATAGACGTCGGATACAGTTGAGCAGACATTGGAGGGAGCTGAGCATGAAGTCGTTGCTGACGAATGATTGGTAGTTGAGGTTGAGCTCCTCGATGAGCGCACCCGACGTGATGATCTGATCCAGCTTCTTTCGTGTGACCTTGTGTGCGCCAACCATCAAATCGAGCAGACGCTGCACCATGAAGCCAGGCAACAACTTTAGACGGGCTTGATACGGAGTCACGTCGATCATTATCTTCTCCAAACAAATGTCGATCAGTGGCTTGATTGGACGATAGAACATTCTGGGCGGTGATGTTGAGCCAAGCTGAGGTGAAACTTGATTGTTGAAGCGATCAGTGATCATGTTGACAATCTCGTCCTTCTCCTTTGGCTTTGGTGGCTCATCGTCTGGGTCGCCAGACAGTTGGTGGCCCGCGCCACCGAATGCTTGGAACTGATGTTGTCCACCCCAATGTGGTGGCATCATCATTCCAGGAGGCATACCAGGGAATTGCCCTGGTTGTGGCATCATGCCGCCGGGGAATTGACCTTGTGGTGGAGGTGGCATGTCCATCTCTTCATCATCGTCATCAAGGTTATCATCATCTTGAACTTGTTCTTCTGGCTCTTGATCTTGTTGTTGCAGCGGTTGGACTTGCTGTGGTGGAGATGGCACATCCTCTTCATTATCCTCATCATGTTGCTGTAGTTGTTGGTCCTGTTGCTGTTGATACATTATCTCATTGGCAATCTCTTCCTCTTCATCTATTATATTGGTATCTTCATCGGCTGCAACAGAGTCCTCTACACCACCAAGTCTATAACCTTTGGATGAGGACCATGGTGATTTCTTCTGAAACATATTCAGCGGCGAGGATTGTCCATGTGGCATAAACGTTGGATGGGCCTGAGCAGGTGGCTTAGGCAGTGGCATTCCAGGAGGGACTACTGGGGCTGTTGAAGTTGTCGATGTTGTTGGACTTGTAGTTGGACTTGTTGTTGAACCAGTTGTTGAGTTGTCAGCAGGATTTGACCCATCTCCTGAAGCAGCTGTATTTGGTTGTTTCTCAGCAAGATACTTTGCATGTAGTTGCCTTCTATATTCATTCAAGTCATCTCCACTGTTCATTCTTTCTATGTATATATATCTTTATGTGTTTATGTAGAGATAATTCACCAAATGAGATAATGTATTTTGAACTTGAAGTCAAACTAAATTAATTTATCAGAAAAGCAAGAAAGTGGGCTTTTGCGACCCTCATTTCAACTCTATCCACTTCAACTTTGTCCACTTCTTCTGTGTCTCGCGCACAATGACACATAATCTTCAATCTCCACAAACACATGAATGTCGCCAAGAGCTACTACAACTACAAACTGTATACTTCTTCTTGCGCTCGTGCTGACATGGAGCGCCTACTTCATTCAATTTAGCAAGCAAACAAATATACCCTTTACAAAAGTACTCTCTTTAAAAGATGTCATCACATTTGTCAATAACAGCAACAGCAACAACAACAACAACAATGGCAGGAACATCACAGAAGTGAATGACGACGTCACTCTCAATATACAAGTATTCCATTTATTTGCACTATGCATATATTTGGAACGTATAATATCTGTCTTCTTGGCATGCTATTGTCTCTTCTCTTTTGGATTCACAATTGTTACTAAGGATGGTCGTACAATTGGATGGCCTTGGTCATGTTCTTGGGCAAAGTCACCGGCTGTTTTAAGACAATGGGAGTCTGTTCCTTTGTTGTTATCAAACCGGTTCAGCATATGTTATCGAAGAGGTCAAATAAGACAAGCTCATCTATTCTTCTCAGGTATTCAACTACTCTATCTTTTCACCAACTTTATAGACGATGATGGATCAATTGAGCTCTTTGACTTCTCTCCCTTAGTCCTGTTCATTCTCAACGAGTTGGTCCTCTTCAACAACAACAAACGAAGCAACACCAACACCCAAGCGGTAGCAGTCCACAGCGAGCACATCGTGGACAACACAAACGCCAACAACGCCAACGCCAATGCCAACGCCAACAACACTAACGCCAACCCCGACGCCAACAATAACAACAACAACACCAACACCAACACCAACGCCATCGCCAACAATACCAACGCCAACAACACACCACATAGACGACGACGTACTGTGACCAACCCATGGACACGATGGAGGGCAACAAAGAACATCCATTAACATCAACAACAAAATGCCGATTAATTAAAACAACAATGACAACGACAATGACATGTATTAGAGATTGTAGATGAACTTGATGGCCTTGACGTAGCCAGCAATGACGGGATCTGGGTCGAACCACATCTGTCTCTTGTTCTGGTTGTGCCAGCTGAAGAACCAGGCAAGGTTCTCACCGTAGCAGGCCAGACTGCTGCTGACCTTGGAGCGGGCGATCCAGTTGTCGAGCCAGGTGCTGGGGTTGTTCCAGGGTGAGCTGGCCGAGTTGACGTCGTTCTCCACCTGCAGCTGATCCAAGTGCACCTTCATTGCCTGGCGCTCAGCCTCGCTGAAGTAGCACAGTGCGAATGTCGAGCGGAATGAGTTGATCAGGTATGTGATCCACTCGCTTGGGGTGTCCCATAAGTCTGGGCCGCCCTCTCCAATCTCATTCACACATCTATTCTTCTGCTCCAGGATCAAGCAGAAGTATGTCATCAATGGGTTCATTGCAGTGGCTCTCAAGTCAGCGATGATCTGAGTAATCACTGGTGATGGTGATGCCCACTTGGATGTTTTCTGGATATTGATTGATTGATTGATGAGTTAGACAATCTGGAATCACTCCAGCCCTCGCTCATGTTAGATACATACGTTATAGGTCTCCAACAAGTTAATCTTTGTGATAAAGGTGGCACGCTCAGCGTTGGTACCAATCTGCTTGACTCCATTGCTACATGATTGATTGATTGATTGATTAGTGATCGAGTGATTGGAATCATTCCAGGCGAGTGATTGAGTGCACACATACTTAACCAAGAAGTTGACAATGGAGGTGATGGTGGTCTCGGATGTCTTGAGATCATTCCAGAGCTTGGTACCAGCAGCATTGGCAGCGGACATGTTCTCGCATTGAGAGGTGGTAAGGTTCTCAAACTTTTGGTCAAAGTTCCTCAAGGTGGAGATGGCGGTGTTGAGGTTGGTCTGGGCGGCAGCCAACACATCGGAATCGGTGATCAGCTGCTTGAGCGTGGAGTTGAGTGCCGACTCTTGGTTGATGTAGTACTTGATCTTGAGGTAGCGCTCATTCAGCTTCTTGGCAAAGGCTGCGGTGATTTTGGGCTGGATGTCCACGGTGGTGCCGACGGGCACTGCGTTCTTCCACTGTGGCAGGTCGTCGTAGCTCATAAGGATGGCGTAAATGCGCGCATTGCCCATGTCCTCCAGCTTGCCAGCGTCCTCAATCATCTTGGCAATGTCTCCAATGCTGATGGTCTTCATGCCGACGCCAGTGCCCGATACGTAGCACTGAACAGAGTGGGTCTCAGCCAGCGACGAGATGGTGTTCTGGAAGTTGACACCGCCGTCTGCTGTGAATGCTGTGGCGGTCCAGGATGTGGAGGCCTTGGCAGAGATGTCTGTGGTCTCGGCAGCGGTGTACGAGGAGATGGCAACGTCGGCAAAGTAGTAGCCACCCTGGACGTAACCGACGACGAATGAGTCACCGTAGTTCTTCTTGAATTGGATCCACTGCTTGTTCTTGATCATTGTCAAGGCGGTTGGGGAGAACACCAAGGCATCCAATTGCTCTCTCTTGAACATAGTCTCATCCTTTATATAATAGTTCTGCACCATGAAGTGCACCGTGTTGGTATTGATGTTCCTCTCATTAAAGAATGAGTTCTTGGTCTCAAACGATGCTCCCCATCTATGTTTGATTGATTAAGTGAGTGTGAGTTAGTGATTGGAATGGTTCCAAGGACAATGGGATTTTAGAATGGATGATTGATTGAGTGATTGGAATGATTCCAGCGAGTGTGGCCGAGTGATTGAGAAAGAGTGTGATCGGTTGAGTGATACATACGCGGCGATGCCACCACTGGCCTCAACACCGACGGTCAGGGCGTTGGTGTAGTCGGTGATGTTCTTGACCTCGGACTTGTTGGCCTTGAAGGTCTTGACGGTACGCACCTCAGTTGGAGTTGGTGCCGAAGCAAATGCACTTGCTCTCTTGTTTCCAAAGAAGGTCTCAATTCCATCACCAACGTAGAAGTTCTGGACCCATGGTATCTTGGTAATCTTTAAAGACATCGTATAAGTATAAGTATTAAGTATATGTTGTGATTGTATTTGTTATAAGTATGATTGATTGATTGATTGATTGATTGACTGAGTGACTGAGTGACTTGTTATGATGTAAAGGACTCATGAGTCCTTTATAAAGCTATCCAATCACTCTATCAATCAATCCAGTCACAGTGCACTCAGTAGTGTTGGGTGCCATGGAATCAAGATTCGACTTTCAATGTGACGAAGGTTGATGCTTGTGTTACATTACACATCATATTATCTTTATCTCTGGGTTTGTGATCGGTGTCGTTCCAACTTGGATACTTGGTCATTCTACAAAGTGCCTGTGAGGTGAGGCGAGGCGAGGCAAAGAGATACAATAAGGTAAGGGACGGGGCAAAGAGATAAGGTTGGGGGCCTGTTGTCTACTAAGTTTGATTGATTTGATTGATTTGATTGATTCGATCATCGTATCATGTTTTTGTAGTTGTACAACAACATGATCATTTGGACAGACGTCTGTCCTGTTGGTGGCCCTAGCGAAAGGGGCATCGATCACTAATTTTAGAAACTTGATGGCCCATATTCAATCGACACTGATCAATACGATGATCATGTCATTAATTAATGTCGTGACACGACATCGAATGTTTCATGGTGGATGATTTTCCTGTTCTAAAGGCGTTGTTGACACAACACGATGCTGTACCAACATATAATGGATGAATTTGATCAACTCTGTCCTGTCTGGATGTGTATTCACTTTCAAAGTAAGTAAGCCCTCAGTCATTCCATTGACATGAACAAACATTGAATGAATAAAAGTGAGTGAGTAGTGTGGACCAATCATTATTGATACTTTATAATTATAATTATGATATTAATGGTTGGTGAAGATGAATGATTGGTTGATTGACACGATCATCTTACACACTATCATTATTCAAAATGGTGGATCGCACTTTATAGGTTGATTCCATCTTACTTAAGGCTCAATCCTACCACCTGTCAGGCCCCCAACTCTTAAGATGGAGGTTGGTAAATCAATAATCAGATCTGATCATCTAATTCGCGATGGTTGTGTTATTACTCATTCGTTGATATTATAACACTCTAATCATGTGATATTTTATGTGTTTGTTTGTTTGTTTTTATGTGTTTGGAAGTGTTTGATGACCTTTTTTTTTTTGACCTTTTGTTTTGATCGACTGGATTCAGTGATGGGTCGCCTTTTTTGATTGTTGGTTTGCTCCTTATCCCACATTGTTTGTTATCTCAACAGTACTTACTTTCTTGCACACACACAACACTAAACACTGTTTATCTCATACACACATACACACACACACACATACACATAAGTCTTGATTCACAGAACTGAGAGTCTCATTATCTCTCACACTCACTCATTCATTCAATCACTCAATCATTATACCTAACAATACATCTTGATGATGATTGAGTACTTGTTGTAATCAATACAACTGCAAATCAATCATTCAACTCAATCATTCAATAAGTCAACTCAAATTCAATCAATCAAGATCATTCAAACAAACATGTACAAACAACAACAACAACAACAACAACAACAACAGAGAGATGAACAAATGCCACCACCTTTGGCAAATGTTAATGTGTTGCGTAGGACACAGGTGGATTCAAATTCAAACCCTCCACCATTGGGCAATCCTGGTTTGGTGCGAAGAACAACACAGCAACAGATGAGGCCAGACGACTCTGCCTCACCACCTGCTCTGGCACCACTATCTCGTAGTGTTGGCGGTGGCGCAACAACACTAAACACGTCATCTCAAGCATTGCCTCGACCATCATCACATCTCTCCAGTGGCCCCGACAATGACGTCGGTCAAGCCTCGCCCAACCTCAACTCGGCAAACAACAACAACACATCGAAATCGACATCTCCCGTCAACAACTCACCGGGATCACCAGGTAGCTCGCGAAAGAACTCCCCGCCACCCTTGCGCCCCGTGTCGAACAACAACAACGCGAGGGGCAGCATGACAAACAGCAGCGGATCAAAGAAGCCGGCGCTCCCGCCAGGCCGTCCCGGCAGCGTCTACAATGACCTGCAGGTGCACGACAATGGCACGATGACGCTGCCCAAGCTACGTCCGGTCGGCCTCCAAAAGCCGGCCTCCATGACAGCGACCACCACCAACAATGCCAAGCAATTCCTTCAGAACGTCATCCAGGAGAAGGACGACAACAGCAGCGACGACGAGGATGACAGCGGCTCACCCACCAACTCTGTCACATCGAGCATCAATCCAAGCATGGTTGCCAGTGCCGGTGCTTCATCATCGACGTCGTCCTCCAGCCAGACTGTTGCCGCCGCCAACAAGCCACGTGACCCAGCAGCAGACATGCTTCAACGAACATATATAGCGCAAGAGATACTCTCCACCGAGAAGAAGTACATCAACAACCTCAACAGGATTATAACGGTATGTGTCCAAGTCACTTGTGGATGTGCGACTACGCGACCAGACACTGACCCTCCACTTTGGCTATCACTGGAACTATTCCAATCACTCAATCAATCAATCAATCAAAGATATTCATGTTGCCACTAAGAGACAAGTCAACGACAAAGGAGAAGATATTGAGCGTCGATGACATTAATAAGATATTTATGAATATTGAGACGATCTTTAGTTTACACAAGGCGTTCATAACGGACTTTGAGAAGAGGATTGAGAGCTGGTCCGACACGCAAAAGATTGGCGACATATTCCTCAAGCTGGCGCCTTACCTGAGGTCGTACACGCTCTACTCGAACCAGTACAACGAGTCGATCCTGCAGCTTAGCAGCCTCCAAAAGGCCAACCCGGCCTTCCAATCATTCCTGGCCAAGTGTCTGCTCAAGCCGGCGTCCAAAGGCCTCAACCTCTCCAGCTACCTGATCATGCCCATCCAGAGGATACCGCGATACAAGCTGCTGCTCGACACGCTGTTGGCCAAGTCGCCCGAGTCACACGTCGACTACGCCGACCTCAAGGAGGCGCTGGACAAGGTTGGCTCGATCGCGCAGCTGCTTGACGAGCGTCTTCTGCAGTTCCAGGTGCAGCACAAGGTGTTGGACATCCAGAACAACCTTCTGGGCTTTGAGCAGGACATTGTCAAGCCGTCCCGCGTCTTTTGCAAGGAGGGCGACCTCAAAAAGATCTCTGACCGCGTCGTCAACACCCGTCACTTCTTCCTCTTCAACGACCTCCTCCTCTACGCAATCAAAGAGAAGAAGAACCAGTATCGATACAAACATTCACTGCCTCTGGAGAAGTGTTGGGTTAAAGACTTGCCAGACACTGAGAGTATGTTTACCCAAGTCATTGGAATCATTCCAATCACTCACTAACTCAATCAACTTGCTCAATCAATCAAACCAAACATATAGGATTTAACTATTTATTCCAAATCATATCACCGGCAAAGACATACTTCTTGTGCGCGCCAACGGAGGAGGAGAAACAATCATGGATGAAGATGCTGAATGAGGTCATTAATAAGATGGTCGGTCATTTGGAGGAGTCACAGCGATCGAGTGTATATGAGCGACGAGGCTCAATGACACCATCACAGATTCTGGCATCACTGGAAGGCGGATCACCCAAGCCCAAAGACAAAGACAAAGAAGAGACCGATGGATCGAGCGACAACCGAAACAAACCAATGTGGCTCAAAGATCAAATCGTCAAAGCCTGCATGCACTGCTCCTCAAGCTTCACCGTCACAAGGAGAAGAGTATGTCCACTTTCACTCATTCATCATTCAACCATCACTCACTGACCCATCAATCAATCACAACAGCATCATTGTAGGAAATGTGGAAAGATATTCTGTAATGATTGTTGTCCTGTCACTGATCTGTCACAGTATTTGCCAGGCAAGAAGGCGAGGATATGCAAGAAGTGCTTCGAAGAGATATCGGTGCAGTTGACAGAGATGATGAACATTGATGGAGATATTGCTGTGTCAAGTGGCAGTCCAGCCATCAGCAGCAATCTACCAACATCACTCAACTCCTCATTCAACTCACAATGCTCCATGGATGATGATCAATGAGTGAGTTAAGCAAGTGACACACCCATTTGGCACTTGATTGATTGGTTGATCAATCTTATCCAACCAACAAACTATTTATTTATATATATTTATATATTATTATTATTATTAATATTGATGATGGATGCTGTCCAATCAATCATCCATTCATCACATAACACATAGACTGGCCCACTACTCCCATAACCTTAAGCATTGACCATGTATCTAGATATTCATATTATTGTTATAATGCCATCAATAAACACCACTGTAAAGCTACTGCACAATCATCAATCAATCAATCAATATCCAATATCCAATATCGTCCACCCCCAACAACATATAACAATGATTGGGTACTACTAATCAGATGGATGACATCGATCCTTATGAGATTGATACTTATCATTATCTCTCTGCAGTCTGTAGTGGTAGTGGGCATCACACTCAAAGGGGTACCCACCCAATGTATGTTCTGATCACAATCCAATATCTCTGATATGTGTGTGGATGGATTGATGGATGGGTGTACAAATTGATCATGGACAGGACAATCATTAATATTCCTAATCTACAAATTGATTACTACTACTATGATTGATATGAATAATAGACATTATGATACCATACCATTGATCAATCATCACCATTGGTTTGGTAAATGATGGATTGAGAATATTTGATTGAAGTGTACACTTCAAAGAACATATCTACAAACAACATTAACAACCACAATAACAATCTAGAAATGTCTAAATTATTTAAAGATCTAAAGGGTAAATAATAATTATCTTATTGATTGATAGACTACAGACAGATATCAAACAACCAATCATTCAATCAATCGTTCATTACTTCATCGCATTGAATACCATTTTTGGATACATTTCCACATTGGTTACCATGAATATTCAATTCCATCCTTTGTCCTATCCAATCACTTCATCACCTGATTAATAATCCTGTCATGTGATTCTACCACCCGCTCACACTCACACACACTAGTCTTGATCGATCAATAACACTTGTGTCTCTATTTTTAAGTCATTCATTGCTCGACAACGACAATATCAATACGATTCATACACATATATACATATACAAACAATACAATGACTTGTCGACAAGTCATATCGCCCAGTACCAATCTACAACATTGGAGATTGATGGGTTTGATGCAATGACGATACAACGTCTTGGTACGAATGTGACGATGATGAAACGAATGATCACCGTGATTGATTGGAGTGTATTTATTTATATACAATGTCCACATTACCCATCAACATACTCCATCAATCAATCAAATTCCAACTCTCTTGTTACCAAACACATCTCATTCGACTCAATCAATCATTCATTCAATCAATCATACATAATCAAAGAGTCCAACAACAACAAACTATCCAATCCAATATTCTGACAATCAATCCTTGAATCAATCAATCCATCCAACCAACCCATCAACCAACCCATTACCAAAGTCAAGGGAACCAGTAACAAACAGGCTATCAGACCAAGCCAATCATACCCCAAGTTTGACATGTCCGTATTCAAACATAGAAGATATGAGCGAGCCGACAATGATGACAAGAAGAAGCCATTATATGACGGTATGTTGTACCAACCAATGGCCACCAAGTCCATCTACCATACCTAACTTCCATCCATCCAAAGACTTCTACCTTACCAACTCCAACACAGTGGACAAACAATGTGCCACCTTCACAAACTTGCATATTACATCAAGTCCGAACCTCACATCGAGTTTACATTCATCGGTGCCACCATTCAGCACGACAGAGGATGATAGACGTAAGATGGGTCTTCATCGAAGTGATGAGGAATGGAGGAGAAGAGTGGACAACTCAAAGATCAAAGAGGAGGAGAGAATCAAACGTGAGAAGGCAGCCGCTGCTCAACTAATCCTCGAGGAGAAACAAAGAAAGGAGATGGAACAACTAAATAATGAGCGAGAGATTGAACAACTCGACAAAACCGACATCACTCCCATCCAGGCGCACCATCCCTCCAACCTCTACTCCTTCTTCCCCGACTCTGTCTACCAAGCTTTCCATCAACTTCAAATGTTCACAAGAGAGTATGTATACTTTGGAATAGTGATTGATTGATCAGTGATCTAACTTTGTGGACTTAGCCTTAATACTAGTTTACCAGTTCCAGAGTTTGTGTTTGTTGGACCAAAGGGTGCTGGAAAGTCTGCATTGATTGAGGCTTTGGTCGGTCTTCCATTGAACTTGGCTGGATTGGAGAATGTGTACACATCAACTAAGAGACCAATACATATTCAATTCCAATACAATCATGAATGTCAGAAGCCAAGGATCACTCTTAAGACAGATACACAGTCAATCATATTATTGCCAAACTTTGATCAATTGGGCATCCACTTGTCCAACTCCAACTCCAACACATTGTCCAGCTCTACATCCATCTTGGAGCCAATCTCAATCACAATTGAGTCCAACAAGACATTGACATTCACATTGATTGACACGCCAGGCCTCCAAGTGCAATCTGGCAACATCCAAGAGAGAGTTGAGACACTGATCCACTCATTGATCAGTCGTTACAACAGGACTATCATCGCAGTGGACACTTGTGGATGTGGTGATTGGAATAAGATGGCATCATTGCCAATTATATCACAAGTAGATCCTCACCATCAACGCACAAGCTTCGTCCTGACCAATCTAAACAAGTTGACCAGCACCATACATGGCTTCAGCGCCAGTCAAGACATCAATCGATTCCTGGCCGGCGCACCACAGACCACTGGATCGCACAGTTACTATGCCACGCTGCCCAACCAAGCCATCAGAATCAAGTCATCGGACGTGTCCACACTCCAGAAGAAGGTGTTCCAATTACATCAACGTGATGTAAACACGATGGAGCAACTTCAATTCGATCAAACATACATCCAAAGAATTGGTATGCTTGCCTTCCGCTCGCACTTTATCAACTTGATCTGGAAGTACTATCAATCATCAGTGCCATCAATACTCAAAGATATCCAACAATGTATCCAAAACACCACTGGTCTTGTCCAAACACTACAGGATAAACATTCGAGAATGGACATCTCAAGTCTGCGAAAGGAGGCCACCAACAGCACTGCCACGCTTCTGCAGACCATCGAACGACTGCTCACCGGCACGAGCGAGGGCAATCCAACTCTCAACGGCCAGACATTGTTCGAGGAGAGGCAGCAGGCACAGGCCACGGTGGAGAGCAGCATCTCTGGCGAAGCCTGTCCCCAGTGGTCCATCGAGGAATACGTCGTGCCAAACTCGAACGTCAAACTGTTTGGAGGACAGCAGTTTGAGCGACTGATGTCTGAGTTCAAGCTGGTGACCGAGACGACGCGGATGCCTGGACTGACCACCAACGAGATCGCAACGTCATGTGGCTTCAACAAACTCAACAGTAGCCCGAACCATGTGTGGGCCGCCTGCGACCTGGCACAGCAAAAGTCATACGAGTGCATGTTGCCTCTGATCGATGAGCTGGCGCAACGAGCCATATATGTGATGAAGCATCTTTGGGAGATTTCACATCGAGTGATGGGTGCCAGACGCAAGAACACTTGCTTGGGATCATCCACAGACATGCCCGAGACAACCACGACGGCGGCTGCCCAGTATCCTTACTTTGCTCATCATATCAAGGAGACTTTTGACGCATTTGTCCAGCGTGCTGCCAGCCAATGTCGCGAGAAGTGCATGGACGAGTTCATGTCGACACGCGCCATCTACTGGGAGTTCACTGAGTATCAGGACCAGGGCGCGGCCATCCACATGGGTGACAATGAATACACGCGATCACATGTGGAGTACTTGACCGAGCGCATCTTTGAGTCGATCCGCAAACGTCTCACCAAGAATGTGATCCTTCGTTTCTACAACTTCTTCCTGGTGCCCATGCAAACTGACCTGTGGTCCGTTGTCCAAGGTCGCATCAACAGTCTCACGGACGACACTCTCGCTCAATTGTTTGAGTTGGACACCAACAAGTCAATGTTGGCACAAGAGTCTGCCCGCCAGACAGCCATCCTTTCGCGCTACAAGCAGCGACGAGAGGAGTTCCGCCAGGCCGCCGCGCAGTTTAGTCATCCATGTTCATCATCATCATGTCCGTCGCCACTATCATCATCATCATCATCATCTGGTACAGCTATGCAATAAATAAAGTGTAGTCGCGCGCTAAAGTCTAAAGCCTAAAGTTATTACAAAGGAGGGAAGGAAGGTCACTCACTCACTGGATATGTGTTTAATGGGAAGTTGGAAGGGTAAAGGATGAGTGATGGAAGAAGGACGACACGAGACGACGTTGTCGCAAGCGAACTTATTTGATTGGTGTCATCGAGACTGAGTTGGTGGACGACGACAGGTTCTCCGAGCGCGAGGAGTGGGTGCTGGTCGAGCTGTTCGAGCCGGTGGTGCCAGAGACAGTGGTGGACGAGCCGAGGTGCTCCCAGCGGCTGCAGAATGGCAGACACTTGGCAAAGACGCGTGCGTAGTTGCTGAGCACCTTGTCGTTGATGCAGTACGACAGGAAGATCAGGAAGCCCTGCAGGGGCGTGGTGATGGAGAACAGCACCAAGAAGATCATCTCGGCGACGCCGCCTGGGAAGAACGTCATGATGAATCCAAAATCCAGGACAGACCGATCGAGAAAAGATCGAGAAGTACCTCTGAACTCCTTTGACTTCTCCTTCTTGTCTGAGCGTGGTGCGTTCTTCAAAGTGTCATGAATCTCTCTAGCAATGAAGAAGAAGATCACAGCGTTGGCACAAACGACCAACAGACCTGGAACAAAGAATCCCAAGAATACTGGTAGTTGAGCGTTCATGTAACAGCTATATATCGAGTGGGATGGGAGGGGAGGGGAGGTTAGAGGCTGAGAGGGTCAGGTGACACATGGCACTTGATCAATCAAACATACAAGTTCTTTCTGTTGACGTAGTTCTTGGTGGCAGCGATGGCAACAACAAAGATTGCAGGCAGGCCCCATGAGGCCAGATGGTAGTACTTCTCAAAGGACTCGGCGTCTCTGTTTCTCTTGACAATCATCTGGTAGAAGTTGAACGCCACGCAGAACGTCCAAATGAAGTCGGCCAAGAAGAAGTAATGCAGAATGATGGCCGACGGCAGACACATGATGGTGTCCCACGCCTCGAATGATACATAGAAGAACAGCTGCGCAAAGAAGATCGACATGCATAGATAGAGGATCAGTCTGATTGGGTATGTCCTCAGCTTGGGGAACAGCATGAATGTGATCACCGTCAAACCTGAGCCAACCATCGACAGGATCAAGAATATGTCGACAATATATGTCAACACTGTGTTGAGTGTATCTTCGCCTGACATTCTATCTTATCTTATTTTGAGGTTATCGAATGTATGTATGTATATGTTTGATTGATTGATTAGAGTTGAAGAGATAAGATATTAATCTAGAGTACAAGTGTTATTCTATATTGATTGAATGAGTCAATGGGAATGTTAGTATCATCATTCTTTGTTTGATTGATTGATTGATTGAATGAACAAAGGTGTATTTACACAATGTTGTCGATGTTGATGAAGTTGTTGTGTGAATGGTCGTCGTCCAAGTTGCGTTGTCGTTGTCGTTGTTGAGATAGTTATTCAAACAACAAGACTTAAAAGTAAGTAAGTAAGTAATATACTGTTTTATAATATTATATTAGAACAGATAGTATTACTACTCTAATATTATAATATATGTTGATATATATATGTACACGATTTAATGATGGAGTGGTGAGCTAAAGTGAGGCTGACAGGTATGATGTTAACGGCACCACCACCAACAATAACAATAACACCAATCCAACGACGACAAAACCAAGATGTAGGAGGTCAATCCTATCCTGTCATGTAATGTCAGGCAGTCAGTCACCGTCAGGTGAGGTGGTGATCACCAACGATGTCAACAAACACAACAACAACACATCTTCAGCATCAAAATGGTTAAAAATATCCAAAATGAAGATGTATCGACACAACACACACAACAATAACAACAACCTCCAATCGATAAAGTTAGAAGACAACACACACACTCTCTCTCTCTTTATCCACTCTCACTCTTTCTCTCTTTATCTCATTCGACCTTTATCATTTGACTTTAACTCATTCCACGCCTTTTTGATTTAATTTAAAGATCGTCGTCGTCGTAGTCATTGTTGTTGTTGTTACAATGAAGTATGCGATGAATGAATGATGAATGGTATGTTATGACTTACACAAAGAATTGATATATGATGCTGCGTAGCGAGGTTGTTTGGTGGTGATAATAATACAGTGGTATGTGTTGTCGTAATGATATATGATTGATGTAATCTAACTATCGAATGATGTGTCTCTGTCTATATATCTTTATATCTTTCTTTCTCCAATGACAAGATTTACTAATGTTAATGGACCTTTACCTCTGTGACTGACCATCCAACAACAATTGCGAGTGTCGCATGCTCGCAGTCATTCAGCCAGTAGACTTCTTGACCTCAACAGTCTAAAAGAAAAAAAATCGATCAGTTCAAAGTTTGTGTGTCAACTGAAACATCGACAAGAGTTGTTTGAAAAATTCGTGATGAGATCATGATCAAAATTCGAGCAAGTGTGGGTGTGATTGTTTGCAAAATATCATCATTGTTTTTGGACATGGTCGATCATGGGGCGGGCTGGTCCCTTGGACTGACCTCCCTCCTGAAACGTTGGGTACCCAATTATAAATGAACTACCATTATTATACCCATCAACCAACACGAGTGTTGTTGTTGCCAGCTTACATCCACACTCAATCACTCTTCCCTCAGATTGTTGTTCGGAAATCGACATCTTTAAATCATTCATTCATTGATTCATTGATTGATCATTTATTTATTTATTTATTTAAACATAACATATATATATATATAAATATTATAGTTAATATTGATGCTCAACAATAGAGAGGCTCATAGTTATGAGCCAACATTACTCATTATATCCTCAGACATTGAAGATGACCTCAATGATCACAAACATAATGATGATGTAGATGACGAAGATGATGATGATGACAATGATGAATACTATGATGATGACGACGAAGATGAAGACGATGAAAGCATTGATAGAATGAATACAATGACAATATCAAGCTCTTCAACAAGATCATCACCATTGATCTCCCCACTCAAGTTATTGGATCACCATCACATGGATCATCTGTTGGACGACGATCGCTATTGTGACAACCCGCCTCCGTCACCCATTGGCAATGTGAACGAGCAACAACATCAACAACAACTGAACAACAGTATGAACAATAACATGAGCAGTATATCGATTGCCGCCAACATCATAGACTTTGAGAACTCATTGCGCAAGGTACTCATATCACAACATCGTCTGATGGCCATTCAAAAGATAAACCTCAATCGAAAGCGTCGTGAGCGAAAGCAGATCCTCTACGACACATCATCAACTAATTCACCAACAAAGTCACTCGAGGTAAGTCCACCGCCACGTCCACAGCCCCAGCCACGCACGCCAACAGCCACGCTAACTCTCTCGCCACCCACCCCACTCAATCAATCTGGAATCATACCATTCATTCAAATTAGGATGGCTTGAAGCACATGTCAATCGAGAAGAAGCGTATACCTTATAAGACGACAAATTCATCAAGACATAGGAATACGTCGTCCTCATCGATATCATCAATGTCTTCATCGGCTTCTTCATCGCCATCGACCTCACTCTCATCACTTTCAACTTCCACATCCCCTTTGCCACCATCGCCACTCTCAATCGGCAGGAAATGGATGTACAGAAGATGTGCAGCAGCAACGCCAACCATTAGCAGTGGCAGTTGACACATCACATGCACATTACCATACATTCAATCATACATTAGATATACTAAGGTTGATGATGATGGATGTAAACACAGCCATCATGATAGACCAACTCTCCAACTCCCCACCCCATACCCATGTACATCAACCAACCAATCAACCAACCTCAGCAACTGCGACGACAACAACAACACTACCACCAACTACCACCACCACTATTGGAAGCATTTGGGAGGCCCAGGTGTCACTCGGACACTTGGCAATCAATCAATAACTCTCTCCTGAGCATCCTTTATGTACAAAGATTGTAATAAAGAGGACATGTTGGCACAACCTGGTGAATGGCTTCCCACTCACCTAGACTTGTGACATGTCCAATCCATCCAGATCCTCATCCTCTGCTGCTGGCTTTGTAGCTCCTTGCTGACTCGTTGTTATACTATCACTTGTTGTTGTATAACTAATATTGCTGAAAAGGTATGATATGTTGTTGCTGCCAGTGTTGTTTCCAGACTTGCCAGTATTGTTGTTGCCAGTATTGTTGTTGCCAGTGATATCATCAGATTTACTTTGTTGGCTGGATTGACGCACTACAGCGTAGTCCACATCGCCTTCTCCCCAGTCCACGTCCATGGACGACTGGTGCTCTTGTATCTCTCGCAACAAATCATTGATGCCACTCTGTGATACTGGTGCTTGGCTGGATTGTGATTGGTGTAGTCTGCTGAACTGTTGTGGTTGAGGTGTTGGTTTTTGTTGTACTGGTGTAGTTTGTTGTTGTTGCTGTTGTTGTGTCTTTGGTGGAGCCATGAATGTGCTTGGTTGTGATGGTTCCAGTTCATTGTCCTCAAACTCCAGGTTTTCAAGGTCTGAAGTGTCCTCAACAATGACTGTTGGTGTCTTTTGTTGTGGCGGTGATCGTTGTTGTTGTTGTTGTTGTTGTTGTTGTGGAGGTGATCTTTGTGGTGGCGGGGATTGAGGTTGTACCTTCTTCTGTTGTTGTGGTGGTGGAGGAGGTTGCATTGGTTGCTTGACTTGAGCATTTGTGTCGTTGTTGTTGTCATTTCCCAGGACTGGTGATACTGCTGTTTGTTTGCCCTTCTTGCCACCACTTCCATTGGAACCCTTCTGACTGCTTGCAATGTCCAGATTGAATGAGATATCATGTTCCTTCTCTTTCTCTTGTTGTTGTTCTTCTTCATGTACATGATGATCCTCTTCATCTTGATCAAAATGTCCATTATGATCCTCATGTTGTTGGACATCAACATCCTGATCCACTGGCACTTCTATTTCTTCTTCTTCTTGATCATATTGAGTGTCTTGTGCCCAGCTTGGTAGTGGACCATCTTCATCAACCTCTTCATACTCCTCTTCGTCTTCTTCGCCATTGTAACCATCATCATCACTCTCTTCAAGATCATCGAGGTTGGTGTTGACCCACGATGAGTTGACGCGATGCGGCTGCTCTCTGGGTTTGGTCTTCTTCCTCTTGGATGGCTTGTAGCTGATGTTGGTCAGACCCAGTGCAACCTTGATCGTTCTCTCTATCATTCTATAGTCCAGCTCAGGGTCCTCTGGGAAGATGGACGTCTGCGCATTCAGGCCCGACAGGATGCACGATGACTCTGCCGAGCACTCGACCATGTAGATGGCCATAATGGCATCCTGTATCTCCACGATATTCCTAAACATGAGTCTGGCATGTGCCTGCGACAGACGAATGAGCGACTCCATCAGTCTGGTCGTGATCCTCGCTTCATTACGCTGATTGCCACCCGTCCTCTGCTTGGAGAAGTAGGCGTCTAGCAGCAGACGGCTCTCAGGGGACAGCGTTGGACGGAACGTCGACTTGATGTAGTAGAGGTAGTTCTGCAGATTCTCAATGTTCCACATCGAGCCTTCCTCAATGTCGGTGGTGGGCACGCGAACATTTTGTCCACGACGCAGGATGAACTCCGAGATGAGCGTGTCCCACGCCGGGATCTGGTCGTCCGTGATGATCAGGATGATGTCAAACCTAGACAACAGCGGACTGGCCAGGTTGGTGTTTATCATGAGGCTCTGTGACTCGTCGTACTTGCCCTTGGCGTTGGTGGCCGCTATGATCGATGTGCGTGTGTGCAGACTGGTGACAATGCCACCCTTGGCGATGGAGATGGTCTGCTGCTCCATGGACTCGTGGATAGTGGCGCGATCATTCTCACAGATGCCGCTGAACTCGTCGATGCAGCACACGCCGCCGTCGGCCAGGACCAGCGCACCCGCCTCCAGCATCCACTCGCCACCCTGCTCCTTGACCACGGCGGCGGTCAGACCGGCGCTGGTCGTGCCGATGCCAGTCGTCAGGACGGATCGGCACGCAACCTTGGCGGCGAACTTGAGGAACTGACTCTTGCCCGTGCCGGGCTCTCCCACCAGCAGCATGTGGCACTCTCCTCTGCGCTTGATGCCACTCTCTTTGTCGTTGATCTCCACGCCGCCCACCAAGATCATCATGGTGGCCAGCTTGACGACAAACATGCCATAGACTCCTGGACAGATTGTCTTAAGAATCTTGTTCCTGCCCAGAAGTGGCTGTGACTCGTGCTCGATCCAAAAGTCCTCAAAGCTGCGTCGTAGTTCGTCAGTCATGCCGGCGCCAAAGCGTTGTTCATTCATGATCCTGATGTGATTGCCTAGCAGGACGATCTCGACATCGCATCGCTCGTCCTGTTTGAGTGCCTCCCAGCGTCTGATCACTGTGCCACTGACCACAATATCGTCGCCTGCTTGACAGCTGTCGACCAAGTCCTCCTGAACAATGACAATGATTGATCTTGGTATTGATCCAGCTCCAATCTGATGAATGTTCTCCTGAACCTTGATCTCCTGATAGTCACAATGTTCACCAATCTGATCCACTGGTTTGAAGTATTGATGTTCACAGTACTTTGGGTTTGGACATCTCTTTGGCAAGTTGAATTGATTCTTTAGTTCATGATCAATGTTTACCTCTTTGATTGATTGAGCGTGAGTATGTCATTGATGTATGAGAGGACATAGACAAAGAGGTACATACGGAATTGATGCTTGCACTTGGAGCACAAGAAGAACTTGGTACGTTCGATGACTTTGGGTGGACCGGTTCGGATGACTGTACCTCGGAACTCGACAAAGAGACCATAGTCAGAGGAGCGCGGGAGGAATGTTCTCCTGTTCTCTCGGACCATTGGAAGGTCACTGACTCGAACTCTACATCTAGGCTTGATGGTCAACATCGAAGGTGTTATATTGCTGTATGAACTCTGTTGTGAGATACTCTGTGCAAGATCATCATCACCACCGCCACCGTGTGCTTGGCTGCTTCTATGACCATTATCACGTCTTCTTCCATTGCTATTGTTGCTGACTCTGTTGGTACTATCACTTCTATCACCACCATTGATATAGAACTCTCTAACTCTACTCTGTGCCTCTAACAATGATTCGTGAAACAGAGGCAACAACTTGCGTGGTTGAGCTATGAACAATGGTCCAAAGTTGACATCACCTTCCAATATGATGGGGAATCTAAAGTTGATGAGTTAGATCATTCAATCAGTCAGTCTGACATTGAATGTACTACATACTCAACATGTAATGAATGATATAATGAAGCATCCTTGTGCAATAGTATTGCCTCTATCTGATTGACATAATGTGCTAGAAGTAACTTTGTGAAGAAGTCCAAGTATTCTTCTCGAGTGAAGTTCTCATAGTCATATATAGTGAACATGTGCACTAGTCTATAGTCATGCGTATATGTATGAGCATGTGTGTGTATGTATTGTAAGAATGAACGAATCGGGTCCAATGTGTCAAGATGTCTCTTCGTCTTGACCACAACTTCAAACTTCTCGGAAACAAACAATTGGCATCCATGTGTGTTTCCGTGCCGCAACAACAATCTAACTTCACAAACATGTGAGCAAGGATAATACATGTAGTACCTCAATCACTTCAAAGGTAATCAACTTCATCTTTGCTTTAATGTTAATATATTGTGTAGATATCCAAGACATAACATACAAGTTTGAATCAATGAATGATTGAATGATGGAGTAGCCATTCATTCATCATTGGTGCGGCCATTGAGTATATATACCGACCAAGTCCAAACACACAAGGTATACATTCATACTCCTATCGAACCTACCTTACTATACTATAATATCAAACTAACTAACTAACTAACTAACTAACTATCATCGTTTCATTATGTTTAACTATAACTCATTATCATCACTAATTGTGGTATTTGTATCTTTGTTGTTGTTGACCAGCGTTGATGTTGGTAATGGTCAATACCTTGTGTCTTCGTATTATGTCCGTGCTGGCTGCATGGGTCCTCCAACATCTACATTGTGGAAGCAACTCAACAGATGTAAATCAAACACCATCAGTGTCCTAAGCTCCTCCACTGCACTCCAGACCACAGCCGCCTCTACCACAACGCCATCCCTCGTCAGCAGTCTTGTGACCACTCAGTCCAACACCAATCCAATCCCCAGTCTGGTCACCTCATCTTCCAAGTCCACCACTGGTGTCGCCTCCCTGTTGACCAACAATGCTCTGCCCAATGGACTGCCAACACTGCCCAAGATCACGGCCTCTGCTCAGACCGACCCACCCGTGAGCATCCCAGTCGTTGTCAACATGTACTGTGTCGATCCAACATGTGGAATGGCCACCTGTATGCAGGCCAGCACCATCGTCATCACTGGCCAATGTGTCCCCAACACCGCCACCCCAGGCCAATTCGTCCGATACTCCATCGCCAACGTCCAGATGCCCAACATGACCCGAGACAGTCCAACAGGTACCTGCTATGCCCAGACCTACCAAACGTATGTATCACCTTGGAATCATCCCAGCCAACATCATACTAACTCAACAAACAACTCACTCACTTAGCGTGTGCAATGTACCTCCATTCATCGCGACTCAGGACGCCAACAATGTCCCCAATATTGGATACAAGGTCAACTGCACAAGGACCACCTACAACTATTATCAATGCATGGATGTTGAGTGCACTGATACGACATTGGTATACAACAAGACTATTGGCAAGTGCGCACCTACCAACCCCAATCAGACCCCAGGCTCAGGTACCGGACTCAGCAGTGAGTGGAACAACTATGCGTCCTTCTTCCCACCCCCTCCAACACCAGCACCAGGCGCCTCCTCCAGTACCACCACCACAACCAGTGGAGGCAGCAGTCCAACCCTACACTCGAACCCACCCGTCGAGGGTGACACTGGTGGCGCCTCCTCCTCAACATCGGTCCATCTTCTCGGTTTGGTGCTCTGCATGTCCAACGCTCTAATGATGATGCTCGCATTCTATTGTTTATGAGCGGTCAATCGATTGACTTGATTGATTGATTGATGGGAGTGGAGTTGAGTGGAATGTCCGGAACATGGCCCATCGATGGCAGTCAGGACCCTTCGCCTCATCGATGAGGTCACGCACCTGACTTTTGAAGAAAGATAAATGTATTTATTTCTATTTATGTTTATTATTATTTCATTGTTTGTGTATGGTTGTCGTAACGACATTGAATGCAAAACTGTCAAAAACATCACAGTTTTGATCAATCGTCTCCATATTGATCGATGTGCGAACCCCAGGGCATCTTGCAAACATCCATCACAAACCCCTTCCCCAACCTTCACACACTCACATGAATATTCTCTTCCCCAAGCTCACACTGCCACTCATTCATTCTCATTCATTCATTCCTAATACAATCACTTAGATATATACTATAATTAAAATTATAATATATATATAACTCATATACAACTACAACAACTATAACATAAATATATAACAACAATCAAACAAAGTAAAGACATGTATCCATCAACATATTCAATGATTGCCAATAATGGAGGAAGTGGAGGTTCTGGAATGAGTGGACTTGGTGTGGGATCAAATGGCGGTAACAATCAGCCAACTGTTTATAATTCATTGGGTCAGCCAATGGGCACGTCAAACAACTCATCTGCAACAGCCAACACTCAATTGGCCATCAATCAAGAGGCACACATGATGCAACACTCCTATCAGAGCCAGCAGGCGGGCTTGTCCAGCCAGCAGATGTCCATGCACAACGACACCCTTCAGCAACAGATGTCGCAGCAGCTCCTCGAGTTGGAGTTGCAGCAGGCCATCCAGTTCGAGCAACTCTGCGGCGGCACTGGCAACGCTGGTTTGAGTGGCATTGGCACCTACAACATCGTGCCAATGAGCGGCATGAGCAGCATGGGTGGATTGGGCAGCATGAGTGGCATGAGCAACTTTGGCTCCATGGGATGCGCAAGTGGCATGAACGCGATGAATGCCATGAACAACGCTCAGCACATCCCCCTCAACGTGTCCCCGTATACCCCTCATCCAACCAACTGTCCCCAGACCCAGCTCCAGCAACAGCAACAGCAACAGCAACAACAACAAGAGCAACATGATCAACACAAGAAGCAAGCAAGCAACTTGGTGGATGTAAGTGAGTTGTCCATTCCAGACGGCGCCGGCACCAGCGCCAACGGCACACAGGATGTCGCCGAGCTAAGCAAGCAACTCAATCTGACCAAGAAGCAGTTGGAGGACGAGCGCGAGTCTGCCATCTGCTCGATCTGCGTCGACAGGAAGAAGAACACCGGTCTGGACTGCGGCCACATCTTTTGCAATGAGTGTGTGTCGTGGTTGGGCGGTCGCCACCTCTGCCCAATCTGTCGCCAGGAGTACAAGAACCCAATCAGACTGCACTTCTAAGTGCGATCCAAGCCCTATCCCGCCGTGGTGGCTTACCTTTACCTTAGACTCGTCGCTGACATCGCATGCGCCTGTCGTTATATTTCGTTGTCGAACTAATCTCAATACCCCTCCTTGCCTGCTTGTGTAACATTGTGTAATAAACGCCCTTCCGATGTAAGGGACTCGACTTGTCGTCGGGTGTCCTTCCCTTTCAAACCCCTCGACCCTAACCCTCGCCCTTGCCCTCGCCCTCGACTCCAAGTTCTTTCCAAAGTTTACCCAGTTGTTTCCATGCCTTGTAATAATGAGGACGACAACAAAGAGTATCAACAGCTTGAGCAGCAGCAGTAATATTATCATTAGTTAGTTAGTTAAGAATATAATTACATCAACGGAGAAGTCTCGATACATTGTCATTGATGGATATATTGTTTCACAATGTACTAAGGTCTGTTGTGATCAGATCAGTGTTGTTCTCATCAGTTGGGGAGGTACATCGAAGGATGGGATTAAGATCAAGGCGTGAATGTGATATCCTCAGTCTGTTGGATGCTGTTCGATTCGGTCGTACAGAGTTGTTCATTCATCACTTTGATAGGATGTATATCCTTGACGAGGACAACAGAGCAAGACTACATGATGACCTCAACAACAAAGTCAATTACTTTATGTCCTGCGAACCATCAGACAGGTACGACCTCATTCAATCAATGAATGTGCGAATGAATGAATGAATGATTGACTTGTTCCACTAACTCCATGGAATCATTCCAACATTCATTTATTATATTAGTTTGTTGTTCACTATTCGCCACGCATTCATTACAGCATTACACAAGAACAATCACAAGCTTGTAGTTTACATCATTGATCAGGTTAAGATTGTCATGGATGATGGTGGAGCAACAACATCCGAACTCGATATGACTTCCCAAACAGTGGCAAAGTATCTCGTGTTGCGATTGGACGATGATTACACGATCAATCTCGATCGAAAGATGATTGATACCCTGATGCTTTATCCATGGATATCCCATTGGTTCGCTGAGGGCTTGGTATTGGCTATGGCCAAATCATCGTTACTCATACATAACGACGTGCGTCTGTTCAAGAGGTTGACCGAGCGATTCAAGAACTTCATTGCACAGATGGTCTATGATGATAGCATCGTGGGGCTGTTTAAACACAACATGTCATCGGATGATATCATTGAGCTGGTCACGTGGCACCAGGAGACAGGTTGGGAAACGAATAATGTTGGTCTTCTCATCTTTGGACATGCCATGGAGTACAAACGATTTGATGTGGCACTTCGAATGTTGACAGAGATGGATGCCCGCACTGTCCCCAGGGTGACGGAGTATCACAAGGCATTGGCAATGTATGCCAACACCGAGCTGCTCTCGGTCATCAACTACAATTTGCCTGACACTGGCAGGGTTGATAACATACTCAATCATACAAGCTGTGAGGGCAACATCGACTTCCTCAAGCATGTACACCAGCAGCTACATGATAAGGTTGCGGGCCTCACTGAGCACTGCCATCCTGTGTTGGATAATGAGTTGATCATGAATATCAAGCACCATGATCACGCACTCTATGTGTTGGACAACCTAAGTCAGTTACTTCAACAACAATCTATAGCACTGCGCGATCCGCTTCTCAGCAAATGGTTGGTCCAGGGCATCGACGCGAATTCAGACTCTACAAGGCAACTTGTCGACACACTGTTGGCCAACACGGACTTGGTCAATTGTCAATTCTACTTGTCACTCTACTCGAGTGCCGTCGATCTGCAGCGAGTTGATATGATTGAACTCGTCAAATGCATCATGTCTCATGACAACTCTATTCATTTCTCAAAGAACAACATTGATGGGTTGCTATGTAGTGCAATCTCGAGAGGATTTGTCGAGGGCATCGTCCTGATTATTGGCGCCTATCCATCCAATCATGTATTCACTGTCGAGCATGATCATTTCCTTCAGGCCGATTTGGCCACACAACAGACACTGCTCACATTGATCAAGCCTGGACAACTTCTCTTTACCAAAAGTTTGAGAAAACATTATACATGCCAACAATGGATGACGATCGATATCCTGCGATTGATCCATCGCCATGGACATGGCAAACCATTGGACATGCTTCTTAACGCGGCAATGCTGGGCGCATTGGATATCTTGAAAGATGTATTCACAATGAATGCAGCCAACTGTGTAAGCTTAAAAATTATTGGTTTTGTGTGCCAAGGTAGTGGAGATGTGGACGTCATTCGATATCTCATGGAGAAGGGCATCCCCATATTCGACATTGGGGTGGCACTGGGTCACGCCTTTACATCTGGCAACCTACACACTGTCGACTATCTCTTGTCGCTACCTGATCATATTGCCCGTGGTGGTGAACCTGGCTATCTAATTCGCGATGATGTCTTTGAAGTGATGGAGAATCGAGAAGGCATTGATCCAACTCTGTTCACATTCATGTTGGATCATTTGGAGCTCCAAGTTAGGCAGGATCAATCATTCATTATAGATTTGTTATCAATGGCTGGCTTCCAATTCCACATGTACCATGCTGTATTGGAAATGTTGGCGAAGGATCAGCACCAGCAACAACAACATCATCAAGTCGCGCCATTCATCTCAGCGCCTCCACTGAACAGAGCTAAACTATATACAAAAAAACCAAATGATATTGATCAATATCAAATGATCAACTCTGTCGTGCAACTGTTTCGACCACCACCTCATGGCGACGTTGGTGTTGTAGCCAACCCATTCATCATACCATGCACTGATGACTATTACCAAACATACCAAAAAATGATCATTGATGCTGGAAGATTCCCAATTGATGGATGTAAGTGAGTGTAATTGAGCAAGTCATCAGTTTTTAGGGAGTGGGTCGGAGGCCTCAAGCCTCCATCAGGCAATCAATCACTTTTGGAATCTTTCCAAACAAATAAATTAATACATAAATATCTAAACCAAACAATGATGATGATCATCAACAACAAGGCAAGTGTCAATGATGATGATGTGACATTGATGACATTGTTTCACAATGTACTAGGGTCTGTTGTGATCAGATCAGAGTTGTTCTCATCAGTTGGTGAGGTAAATAGAAGGATGGGAGTAGTAGGTATGAGAAAGAAAGGACGTGATATACTCAGTCTGGTGGAAGCAGTCCAATTCCATCGTAATGATATGTTCATGCATCACTTTGAAAGGAAGTATATTCTCCCTGTCGACATCAGAATCAGTCTACATCATGCACTTCACAACATAACAATCAAACCCTATTGTTCATCCTACGACACGCCAGGCAGGTACGTTACTCATTCATTCAATAACTAATCATGGGACCATTCCATCACTCACTCACTCACTCACTCAATCAATCATAGTATTCTGTTCACTATTCGCGAGGCATTCATTGAGGCACTTCATAAGAACAATCACAGACTTGTCGTCTACATCATTGAGCAGGTCAAGAAAGTGTATGGCATGCAATGTATATGTTCATCGTTCTCATCATCAACTGAGTCCAAGTCCAAGTCCAAGTCCAAGTCCAAGTCCAAGTCCAAGTCCAAGTCCAAGTCCACTCTGTCACCATTCAAAGTAGTTGCAAGTATACTATTTTTGTCAGAGCTGAGCGAGCACGAGGATGCCAGGATCATTCCCGATCGCAACATGTACGATACTTTGATGAAGTATTCACCTGATTGGTTCGACGGGAACATGCTTGGATTCTTGGCTAAAAAGTCGTTGAGCGTGCATCATGATGTACATCTCTTCATGCTGCTGGCAAAGCGATTCAAGTCGCACGAGGACTCTTTCCAAATTGGCTACCAAGGCCAAGCCGATTGGACGATCGACGAGTTGTACAAACATAAGGTGTCGTCGGACGACATCATCAAGTTGGTGCAATGGCACGAGGACAGAGATTGGCGTTGGAGTGATCAGGCTGGAATTAACTTCTTTGAGTTTGCCGTCCAGTACAAGCGATATGATATTGTACTCAAGATGGCCACCGAGATGAGCCCAGACACATTCCCAACCGAATATTCCGAGCAATACGAGTCGTTGGCATTGTGTACCGACCACAACGGTCAGATCATCTCTAGCGCCAGCGACAACGGCAATGGCATGCCCGAGCATGGAGCACAGGTCACCAAGCAACAGGTCATCTCGATGTTGGACGATACGGGTTCAATCTCAGATCTCTATTCGACTGCACTCAGACAGCATCGACTCGATGTGATTGAGCTTTTGCACCAACACCTCACTGGAGAAGCATGGGATGGTATCACCAGACACATCTTGGATTGGGAGCTGACCAGCACGACAATAGACTGTATTGCCGCGATATTAACCGGACCCTGTCCACATCACTGGTTCACCATCAAGACTGATCACATGGCCAAGACTGATGTGGCCATTCTACACCGACTCCTCGAGTTGGTCAAGCCTAGACTGTTGTTTGTCGTTGATTATTATTATGGTGGCACGACGATTGATGTCCTGAGAGCGATGCATCTCCATGGCCATGGCAGTCCCAACACCATGTTTACGTGGGCGGCAGAACTGGGTGCATTGGATATCATGGAGGATCTATTCAACCAGGCTGATTCTGAGGTACCCAATGACACTCACTTGTTCAATAATATGGTGAACAAAGTGTGCCAAACCAATGGTAATGTGGAGGTACTTCGATATCTCAAGGATCTTGGCTTCCCATTCATCATTAAGGAGTGTTTATTATACGCACTGTGCAGAGGCAATTATAAGGCCGTGGACTATATCCTGTCGCTGCCAGAGTATGTGGCACGTGTAGGTAGCAAGCCTGGCTTACTCATGGGAAATGACATACTCCGTGTGTTGGAACAAATTCCTGATCATACCGTTCCAGCTCAGATCACATTCATGTTGGATCGCCTGGACATTGCAGACCGACTGAATCAATCATTCATCAATCAGTTGTTGTCAAAGTCTGGCTTCCACTTCCACATCTATCGTGCTGTGTTGGATATGCTGGCCAAGGACATTCAACAACATCAACAACTTCAACAATGTAAGCCATTCATCAAAGCACCTCCATTGAGCAATGTTAAGTTCTTTCAAATCAATCATCGCGATAAATATCGATCGACCAACTCTGTTGTGGAGTTGTTTAGACCTCGTGGCCTGGGCGCCAATCAAACAAACAACGAAGTCATCAACATGTTCATCATACCATGCACTGATGACTATTACCAAACATACCAGACAATGATCATGGATGCTGGAAGATTCCCAATTGATGGATGTAAGTGAGTGAGTGAGGGAGGAAGTGAGGCTGGACCCCAGGACCAGGCCTCAATCAGTAAATCAAAGTGATCATTTTGGCATCATTCCACAAGTCCATCATACAAACAAATACATAAATATCTATTTATATATAAATACAAACAAGATGGCCAATGATGATGATGATAGTGATGGTGAGTTATCAAATTCAAAGATAACTCACCATCAGTTTCACAATGTACTTAGGTCTGTTGTGATCAGATCAGTGTTGTTCTCATCAGTTGGTGAGGTACATAGTAGGATGGGATTAAGATCAAGGCGTGGATGTGATATCCTCAGTCTGGTGGAGGCTGTTCAATTCGGTCATACAGAGTTGTTCATTCATCACTTTGATAGGATGTATATCGGTAATGGACCAACCAGAGATCGTCTACATTGCTCTCTCCACAACATCATAAGCTCATCTTACAACGTGCCATGCAAGTAAGTATGTCCTCAATCAATGTCCGCTCAATCACTCACTCACTCACTACTCGATCAATCAAACAAACAGTCTGTTGTACACTATTCGAGAGTCATTCATCCAAGCACTGCATAAGAACAATCACAAGCTGGTTGAATATATTATTGATCAGGTCAAGGATGTCTTCGAGTTGAAGTGTTGTTGTACTGAAACACCATCAAGGCTGGAGGACGGATCAATGACCACGAACAAGACTGGAGACCAAAGGTCATCATTAACTACTGTTGCTAGCATACTCTTGTTGCGATTGTCTCAAGATGACGAGATACATCCCGATCGAAAGATGTATGACGTGCTGATGCGGTATCCGCCGGATTGGTTCGATGTGAGCTTGGTAACTTGCTTGGGCGATATGTCGTTGTTCAAGCATCACAATGTGCGCCTGTTCAAGAGTTTGGCCAACCGATCCCCCTTGCACAGGACCTACATGACTCATCTTGTTGACCCAGAAAGAAGGATCTACAAGGCTCGGATGGGAGGCTTATTCGATAAGTCCAACATTGAGTTATTCAGACACCAAGTGTCGTCGGACGACATCATGGAGCTGGTCAAGTGGCACGAAGAGACAAGTGCGCATAGGAACAATGGAATCGTTTTTAAACTCTTTATACTTGCATTGGAGTACAAACGATTTGATGTCGCACTTTTAATGGCGACCAAGGGCACTCTCCTAAAGGTCGTGGAGTATGACGAGGCATTGGCAAAGTATGCCAATATCGAACTACTCAGTGCCATCAACTACACATTGCCGGACATCTATGTTAAAGACATACTCAATCAGACAAAAATTAATGGCAACATCGACTTCCTCAAGCATTGCCACAGTCAGATAGAAAGCAAGGTTATGGGCCTCAAGGATCATCTTAGTCCTGCTGTGCTGGACATTGAGATGATTAATCACATCCGTTCCCATACACATGACTACGCACTCTATGTATTGTACAACCTCAGTCACCTGCTACAAATACAGAGTGATAAGCTTGGGACACTTGGCAACAAATGGACCGTCACGAACATTGACGTGCACTCTGATTGGATGGTGACGAAGCATCTAACCGACACACTGATTGCCGACAAAAACAGAGTCAAGTGTCGGTTCTCCAATCTCTACTCAAATCTCTATAGAAGTGCACTCACACAGCAGCGAGTCGAAGTGATTGAATATGTGCATCAACTCATATCTAATGACCAAACCAAAGTAGATATTATCACAAGGAACTTCCTTGGTCGGGAAGTGTCAACCAGCGCGACGTTGGAGTGCATTGCATCGTTAGTTGGCACTCATCCATCCCTTCTTCACTTGTTCACCATCAAGTACGATGACCTGATTCAAAGTAATCCCGATTCACAGCAGATACTACTTTCATTGATCATATCTGGACAACTGGTGTTTGATGGCCACTATGAGAATATGACAACTGACACCCTGCAATTGATTCATCGACATGGACATGGCATTCCAAAGGTCATGTTTCTTGCCGCGGCAAAGCTCGGAGCATTGGAGATCATGAATAATGTGTTCCATATGGGGATGATCAATGATAACCAGATCTTCAGAGAGGTTGTCAATGAGGTGTGCAATGCCAGCGGAGATGTGGATACACTTCGATATCTCAAGGATCATGGGTTCTCATTCGACATTAAGGAGGCGTTATCAATGGCCCTGTACAAGGGCAATTTCCACACAGTGGACTACCTCCTCACTATGCCTGAACATGTTGAGCGCGGTGGTACGCCTGGCTCGCTCATGCGCGACCAATTCATTCATATTATGGGATATCCCGACAAGATCGATCCAGCTTCATTCATATTCATGTTGCATCGTCTGGAGACCGCTGGAAGAATGGACAAAGCATTCATCATTCAAGTGTTGAAATTGGCTCGTTGCCACTGGCATATATATCGCTCTATGTTGGATATGTTGGAGAGGGATCAGTGTCGATATCAGCGATTCATCCCAGCACCTCTATTTCACAAATCAAAGATCTATCAATTTCTTTGCAAAGATAATTATCGATCGACCAACTCTGTCGTGCAACTGTTTAGACCACAGAATTCTGTTGATGACTATGATAACAAAGTCTGTCCATTCATTATTCCATACTCTGAAAAGATGTACCAAAAATATCAGAAAATGATCATCAACTCTGGAAGATTCCCATTATTAAATTAATAGTTTGGGCTTAATGTCAATCAACATCCTCACTCACTCTCCTTGTCTTTTATTTGCTCAATCAATCAGTGATTGGGAATCTTCCAGTGTCGACTAACATAGTCTGGTATTGAAGGTAATAATCGTTTGTGGATGGAATGAAATAAGCTCTAATTGATGATACATGTGATGATGGTTTGTCAACTCCAATGCCATTGCCATCTGCGCCAACACCAATGGGTCGAAACAATTGCATTACAGAGTTGGTCGATCGATATCGAGCACTATCCTTCAATATATTGTACAAAATATTGTTCAATCTCGGGGCTGGGATGAATGGTTTTGGATGTTGTTGGTCCAGCTGGTCCCTCTCCAACATCTCCAACACAGCACGATAGATGATGAAGCGGAAGCCAGCTGCTGATAACATTTCGATAATGAATGATTGATCATGTCGGTCTGAGATGTCCAGATGGTCCAACATGAATGTGATCTGTTTTGAATCGACGTCATTATCCAGATTGTTCAACATTCGGATTACTTGGTCGGTGAGTAGCAAGCCAGGTCTACCTCCAGACTCAACGTGCTCTGGCAGCGTCAAGAGGTACTCCACCGCTTCAAAATTGGATTGATTCAGAGCATTGAATATCGCGTTCTCAATATCGAAATCCAAGTCTAGCTTCATCAGGTATCGAAGAACGTTAACATCTCCACTGACCTTACACACTTTCTCCACTAAGCCTTCCTCAAGGACGAGCATCTCTGGATGGAGCACCTTCTCCATGATATCAAAGGCACCCAGATATGCCGCGCACCAAAATATGTCCTCGGGCTGGCCGTGTCCATGTTGATGTATCAATCGCAGGGTATCAATCTTCATGCTTGACGTAAAGCCACTAAGCTTCAGCTGTCCAGGCTTGACAAATGCAAGCAGTGTCTGTTGTACGGCCATATCACAAAGTAGCAGTTGAATATAATGCATGGTGAACACTAAATTGTCTGGACAAGTGCGAATGATCGAGACAATGCCCTCGACAAAGCCTACCACCACTGCAGTGGCACATGACAGACTCCAATCAATGTTGATCCCTCCATTCACTCTGGCGTTGTTGAGGGAAACGAGTTGTAGAACCTCGTCCATCACATCAACTCGCTTCTGTTGGATTGCACTGAGGTAGAGTTTGTTGTAGAATTGACACTGGACCCTGTCGGCACTGGCCAACAGTGTGTCGACGAGTCGCTTGGTCACCACCCACTCGACGTGCACTTCGATGATCGTAACCAACCATTTTCCCTTGTCTTGGACTTGATTCAGGGCCTCGCTCTGTTGTTGAAGCAATTGACTGAGGTTGTCCAAGACATAGAGTGCGTAGTTGTAGTCTTGTGATTGTCGTTTGATATGACTTATCATCTCATTGTCCAACACTGGACGACCATGCTTTCTGATGTCCTTAACCCTGTCACGTATCTGGTTGTGGACATGCTTGAGGAAGTCGATGTTGCCATTAATGCGTGTTTGTAGGAGTAAGACATCAATCTTCAATTCGTGGTTCGGTAATTTGTACTTGATGCCTCTGAGTAGCTCACTGTTGGCATACGTTGCCAATGCCTTGTGATATTTCTCTTCCTTTTTATAGCGCTTGTGCATCTTGGTCGCCATCAGAAGTGCAATATCAAATCGCTTGTACTTCATTGCAAGCTCAAAGAATGAAAAGGCTCCAGATACCGGTTGCCAACCATTTTTCTCGTGCCACTTGACCAGTTTGATGAGATCGTCCGAGGACACATCCTGCTGGAACAAGTCACTGCATTGGCCATCTGATCTGAAGTGGTTGCGCATATGGGACTGGAATCGCTCGACCAAACTCATGAACAAGTGCACGTCGCGATGCTTTCGCAACGACATATCGACCAACCTTCCCATCATTTCATCGCTGAGCCAATCAGCAGGGTACTGCATCAGTGTGTCGTACATCTTGCGATCTAGATTGATCGTGTCATTGCGGTCCAATCTAAACAAGAGTCCACTTGATACTGTTTTGAACGACGGCTTGTCATCGTTGGTCGTGGACTTTGAATATGAGTTGATCATTTTGGTTCTACTTGTTATTACGTCGTGACATCTACAATGCTCTAATAAATTCTTGATTTGCTCAATCATGTAAACAACAAGCTTGTGATTGTTATGGTACAATGCCTCAAAGAATGCCTGGCGAATAGTGTACAACACACTGTTTGATTGATTGTTTGATTGATTGAGTGAGTAAGTGATTGATTGATCATTAATGAGTTGGATGTTGAAGTACTTACTAGCCTACATGTTGACTGTGATGATTTGGTTCGAGAGTGAAGTGATGAAGTGCGCGATGTAGTCTTGCTCTGTTGTCCACGTTGAGGATATACATCTTATCAAAGTGATGAATGAACAACTCTGTGCGACCGAATCGAACAGCATCGAACAGACTGAGAATATCAGGCTCTCGACTTGATTTTAATCCCATCCTTCTATATATCTCCCTAACTGATGAGAACAAAACTGATCTGATCACAACAGACCTTAGTACATTGTGAAACAATATATCCATCTCTATATTATTATCATTATCTCTATCTCTATCTCTAACTCTGTCCTCAATGTATCAAAGAAATGAAACCAAAACAAGGAACAAGCTGAGATATTTATGCTGTTGTATCCACACAACCCAGGCCTTACTTTTATGAGATTGATTGATTGGATTTAGGACGAGGCATGAGGGATCGAATGCTGGAAGGAGTGTTGTTGGCTGCTGGTGCCCTTGACAATCTCCACCGTAGACGCTGTGATTTGGTTGTCCTTCATGATGTTGCCAATAGCCTTGCGAATCTTCTTCTCATTGGCATTGGGCTCGACAAACACTCTAATGGTCGATACTGTCATCTCTTCGCTATGTGTCCAAAAGTGGAAGTCGCTGTATCTTGTTACGCCCTCAATGTTTGTTATCTAGTCGTAGTGATGGTGTTTGTTAACTACCTTCCTGCGCGCGAGCTGTAGCATGGATGATGGACACTTACATTGCCAATGATTTGACTGACATCCTTGGTCAAGGCTTCTGGGGTGCACTGCAGCAGAGTCTTGGCTGTGTTGGTGATCAATGGTATTACACTGAGGAAGATTAGAATACTGATACAGAGTGAGCAGATGGGGTCGGCCAGGGTGTAGCCCCAGATCTGGATGATGAGCGACGAGATGATCACTCCAACGCTGCCCAATGTGTCGGCCAGCAGATGGAGGAACACTCCATCGATGTTGACACTACGCTTCTTTGGTTGTTGTTGTTGTTGGCCTTGTGCCAGCAGATCGGCTGGCTCCTCGTGGTGGCCGCCGTGTGCGTGTGAGTGGCCGCCTCCACCTCCATGTGAGTGTCCATGATCGCCATGGAATGAGAACACGCCAACCATATTAACAATGAATCCCAACACAGACACCAACAACAACTTATCAGTGTTGATCTCTGGTGGCTCCATCAGTCTGATTGATTGTTTGAGTGAGGGTAGGGTAAGGGTAAGGGTTAGGGTTGGGGTTGGGGTTAGGTTGGGCGCGAGACTTAGAACATGCCTTTCGATTGACTCCATCAAGATGGTGATGGCAATGAATATCAGGAATATACCGTTGACGAAACCAGAGAGGATTTGGACACGACCGTAGCCATAGGTGTAGGTCTCGTTGGGCTTCCACTGTGAGATGACCTCGGCCACGAGTGCAATGAACAATGCCGTCGCGTCAAATAGCATGTGGCAGGCATCAGTGATCAGTCCAAGACTGTTGGTCCAGATACCATAGGCCATCTCGACAAACATGAACATCAGATTGACTACCAAGAAGATAAAGATACGTCTAGATGTCGGTTTCTCCACAATCTGGCGAACGACATCCTTCATAATGAAACTGAGTGATGATGTGGACTTTGTAGCCATCGCGCCAGCGCCCAATCCCATCAGTCCTTGATTGGCACCGCCATCAAATTGATTGGACTTGGAGAATAGTATATGTATAGCTATGTGTGGATGGATGGTATGAGTGAGTGAGTGGCGTGACAATTCTCCTGGTTCACAACATACCTGTGAGGATGAGCATGAAGCTGATGATTAGAAGGGGTGGGAGACAGGTGCTGAAGCCAAGGAACAGGGAGAGGACGGCAGAGGTGATGAGATAGGATGTAAGGGTCGCCTTGCTGTAGACGAGGAAGCCAAGCTGTTGCTCGATGATTGAGTCGATGTGATGGTTGAGGAATGTTCCAAAGAGCGCGACAAAGAACAGCTGCAGCAGGTGGAACAGCTCGTGCGACGTCGTGTCGGCTGGAGGCATGGCCGAGTATGGGGTGGTCGAGTACTCGTACACCTTTAGAACGAGCAGCAGCAGCGACGACGCCAGCATGCCTAGTGAGTGCAGCTTGTTCTTGCTGTTCTGCACGCCCGCCGTGCCACTGCCGCTTCCATGGCTGTGCTGCCACTTGTGAATGATACCACTGCTGCCCAACAGATTGTAGACCACCAGACAGACGCCGCCAAAGAACAGTGTGGAGTATGGTGTGCCTGTGCCTGTCACACCGCCAAACAAAGGGATCGACAAGTAGCCACCAACCAACATCAATGTAGCGCGCGCCACATCATTTCCAAACAAGTTGCCCTGCATCAAGTTATTCAATATAATCGGATATGTTTCAAATGTATAGTCTGTCAACAATAATGCGCTGTTTGTTTGATTGGGTCATGTCAGTCAGTCAGTCCGTGCTCATGATCATTCAATCAATCATTCGATCAATCATACCCTAATGGTCCGATATACTTGAGACCAGTGTTCCAGAGCAATAGTGAGCCAGTGTTGAGCACGGCAAACAATGCCAGGTTCTTCCATTGTGACGCCTTCATGTGTTGGATGGACAGCCATGGTTTCTCATTGATGGCAAACAGTACCGATGACATCAACACCGTATAGAATGTCAAGTCGACCACTGTCATCGTATCATGCATCAGAAAGAAAGCAATTATCGTTGCCCATATTCGAAAGGCTTTACTACCAAACAGCATCAATATAACAGATTGACTAAAGTTATATATATGAATGATTGTTTGAGTATAAGTTATACATGTCTGGCTGGTCTGGTCTGTCGATCACATGATCTAGATATATCGCATCATGTTTGCTAATACTATTACTAACCTGTTCTTTGAGTACTTTGTGTTTGACATCATCTTCACTTTCTTCCTTTCGTTAGTTTCAACTGATTGAATGAAAGACTATATAAAGTATGAATATAATATATATATATATGTTGTAATACAAAAGATGATGGAGTAATCAAACAAATAAATGAATGAATGAATGAAAGAATGACACGTGGCCCAAGAGTGAGTTCACTTCACTTCACTTCCAACCACTTCACTTCGTTTTCGGGACTTCCATTCAAATTCAAACAAAACCCTGACCCCTCTTGGTCAAGACTCAACTTTGGTCAATCATTCATTCATAATTCGTCTTTGGCCTGCGATCTTATATTACTTTATACATATACATATACAGAGAGACATGTCAGGAGGTGATAAGTTCTCATCAATACTTAAGCTAACAGAGCTTGACGACTTTATAACACCATCTCAAGAGTGTATCAAACCTGTTGAGATTCTTAGAACAAAGGTTTGTGTTATGAGCTGTTGTGATCGATCACAAGTCACAACCAACTAACAACAATAGTATAGAAAGGAACAAATGTACATATAGAATCGGATGGAACATATATGGAGGTGGGCGATGATGGCCAAAAGAGCAAGATGGAGAAGGCAACGATTACGTTGAATGATTGTCTGGCTTGTAGTGGTTGTATTACATCGGCAGAGAGTGTATTGATCACCGCACAGAGTACTGCAGAGTTTATGAGTGTATTGGCAAAGAATGCAGAGTCTCGTCAGTATACTGTGGTCGTGTCGCTGTCGCCCCAGTCAAGGGCATCGATCGCCGCACACTTTGGCGTGTCGTCCAAGACCGCCCAAGCACGTCTCGAGTCATTCTTCCAGCAAACACTCAAAGTCGACTATGTATTCGACACGGGATTCAGTCGCGAGTTCTCCCTGCTCGAGTCATGCGCAGAGTTTGTCGCTCGCTTCAAAAAGACCATTGACGCACCACTACCCATGCTATGCTCGGCATGTCCTGGCTGGATCTGTTATGCCGAGAAGACACATGGCGAGTACATCCTACCCTACATCAGCACGACCAAGTCGCCACAACAGATAATGGGCACACTAGTCAAGTACTACTTAGGTGACAAACTGCTCAACAAGAAGTATGTTTGATTGGAACTATTCCATCCATGTTGTATCACTCACTCAACCAATCATTCAATCAATCAATCAATCAAACAGACCATCAGAGATATATCATGTAACGATCATGCCTTGCTATGACAAGAAGTTGGAAGCATCAAGGAGTGACTTTTATTCGGACTTGTTCAAGAGCAAGGACGTAGATTGTGTGCTGTCCACTTCAGAGGTGCTCGAGCTACTCAAGGAGAAGAATGTAGACTTCAACTCAATCGATGAGACGATGGCAGACACAGGCAGTGCCCAGGAGGCACAACAGGCACAACTCAATCGATGCCTGTTCAAGAACATCGATGAGTCGAGCGGTGACTTGTTTGGTGTGGAGGGATCGTCTGGCGGCTACTTTGAGTTCCTGTATCGCTACGCCGCCAGGGAGCTGTTTGGCATCACCGTGGACAAGATCGAGTACCAGACTGGCAGGAACACAGACTTTATGGAGGCGTCGATCGAGGTGTCTGGCAAAAAGGTGTTGTGCTTTTCCAAGGCCTATGGATTCAGGAACATTCAAAACATCGTGCGCAAGATCAAGACTGGCAAGATACCTTATCACTTTATCGAAGTGATGGCCTGTCCGTCGGGATGCATCAACGGTGGCGGTCAGATCAAGGCGGGCAGCGGCACGATCAAAGAGCAAAAGGTATTGATACAGCAGAGCGAGGACAGGTACAATGAGCAGTCTGTCAAGCTGCCCCTGGAGGACAAGCGTGTCACAGAGATCTATGACCTATGGCTGAACGGTGTCTTCTCTGCCGATGCCAAATCCAAGTTACACACTCAATATCACATGATCGAGAAGAACAAGAATGCCTTGTCCATCAAGTGGTAGTCTGGACGGCCAGCCGTTTCCACTGGTTGACCGATTCGAATTGTGGAATCAACAAGTTCATTGGACCTCTTTGGGCATGGCATTGAATGACCTCTCGCGGGATGGAACACGCACTCACACACACCACCAATCAATCAATCACGATGTTCATGCGACTGAGTCGTGTGTGAGTGTGTGAGTGGGAGGTGTCACCTGATCCATCAATCACCTCTCACTTTCACCCTCGTAGGTGGAACTACTCAACAAAGTAAGAAGTGTGGATTACAATAACGCACCGAGTAACAGACCGCTATACATGTTCCAAGCAATAAACAGTTTGTTTGTTTATTGTTTGTTCATTCCAACTGCACGCATCATTATCAACATCATCAGCAGCAACATAGATACATAGTTAGTCTCTGATCGATCATTTACTGTAGCTGCAATCACATTGAATCAAGTCACCATTTGATGGGCCGTGTGTCCGTGGACCTGTTGGTGCAAAGCACCGCAGAGAACATTCGAACCAAACAAGAGTTGGCCAAAGAGAGCATTATAAAACTTGTCCTGGGTTCAAAGACATCAGATCCAATGCTTTATCAATACTTTATTGTAAGATGTCTCAATCAATCAAACATTGGAATCATCCCTAATTCACTCAATTATTCAATTATTCAATCATAACAGGAGATGCAGAATGAGGATGTCACATGCGATAAGGAATGGGTACAGAGATTAAGAGATAAGTTCAGTCAGACATCAGAGACAGCGAATCAGATATTGGCAATAAGGAAGAATTTATGTCAATCAGTACAGAGGGAGTTGGATTGTTTTAAAGAGTGGATACTTCAAGATGACCAGGCAGAACTAAATATCAACAGTAGTCCTATATATGCTCCATTATATTGTAGACTATTACAATTGGAACAATTCCTATATCGATTAACTTGAGATCTAATAATAATAATAATAATAATAATAATAATAATAATAATAACATCATTTCCATCAGACAATGAAGATGAAGGTGAGGTTGGTTGCACTGACGGTTTGAGTGTCACATCTACTAACAGAATATAGTTCACCAATTGGAACTCTTGGGATGTTGAGCTCGACTTGGTCATTCTTGTCCTTGCTGTAGCGTAGCCAACGGTACTGAGTCTTCAGTTGGCGAAAACAGTCATACATCTGTTCCTCTACGGCAACTTGAATATACTCTGGGCCCCATGATGAACGCCATTGTGCGCTTTAATGAAGTCTCCAATGGTGGTCTTGACATATTCAATTGTGCACCTATGAATATCATCATTCACAACTCTAGCTTCAAGACCAGCTTCATTCCAAATGATAGCCAGAAGAAGGGCTTCTGGGGCCAGGTCCCGAACCTTAATCTTGATGATCTCCAATTCTCGTTGAGGAAGCTCTGAAAATCTGAAGGCATTATCAATGCTCTTGTCTAGGGAATCCATTTCAATGATTAGTGATGTATACTATCTCTCTTTCAGCTTTGGTGTATAATAATTTCTTTTTTTGGATTGAGCAATTTGTCAGCTTGAAACTAAAAAATTAAACCTGATCATTTATTAATAATAATATATTAGATTAATGAATCCATAATGGATTAGAGTTGGAACAATATATTGTTATGACTTGTTATCGGCTGCCAATTGTTGTACAGAAGGATACTAGATCATTTGTATGATATTGAAGACTAAGGATTATGAATAATATTTGTTCATCTTGGAGTGATTGTAGGCAATTAATAATCTCTTGAGTTGAGAGGACGTTTCTCTGTCTTTCAATCAGAACAATAGCTTTTTGATTAGGAGTCATTCCTTCATCAATCTCTATGGCTGGGACTTTAATAGGGGTTGGGACTTGAACAGGAATTGGGTTTGGTGGAGATGGAACTCGGACTGGAGGTACCTCCGCTTGAATCTCAATCGGGGCTATAGGATCATCATTCTTAGGAAGTTCTTGCTCTATACGTAACAGGTGAATAGCCCTCAAAAGTGATTGAGCAGCACCAATCTTTAGGTTGCAAGATTGTTTGTACATACAACCCTTTATTTGCCTTCTGCTCCTTCTCAAACTTTGTGTTAAATTAAAGATTCAGAGAATTGATCAATAAAAAACAATCCTAAATAATACTTTATTTATAAATACTGATTTATATTTGGAATGATATATTGGTAAGACTTATTATCAGCTGCCAATTTTTGGAGGAATGTTACCAGATCATTGGTTTGATATTGAAGTGAAAATATTATATATGCGATTAGTTCGTCTTTGGTAGATGCATCTTTGCAGTTCTTTATCTCCTGAGTTGAAAGGACCATCCTTTGTTCTTCAATCAAATTAATTGCTATCTGACTTGGACTCAAACCTTGATCAATCTCTAAAGCTTGATTTGGTGTTTGAGTTCGAGTTGGAGTTGGAGTTTGAGTTGGTGTTTGAGTTTGAACTGGGGATGATACGATTGGAACTTGAGGTGGAGACAAAATAGGAACATTTGAATTTTGATGTTGTTGTTGTTGTTGTTGTTGTTCTTTGTATATTGCCCGGAGAAGAGATTGAGCAGCTCCATAGGGAAGATTGAATGGATTATTGATTAGGATTGTAGAGGTCAATGTAGATAAGTCTCTTCCATTTACAACCTCACTACGAAGCACTGGTGCATATATATTTCCATTCTCTTGTTTCAAACACCATTGATACACTTCCTCACAAGTCATATCATTCATATCATTATTGTTATTATTGTTATTATTATTATTATTATTATTGTTGTTGTTCATCTTTGTTATTAATATGGATATTTAAATTATACAAATATTATAAATGATTGTTATAATTTAGAGTTGATGATTGTATAATTATTATATAAACTACTTGGATCTCTGAGTTAACTCATCCATTATCCAAACAAACTTAAAGTTTAAAGCGCTCCAGCTACCCGATGCCCATCATGTGAATTGTGATTGAATGAGCACACCACTCAGCTGAGCAATTAGAGTTGTTTGCCAGCAAAGTCCAGTTTTAGCACAAGTAGCTGAAACAACCCATAAGCACAGACCAGACCAGACCTTGCCTGCTCTCTCCATCCTGATTTGTAATATGATATGACTTTGACTGTGATTACCTGTCCTCCTGTTCTCCTTTGATTGACTTGTGAATCGCATGCATGTATTGCTTGCTTGCTTGGCTTGAAGTTTTATTATATAATGGCAATGGTCGAGTTGATGAGTTGGTGTCCTCTCCTCTCCCTTTATCGAAATGGATGTATGAGTGAGTTGATGTATGTATTGTATGTATTGTAATGTATGTGTCTTAGTATTGATCAGTTGATTCTGGCTTTTGAGCAGCAGCAGCAGCAGCCTTCTTCTTCTGTTCCTTCTCATGATCCAATATCTGTTTCTTATTCATTCTTAATAAATATCTGATTGATTGATCGATTGATTGATAATAGATTGTTAGTTCAATGTTGAATGATGATGATGATGATGTTGTGTTGATTGATCGATTGATGTGATCAATCAATCAGTCTTGCTTACTCATCATATTGACACTTCTCATAAGCATGTCTCTCATCACCACATTGCCATGGCAGATAGTATTCCTTGACTCTACACTTGTTCAAAGGTATAAGCAGATGTGCACAGTAATCTCTAAAGTTCAATGGGATGTTGTTGATCTCCATCTCCTCCTGTGTAGCAATCATGACTATTGTCGTTGTCGATCATCATCATAGTGTTAGTGAGTTGAATGAACCTGTTTGATTGATTGATTGATTGAATGATTGATAGGATGCATACTCCTTGATCCATCTGGTCTAACTGTCATTGGTGGTGCCTCGTGTACCATCTTGTAGTTCAAGTGATGCTGTTGTTTATAAGATATATGTTGTATTAAGACTGAGTGCCGATGTTTGATTGAATGAATGTAGTGTGACGAAGAAAGTATGTGTCTCTGAACCAAAAATCAAAAAAAATAAGGCTTTGTGAGTTTGGTGATCATCACTTTTTGTTCTTCAATCCATTCAATTCAACTTTGAGTTAATCAATCATACATATAATATAACATAAATAATGGCACAATTCCTTAACAAACTTATCCCAACAGCACTTGCTATTGGTACAGGTATATCATTGATCGACAGTTCAATCTACAATGGTATGTGTGATGATCGATTGATGTTTGGATGTGGAGTTGTTACTGACTGTCTGTTTTGAATAGTCGATGGTGGACAGAGAGCAGTTATCTTTGATAGAATAGCAGGAGTCAAGGAGAAGGTTGTTGGAGAAGGTACACACTTCATCATTCCATGGCTGCAGAAGCCATTCATCTTTGACGTCAGATCAACACCAAAGAATATCAAGTCAGAGACTGGTAGCAAGGGTATGTCAATCATTCAAACTCATTCAATCATTCACTCACTCATTCAATCAAACTCATTCAATCAATCAAACGATATGTAACAGACTTGCAGACAGTAAACATATCACTTAGAGTGTTGTTCAAACCAGAGATTGATAAGCTTCCATGGATTTACAGCAAGTTGGGCATGGACTATGACGAGAGAGTGTTGCCATCAGTTGGAAATGAGGTCTTGAAGTCTGTCGTCGCTCAGTACGATGCTGGTGAGCTGATCACACAAAGAGAGGCTGTATGTTGGGTCCATCTCATCAATCAATCAATCTTGGTACTAACGGAACTATTCCACTCGACAAACACTGATATAGGTCTCAAGAGAGATTCGCGAGGCATTGACAAAGAGATCAAAGGAGTTCAACTTGTTGCTGGATGATGTATCGATCACTCATCTCAGTTTCTCACAGGACTTTACTACAGCCATTGAGTCAAAGCAAGTGGCACAACAAGAGGCCGAGCGATCAAAGTATATTGTGTTGAAGAACGAACAGGAGAAGAAGGCTGCGATCATCAGAGCCGAGGGTGAGTCAGAGGCTGCAAAGCTGATCATTCAAGCCATGGCCTCTGGTCCAGGTTTCATTGAGCTTCGTCGTATTGAGGCTTCCAAAGAGGTAACATCCATTCACTCAATCAATCGATCGACCAATCGATCAATCATTTACTTACACTCAATCAATCAATCAATCAATTAGATTGCCGAGACATTGGCCAAGTCTGGAAAGGTTACTTACATGCCAAACACTGGAAATGTATTGATGAACATGAATGCCTCTGGAAAGTAATAGGCGTACATGGTCCACCAACAACAGGTAATAAAACAACTTGTTTGATTATACTCATCCATCATCGTCATTCATTCACTCGACAAGTCAATCAATCACTGGTAATAGGTTAACCTTTATGTTTCCTTGTTTAGGTCATTGAATAAATAAGTTTGGTTGGTAAGTTGGATGGATGGATGGATTCGAACTGGCGACAGTTGAGCATGGCACGACATGGTATGGCACGGCATGGAATCCAGTCCTGTCCAGTCCACTCACTCACACTCTGGACATGGTACAGATGATGTCATCACCGACATGATGATGCATCAGTGTTGTTGGAGACACTTGGAGGTCACTTGATCACACCCGAACTAGCTGTACATAGTTGGATGGGAAGCGACCTGCGGTGCCAGTCTCGTTGGAGCCGTAAAACCAACCTTCGTCTTCATACTCGATGGTGAGGGTCTCGCCCTCCTTGATCTCCAGCTCGCCATCGCAGTCCGAGTGGTAGTCGTAGAGCACCTTGCATTTGCCGCCGGCGACGTCCTTCTTCTTGATGGCGTCGGGACACTCGACAAAGTTGGACGGGAACATGCCGACCTTGCCATCGCCACCCACGATCGTGCCCTGCCACCAGCCCGACACATCGCGCTGCATCACCTTGATCATGTTGTTGGCCTTGAACGACAACTCATTCTCTTCAGTGGCCACGTAGTCGTAGAGTGCGCGCACAGTGTCGCCCGACTCTGGCGAGGTCGACGCGCCCTGCAGCGAACTCCTGTTGGACTCTGTGCTGTTGCTGGACGATGTCGACGAGTGGAGACTTCTACGCTGTAGATTGGCAATGTCGTTGGCAGAGATATGCATTGGCGATCCACTGGCGCTCGGTGACATGAGCATCGAGAATGTAGCGAGCGGGTTCGACGCCTGGTACGGCTCATACTGTGTCTCGGGTGGCTTCTGCGCTCCCGACGTCTTGTCCAAAATGAATGATTGTAAGTCCTTCTCTCTGTCAATGCTATCAATCGACTTTCTAATGATCTACATCATCGTCATCATTGGCGTGTTAGTGGCAGCTCGCGACTCACTCAAACAATCACTCGCTCGCTCGATCAATCACATACCTCATTCGCGGCGGTTACAAGTGGCGGGATGATCTCCTCGTTGCGGATGACCTCGGACAACCAGTCTTTGGTGCGATCGATGCGATCGACTTCGAAGCGCTGGAGATCATCAAGGATCTTGGGCATCTCGTCGTGATAGAATTTGGCCTGGTTCTGTTGTAATATCTTTACATTGTCTTTGTACTCTGCATCGGCTTTGTCCGCGGTCTTTGTAGCGGTCTCCAAGTTCTTTCTAGCCTTTTGTTCTTTTGCGCCTGGAGGTTGTCTTGACAGATCCTCATTGGCTTCCTCCTGCTTACGCTTCAACTTCTCATAATTCTGTTTGGCCTTCAACTCATTACCCTCTGCCGTCCTCAAGTCCTTTGTAAGTCGCTCACCAGTTGCGATCAACTAGGTTGATTAACGTACATCGGTAAGTACATTGATTTGGATGGATATCAGATTTAGATACTTACGGTCTTTCTCTGTTTCCTTGATTCTTGGATGTAGGCGTCGATACCCTCGACAATCAGGGTCTCCAAGTTGTGAGAGAACTCCTCATGTAAGTTGGCAATATACTCCAACTGGTCCCTATATATTTGGAATGCATCACGCAGTGTACTATGGAATGTATGATCGTGTCAGCTGACAATCCTTATTTCCAACTTCCAACTTCCAACTTCCATCTTCCAATATCCATTATCCATTATCCATTATCCAACTACCAAACACTCTCTACATACCCAATCTCCATATCAGAACAGAATGTCTTGTCCTTGCATAGTTTGTTCAAACTCTTTCCATACATTGACTCAATCTGTTGTTGTTTCAAAAGGAATTTGCTCAACATATTGGTGAACTGTTTGCCATTTCCAACTCGTTTGACAACACAATCAAACTTATCCTATAACATTTAATTGCAAATCCATGTTAGTAATTTAAATAATGGGATAATATTAATAATATTATACATACCCAGAGATCCTCTGAGAAACATTTCTGTCTAATTGATGTTGTTGCCATCATTTTTGATTGATTAATCAATTAAGTAATGGATATATATTAAAAAAATTTACTTTAAAGATATTATTATTTGTTTGAAAGGATGAGATTGATTGATTGAATGAATGATTGAATGAATGATTGATGATTGATTTAGGGAATGGGACAAGATTGTATTGATTGGGTAAAAGACAGGGTGTAATGGAGAGATAGAGATAGAGATACAGATAGAAATGAGATAGAGATAGAGATGATTTAAGATAAAAGATGACGATTGATACACTGGATTGGGCCATTACTACTAGACTGTCTGTCCAAAGTGGTTGGTTGATTGATTGGATGTTGGTTTGTATACCATATATTCGTAGGGTACTTGGAGAGGGAATGCGTATTCCTGTTTGAAGGAATGCATGGGTGAGGGACGACCCACCCACACGATCGATCAACAAATACATATGTTCTATAATTACAAAAGACCAATATATATATATTGATGTTCTCACTCTAAAATTCACACTCACACTGACACCCTTGAGTGTGTTCTGTTCTTATCAAATATGTCCATATTAGTAATAATAACTGATTGAGTTATAAAGTGAATGTGGGGTGATTGATCAGTGTGGTGTTGTAATTGATTGATTGAGCGTGAGTGAAACAGATAGTCTATCTTTATACTCGGTGTCGTTAGTACATATTATGTCTGACTCTAAAGTCTCACTCCTCTCCCTGTTGACAGTCAATCAATCCAACAATCTATATTTAGTGAACTTGTTAAGACTTGGATCATCCAAGTTCGAATCTGTCTTTCACTTTTGGTAATAATAATAATAATAATTCTTCAAAAGTCTGGATTACTTTATTATATACAACCATATGTTCAAATTACCAGTGACCATATGGCTAGGTACTCATCCCAAGTTGGGGCAGTACCATACTCTATATAGGAGATTCCTTGTTTTGTTGTTGGAGGAGGCGTCAACGTTTGATTATTTGATGCCAAAGACGGCGGCCATAGCAGCGTGGTTCTTTGGAGTGTTGTACTGAGGATTGAATTTGTAATAGAGATCCAGGTTGCTGCGTGCAGTCTCGGCATCCATTTTCATAAAGTAGTCGAGCTGGCTAGGAGTAACGTCCTGTTTTTCATTGAACGAATCAATCACTCCCTGGAACACAAGGTAGGCGTCCAAACTCTTCTTGCTCACATTATGCTTCTTTGCCAATAGCCTATAGTGATCCGCTATCAATTTCTGATGGAAACGTTGTTGGTTCTCCTGATTTTCACGTATTAATCGCTCTATCACCTGATCATCGGTTTCACCTGGTCGTGTTTCAAATATTTTCTGTTTCTGTTGTTGTTGTTGTTGTTGTTGTTACAGGTAGGATCAGGAGGATTAGTTAGTCATACATATACTTCCAATCACATCGTCATTATCATATAAAAATATATATAACTTTACCCTGTATTCAAAGGTATAACGTAGTCCATTAGGTGTCTCCTTCTTATACTGTTTACCGAAATTGGGAAAGGCTGTACCCAACCAACAAACGAGTACCTGTACGGTTATTTGATATTTATCAGCAAAGTTCTTGAGATCTTCATCGTTAATGTAGTTTGCTTCTACCTCTGAGATATCAAAGGTGTTGTTGAAAGCCTTCAATTGAACGATCAATTTGATCAAATTGATTAGTACATGTTCTGAATGTTGTGTGTGTTGATGTGTACTACTACTACTACATACATATATAACATCATTTAAATCGGCTTTATGCTTTTTTCTTGTCATGTTTATATATTGGTGAACTTGGTCTAGTCCTCAAAGTTTGTTTGTTTTGAAGTCAATATTTGTTGGAAGTTCGGTCAAACCACACCACGGCTCTCCTTTTTTGATTGTGATCGTTGTTCAGTGTGAGCATGTGCATGGTGACCCCTTACTTACTTAAATTTTTGTATAAGTATTGATGTTGTTGAACCACAATAGGGTAGGGTAGGAAGTGTGATACAAACAATCACGACCCAACAATAATCGATGTTAACCAATATTTAGTAATTGTTATTGACACCAATTTTATTAAGGATGCAATTTAATGTATGATGATAGGGTAGGGTAGGGTAGTCCCCTTTGATCCACCTTCCCTCCTCAATATCATATCACATCACATCACTTCACTTCACATCATCCACAAACCGATCAATTTTATTAATACTGAATTGAATGAATAAATAGCAATACACCTAGCAAGCCAGCTAGTTGACTACCTACCTTATGATATTGAATTCAATTCTCTCACCATCCATCTAATCAATCAGTAATAATACCAATATCATCATATTATTGAGTATGACAATATTAAGAGGGCATCCATCACATCACCTCTGAATGCATAAAGACATCATTATTTATAAATTATTAAAATAATAACATTGAATATATTGCTTATGCTCCAAATATACATCCATCAATCACATCACATTCACACATTAATTGACATTTGTGGGTCCACACCTCTCCCTTACTTACTTAATACAACATAATCCACATCCACAATACCAACATTAAGATTAACATCAACATCAACTCAACTCCACTTCCATTCCATTCCATCATCATTAATCCTAGTATCCTTTTCCTACCTCGACAATAATATCAATCCATCATCCAACTAAATAATTTGAAGTTACTTATCTTCAAACTCATTCCCAAGTGATCAATCATACCCAACGACTGTTCAACATTATATCCGCTACGACTGTTACTTGAACAACACATTGCCCTGTCCTTTGCCAGACAATCAATCAATATTATCGATCACACTTCACGAAGACCATCAGTCCAACATCTAAATTTAACATCAACATATAAGGATATATCCACAAATCCATCAGAAGGATCCATCCACTATCCATATAAAGGCAGGGACGTTTCGACGGAGCGAAGGGTTATCCAACCCATTGCACAAGGTATGTGATATCAACTCTCACACGGATATATAGACAGAGCAATCATCAATCATCAATCAATCAATCAATCAATCATTCGATCAACCAATATTGTGGTCAAACAGCTCATCGCCTACAACTTCATTTACTATCTTTATATCTACTCAATCAATCTATCATATCACATCACTCTATCTATCTTTGTTGTTTATTGGATATGTATAAGGTGATGTCATTAACAACAAGGGGGCTCAATCACATAAGGCCCTAAAGGGGTCAATCAAGTCAAACCCCCAACCTTTTATTATTTGATTGACAATGATCATCTTTGTGTGTGTTTGTGTGTGTATTTGTGATCAATCAGTCCTTAATGACCATTAATCCACCACATATATCCGCTTTATTATGTGTGTCAATAAGTCAACACAACACAACACAACAAGATAAACACAAACACGTTGTTATGGTCGAATGAGAGAGATAGCCACATCATGGTCCAATACATCCATCAACAATAGCATGTTCTCCCTCTCAATGAAGAGGGAGAGAGCGAGAGAGTGCAGACGGAACATCAACATCCACATCAAATATATACCTTAAAATAACATCCACCATTGTTGTTAATGTGTTGTTGTTGTTGTTGTTGTTGTGATCGAAAGGACAACATGTTCTTTGCTTATCCGCGAGGCCAAGACGGTGGCCAGCCCTTCTTTGGGGTCTTACACCCTCCACATACATGCTCACACATATATGTATAACACATGTGCACACTTTGGTAAAGTGGATGGACTCTTTGCTACATCATCACCACCTCCACACTCATCACAATCAATCAATCAATCAGTCATAATACACACCAACCACAACACCACACACCTTTGCGCGCGCCAATCCATCAGTCATCAAACATTATATACATATATATCCAAACGCATGGACCATGGACCATACTATGTATGCTCATCTCGAGGAGGTCACGCGAGCTCCATGGATCACAACTGCACATTTCCATTTAAACTCTCTCTCTCGCTGTGATATGTGTGTGATGTGTGAGTGTGCTGTGTGTGGATGTGGTGAGGCCAGTGCCAGCCCATCAATGCCTCCCGGTGGGGCATAGGCGCACCCCTGCTATCTCCATCGTGTCTGCCCACCGACCAAACATCATCGTTTGACCATGCGCCAAACAAACATCATCGTGAAGGGCACTACTACCTCCTCATTAATTAATTAATGCCTCTTCCAACTTGGGTGTGTGTTAAGTTGAGGGGTAGTAGGGTACTCTATGTGCTTATGTTATGTGATTGATTGATTGATTGACTGATTGATTGACTGAATGATTGATTGATTGTGTTAAGTGAGTGAGCTCCCAAACACTGTTTTACTAACCAATACACTGTTCCCTCCATCCTGGCATTGATGCCCTGCGGTACCCATCAACTATTTCTAGTTTTCTACTTCAATCAATCACATCTTCATCAATCATTGTCTTTGATGTTGTTATAATTTAATCTTATCTATCTATCTTTCAAATTGAATCATTCAATTAATCAATCAATCCACATCACTTACTCATTGCAAACTAATCAATATCAATCAAACATATTATTTATCTACCTATTTGGACATTGATATATTCCGGAAATATATCAATTAACTAAAGGTACAATCATATCTCATCTTATATTTATTATTATTATTATTTATTTATAATTTATTATTTATTATTATTTATTATTTATTTATTATTTTTATTTATTAATTAAACTATTTATTATTTATTTATAACAAGGATAACATTACATTACAAAAAAGAACAATGGAAATATTACCAAATAATTATCTCTACCTCCAATCGTCTGGATCACCAAATATACATCATTATCAGAATATGTTATACTCTGCAGGTAATCCAGAGAATAATCCTTTCGCTCCTTCCAATTATGGAAAGCAACAACAACAACAACAACATTCACCACAGCATTCACCACCACCTCCATCATATTCCCCAATCCCAATATCACATTCCGCTCACTCATCATCATCACAACTTCACCTTATGCCTCATTCATACCAACCAAACTCCACCTCGACCACACCTCCACACGACTCTCCGTCACACTCTCCCAACTCTATGATCTCAGCAATGGCCATGGCCAACAACTTAAGTTCATCCACATCATCAGCGAACAACTCATGGCGAAAGTGTTGCCAACACACTTCATGTCTATTGTGCACTCGCGGCACACCTCGCTGCCTCAGCATGAACCACCCATCGTGGACACTTATATTGCGTGTCGTGTTCTACTCTTTGTCCCAGATCCACCCAGACAAGGAGTTCTTTAACCTCAAGAAGGAGGTCTATGTATACCTTAATGACCATTGGGACATCTTGTCGCCAACCCAGGCACAGTCGACCAACTGGAAGCGACAGGTACAGGACGCCCTGTCCCACTCGCGCTTCTTCCGCTCGGGCAGACACACCCTTCGTTGCAACGGATACTGGCAACTGAAGCTCCTGTGTAACCCATGGAACTACAACAACTCGAAGCAGTTCGAGGCCCTTCGCTTCGAGGACATCCATCCACCATATTCCCCAACAACATCCCTCACCTCCTCGCCACATATGTCACCAGAGATCTCATGGAGGTTAGCTCGTGGACATAAGGACGATAAGTCACAGGACAAGTTTATGAACATCAACAAGTTGTTGGTATCTGCCATGAATGACTCTGATCCCGAGGAGTCTTTCGACATGCCCTCGCCATCATACCTCACTGCCTCGGACTCATTCTATGGCAACAACAGTAGCTGTGACAGTGGCGTGTTGAGCGCCAGCACAACCAGCACCAGCAGCAGTGGTACCAGCTGTAGCCGTAGCAACAACAACTCTCCATCAATACTCGCGCACTCAATCTCCAAGATGAACTGTAACACGTTCAACCATCCAACCAACTTCAAGTTCCTCCACAACAAGAAATCCTTCCTCCAGGACTCGCCCATCTCATCGCCCTACCTCACTGGATCACATCGCTCCTCTGGCGGCCACGGCTCAACCCCCAACTCTGGCGTTGGCTCTCCCTTCCACCTCTCATCTCTGCGTCCATCATCACCTATCTCCTCGCCATCAAAGTACAACAACAATCCAGCGGCTATCAGTCCAAGGGCAGAGTTTGATGAGGACATCATCATTACAAAGATCAATCAAATGCGATCCATACTCAACTGCACCGAGTAGACATCATCTCTAGACAATCACATAACATAAGCGCATTATTTATTTATTCTCCTTCCAACCTTAAGATAGCCGTAGCCAAGTATGATGTATATTAAACAACGAATATTGGAATAAAGATTGGCTATAACTCTTCCTTTAACATTGTGATCGTGTATTATTTATTAGATTGACATGATCATCATTATAATGAATAGTGCAAGGATACTGCTATTGACAATGGACATTGACAACTTGATTCCTGAGTTCATTCCATCACCTGTAAGTCCTGTTGATGTCGTTGATTGTGTTGAAGTTGACTGTGCTGTGGCAGTTGGTGATGTAGTTGATGCCGCTGTGGTAGTAGTGTCAGAGACAGATGATGTTGTAGTGGCATCAGATGATGTAGTTGATTGTCCAGTGGAAGTGGTAGTGACACCAGATGATGTTGTTGTTGTCGGTGATTGTGTGGTAGTTGATATAGTGGCCGCGCATTCATTGGTCATAGCAATTGATGTACTGATTGATTTACATCCGGTGGTGTCAGTGATGACCACTTCGTAGAAGCCATTCGACACATCCTTGAATACAGTGCTCTTGACTCCATTGGAAGTTCTGACGACAGCTTGAGTGACATTTGATCTCAACACCAAGTTGTAGACATTGCTGTTACCACCTGTAGCCGAGAAGGACAACTCGCCACAGTTGGCAGTCATTGCCAGCGTTGATACAATGGACAGGTTCTCAATAACCACAGAGTAGGAGAAGTTCTTTGGACAGATGGGATCAGCGATGGACAAGCCAATCTTGTATATTCCAGCACCGACAGTGGCAACACCATTGAATGCTTTGTTGTCGATGGTGTAGGTGACGCCATTAAAGTTGGTGACTGTGGCATTGATCTTGCCCATTCCTACATCGAGTGCGGAACAGACATCGCCAACGCTACTGGGTGAGAAGTTGGGGTCATTGCTGATGATCGTCACAGTCTGGCCACCTGTGCATGATGGGTTGTTGGTGTCGACGATGGACAACGCGTAGTCTTGGGTGCCGACGAGACCTGACCAAGTGTATGATCCTGTCATGGCGATGCTCTGACCTCCAGACGTTGCCAATGTGTAGGTGTAAGCCGGGTTGACACCTGTTAGCTTGATTGTTCCCTTGGCGGTACCACAAGTGTCGTTGAGAGTAACTATCACTGGGAGTGGGAGTGAACCGCCAGACTGGTATGGGATGTCGATTGAGCCAGAGAAGGTGGCGCCAGTGACGTAGGACAAGTAGGTGTAGGTGTGATAGCCTCCTGGAGTGGTGGTGATCACTCCATTGGTATCAGGAGATGCTCCATCGATTGTGATGTAGAAGTCCTGCATTGTCTTGGCATCGAATGTGACATTGGTGGTCAAACTGCCACATTTGGCTGCGGTCATTGTGTAGACGGGCTTAGTCGATGCCAGTGGCGTGATGTTGTACGTGCCAGTCCATTGACAGAATGTGTTGTACACTACTGACAGGTACATTGGGGACTGCGTCAGGCCGGCCCAGTTGATCGCCTGTGTGTTATCAAAGTTGGCAACACCTGGGGATGGGTAGATGGCCGCTACCATCTTCTTTTGAGGGTTGGTCACTCCAATCACACCTGATGGCACGCCCTCTGGTGGAGTAACGATCATGGTCAGTGGGAAACTTGGCACAGGGTCGACCTTGTCGAGGGTAACAGTAATTGGCCATGAACAGTTGCCATTGCTTATGGTGAGGACTGATCCGTTGGGTGGCAGGTTGGTTATGATGTGTCCATTGGTGCCATTGTTGTATGAGTACAATGGGTAGATCTGGCCCCAGTTGCTGCTGGTCACGCTGGCAATTGGTATATTGGCGCTGGTTGTCGGGTTGGTCAACTTGATACCAACAATGCCATCGGCATTTGGTGTCATGAAGCATGTTGGAAGACTGATTGGTGTGATGTCAACAGTGACATTCTTTGTCAACACTGTGAATGGAATGTATCCATTGCCACATACTGAGTGACTGTATGACACTTGGTAACTTCCAGTTCCCAATCCTGAAATCACACCATTCATCACAGTATAACCAGTAAGTGTGATTGAGTTAAACTCGCCTGGATTGGCAATACTAATACTACCAGTTCCAACATTACATGAACCATAATCTTGGTTCGTCACTGTGTATCCAACCTTCCAATCTAGAGGGTGAGTGATATAACATGTTAATAATCTTTCATTCATACTTGGATCATGCACTAATACATACTTGGATTGTTGTTTGGCACAGTGAGAGTGATTGAGTTGGTGCATTGGGTGACGGCGTTGGAGAATGTGATTGACTTGAAGCCAGCATAGACTCCATTGATGTCAAGGTATCCTACAAAGTAATTGGATGTCTTGCTGTCCACTGTAACAGTACAGTTCTGTGGACAGTATACTCTAATGTTGGCATCCATAGCATTGGGACATGAAGCATTCTTTGTCACAGTTGCATTGACTCCATCATATGTAAGCTCTGTTTGGATGATTGATTGAGTTAGTGATTGATTGATTGATTGATTGATTGGAATGAATCCAGCGATGGTACATACTTGGTGGTATCCACATGTAACCGTTTGTACATGTCGAGGAGATGTACTTGACGTAGAGATAGGAGGTTGATTTGTAGTAGGTCATGTTGTAGGTGGTGGTAGAGGGCAAGCCATGGTAGACAGATTGGAATGTACCACTACCTTGTGATCCAACCTTGCAGTCTGGTGGTGGTACGTGGTTGGTGACTATTACACCCAAGTACTGGTTGACAATCACTGATGTAGGGTTGTCGAGATAGACTGATGTGTTGAGTGGTGGCAGTGATGTGCAAGACTTCTCAAGTGTAGACAGGATGTACGATCCTGGCAACATGTCCTGGAAGATTCCAGTGTTGGAAGTGAGCACAGTTTCGCCGGTGGGCGACCAACGAATGAGCTGGACTGAGGAGAATGCATCATAGTTGTTGACGACCACACTCCAGTTGGACATGCACTCAAACACGTTGCGAGTGGAGGTGTAGTCTGGCGCGACTCTGGACAAGTCGATACGGATGTTGGAGTATTGGTTGGCGCAGCCACTGGTCAGCGCGTAGTAGTTGCCATAGGACACGTTGGCCGAGAGTGTTGGGATGTCTAATGGCACGGAGGACTTGAAGTAGAAACCAGAGTCGACAGTAGAGAATGCCAACAATGACGTGTTGCCAGTGTAGGCGAATGTAATGGTGGCATTGGGTGAGCTACATGATACCTTGGCCGGGGAGAGCGTGTAGGTGGCCCTAATCGCATTGTATGGCGTGGAGAACTTCTGAGACAGGGTACATCCATTGTCGTTGTAGGACACTGTAACATCATCTCCGGCTGGCACGGCGAATGACATCGAGCCCTTGTAGACGGTGTTGAAGTTGTATCCCTTGACCGTGAACGTTGGGTTCGTGAGGAACTGTTGCGCGACGCCATTGATCGTCATTGTACCGGTGGCAAACGATGCGTTACAGTTGGGTTGTACGACCTCCATCGACATTGATGGCTGGGTGCGTAGGATTGTGACTGGTACGCGCTGTGTGCCACAAGTGGTCGACGCCGCGATCAATGTATGAGGTAGGTCAGTCTCGGTCTGAGGCACATTATTGAACACACCGGCATTGTTCACAACAGTTGTGCCATTGGCAAACTGGAACGAGAGTCCCGTGAACATGTTGGCGTTCAAAACGGTCACTGTGCCATTGGCGATGGCACACAGGGCGTGCTTGATGGTGATCTGAGGCACCAGGTTGTTTTGTGGCTGCACGTTGAAGTAGATCGTGCATTGGCCGGGGTTGGTCATGAGCTTGTGAGCACCGGCGCGAGGGTATATGGCGACGGGTGGGTATATGCGGCTGGGGGCCGAGTCGAGGTAGGCACCATCGACGTACAAGTCTGGACGGGTGACGGCCAGCGAGGTGCCGACGAACGCGCACTTGGGTTGAGTGAATACCGGGTTGATCCAACTGATGGCGAGCTTGGCGGTGGAGTTGCAGGTGGGGCCCTTGGTTGTGTTGAGGTAGTAGTTGCCATGTGCAGTGACGTGGAATACCAAACCATCTTGGTTCAACTTTTTATCACCGATCAATAATGATGTGACCAGTTCACCAGTTTGAACATTTGACAAAGTGATCGTATCAAACTCCAATGGATTCTTTACAATCACATCCATGAATCTAATACAAACTGCATCATTTGCACTAAGTGTTGAATTATGTAATATATAATTAATTGTTGGGCATGATTGTGAGTTGACCATGGTAGTCAACATTACAATTGCCATGATCATCATCACCATGGATATATTATTTTTAAAATACATTATTAATATTATTATTATGATTATTATTAATACAAATACAAATACAGATAATAATAAGACGAATTGATTGATTGATTGAATGAATGATTGATTGAATATGAAGTCTGACCAAGCTTGATTATGAAGTCGTTGAACAGACTTGTTTGGTAGGTTGGCCTTGTTGGGCCTAAAGTTGGACCTCGCGAGCGAGACTGGATGTTTGATCAATCATGCCATCAACGAACATACATATGATACATAGATCCAGTAGAGTGTTGGGTTGAAGGGGTGTATCTGTCAACAAGTGGGTTGGTTAGCAGCATACATCTGCATTGTTTGATCAGTCAAACAAACAAACATCTGGCAGCCAGCCCATGCATGTGATGATGAAAGGTTGACAACGAACACACACGAATGTTTTGTGTTTTTGCAACTGTTTGGGGCGTTTTGGGCCATTGATCAAAGTACCCGCCTACATTCACACAACACATGCCTCGAGATCAATGTTTGAGTACCAAACCAATCGTCAGTGAATTAATTAATCAATCAATCTATGTTATGTTGATCGCCCATTATACAAACCATGCACGAACTGAACAAGTCTGGACAGATACATCAATCAATTCGAACAAAGTATCCTATATTGGGCATCTGATATGACGTGTACCTTAAAATATCATCCAATAAGACGTCAAGAGTAAAAAAACAACATACATATTATATTTTTTTATTATGATGACATCACCTGTTATTGTCTAGTCCAATACTTTCGACTTGTTGTTTGACTTCATATTCATTCATTATCTTCTACATAGTTTGAAATTAATAAGTTATAACTTTTGCAATGAGATAAAGTTAAAGAAAAACTTGAGACTGAGGATGTTGTCCTCGCAAAAACAGATCTTTATTGTAATAATTTACCAAAACAAGCAAAGAAATGAACTTCACATTATTAAGGTTGATCATTATTTGAACAAGATGAGATCGATCGTGTTGTGGTTGTTTGATGAGCTGGTGGTGTGAGTTGGTTGTTGTTGTACTAAGATGCTCTCTCGTGTGTGGTGTGTGCTACTCCTAATAATACCTGGGAGGAGAAGGTGGTAATGAACGATGTTGGTCAGGTGACTGGATGCGATGCGAGCTGGTGTGTGTGGGGTGGGTATGTGAAGTAAGTAAGTAAGTATCAATCCAATGACTAAATAGAGAGATACAGATAATAATAACATTCAATCCAAACATTGTGTGTATATGTGTGTTTGGAAAGACTCTCACTCATATCACATCAATCGATTCATCAAGTAAACCATCGGAAGTGACGTGCCTCCTCCCTGTTTGTCTGGTTGCCTGACTGCCTGCCTGGCTGTACTATCCATCCATTCCCCCAAGCGATTGATTGATTCAAGCACAAGGTGGAATAAGGAAGTGGAGTTTAAATATAACTCAATCAATCAAACAACAAACACGACTGACTGGATAGCCAAGCTTGGGTTGGTTGATCAATCAACCAACATCATCATTCTCTCCTCATCCCTCATCACATCATCCATCCATCCAATCCAATTCAATTGACTTTGCTTCACTACTTAGAGCAATAATAACAATAACAACAACAACAACAACAACATCAACAACAACATCAACCTAGAGTGTAGAATAGCACTCGGCTCTCTCTCTTGTTAGTTGGTGACCTCATTTATAGACTATTCACAGTCCCCATTCATGTGATACACCTTCATCACATTCATTGTGACACACACCTCAAGCAAGCAATCAATCAAGATTGAAGCGACATCATCATCATACATCAATCCATCAATAAGCATAACAATAGCACCAAATAATCAATCATGGACGATCACGAACAAGATGACAGCAGCAGGCAAGTGCTTGCTCTGATCCATCAACTATCGGATGCCAGAGCAAAGAAGGTGTTGATCGCTTTCTGTCAAGACCTCGTCAACTTTGAGAAGACTACTCCATCTCATTCATCATCACAGTCATCAACAACATCTCAGACATCAACAACACAACAACAGACAACACCAACTATAACACAACTTTTAGATCTTTGTTATAGTCATTCCAAGAGATCACTTACATCATCACAACCAAGTCTACTTTGGAAGATATTGGAGTACTCCATTGTGGAGTTGGATCATCTGGAACAGCAGTTGGATGAATACAAGACGAACAAACAACTACAGGACGACCAAAAGTTGATCACACTGGCAACATCAAGGCTGGACGAGATATCATCTCTAATCAACTATCTAAACAATCAACAACAACAAGGCAATACAAGTAATAGCAACGAATATGTATGTTTCAATGATTGATTGATCACAACATCCATCACATCCTAATTTCCATTCATTCCAAAAGAACGAACTAATGGCGACAGTTGGAGCACATATGAAGAGACTATCATTGCGAATAAGAGATGTAGTCGGTAACAATCAATATAGTGAGGTAGTCAAGTATGGATGGATAGAGAAGCGTTGTGGAAACAATCAGTCCTTCCGCACTTGGAAGAAGTATGTGTCACTCAATCCCCGCCACTCAATCAATCAATGAATGACTGGACTAACCAATCCAACCCGACGACGACAGGATGTGGTTCATACTCAAGTCCTCAGCAGAACTACAATATTATATCAAGGATAAGGGATTGTCAAAGAAGATGCTTATAAGTACATGTTCTTCCAATTCATTGGTATCACCGGTAAAGATAAATATGGAAGGTGAGCTTGGAAAGAAGAAGGAGGGCAAGGGATGGAAGGTCAGATGGATGAAGTTGCTGGACACGACACTGGAGTACTACCGCACGCAGAAGGAGAAGGAGCCATTGGGCATCATCAATTTGAATGAATGCCAGTGGTGTGATGTCTACAAGGACATGTCCAACAAGTTTGTCATCAATCTCAGCACGGGCAAGTTCTACTTCCAGGCCGTGTCCAAGGAAGACCTGCACAAGTGGGTGTCAGCAATCAAGTCGCGCATCCCCGCCAAGCAAACCAATCACAAGATGGACCTGGCCCAATTCTCACTCAAGGGCATCATCTACCTGTCCAACATTGTATCGATACAAGAGGTATGTTCAATCAAACATTGGAACTATTCCAATCACTCACTCACATCAATCAATCAATCAATCAGTGTTCCAAGTTCACTACGCAGCCCAATTGTGTGTTGATCGCTACGGACAAGAAGCACTTCTATTTGTCATTCGATACTGGACGAGAGAAGTGTGATTGGTTATTGAGCATCAATGAACAATTGGCCAAACGCCCATCTCAGCTGACATCCAGCAAGAGTCTAGGTCTTATGTCAGTCGTGGTCAAGAGCAATGCAAACTCTGGAAGTAGCAGCAACGGCAATGGCAACACCAATGGCAACGGCAATGGCAATGGCAATGGAAACATGAGTGGAAGTGGAACCATTCGCAAGTGGGAGGTTGGCCAGATACTCCCATCACAGAAGATGTTGGGAGAGGACATTCGCAATAGCACGAGTGAGGACGACCAGGAGTTTGGCTCACAGATCTTGAAGAAGAGGATAGCTTGCTCACGGACATCATCGGCAGCAACCCTACCAGTGTCGGCACCCGGACGCAAGTCCTCACATCCATCGGCCATGAACATTGCGCATCAGCTACAGCAACAGCATCAGCAGTTCCAGTCGATGCCCGTGATGATCAATGGCGCACAGGAAGACAGTGACGACGCTGATGAGAGCGGTGCCGAGGAGGATGAGATTCCGCACTACCTGCGTAGTGAGATCATGAAGCGCTCGGCACACAACCTGCTCAAGTCGTTCAAGGTCGAGGTGTTCCTGCCGTCACTTCCAGAGAACCAGGAGACCTACACATTCCTGTTCTCGGACCATGTCCTGGTCGACCAGGTCAAGAGCTACATCTTCAAGAAGATCGCCGCGCTCCAATCACTACCACTCGTCGAATATAGACTGGGAGTGGACGAGGACAACATCCTGGAGATTGAGTTCCTCAAGTTCATCTACAGTAACACCATCATCGAGCTATCTCTCAACACCTGTGGCATCGTCAAGATTGGAGTCTATCACAACAGGAAGGATAGAAGAATCAAAGAGAAGTATGTTACCCATCCGTATCTCATCCATCATTCATTCAATCCTAACACAATCTACCCTACCCCAGGTTGTACCCGGACAAGTTCAATGCGATATTGATCGAGACAAAGATACAATCAACGAGAAACTCTGTGGACATGAGTCAGAGAGGCGATCTGTCAATGGACTCGACGCCATCATCAAGGAGAATGGATGGCGCAATGCTCATCACTCCAAACTCTATCAGCACCAAGTCGCCAATCAACGAGATGGACGACCAGTCTGCCACCTCCGAATCTCTGCCACACTCTCAATCGGCATCCACACTCGCTCATCTGAGGAGGGTGTCAACAGTGCCCTCGCCAACATTCGCCAAGAAGCCCATACTTCAGCAGTGTGCCGGATGGTCCATCCAGCCGCTGTCCTCAAGCGCCGAGCCAAACAACGTGCTCAAGCTGGACAAGCAACAGAGTTCATTCTATCGCAAGTGCTTTGCCGATGGCGAGAGCGTGCATAGCTTTCTGGGCGAGGATGCCAAGGTGGGACCGATCGCCTTCTCCCTCGTTAAGAACGCCATGCGTGACAGGCACAGCGGCATACTGCACACCAAGTTTGGCGTGCGCGTCGCCTCTGTGGATGGCAAATCGATCAACTTTGGCAAGCTGTCTTTATCCAAGAAGTTAAAGAAGCGTAAGATCATCAGCCATTTAGTCAACACAATCGATGCCAGCATCGACGCCAAGCATCTATCACTGGCTACCAACCAGTCCGAGTTCCAGAAGGAGCTCCTATCCCTGGAGGAGCGACAGACAACCTCTGGCTTCAAGTTTGGTCTAGTCCTATGCAAGGATGGACAGTTGATCGATGACGACATATTCTCAAATCGTAAGTCAAATGAGATTGATTGATCATAGATGGAATGATCCCAACTCACTAACATCACTCCAATCAATCAATGAACAAACAGAGACTGGAAACAAAGAATACGAAGATTTCTTGGACTTGTTGGGCAACAGGATAGAGTTGATGGGATGGACAAGATACTCAGCAGGCCTGGATGTTCGAAATAATACTACTGGCACTCACTCATTATATACAGAGTTTAAGGGCAATGAGGTCATGTTCCACGTGTCCACACTGTTGCCCTACACACAAGGTGATCCACAACAGATTGAACGTAAACGACAAATTGGTAACGACATCTGTGTAATTATATTCAACGAAGGATCACATAGCTATGTTCCATCAACGATAACATCACAGTTCAATCGTAAGTTGACTTGAAAATGTCCAGTCCATCCATCATCCATCATCCATCTAACAACATTCCACATCATTCTAGACATCGTCATTGTAGTTCAGTATGACCGACTTTGCAACACATACAAGGTTGGAGTGTCCACAAAGGATGGCGTCGAGACATTCGGTCCTCCCATACCTCAATCAATCAAGAAGGACCATCTGCGTGACTTCCTCTTGACAAAGTGTAAGTGGACGTGAGCTCATTCATTCATTCGAACTCATTAGGCTAACATTCTCGCCAATCCTCAATCATCAACTTAGTGATCAATGGTGAGCTGGCATCACTACAGGCTCCAGTGTTTGCAAACAAGATAACTCGCACAAGGGAGACACTGCTAAAGTACTTCATCGAGCAGTATTCATAAGATAGATAGTATAAATATATATATATTATGTATTGTACATTATTTAACTAGCCTGCCTTTCCATTTCTGTTACCATTAGCGTTGCTTCCATCGCTTGGTAATCTATTAACATATAGTTCCAAGAGATCTAATGACTTCCTGGCGTGTTTACTAGTGAATGGATTGGATTGAGGGATTAGTTAAATGATTGATCAAGAGTGATGGAGTGATTGATTGATCCAACATACATTTGAGAGGCTAGTTTATACATTGGGAAGACATCACTATTCAATAGTTCCATACTATTAATGAGTGATTGCATCATTGCCATACACTGGAATGACTCGTCCAAGACATCATTACTTGTCTTGGCGTACAACTCAAAGTGTTTGGACATAATATGATTCATCTATGATTGATTGATTGGATGGATGAGTTAGTGAGTGATCGTTTGATTGATTGATGGATGGATGGATAACTTACAGAGTTGTTTATCAGCTTCACCTTTGCCATTAAACCGGCAAACTGTGTTCCACAGTACATTGAGTTGTCTTTGATGCGATCCAGGAGCAACTGGAAATCACGTCCATTGCGGTAGTCAAAGGGTGGTGCTTGCTCCTGTTTGTTGTTGCCACTGTTGTACTTCTTGCTGCCATTGACACTTCCACCACTACCACCTCCACTCATGTTGCCAATGCTTCCATTGTTGTTGATGTTACTATTACTATTATATACACTGCTACCATTGTTATGACTATTGCTTAGACTTGATATACTCTTGTGACTCGCGTGGCGACTACTTGATGCTGACTCTTGCCGTGAGCCACCGCCCGACGCCCTGATCCTCTCGTACACCAACTCGTCTTCATCTTCATCTCCTTCGGCACCATCATTGGTAAAGTCTGAAAGGAAGTCATCTATGATTCGTGTGGGCTTGTGTGGCGTGGTGGGTGGCGGCGCCACAAACTCAAAGTAGTCGTCGCGGTAGTGATCGTGCTTCCTGTGCTTGCCCTCGATGTAGCCAGTTGTAGTGTTGTACTTTTGTGCCTTGGTCAAAGCATGGTCTGCCATTGCCATGGCCATGGCCTCCTTCTCGTCCATGGGTGACATGTTGCCGCCGCTGCCATCCGACAACGGTCTGCTGACGGGGTCCATGATGCTGTGACGGTAGTAGAAGCGGGGGAAGTGGCGATTGCCATTGTTGCCGCTGTTGGCCAACATTGTGTCCATGTCCATGTTGTCGTACTCTAGACTGCCACTACCACTGCGTGTTGTTTGGAAGGCTGGCGGCGTAGTCTCTGAAGGTGGTGGAGGCGTCGACAAATGTGATATATACGACACGTGAGTCGTCTGATCCTCATCGCCCGTATCAAATATAACTTGTTCATCATCGCTGTCTTGAGTCTGACCATGTCCACCTCCACTTTGATTGAGTTGTTGTTGATCATGTGATTGATGTTGATGTTCTTCAAAGTGATCACCACTCGAGTGCAGTCCCTCTAGGTTGCCAATGGCCAAGAGGAAGTCGTCAGACTTTTGGCTTAGGTGTCGCTTCAGAGGTGATCGTATATGATTGTGCGAGGTCATTGGCGTTGAATTTGGTGTGCACTTATTACTCCTCGGTTCGTAATCATCAATGATTGGTATCATCAATGGTAGTTGATCGACCTCCACATTCTCCTCATGCAGTGAGTCGATCATTCCACTCTGCATCATCATCTTTATCTACTCTATCTGTCGTTATTTGTAATAATACAACAATATATATGTGTATGTGTGTGTGTGTGTATGTATGTTGTCTAAGATGTGTACGAATGAATGAAAGAATGAGTGAAGGATGTGGAGGACACGTTGTTATCAATCACTTTTGAGATGTGTATTTGTGTTGGGTGAGAGAAAGAGGAAACACTGTTGTCAATCCCAAGATTAGTGTGTGAATCTAACCCAAGGGTTGGGCACGGCAAAGCCCAAGTGCATGAGGCCCGCCCCCACTCACTCATGCCCATACTTACACCAAATACATATCTCTGATGTTTGCAATAAATCAGAGAGACTTGCTCACCCTCTTGGTGAGACTGGGCAAATTGAAAAGCGACAAATCTTTGCAAAACTGCGGACCATGGTTGTACAACAACAACAGTACTACTTATTTTGATTGATATTATTACTCTCAATCGGGCTTATTATAATGTCTTACCAGGGTATAAGTGTAATTACTTTTCCTGGTCCATTTGACACTTGAGATAACACCTGTCAATCAATAATGAACGAACTAGTTGTTAGTTTGACTAATAGTTATCTCGAAAATTGAAAAAGGTGAAGTTCTTAGAAATGAATGACTTTGAAGTCAAACACACTCTAGGGTCTTTGTAGTTGTTCAGTTTGAAAACACAGATAACTAATAATAATATGTGTATATAATGATATCGACAGCAACAGCAAACTCATCAACACCAACATCAGTATCAAATAATTATAAAGAACAACTTAGTTTGTTCGAACGACAATCAATACTTGATTTCAAAAAGAACTACAAAGACAAGGAGGACGAGGAGGACATTCAGCATCTTCAAGATAACAACAACAAAGACTTTGAGTTTATAAGTTATAACGATCTGCCTCCACTCAACAAATGTACCATCCAATCTCTAAATCAATTCAAAGATATCTTTAAACAGACCATTACAAAGAAGCCTGCTCCTGTCCCTGCAACGACAACTGCTGCCACATCAACAACAACAACATCAAACTACAAACAATCGGTTGTCCAGCCATCAAAGACCCCAACTGCTGCGTCTACCACGACATCAACGACTTCATCATTCTCATCATTCTTATCAAAGTCAGGTTCCTCAGGTTCAAGTGTTGCAACTTCAGCGAGCACGACAATAACATCCTTGTTGACTCCATTCAAGCCACCTCTCAAAGCAAGTGCCACCAATCCACTCTCATTGAAGTTGAGTAGTAGCTCAACAAAGACCGCAGCATCATCAGCATCAGCGTCACGAAACGATACGATGGATGACTCGTATGACTATGATAATGGCGGTGGTGGTGGTGATGACTACCCTGGCAACAAAAATGATGATGATTGTGTTGACCTCACATACTCAGCCACTCCAAAGACAACATCAGTAATACTTGGCACCAAGACATTCAACAACAACAACAACAACAATAACATAAACATTAGAACGAGTAGGAATGATGATAGCGCGGCACCAATGACAACACAGCAACCTTCGATTAGTAATCAGATCGCTTCGGTCAAGGCAGAGCTGTATGATTTGGGTGCGAGGAAGAAGGAGTTAAAGAAGCAAAGTGCTACGACTGATGCCGAGAAGGCTAAGAAGTATGACCAATTGCAAGAGATCAAAAAGACAAAGAAGACTCTATCAAAGAAGTTGGATGAGCTGGATATGATGCGAATCAATGGTGTTGGTGTTGGTTCGACGACGACCACTACCAACACAATGGCAACTGGCTCATCATCATCATCATCATCATCATTCACAACACCTGCTCAAAGATCATACACGACATCATTCAACTCTTCAAGTACTGCTGATCAATACAATGGCAACAGCAATGGAGCATACCGAAGCAGTTCATTCAATGGCACATCATCATCAACATCTACATTCAATGGCAACAGCAACAACAACAACAAGTATGGTAGTGGCAGTGGTGGCAATCAATCAAACTATGACTTTGATTTTGACACTGGCGGCGGAGGAGGAGGAGACTATGATGGTGACTATGGCGGCGATGCTTACTCTGTGGACAACACCTGGTGTGATGCCAGTATACCCTTCTCATCCTCGCCACCACCAGACAAGAAGAAGTTCACGTCCACTACATCGACATCGACATCATCTGCACTTCACAATCAATCAACGCCAATTGACATTGATGAGTTTGACTACTCTGACTTCACTGATGGTGGCGGTGGCGGAGGTGATGCCAACTACTATGACGATCCACCAGACATCCAAGATATCGTAGACGATCATCACACCATGTCAACATCAAAGAGGAGCATCAACAACAACAACAATTCTTTGAATTCATCTACTTCATCATTGGTGGACAATGCAACTAAATGGGCTGGCAAGTACTCTTGGACGGATGAGGTGGAGAGGATCAATAGGACTGTGTTTGGTAATAGATCGTGGAGGAAGAATCAAGTCGAGATCATCAATGCGTGCATGTCCGGGCATGATGTGTTTGTCCTGATGCCCACAGGTGGAGGCAAGAGTCTTTGCTACCAAATACCGGCCATGTGCAATGAAGGTGTCACCATCATCATCTCACCACTGATCTCGCTCATCCAAGATCAAGTCATGCTGCTACAGACCCTTGCCTATCCAGCTGCAGCCCTAACCGGTACCACATCATCAGAGGATGTAACACAGATATATAGAGGTATGTCATTTTATTGAATGAGTGATTTGAGTGCGGGACCATGCTAACAAACATCCACACGCATGACTAGACCTCAGACAGACACCTCCAACGCTCAAACTACTATACTTGACTCCTGAGAAGGTTGTTCAGAGCCCTGCGATTATGGACTTGTTTAGGAATCTCAACAACAATGGACTGTTGGCGAGAGCGGTCATTGATGAAGCACATTGTGTCAGTCAGTGGGGTCACGACTTTAGACCAAACTACAAGGAGCTCAAGTTGCTAAAGACAGAGTTCCCCTCGTTGCCAATACTCGCGCTGACGGCGACGGCCACCGAGCGCGTCAAGAAGGACGTGATATTTAACCTGCACATGAAGAACCCCATCACGTTCAAGCAGAGCTTCAACCGACCCAACCTGCAGTACGCCGTCGTCAAGAAGAGCAAGAAGATCGTGGACGACATTGCCGAATTTATCAACAAGTTCTATCCGGGCAAGTCGGGCATCGTCTACTGCATCAGCAGGAACGACTGCGTCACCGTGGCGTCGGAGCTGCGCAAGAAGGGCCTGCGCGCCAACTTCTACCACGCCAACATGGAGCCGGATGAACGCCAGCGCACCCAGGAGAGCTGGACGAGAGACCGCATCAAGATCATCGTGTCGACCATCGCCTTTGGCATGGGTATCAACAAGCCTGATGTGCGCTTTGTCATCCACCATTCGCTACCCAAGTCGTTGGAGGGCTACTACCAGGAGAGCGGTCGTGCGGGCAGAGACGGCAATCTCTCGCACTGCATCCTCTACTACAGCTTTGGAGACAAGTTCCGCCAGGAGGTGCTGATCAAGAACAGCACGGGCAGCACACACGCGAGCATTCGCGAGAACATGGAGAACCTGAACCGTATCGTGGGCTACTGCGAGAACCCTGTGGACTGTCGCAGAAAGCTCCAGCTGCAGTACCTGGGCGAGGACTCGTTCGACAAGGAGATGTGCAAGAAGACCTGCGACAACTGTCTCTCGACCGACCCCATCACGCGCAGGGACGTCACCGAGGACGCCCGCACCCTACTCAAGATCGTACAGCAAGCCAAGGACGAGCCGATTGGCACCATCAAGGACATCTACAAGGGCTCAAAGAACAAGAGAATGATCGAGCGCAAGTACGTCGACCTGCCCCAGCATGGCGCCGGCAAGTCGGCCGACCCACACGAGGTGGACCGCATTCTGCATCAGATGATCTTGATGGATATCCTGGAGGAAGACATCATTGCCAATGCCTACAGGACAATCTCGCACATCAAGGTGGGCACGCGCGCCCGAGGACTGATGAGCGGCGCCGAGAAGATCGTGATGGAGTTTAGGAACAACTCCAAGACAAAGGGCAAGACCGTGATGGAAGACTTGACCAAATCGGTGGTGGTCAACAAGACGCCGGCCGACACCGAGAAGCTCAAGCAGTACCTGTACGACGTGCGATCGGCGCTGGGCGAGGAGCACAAGTTGGAGACCTACCACATCATACCAAACACCTCTATTGATGAGCTGGCCGTGTCCAAACCACAGACCGAAGCAGAGTTGGAGAAGATCTCTTACTTCACATCGATTAGAATCCAAAAGTATGGTGCTGCATTCCTCAAGGCAATCAAGGATTGGACACAGGGTGTACCGTTGGCACCCAAAGTCATCGACGACGACTACTTTGACGCGAACTTTGACCCATCAGACCTTGGTGTTGGTGTTGACGATGAAGAAAATGATCTACACTTTTCTCCCCACTTCCCATCTGGAAGTACAAAGAGGTATGCTATATAGTAATAATGGTATCCACTATACTTTGATCACCTCCGCTCACTCACTCCATTCATTCAATCAATCAATTCAGGAAAACAACATCGTCCACAAGTGTTGGCGGAACAACAAAAAAGCCAGACACAACCAAGAAGACAAGACATTAATGTTAATGTAATAAAGTTCCAGTCGACTTATCCATTGATCAATCAATCTTAGTATTGGAAGTTCCATCCTATCATGAAGAATGTGAAGTTCATGAACACATAACAACCCTAAACAGGTACACACACACACTCAAACACACACACGACTACAAGAATGGACAACACTATTATCTACACTCACTTCTTTCACTCACCCTCACTCTCTACTCACTTATTCATTCATTCATTCATTTATTCACTCTTCTCGCTTCTGTCCTGCACTCTCTTACATACAGATAGATATTACTTTGGTCACTCAAAGGACAACATGATCAGGAAGTTGTCAATATTCAGAACCAGAATATAATATAATAGCAAATAATAATTATTAATTCCAATTCCTCAATAATAATGAAGTTATACTTATTGTCATTATCATTATTTGTATTATTATTTAATATAGTTAATTGTGATAATCCCAAAGGACTAGATAATTGCAACAAACCTATATTAGATAATGGATACTCTTATGATCTGAGTCCACTTAAATCGTAAGTAATTGTAACAATCCATCATACTTAACAATCATTCATTAATATTGTAATTTGATAAATGATCCAATATTACTAGGTATTTACTATCTTATAAACAAGATGATCAAATGTATTATGTAAATCTATGCACCAATGTTAGTTCTCCTTGTGGACCACTGGATAGTATATGTGATGTTAGTCAACCAGGTAATGAGCTCACTCACTTGGGTTATATAAACTCTGTTACATATCAATCAAATGGATATTCTGGACTATCATTAGTATATCAAGGACAACCATGTCAGATGGGACGTCGTTACAACACATCAGTCACACTGATATGCGATGAAGGCAATGGAACAATAGTATCTGTGACCAACAACAAATGTCATGTCTCAATCATCATCACATCACTCTATGCATGTGGTACAAGTATTCCAGGTCCAAGTCTATCACCATGTATGTGTCCATCATTCACTCACTCAATCAATCAAACTAATCAATCAATCGAACCTTTAGTTAACTTGATAGTATTTTTTGGATCATTGTTTGGAACGATATTATTGTTCTTGTTGGTGGCCGGATTGATTTATGGTGCTGGTCGATGCCTGAGAAGGTACGCTCGTAGACATAGATCAGAGTATGCACCAATTGCCGATATGCCACCAATCAGTGCACCGCCAATCAATGTGTCGCACGAGTATGTCGATGGCAAACAACCAACAAGTTGCACGGTCTGTTGTGACAGAGCCGTAGACACAGTGCTGCTGGACTGTGGCCACTCGGTACTCTGTCAAGAGTGCACGAGCAAGATCAAAACCTGTCCAATGTGTAGAGCCGACATCAAGAAGGTAGTCCTTATCTATCATGTTTAATATATATATATATTACATACTTTATCTTATCAATATCTCTATCCTCTTTTCTTCATGGCAGATTGAACCACTCTCCTGCTGAACCAGGGTAGTTGAGCGAGTTCTTGTATCCAGCTGCCCTGGCAAAGTCAACAGCCATCTCTGATCGCTTGCCCTTTAGGCAGTAGAATATGATATGATCAGTCTTTTTAAACTTGTCAACCTTGAACGTCTCACTAAAGTCATCATCATTCATCTCAATTGCTGCTGGTAACATCCCCACTGATGATTGATCACATGTGATGGAGGGTGAGGGTGAGAAAGCTGGTCTGGGATCGTCATCATCATCATCATAATGTACACGTACGTGGAATATGCATGGCTGATTCGATTACACCTGTGGACTCGACCTCTGCGACGTTCCTGACATCTACCAACACATAATCCTTTGTTTCCAATCCTCTGTTATCATTGATCAACTGTTCCAATTGATGCTTCTCAACATAATCATTCTTTAGGAAGTCATGATTGACATTGTAGTTGACTGGAGCAGTGGTATATGACATTAAACCAAACTGATGTTGTTGGTAAAGCTTTGAGAATGTGATTGATGTTGTCGGTCTATGAAGATATTGAGTTGATAAACGACTAGCAGCGGACCAATTCAATGCGCTGCAACGTTGTACTGAGTATGTTATCCTTCTTATCATCTTATAACTAAGACTTTGTGAGTAAGTATTATTGATTCAGCTTCATCATGATTATGACTCTGATGAAGATTGACCCAGGGACACCCAATCATAATCCTCGTTTTCATCTTCTTTTTCGTTTTTCTGTGTTTGAATTGCTGTTGCCAGCACAGCACCACCTTAGTGCCACCTACCTTATCAACAACCGACACTGACAAGACACAAAGTTTGCAAAAGCACTAAACTCTTGACTAGTCATGGAAATGACATGAGTATTTATAGTTCTAAATATTTAAATCATTTTAAATATCATTACAATTATAAATACAAATATATATCATTATAAATACATAATATAACTCACCAATCAATCAATTTATCAATAATGGTATGTAAAATATTGATTATTAAATAAACTTAATATAAATTACTAACTTTCTAAGTACTAATAGACAACCAGACAATCAGCACCTATTGTAGCCAATATTAAATTGGTGATTATTGGAGATGGAGGTGTTGGAAAGACATGTTATGTATCCAGACATCAATCAGGTGAATTCCTCGCCAGGTATATTCGTAAGTTCATTCTAATACATCTTTATTTTTTAATAATATTGAATTGTTCAAACTAACATCAACTTTAATCAATCCAGCTACCATCGGATGTGTAGTCAGTCCTCTACCATTCTACACAAACTACGGCAAGATCGTCTTTGATATCTGGGACACTGCCGGACACGAACAATACGGAGGTCTCCGTGATGGATATTAGTAAGTATCCATTATTATTCAATTAGATCTGATTCACATCAAATATTAACTTACAACATGAATAATTTAGTATCCAATCCAACTGCGCAATCATCATGTTTGATGTCACATCAAGAATGTCATACAAACACTGCCCCAACTGGTACTCTGACCTTAGAAGAGTATGCGAAGACATACCAATAGTACTCTGCGGCAACAAGGTCGATGTGAAAGACCGTCATGTCAAGCCATCCATGATCACATTCCACCGCAAGAACGGACTCGCCTACTACGACATATCCGCCAAGTCCAACTACAACTTTGAGAAGCCATTCCTTTACCTCCTGACCAAACTCCTTGGGTAAGTTATATATATCATAATATTTGCACTCCAATACATCCATCATTCTAACTCAATTATTAATATTATTTGGACTACTATAGAAATAGAGACGTTACATTCGAGAGACCACCCTTGATCCCACCAGAGGTCCCCTTGGACATGGTCGATGTCAAGCGCGCTGACGAGGAACTGAAGAAACTGATGGAACTGCCCCCTCTCCCCAACAATGATGATGATGACTTCTAATCGATATCCAAACAAACAATCACATCCATGTAGACAAACACAAGTAACAAACTTATAATAATAATAATAATAATAATAATATATATAACACCCTTTAATTATTGATTGATTGATTGATCGATCAACCAATTGGTTGACTTAGACTGGTGTGGCTGAGACTATGAGGCTTATCATGACCCAGAGTGGATAACATACTACTGCTGCAATTGTTGTTGTTGTTTTCAAACTTGAAGTTGGGCAATGATGTCGAGAAGGACCTGGAGTTCTTTCCATTGGCATTACCAGAGCCATGTTGTCCCGCCAACAAACTGTTGACACCCATCGTGTTGCCAGTGGGCGACTTGTGGAATGCTGGTGACAACAATGCTGGCTTCTGACGCTTTTTGTGCTGTCCATTGTCCTTGGCGGCTGGACATTCGCCCTTCAGTCGCTGCACCTGTAGCCTCTGCTCCTCGGCCAGATCCTGCAGACGCTTCTGCTGATCAACGTACAGAGACTCGCGCTGTGTAGTCTGGTCGGCGAGCAGCACAGTCATGTCCTTGTTGTGTCTCTCCTGCATGACTTCAATGTCGGTGCGCAGCTGCTGGCTGAGCGACTGCTGTTGCTTGGACTGTTCAGCCTGCAGAGTGGACATGGTAGGCAGGTCGGCGCCCGTTGGCGCGAGTCCCTTCCTCTTCTGCTCGTACTTCTTGAAGCTCTCCTGCTGAATCTTGTGCTCCTCCTGCTGAAGCGACAGGCGCTCTCGTTGCTGCTCCTCGATCAGTGTGCGTTGGCGGTTCTGCTGCTCTTGAAGCAGTGCGGGCGACTCCTTGAACTGGTCCTGCTGCAGACGTGTCTGTTGTTGTAGTTGCTCGGGCAGGATCTGTCGGCTCTCAGAGTGCTGCTGCTTGAGAAGAGCGCGACGCTCCTTGTACTGATCGATCATAATCTCCTCCTCGCCAAACTGGAACTCGTGCTCGAACTTGTTGCGCTGCTGAAGCAGCTGCTCGTCTAGATCCTTTAGCGCAATGCTCTGCTTCTCCTGCAGACGTGAAAAGGCCTCTTGTTGGTGAGTGGCCAGTGTCTCATCCTCCTCCTGGCGCTGGCGCTGCAGCTTCTTCTGGAAGTCGTTGTCGCAGTTCTGCAGATTGGTCTCGAATTGCTTGCGCTGGTCCTTGTGCAGGTTCTGAAGCTGCTTCTTGCTGCCCGAGCGCTCGTCCTTTAGCTCGCGCTTTAACTTTGTGAGGAAGTCCTTCAGTTGCTTGGTCTGCTTCAGACGGAACTCCTTGAGCAGGTTGCGCTGCTCATTGTTCATCTGCTTGTTGTGCTGCTCGGTCTCGGAGATCTGGCGGTCCTTGAGCTGGGTGATCTGCAGGGAGTGGTACTGCTCCATCTGGTTGCGTGTCTGCAGGTGCTCCAGTGCCATGCTCTCACGCAACGTCGTGTGGTAGTCGCGGTAGCACTCGAGGGCGCACTGGTGCTGCACGGTCTGCTGAGTGTTCTGCTGCAAGTGCCACGCACCAAGCTGCTCCCACTGCAGCCTGTTCTCCGCCATGAGGTTGTGCGTGCCAGTGTGATGGTCGTCAATCACACGCTCAAAGTCCTGCTTCTGCTGGAAGATTAGATCCTGCATCAGGATGTCGTGGCTCTGGATCACCTTTTGGTGCGCTTGCATGTGCTTGGCCAGCTTCTTGGGCGTGGACTTGTCGGCCTTGCTCATGTCTTTGATCTCGTACTCCTTCAGCTTCTGTTGGTGCTTCTGGGTGTCCTTGAACTCCTTCTGCTGCTGCTTCTGCTGGTCGGACACGCGACCGCGCTGGCCCTTGCCCTCAGACACGTTGCGCTTGAGGAGCTGCTCGCGGTCACTCTTTTGCTGGCGCTGGAGGGTTTCGCGCTCCAGTCGGTGAGTCTTCTGGATCTTGTCGTCGCGCGATGTGTTCTGCTTGGTCTGCTGAACGACGCGCTGCTGGTTCTGCTTGAGCAGATCGTCCTTCTCCTTGCCGTGCTGCCTTCCCTGACTCTCCTCCTCCTTGCGCTGTCTCTGTTGCAATCGCTTGATCTCCTTCAACTGTAGCTTCATCAGCTTGCCGTTGACCACCTTCTTTGACGCTTCATTGCGCTTCTCCATCGTCTTTCTGATTGTTACAGGTCGTCCTGACTTTCTGTTTGTTGACATGTCTGGCGAGGGCGCCACCACCAACGCCTCGGTGGTATGTGTGGCGGATGTTGTGGAGGATGCGGCTGCTGCGGCTGCGGCTGCGGTGACCTTTGCGCTGCTACTGCTGGTCTGTCTTTGATGTCTTTGTTGTTGAATGCTGTTGGCCGTCGCGTTGGATGAGGACGAGGTTGAAGACGTAGATGTGTTGAGATCGAGCGAAGCGGACAATGATTGCCTCTTGACCAACTCGGAGCCACTATCACCTCGTAGTCTATCGTTGCTCTTTGATGTGACCACAGGTGAATGTGACATGGCCAATGCTGGTTGTTGTAGTGGTTGTGGTGCAGCCACAACATGTCCATTTGATGATACCAATGATGGTCTCTTCTCCTTGTTGTCCTTGATGTCCTTCTCCTTGTTATCCTTGTCCTTGTCTTTATCCTCTTCAGAGTCATCGTCCAACTCATTCTCAATGTCTGGCTCCTCTGGCATGTCCATCTCGGCCAACCTTTGCTTCTTGTACCTGGCGATCAGGTCGTGCATCACAGACTTGTCGGGCGGCTTGGACAGGAATGGATGCTTGAGCAGCTCTGCGGCCGACTTGCGCTGGGCCGGATCCTTGTTCAGACAGCATTGAATGAAGCTGACAAACTCCTTGGAGTGGCCGTCTTGATTCTTGAGCTTGGGCGGTTCGCGGTATGGTATTTGGAACAGCACCTTCATTGGGTGGATTTCGGACAGGGGCGGCTCGGCCTCGGCCATCTCGAGCAGCGTGATGCCCAGCGACCAGATGTCGGCCTTGGTGTCGTAGGGCACGTGACTGCTCCTGTTCTCAATGACCTCTGGCGCCATCCAATATGGTGTGCCAATGAATGTCAGACGCTTAGTGACGCCATTCTCCAGCAGACCACTGACGCCAAAGTCTGCCAACTTCACATCGCCAGTGTCCGTCAACAAGATATTCGCGCCCTTCAAATCTCTATGAATGATTCCATTATTATGTAGATACTCCATTCCCTTCAATGTCTCTCGGCATACATATGCTATCTGTGATTCATTGAGTGGTGTGCTCAACTCTGTGATTGATCATTATTGGGTGAGTGAGTTGATTGAGTGATTGGAATGGTTCCAATCAAACATACCTTGATATATCTCTGTGATTGATCCACCGCCACAACACTCCATGGCAATGAATAGTTCGTCGCCTTTTACCCAACTGCCATGGTACTTGACGATGTTTTGGTGATTGCATCGGTTGAGGATGTCGATCTCGATGACCAGGTCCTCAAAGGTCTCGTCCTCGTCCAAGCCAATGATCTTGACAGCCATTATACTGCCATTCTTTGTATGCTTGCCCTTGTAGACCGTGCCAAAGCTGCCCTCGGCAATCTCCTCAATCAGCTCAAACAATTCGTTCGGGTCTTCATGTCCTATGTAGGCATCAAGCGCAGCCAGTCCGCTCATCGTCGTGCTTTGATTGATTGATTGATCGATTGATTAATTAAATTGATTGATTGATGGATTGAGATGAATAGATAATGAATGATGGATAGTTATAGATAACTAGTGAGACTGTCTGACTGATTGATTGACTGATTGATTGAATGACTGACTACTACTATGTTTGTTGATGGATGAGAATGTGTGATGTTGATTGATTGATTGGATTGACACGACACGACACGAGACGACCTCGTCGATGTATCAAGCTTGCTGGTGTTATTGTTGCTAAATTGGATACTGGCTGCTGCTGTTGCTGCTGCTGCTGCTGTTGCTGATTCTGCCACTACTACTTGGTTTGGTTGCAAGCAAGCAAGTAAGAGAGAGTATTGTTGTGGACACGCGACAAAGACAACAACAACAAACACGATACACGAAAGCTCCCTTGTTTGATTGAGATTGTTCGATCCACGACACTCTTATCCTGTCCTGTGGTAGTGTCTGACTGACTGCTCCCCTATCACCCCTTCAGATGGATGCTACGTATGTCTGTCTCCTCTGTTGCTGCGGACTGTGTGTATGTGTGAGTGTGTTTGCAATAAGTGTGTCTGATTGAATGAATGGACAGTACTCTATCTATCTCTCTATCTCTCTATATGTTGAATGGTATAATTAGGATAACTTTGGTGCTGTCTTAAGACGTTGTAGTTGTAGTTGTGTAGAAGTGTGTATTGAGTAAGTGAGTGAGTGTACCTTGGGTGATTGATTGATTGATTGATTGATGAGTGATAGTGTGATGTAAGATGTCAATATGTCGGTAATGTCTGTCTGTCAACACCACTAATACAACAACAACATATATAAATAATATGTAATAAGTGTGATTGATTAATAGAGTTAATTGAGGTGAGAGAAGTAGTAGTAGTAGAGAATGGCAATGCGATGATTGATTGACAGCACTCCAACTCACTATCACTCACTCTCCATTCTTGTACACACTCCTGATCAGGTCATTTTATCATGTGTTGTTGTTGTTGTTGTGTTATTGTTGCTGTTAATGCTACCTCTACCCCTTCTGCTTCTCTTGCTTCTGTTCCATCTTAATGTGTGTGTTGTGTGTTGTGTGTTATGTGTGTTCGCAATCAACATGGTCACCACTTTAACACTATCCATCTCACCACAATCACATCTTTGGATCAAATATATAACTAATGTATGTGTGTGTTTGAGCTTAATGAATGAGGGTCACATTAATAACAACCAAACAAACAATCCACACAGATCATTAGCGGACCTCTCCACTCCCATCACATTCGAAGTTCATTGATATTTGATTCTTTTTTTTTTGCGCAACTAGGGGCACACACGATTCATTCAAAGCTATGATGTCTCAAGTTACACGCAATCAGTGAGTGATAAACAACAAGAAAAGGGCCCTTTAGTTTACCAACTACAACTCAGTACCTCACTACTACACATGTAAATATATAATATCAACTCGCAGCATCAACTTGAACATCAACAAGCGACTGGTCATTCATTCATTGACAATAACACATCGGACAGACGACAGATTATTCTTAAACCGATCATACATTGGGACAGTTAGAACGAATGATTGAATGATCGAACGAATGAACGAATGAATCAACGATGAATGAAGAAGACAAACAGACAGACAGACAGACATGTTGATGCTGGAAGACGATATTGATGATGATCAATGAAGCAAAACAATGATTCTAATATAAGTGAATCAATCAATCAAACATTACATGTAGATATATATATATATACAATGGAATTGTGCAAGATCAAGCAAGCTGCTCACGCCGAGTGTGCACCAAAGTGCGCCAAGTACTTCGAAGCCTACAACGCATGCTCAAGCCGTGTCGAGAAGATCATGGAGCACGACGAGAAGGCCAACTGTCTTGGTCAGTTCTTGGAATACTTCCAATGTCTAGATCACTGCGTAAGTTCAATGTGACTGGTTGATCGATCATGTCAGAGTCACTGACTAACCAACCAACCAATCAATCAATCAATCAATCAATCAACATTACAGGCGGCCAACAAGATCTTTTCACAACTAAAGTGAGAGAGAGAGTCATGATGCTGAGCATACACTCCGACGAACGATTGAACATATATATCTCACAACAACAACAACCAACAACAATAACACGAATGTAATCAACTCACTGTTGACCATAATCAACAATAAATAGAAGCAGCGACAGCAATGCAGTAGCCGCAGAAACAAACACAACAACTGCAGCAGCTTCAGAATGAATGAATGAATGAATGAAGACAGGTTTATACATGTCCGTGGATGACTAACGTTCATTCATCCCTCATTCGCTCATTCATTCGTTCAATCAAACATGGAGGAGGTTGCGCTGATCAATCACTTCCACCAATCACGCGATCATTCAATCAAACACAATCTTAGGTAGTTGGCAACGTAAAGAAATAATGAGTCAGGACAGGACTGACTCTTTATTCGGTGCACTTGGATGGGATGGACGGTGGACGATCATCAGTGCCGAGAGTAGTTTGTGTAGATCAAGCTCTGGTGATTGCACCAACCAATCAATCAATCCGGAAGTAGTAGTATGTGGCGGACGGGATATTAGACGACAGAGAGTCCACCATCGACAACGAGGGACTGGCCAGTGGTGAAGGATGACTCGTTGGAGAGCAAGAAGAGGATTGGCTTGGCAATCTCGGATGGCTGGGACATGCGACGGAGTGGTGTCATCATGAGCAGACCGGCGACGGCCTCCTCAGTTGGGACGTACTGTCTAAGCATTGGAGTGTCAGCAGCACCTGGCAACACGGCATTCACTCTAATACCAAGTACACCATACTCTGCGGCGGTACTCTTGGTCAAGCCCAACAAGGCATGCTTAACACAGCTGTAGCCAGAGTTGTAGGGGAAGCTACAAAGAGTTTGAACGAGGAGTGAGTGAGTGAGTCGTCAATCAATCAATCAAACATGTTGTAATACTTACGCAAGGATTCCAGCAATGCTGCTGACGTTGACAATGCTGTACTCGCCAGCACCTTGCTTCTCCATTTGTCTCACTTGAGCGCGGATGCAGTGCCATGTTCCCTTGATGTTGACATCAATCTGAAGAATAATTGATTGAATGATTGAATGAAAGAGTGAGTGGAATTGTTCCAGGGGCAGGGGAGGGACTACTAACTACTTACCATCTTATTAAAGACATTCTCATCGTAATCACCAATTCTACCCATGGCGCCGAGGATACCAGCGTTGTTGACGGCACCATCAAGACGACCGTACTTGTCAACGGCAGTTTGCACCATGTTGTTGACTTGCTCACAGACAGAGATGTCACAGGTGACAGCAGTGGCCTCACACTTGGCGTTGGACTCTTGCATCAACTCGATGGTCTTCAAACACTGCTCATAGTTCACATCGGCCACGATCACCTTTGCGCCAACACGTGCCAACTCCAAACAAGTTGCTCTTCCAATACCCGATGCACCACCAGTCACTATTATAACCTTTCCTTCCATCTCTTATTATTACTTAACTTATTACTTATTATTATTATATATTATGTATATTTATGTTAATGAATGAATGAATCAAGTCAGTTGATGTGATATCAGTCGGTGAGATGGGGCGAGCCGGGACGGGGACTGAGAAGCGTGTCGATGTTGACATTCAAACATCATGTTGTTGTATAGACGATGTGATTGATGTTGTCAATGTTGGGGATGTTGCAAGGCAATCAACTATACATGAGGCATTGGGAGGATGTTGGTTGATGTAGTCAATACAAAGTCCGATTTCTTTTGTGAAGATGTTAGACTGATCTTGGACGTCGTCAACCGTTGTCGTGATCACATGTCCAAGAATGGTAGTTAGCCCAGATTGGATGACGCATCCAAGACCACAAAACTTCAAAAAAACTCCAAATACGCGATCAAGGCTTTCAAGGACCATCTCGTATTTTTTGAAGTACTAGTCAATTAACAAGATAAACAAGGTTGTTTATGATCGGGACCATTCCAGTGATTGATTGATTGAATCAGATCATATAAAGTATTTTGGACCTGGGCTCAATGTTGATGATCACTTTGTTCTTTGGCGTCAGAGTGGCTCTTTGATACGTTTCGAATCGACATGATGGATCCCAAGTTAACATATAATGTCCAATAATATTGCCAATGATTATCTTTGCTTCCATCATAGTAAACTTCTGTCCAATGCATCTAGTTTGAGTTTGAGTATGAGTTTGAGTTGAGTTTGAGTTTGAATGAGTATGATTACTCACTCACTCACACAACGTCTCGAATACTTACACTCGCTTGCCTGATGAGAATGGAAGGTAGTTGTAGTTGTTGTTGATGTTGTTGGATTGTGTTGCCCATCTGAATGGATCGAATCGATTGGCATGCATCCATACTGACTCATTGCGATGCATTGAATATACAGATACCAACACCATGCCCTGAGCTGGTATTGTTATGTCCTTGGCAGAGTATGTTGGTAGAGTGACAGGGTGCTTGGTCACTCGTCCAACCATTGGCGCAGGTGGGTATAGTCTGAGTGTCTCGAGGATGACCCATTCGAGGAGGTCGCAGTCCAGGGGTGAGTTGAACTCGTTCAACTGTTGATACAGCTGTTCTTGGATGTCTTGATGTGTGGACAATAGGTAGAGTACGAATGTTAATGCGTTGGCCGATGTCTCGTGACCGGCCAACAAGAATGTCATCACATTGGAAATGATCTCATCTTGGTCCATGTCAATGTCCATTCCCAACAAATGATCCAACAGGTCTAGTTCGTGATCGTTGCGAGTGACTTTGCCGACGTGAGCCTTCTTCTTGTTGATCGCTTCGACAATGATGTCCTCGAGCTCGGTGACAAGACGGTTCAGCTTCCTATCCGATGGTAATGGAATGAATCGAGAGAAGCGTCTGAGTGGGCGAGTCATCTCGTCCAGGATGAAAGTGAAGCTGCTGGAGCTACCTCGTCCAGTGTGATCACTGCTGAATCGATGTCCAATCGAGAGCATGCCAATGATGTCATATGTGAGCTCGGTCATCAATTGATGGCAGTCAATGTGTCCAGCCTTTTGTTGAATGAGTGTGTCGATAGTCGCCATTGTGGCATCGTGTAATGTCGAGTACATTCGTCTAACATTGCTCGGTGAGAATGCAGCCGATATGACTTCGCGATGTCTTTGCCAGCGCTCGCCCTCTGCCATTAGAATGCCGTTCCTTGCCAGACGAATGAGCACGCCTGAGCTGTCGGGCGGCTTCTCAAACTCATTTGAATATGTTGCCAACACAGCCTTGGCCACTGCAGCGTCGCGAGTGAACAACATCGGGCGTCCAAAGAATGCTACAGTGTAAGTATCACAGCGATATTGATTGAACCATTTCAAGACTGTTGATTCATTGATGGCCTCGCCCTCATCATCTTGACCATCATGTTGACGAACATTCGGTTGTCGTTGTCTATGTTTCAAGCCATAATAGTTCAACAGATAGTTGATGAACCAGACTATGAACGATGGTCCATCGGGTAGGTTGTTAGTGCCTGATGCTGTTTGTGTTTGAGTGACCTTTCGCGAATTGACAAAGAGTGTCTTTGTTGTTGAAGTGTCATTGAGTGTCTGTGAGTGAGTGTTCGATCGATGTCCTGATGCCTAGTTGCTCTCTTACATATCCAATCCAGAGTAGTATGCCCAAGATTATTGTTATATAGTCCATTGTATATCTATGTGCATGCTAAGGAATGAATGAATGAATGAATGAATGAATGAATGAAACGAAAACAAACGACAAGACAAAGAAGAAGAAGTGGAGAAAATGACAACATGGTGTCGGTTCAACGTTTATGATGGACTAACATCGATGTTGTAGGGGGTATACAGGTTGGCCAACCTGGCAGACTCGTGTGGATGATGATGGCGTCGATGGATGGTGAGGTGTAGCCATGACCATGGGGCGGCCAGCCAGGTGTGTGTCGTCGAGACGTCGGCTTACCACCAGCCTTTGCCAAAACCATTGCCAAATTCATTGTCAAAGCCACCACCATTAACGAGGATGATGTTGATGCTGATGAAGGCACGACGGCGACGGAAGCAACCGCAGGCAGTGTCATTGCTGGATTGGTCGACCGATCCACCGGCGGTGGCAGATGTCACGACAGCATCATTCTTGGCGAAGGACATTGGGCTGGCAGCAGATGAGAGGTTCTCTGTATTGGTGTATGCATGATGTTGGTTAGTGATTGATTGATTGGCGTGGCGAGGGGTGGCCAGGTATTAGTACTTACTGTACAACATGTTTGAATGAATAAGATTGAGTAGGTAAGTAAGTAAGGAAGTAAGGAAGTATAGTAACTTGGATAATTGATTGATTGATTGAATGATGGTAATGATGGCTGTCCAGGAGGTCTATTTATACTTGATGTCACTGCCATGTTCGTACATCAACTTGACATTATTGATGGATATAGATAGACATCATTACTTAATATAAGTCGTAATACCATATAAGTGATCATTGACCTTAATTGGAAACGGTGGCAGTAGCCGGCTGTGATTGATTTGGTAGTGTTACTGAATTTGGATTCGCTGGCTGTGATATCATCATCGTCATCATTCCTTTTAGAGAACCAAGCCTTATAAGGAGATCCTTAAGTGCACACCTTATATCCTTGTCGTTGAGTGGCAGTAGCTTGAGCAGAAGTTCATAGAGTACACTCATGTTGCGCATGAACTTATCATCATTGAACTGATTGAGTGACTTCAGTATCTTGATCATTGTATCAGTCGATGTGATCTGATTGGGACTCTCCAAGTATGATACAATCAATTGTGTGTACAGTCTATGTGAGTGATTGCCTAGGGGTTAGTCTCTGGATCACAAGACGCAGACTTGAGGTCAACTTACTTGAATAGTCGATGCTCAGAGTGTAATGTCCTGGTGGCAACGTCAACTCGTTGCTCTTTATAGAGGACAAAGAGTAGGTTCATGTAGCCTGTGACGGTGTTCTGTTGGAGGATCTTCAGGACAGTTCCAACACGTTGGAGCAAGGGTTGCAGGTTCTCTTCGTGTGACGCTCGGTGGAATAGCCGGTAAGAGGAGTCGAGACAGTCTGCAAGACACAACAATTGTGATGAGTTGAGTAGGTCGTAGTGAGACAATGCAATGTCATTGATCGCCTGTACCATCTGTAGCTGTACTGAGCACTTTGATTGAATGATCCTCAGCTCAGGCTGCTGTTGTTGCTGCGCCTGTTGCTGTTGCTGTTGCTTGTGTTGTCTGGAAGCAGAGTTTGACAGACTGTTGCTGGCACTATTGTTGTTGCTGTCTGATGGGGACTCGGATGACGGGACTTGGGCATCGCTGCTGAGTGCCATGAGCTCCTGTTGTGACACATTGTCTGATGATTGAATCCTTGAGATGGGTGGAGTGATCGATGGTGGAGTCGAGGGCACAGAAGACTGCTGTTGTGATCCTTGCTCATACGCTCCAAACGGATTGAGCAAGGATGAGAGTGGCGTTTGATTGGACGACTGCTTCAGATTGAGATTGGTGAATAGCTTGGACGAGAGGAATGAAGACTTTGTTCGTTTGTGTTGCCTCTGTGGCGTGCCACTGGCCGCGGGCGACTGAACCGTGGAGGTGGAAGTGGACGTGCTCGTCGACTCAATGATCAACGCAGGCGACGATTGAGTGGGCGATTGCTGAAGGCTGTTGGCGTTGGAGATTGAGATCGACAAGCTGGACTGCTGTTGTTGATGCTGTTGTTGCAGCGACTCATAGAGAAGAGACTCGTTGAACAGCTCGACTGGCGAGTTCATCTGGAAGATGAGGAGGAACTGTTGGCAGATGGCCGACCACTGTGCGTCTGAGAACTTGCTGCCATTGCTCGTGACAAGCTGGACAAGGAATGTGCCGGCCATCTTGGCCAGCAGCTCGTTGCTCTGCAGGATGCACAGCACAAACAGGTCGAGAAGGTCGTCCAGCAGGAAGCAAACGATATCGATGAAGTTGATGAACATGTCCGTGAGCGACTGGAATGCACGGTCGCCAGTCTGTATCAGCCACTTGCTGTCCTCCAGGACGACTTGGCGCGCGCCCTTTGTGTAGCCGACGTTGTCAAAGATGGGCAGGAGGACACCACGGAAGATCAGCTCCCAGAGCTTTGGCGAGAACATCGAGCCAAACAATGCCAACATCCTAAAGAGTGTGTCCAATGCATTGATTCGCAGTGTGCTGTCCTCATGCGATATGACTCTCGCCAGACCCGTCAGCAGCGGGAACCACAACGAGATATGTGACACAGAGTCTGTGAACTGTGCCATCGATTGAGATGGGGAGGGCGTGGACGAGGGAGAGTGATTTGACGGTGTCGTCGCACTGTCCTCTGGGCCACGCACGAGTTGGCACACACGTCCATTCGCCAGCTGCACGGCGCAGTAACTGAGAGAGTCGACTGCGCGGGTGCTGAGGTCGTGGTGCTTCGAGTTGGCAAAGGCCGAGAGACAGTTGACATAATCGATGAAGAAGGTCTCGGTGATGTCCTTAAAGTCGCGTATGAGTTCGTCGACAAACTCAAAGGCCTGTGCTGCAATGTGCTCCTCGGCATAGCTGCTCATCGTGAAGATGTCAAAGATGGGCTTCCAGCCCGACTTGATCGTGGCGTTCATGCCGTTGGTCACCTGGAAAATGCACTTGATGATCATCTCTCGCACATCTCGATGACTGTTCGCCTTGAATATGTCCTCGAGTGGGCGCAACAAATCCTTCTGCCACGTGTCCTTGCCATTGCTGTTGCCATGCACGCACACCTCGTCGCTGAGGAACTTCTGCACCATCTGTTTGAGCGAGTCGATGGCAATGATCGCGATGTATGGGCTGTCAGAGTGGATTGAGCCCACAGTCTTGAAGTGCTCGGCGATCGTAGGCCAGATCAGTTTGATCCTGATTGTGTTGTACACGGCCACCTCGACCAGCTTGAGCAGCAAGAAGGTGGACGCCAGCGGCGACCTTATCTCCTCCATTGACACCTCTGTGAGCGCTTCGACAAAGTATCGAATGGCTTCGAATGACAACAGGTTGCTGTTGGAGAACAAGTGATTGGCGCTATCCAACTGCGCCGACGCGGTATCAATACTCAGACCCTCGGCCAGAGCCGGAGCCTGTGGCGCACGTTGCGCGGGCCTACTCATCTGGAAGAAGTCGGCAGTGCTCATCGCGCGTTTCTGTTGATGCTGCTGTGAGTCTGGGTTCGGGCTGTTGACACCAAGGTGCACGACTCGCAGTCGCTCCACCAGTGAGATGGCCTTGAATACGGAGCTCCAAGACTTGTGAAGCTGGTTGCAGTTTGCTCGTGCGATTTGCAACAGCTTCTCGAGGCAATCCATGTTCTTCTGGCGTATCTCTTTGGTCTTGTCATTGATCACCAGACTGGAGAGCGATGCGACGAACGCCTCCTTCTCGCGTGCCATCGCCAGCAGACTGGTCATGTTGATGACGCATCGGTAGCCCTCAAGACAGACCTGTACGATTTTCACATCGTCATGGCCATCCAGCACCGCGTACAAACATGATGAGATCGGTGTGAGCACTGACGCGAGCATAGGGCCAAGATGTTCAATCAGGTTGCCGTGTTGATAATGCGTGCGTGTGTCTATGATTGGGTGGCGGGGGTCCTCCAGCGTGAAGGTACTGCGCTTGATCAGCGGCTCGTCCACGCCGGCGGCCATGCCACTCTCCTCCTTGAGCTTTAGCGGCTCCTTGGCGATGCGGTCGTAGATGGCCAGCAGGTAGTGCTCGTCAAAGTTCTTGGAGTTGTTCTGCTTCGAGTTGTTCTTGAGCCAGTCGGGCTTTGACATGTGCACCTTGATGCTCACATTGTGCAGATCGGTCGCCAACATGATGATCGAGAATGACAGTACGTAGGCGGCGTCCGAGTTGGCCACCTCAAACGATGGCGACGCGCTATTGTCGTTGTAGAACTTGGCGGCAAAGGCACTCATGATACGATCGATCTTTTGCGCCTCGCCTGGCAAACGGAAGTGCAGCAAGAAGTAGCGCAGAGCCGCGTCAATAGTGAAGCCGTTAAAGTTGAACAGCGTGGTGTAGGCTTTGAGGATGCCCTGATTGAAATCATCGCGCTCCGAGATGTAGTCGCCAATTGCCATCTTGTCCAAGTTGTCCGTGTCCAAGAGGAACTTGGCGATCATTGTCTTGTCTTCGTCGACGGCGCCACACTTGATGAACTGAGCCATGCCCTTCTTTGGCGAGTCCTTGAACAGGGTCTTTGTCTCTTCGATCTTGAGCTTGAGTGTGCGGCTCGCCATGCTTGGGCTGTCCTTTGGCAACGCGGCAAGTCGCTCAGCCAACGTGTCCTTCTTGCTGGACAGGCCCTCATCCAAAGCACGCAGCAAATGTACCAAGCAGTCCAATGCCAAGTTTCTCACCTTAATATCATTCGGTCTGTTTGTATCCTGTAGTGGTGCCTGTGCTATTCGCGCCAGACTCTCAACAGTCCTGTGTCGCAGCAGGGTAAGTACGTGCGGCCACCCTGTCCGGACACGACGTCGACTGAGTGTACATACCTTTGGAAGATGTTCTTTGAGCGTAGATTACAATCATAGTTTACAAAGAGGTCAGCCTGGATGGTGGCACTCTTGCACATGTGCGACAGCACCTGTAGCACCATCCATCGCAGCTGCGCGGCACTCGTGCCACTCTCCAATATGCGCAGGATGATCAATTGCATGTACTGTCCAATGTCATCCTTGAGGAACTCGCGAAAGTGCAACGTCAAGTACGTGAACAACGTCAACGACAGCTTAAAGATCACAATCTCGCTGTTGTCGCCAATGATGCCCGAGGCCAATATCGACGGGAACAGTCCAACCTTGATCTCATAATTGACAAACTCTGGATAGTTCTTCAAATGCTTGCCATACTCCTCCAATATACATGATATCAACTCCAATGAATATATCCTAATCTTGATCTCTGGTGAGTCATAACTTGAGTTTGAGTTTGAATGATGATGTTAGAGTGAGTTTGAGTTTGAATGAGGTTGAGCGTGGCGACCTACTCTGTGATCTCCTTGAGCGAGAGCTCGCATAGCAGCCTGAAGACGAGGCTGGCATCGCGAATGACAATGTCCTGCTCCTTGACGACGTTGTGCATGATTGTGGAGGAGGCCGGCTGGGACACAGTCGGATGAACTATCTTTTGTTGTTGCATGGCCGGCGACGACTCATCCTCTGTTGATCCAGAGGTCTCTGTTGTTGTTGAGTTGGGATTCAATGAAGGTGATGGCGATGGTGATGGTAATGGTGATGGTAATGATGTTGTTACAGCAGTGACTGGTGATGAAATTGATGGTGATGGTGATGGTGATGGTGATGGTGTAGGTGTGCCTGGTGGCGGCACCACTTGTACATGTACTTGGAGGTCTGATATGGACAATGAGTTGTCGATTGATTCAGTTGATACTGGATCGTTTGGTGGCGGACTCTTGATGAGGGTCGGTAGTTGTTGCATCTGTTGTTGTTGTTGTTGCTGCTGCTGTTGCAGCTGATGTTGAAGATGTTTGTTTGGTGCAAAGTGACTGAAGAGACGATTGAGTATCTGGGAGATGATGGCTTTGGATGAGTTGAGCTGGTTGGACTGCGTCTTGGCATTGACGTAGATGTAGAACAGCGTCTTGAACGCCATCACCAGGGTGTATGAGTGGAACTTGGCTGCGACCGTATGAACAAACGTTATGATCTGCAACGTTGTCTTCTCATCAGTGACATCGACACAATGCAACAATGTCGGTTCCACAAACTTATCAATCAGTGGCTTATGATTCTTATGATTCTCATCGATCATCGATGACACTATATATCCAAGTGCGATCAGTTTCTATATCAAGTGATTGGAATGATTGATTGATTGAGTGAGTGAGTAAGCGAGTCATCAACCTTGCGCATGGACACATGACATACCTCGACTAGTTTCAATGATGATAGGATCAGTTTGGAGTGATGTGACTCGAAGGAGACACGGAGTATGGATGCTAGATGGCTGACTATTGATAGCCATGGTGATTTGGTGACCAGGGTGTTTGGGTCAGCCTTTGAGAAGAGTGCTGGATGTTGTTTGAGTGTATCAAGTATGGCAGCACAGTCATCCTTTATAGATTGTAATTTCTTTGGACAATCTGATAGTATCTTCTCTAGACTCTTTGTAAGTATTATATCAGGTGTATCAACTACTGTTGACGTCATCGTTGGTGTTCCATTGACTCCATTTCCATTTCCATTGTTTGTTGTTATGTTGTTTGACATCATTGCTCTTCTATGATTTGATACTACTTTATCAACATATTATAGTAGAGTTGTATAACTATCTATCTATCTATATTTATATATATCTTTAAATAATGAATAATGAATGATGATTGATGTTGTTGATGTTGAAGTGAATGAGTGAGTGAATGATGGGGTGAGTGTTGAGGTGCACTTGTGGGAATGAATGAATCAACCAAAGGGTGTGAGATACACTCTGACTCAAACACACACGCAAACACTCCGACAGGCTACACGACACTTCAATCGATTCGCAACGTAGCACGACTACCTAGGTATCTAATCCAATTTAGATATATATTAATATCTGTAATAATAACAACGATGGTGTAAAAGTCGAAGTGATACTAATAATACTTTTTTTGATCACTTCGAATGGTGACCAACCAAAAAAAGGACACTGTTCAATCAACAGATAAAGGGAGTTTTAGTTAGTCTCATATATCTATGTCCGAGGCAATAACTTGAAAGTCTAAACATCTTGGGAGCATGATCCATTATGACATTGTGTCAATGAATGAACTTGAAAGGATAAAGTCAATAAATGACACTTCACCAATATTGATTGAGGCTGAGTGATCGTTCAAATGGAATACTCTATGTGATCAGTGGTGTACTATGTGCTTGCTGATGAGTGGCAAGTGAGCATTCTGATGTTGATGCGGGTACTGAGTGATTGACTGACTGAGGGGGTGAGCGAGTGTTGGTTCTGAACTCTCTCTCTTGATCGTGATTGAAACTCTGTCTTGAGACTAAATGGTTGTTCACCATCCTTGAGATTCGTCCTGTCCATGTTCAATGTCGATTAGCTGCTTCATGACATATATAGTCGAATGAACAAGTCAACGATCAAAGGAGGTGTATTACACTCCAGTGGTGATCTGATGATGATGCTCAAGTTCAATGAACATCGATGTGGCATTGTTAACGCTGCGTGAAACAATGATTCATGGACTGGTACCATCTAAAAAGCCATTGTCTGCCAATATCGTCTTTAGGTGGTGTTCAATGTATGTGCAGTTTGAGAGACTGTGATGCTGGTCCATTGCTTTGAGGATCTACGGATGATGCTCCAACAACTTCAAGGCGACTCGCGCCTACACGACGTTGGTCCTGCCTTGGCACCGTTCTGGTGACCACGCGCTGGTTCGTCATGATCGAGCGAGTCCATGCGATTGCCCTTGAGCTGATCGTTGAGGTTGTAGGTTGCAATGTAGGTCACGGTGTCGTCGATCACACAATCATCGCGCGTTCAGGATGTCGTCCTCGTAAGCACTGCCAAGCTCGGCCTCGCCCTGCTTCAGCTTGCTCAGGTTAATGTTAGAAACATTACTTGATGTGTGCTTGGAAGGCGGGCGTCGCTGAGCACAGGGATCTCCTTCCTGACCTTGCTTGGACATGTTGATCATAGAGTCCGAGAACTGTGTGGCGATGACTGGTTCCAAAAGACGGCACACTGCCGCGTAGCTGCATTAAGGAGAGAGTGCCAAAGTTCTTGGCGTATCACCCAGGGCGACACTGGACAAAGGGCAAGTCGACTGATCAATGATCCAGCACCTCAGAGCACGCATTGACCACATCTCCAGATGGCCCGACCATTTCAACATCCATGGTCACAGTTGTTGCGTATGACAGGTACATCTTGGCCACCATGACTAGAAAGCTAGATCAACAGTACCAACTCCATCGGTTAGGTGGCTACGCGTTCCATCTTCTTATGGTGCATAGTGGTGCTTCCCAGATCATCTGCTTCGTCTCAACAAAGTTAGCCACATTGCCATCGTCGTCGATGTTTCTAATTTTGAATCGCGTGCCCGCGCGGAAACGAGAGAGACGCGACACCATGATGACTTGAGGAGGTGTTCTCAGAGGTGAGCAGTCACTGTTTTGTGGATGACGTCCTCGGTGATGGGGACCACGCTGCTTGTATCTTGGTCGAGTTGGTAACTGAGATTGTCATTGATCTACTGGCTGATCCTGCGACGGCCTTTGGGAGTGATACTTGGAGAGCAATCTGGTGGACCGACTGTCCTCAGCATCATAGTACAGTTGATCTTGCCCATACTAGTTGATTGATTGGTCGGGTCATGACGACACCAAACGAGAAGACACGGACCATCACCACTCTGGGCTGGCCCAATCCATCGCATTAACTTGATCATTTGGGTGGAAGCGATTACATTACATATACAATGCAAATTGATTATATATTATAAGTACTGATGGCCGTTGAATGAATGAATGAATGAATGAATGGAGTGTTGTGTTTAGTAATAATGACCATTAAAATAAATATCTTGGGAATGTTCCCGCATTGTTTAAGTCAAAATTACACCACTTGACCAATAAAAGAAGTGAACTTCAAAGTGTGGGAGATATGAAATTTGAATTTGAAAATAGCGCCCAATCGAATCGAAATAACGGTTGAGTTCAAAATGGTGATTGGTTTGATGTGGTCCACATGTAAATGTGACACTGGTCACTGCTCATCTCATTGGCATTGCACTCACTCTCTACCACTTGTACACATACACATATATACATATACTTATGTTTATACATATACAAATACAACAATAATAAAAAACACATTGACATGTATCACTCACCACGTTGTTCTGCCTTGTTGTCTCACTACTGCTGATGAGTTACGACTGAGTTGAGTTATGATATTAATCAATGAGTGAGTACTACTACACTTCTAATAGCACCACCATCTGCTGCTTACTTACACTATCCTCTTCTTCTCTTCTCTCTTCTGCTCTGCCTTCTCATTGACCTCATGCCTTGACCCATTGTGTGGTCCTTGTCCAAGTCAGTGTTCACCACCTGTGTCTCCATCACGTCCGCTGTGCTGCCCACCTTTGTCACCATCTTGATAGACTGCCGTCGTGCTTCCACGTTGACCACAGCCATGAACCTCTGTCACCGTCGTGCTGCCACAGCACCTGGAACCTCTGTCTCCAACTTGACTGTGTCGCCGTGCTTCCACGTTGACCACAGCCATGAACCCCTGCCGCCATGCTGTTTGACCTCTGCCGCCATGCTGTCTGAGTTGACATCTGCTGCCCTGAATCCATGAACCTCTGTCTTCAACTAGACAGACGGCCGTCATGCTGCCACGTTGACCACAGACACGAAACCACGCCATTGGGACTCCGCCATGCTGACCGACGCGTGCTGTCCACAGCCCAGAACCTCTGTCTCCAACTTGACAGACGGCTAATGTGACTATGCCATGCTGACCATCACCACGCCGCCAAGTTGTCCATCTCGAGTTGTCCACAGTCCAGAACCTCTGTCTCCAACTTGACTTCCATGCTGACCACCTCCATGCTGCCAAGATGGCCACTGTCGACAACCTCTGTCTCCAACCAGACAGACAGCCGCGCTGACAAGTGCGCCGCCATCCTGCCAAGTTATCCATCTCGAGTTGTCCACAGTCCAGAACCTCTGTCTCCAACTAGACAGACTGTCACAGCCAACCGCGCCGACATGCTGCCATCATTGACTAACCGCCATCCTGCCAAGTTGACGAGTGTTTCCAACTGGAATGATCATAATCAAAGCATTAATAAACGATGAAGACAGGAGTTGTGCAAGTGTGACTTGGAAGGAGAACAACAACAATTGGAAAAGTACAACTCAATGATGTCGCCTGGGCACGGTTGCTGCCCAACGGCTTTAAAAAAAATAAAGGCAGCACTTGTGACAATGAGAAGAAACTCTCAAAGTCAACAAAGTTGCTGCCATACCTGTCTCGACGTGCCTAAAGTCTAATAGCGACAGGTGTAGTCCCCAGGCCGTGCCCACCCCTCTTACATGATGGGCCCACCCGTCCCTCTTGCATGACAGGCCGACCCATCCCTCTTGCATGATGGGCCACGGCCACCTCCTTACGGAGATGGCCAAATGGTGATGGGAGGAAATGTTAGTAGTATTCGGTCCTGGAAAGGTCCACCTCGGCTTGGCCTGGCTTGGCTCGGCGGTATGGCACTCGGTCTGGCACGGCACTGGCACGGCACTGGATGACTTGGAGGGAATAGACCTCGCAACGACAGGTCATCGTGTGAATGAATCACAACGTCTCCACTGTGTCATCTGGTTCGGGTGATGGATGTAGGACCACTGATTGGTGCGTTGGTAACTCGACTTTGATGTTGATAATATTGGTTGTTGTTGTTGTTGATGTTGGTGGTTGATTGGTTTCAATCGCCAGCCGAGAGATATTTGGGTTTTACCCATCACTCATCTGCTTGATCGACGGCAAGATATATAGATATGAATTATTATTTGAAAAGGAGAGGGACCGGAGGAGAGCAGACTGGCTCATCCACCTCATAATCTGGTGATGGTGGATATTGGTATCTGAGTTGTTGGTGGTGGCCAATGTCTGCTTGGGTGACTGGATGACTGGATGGTAATGTTGGATATAGTTGGTCTCCAGGTCTGGGTCCGAGTTCGGAAGGTTGTTGATTGATTTCATTGTCTTGGATGAAAAGGACATGGACGAGGATGGTTAGTACTTGGTTTTACAGCAGACAGGCAGACATCACTCAATCAATGAATCAATGATGTAAACATACGATTTGGTCCCATTTGATTTGGGGTGTATACTGGTTGCCTTCTGGGGTAGACAGGCAACGATCGTAATATCCTGAGACAGATACAGTGGATGAGTTGGACATTACTATTCTCCTGGTTGAGAGGAGCGTATGGGACAGTATTCGCAATGACAAATGCGACATCAAGAGGAACCCTGCGTGAGAACCTGACTCCATCTTGATCCTTTCCAAATAAAATCTTTGGTCGCCTGTTGTCGAACAGTGGTCTGATTGGTTTGACATATGGGAGTATGAGAAGTGTCGCGCCAATGTCAATGAAGACCTTGAACTTCCTGATGATCGTGCCTTTTTTGGTGGCCAGAAGCAAGGTCTTGGGAACTGTAGGGTCAAACAACAGTCTAAGGGGCTTGGCTGGTGGAAAGAGTGATTGAATATAATTAAATTGCATTGTAATAATAATAATAAAGTCGAGTTGAAGAAGGCGTAGTAGTGTTGGAAAACACTGTTTAAAGTGATATTATAGGTGTGTAGATAATAGTTTGGCAATAGCCGAAGTAGAGAGTCTATAAATAATAATAATATGATTGATTGATATTGATTGATTGATTGATGAATAATATCGTTGGTGAGTGAGAGAATCAATGTTAGTATATGAATTAGAATGATGATAGAATTATAATAACATTGTAATAATGTTATATAAGTGTACATACATGTAATAGTGTGATATGGTAATGAGTGATGTCAATGCCCACTTGTCCAAGGACATTCACCGCAATGAGAGAGTCTGTGTGAGTGGGTGGATAGAGAAACACACACACTCACACACACTTATAAACACACATTTTGAATTAAATATTTAAATATATTTAATTAACAGATTGACCATTTAACGGTCCATTTGAATTTGTATCACTCAATACCATCTCAGTGTCATCATCAATGAAGTTCACGTGATGAGTCTTGATTGAGGCTGAGTGATCGTTCAAATGGAATACTCTATGTGATTAGTGGTGTACTATGTGCTTGCTGGTGAGTGGCAAGTGAGCATTGTGATGTTGATGCGGGTACTGAGTGATTGACTGACTGGGTGAGCGAGTGTTGGTTCTGAACTCTCTCTCTTGATCGTGATTGAAACTCTGTCTTGAGACTAAATGGTTGTTCACCATCCTTGAGATTCGTCCTGTCCATGTTCAATGTCGATTAGCTGCTTCATGACATATATAGTCGAATGAACAAGTCAACGATCAAAGGAGGTGTATTACACTCCAGTGGTGATCTGATGATGATGCTCAAGTTCAATGCCACATCGATGTTCATTGAATCATTCGACAGTTGTACATATTGGACAGTCTGTTCTAATGTTGTTAACGCTGTGTGAAACAATGATTGTACCATCTAAAAAGCCATTGTCTGCCAATATCGTCTTTAGGTGGTGTTCAATGTATGTGCAGTTTGAGAGACTGTGATGCTGATCCATTGCCTTGAGGATCCACTGATGATGCGCCAACAACTTCAAGGCGACTCGCACCTGACGCACGACGTTGGTCCTGTCTAGACAATCCTTGCAGTTGGTGCGCACCGTGCCGTTCTGGGACTGGTGACCACGCGCTGGTTCGTCATGATCGAGCGAGTCCATGCAATTGCCCTTGAGCTGCTCGTTGAGGTCGTAGGCAATGTAGGTCTCGGTGTCGGCGTTCAGGATGTCGTCGTACGCACTGACAAGGTCGGCCTCGCCTGCTTCAGCTTGCTCAGGTTAATGTTTCCATACTTTAGCAGCATCTCCTTGATGTATGCTTGGAGGGCGGACGTCCTGAGCACAGAGATCTCCTTCCTGACCTTGCCAATCTTGGACATGTTGATCATAGAGTACGAGAGCTGTGGCGATGACCAGTTCCAAAAGACGGCACACTGCCGCGTAGCTGCAAGAAGGAGAGCGTGCCAAAGTTCTTGTCACATCACCCAGGGCGACATTGGACAATGTGGTACGACGGACAAGTTGTTCTATCTGGCTGTTAGGAACCTTCATAGTATACAGTATGTTAACATGACCTATACTACACTGGCATCTCACTAACAATAATACTAGACGACATACGAGTGTTCCAAAGCTGATAGAGATGCTTCCAGAACTAAAGTCACACACTGAACTGGTGGAACAGACATTGAACTTGCGTGCTCTGAGGTGCTGTATCATTGACATCTCCAGATGGCTCGACCATTTCAACATCCTGATGGTCACAGTTGCGTATGACAAGTACATCTTGGCCACCATGACTATAAAGCTTCAAGTACTTTGCTAGATCAACAGTACCAACTCCATCGGTTAGGTGGCTAACGCGTTCCATCTTCTTATGGTGCATAGTGGTGCTTCACAGATCATCTGCTTCGTCTCAACAAAGTTAGCCACATTGCCATCGTCGTCGATGTTTCTATTTTTGAAGCGCGTGCCCGCGCGGAAAGGAGAGCGACGCGACACCATGATGACTGACTTGAGGATGTGAAGGGGAGCAGGCACTGTTTTTGACCGTGGAAGACGTCCTCGGTGATGGGGACCACGCTACTTGTATCTTGGTCGAGTTGGTAACTGAGATTGTCATTGATCTACTGGCTGATCCTGCGACGGCCTTTGAGAGTGATACTTGGAGAACCATCTGGTGGACCGACTGTCCTCAGCATCATAGTACAGTTGATCTTGCCCATACTAGTTGATTGATTGGTCGGGTCATGACGACACCAAACGAGAAGACACGGACCATCACCACTCTGGGCTGGCCCAATCCATCGCATTAACTTGATCATTTGGGTGGAAGCGATTACATTACATATACAATGCAAATTGATTATATATTATAAGTACTGATGGCTGTTGAATGAATGAATAAATGAATGAATGAATGAATGGAGTGTTGTGTTAGTAATAATGATCATTAAAATAAATATCTTGGGAATGTTCCCGCACTATTTAAGGTTTAAGTCAAAATTACACCACTTGACCAATAAAAGAAGTGAACTTCAAAGTGTGGGAGATATGAAATTTGAATTTGAAAATAGCGCCCAATCGAATCGAAATAACGGTTGAGTTCAAAATGGTGGTTGGTTAGATGTGGTCCACATGTCACTGTGACACTTGGGTCACTACTCTTCTCATTGGCATACCACTCACTCTCTCCTACTTGTACACATACACATATATACATATACTTATGTTTATACATATACAAATACATCAATAATAAACAACACATTGACATGTATCACTCACCACTTTGTTCTGCCTTGTTTGTCTCACTACTGCTGATGAGTTACCACTGAGTTTGAGTTATGATATCAATCAATGAGTGAGTACTAATACACTTCTAATTGCATCACCATCTGCTGCTTACTTACACTATCCTGCCTTTTCCTTGACCTTGTGCCTTGAAGTCAGTGTTCACCACCTCTGTCTTGACAGACTGCCGTCGTGCTTCCACGTCGACCAAAGCATGGAATCTTTGTCACCATCTTGACAGACGTCCGCCATGCTGCCACAGCCATGTTGCCCTCTGTCTCCAGCTAGTCTGATGGCCCCATTGTGACTCCGCCATGCTGACCACCGTCATGCTTCCAAGTTGTCCATGCCCACAGCCCAGAACCTCTGTCTCCAACTAGACCGAGGTCGCCACTGCCTTGAGTGACCACAGCCCTGAACCTCTGTCCCTCAATCAATGAGTGAGTACTACAAGACTAATGATTCGCACCATCTGCTCACTTATACTCTGCTTACTTACACCTTTCCTACTTCTCTCCTCTTCTCTCTACCTTCTCCTTTACCTTGTGCCTTGAAGCCAGCTGTGTGGTACCTGTCCAAGTCTGAGTCCAGTCCACCTTACCGAACCTCACCAGCTAGACAGACAGCCCCATTGTGACTCTGCCATGCCGACCACTGTCCAGAACCTCTGTCTCCAACTAGACAGACGGGCCAACATTGTGACTCCGCCATGATGCCTTGAACCTATGTCTCCAACTAGACAGACGGCCGCCGTGTTGCTAGCCAAGTTGACTACAGCCATGAACCTCTGTCCCCAGACGTGCGCCGTGTTGCCAGCCACTTTGATCACAGCCAGAACCTCAGACGGCCATCATGGTGCCTTCGCCATGCTCCTGTCAGGTTGTCCATGCAAAGCTGTCCACAGCCGAACCTCTGTCTCCAACTTGACTGTCGCCATGCTTCCACGTTGACCACAGCCCAGAACCTCTGACTCCACTTTGACATACAGCCACGCTGACCACCGCCAAGTTGAACGCCACTGCCTTGATGCCAAGATGGCCACTGCCCAGAACCTCTGTCTCCAGCTTGACTGACGGGCCCATTGTGACTCGGCCATGCTGACCACCGCCATGCTGCCATGTTGACCACAGCCAGAACTTCTGTCTCCAACTTCTGACTGCCGGCGTGCTGCCACCTCCATCTCCATCTGTACAGTGTCCGCCATGTTGCCAAGTTGCCCAGAACCTCTGTCTCCAGCTAGACTGATTTCAATGCTGCCCCCGAGTCCATGAACCTCTGTTGTCCATCTAGACAGACGGTCGCGGTGTTGCCACCACGATGACCACAGTCCAGAACCTCTGTCTCCCACTACACAGAGGTCGCAATGCTGCCTTGAGTGGCCTCAGACCTGATTCTCTTCTCTATCTGGACTGTAGCCATGCTGCCAAGGTGTCCATAATCATGAACACCGCCATGTTACCAAGTTGTCCAATAGTTGGCCACAGCCCAGAACCTCTGACTCCATGCTTCCAGTTGACCATAGTCCATGACCTCTGTCTCCAACTTGACTAACTGCCACGTTGACCACCGCCCGCCTTGTTGACCATATCCATGCCCAGATGGCTACCGTCGACAACCTCTGACTCCAACCAGACGGACAGCCACGCTGACAAGTGCGCCGCCATCCTGCCAAGTTATCCATCTCGAGTTGTCCACAGTCCAGAACCTCTGTCTCCAACTAGACAGACTGTCACAGCCAACCGCGCCGACATGCTGCCATCATTGACTAACCGCCATCCTGCCAAGTTGACGAGTGTTTCCAACTGGAATGATCATAATCAAAGCATTAATAAACGATGAAGACAGGAGTTGTGCAAGTGTGACTTGGAAGGAGAACAACAACAATTGGAAAAGTACAACTCAATGATGTCGCCTGGGCACGGTTGCTGCCCAACGGCTTTAAAAAAAATAAAGGCAGCACTTGTGACAATGAGAAGAAACTCTCAAAGTCAACAAAGTTGCTGCCATACCTGTCTCGACGTGCCTAAAGTCTAATAGCGACAGGTGTAGTCCCCAGGCCGTGCCCACCCCTCTTACATGATGGGCCCACCCGTCCCTCTTGCATGACAGGCCGACCCATCCCTCTTGCATGATGGGCCACGGCCACCTCCTTACGGAGATGGCCAAATGGTGATGGGAGGAAATGTTAGTAGTATTCGGTCCTGGAAAGGTCCACCTCGGCTTGGCCTGGCTTGGCTCGGCGGTATGGCACTCGGTCTGGCACGGCACTGGCACGGCACTGGATGACTTGGAGGGAATAGACCTCGCAACGACAGGTCATCGTGTGAATGAATCACAACGTCTCCACTGTGTCATCTGGGTTCGGGTGATGGATGTAGGACCACTGATTGGTGCGTTGGAAATCGAATTTGTTGTTGTTGTTGTTCGTTGTTGTTGTTGATGTTGGTGGTTGATTGGTTTCAATCGCCAGCCGAGAGATATTTGGGTTATACCCATCACTCATCTGCTTGATCGAAGGCAATATAAATAGAGGTGAATTACTGTTTGTTGAAAAGGTGAGGGACCGGAGGAGAGAATACAGGCTCATCCACCTCATAATCTGGTGATGGTGGATATTGGTATCTGATTCCTAGGTGGTGTTGGCCTGGGTCTGCTTGGACGGCTGGATGATTGAATGGTTTAGGTGGTTGTGGCATCATCACTTGGTCTCCAGGTATTGGTCCGAGGTCATGTGGCTGTTGTTGGATGCCAATGTCTTTGAGTGACATGGATGAGAAGCATCAAAGGTGATGATTGAATGGATGGTTAGTATTATTTTTTGACAGTAGCATGCAAGTTCATTTGATATATACTTACCATTTGGAATTGGTTCCTGTTGACCATTGGGATGATCTGGCAACTGGTTGTTCTCTGGTAAGTTTGTCCTCCCAATGAATAGAGTTTGATGGATCTCATTGTGTGGTGTATATGTTATCCTAATTGGATCATGGACTCCATCAGTGCGCACAAGAAGTGTATAAATCACCTTTTTAGAAGATTCCTCGCCCAATAACAATGTCCTTGGTCGACTATCGAATAAACTTAGAATAGGGTACATTTTGATGACTGCTGTTTTTTTGTCAAAGTCTATCCTTATTAGGGTGATGACCCTGTGATTTAAGTCGGCCAGCAACAAGTTCTTGGGTATGTGCCTCATGAACAAAGGTCGAATGAGTTTGGCTGGATTGTATATATATTGATTATTATTATTATTATTATTATTATTATTCATTATTGATAGATTGATTGGTAGCGTTGGAAAACACTGTTGAGAAAGATATTCTTGTATAGCAGATAATGGTTTGGCAATAGCCGAAGTAAAGAGTCTATGATATTGATGATATTGATAAATTGATATTGATTGATTGATTGATGAATCGTTGGTGAGTAGAGAGAGAATAAATGTTAGTATTATGAATTAGAATGATTATAGAATTATAATAACATAGTAATAATGTTATATATGTGTACATACATGTAATAGTGTGATATGGTAATGAGTGATGTCAATGCCCACTTGTCCAAGGACATTCACCGCAATGAGAGAGTGTCTGTGAGTGGGTGAGTAGAGGCCCACACACACACACTCACACTCACACACTCACACACACTTATAAACACACATTTTGAATTAAATATTTAAATATATTTAATTAACAGATTGACCATTTAACGGTCCATTTGAATTTGTATCACTCAATAGCATCTCAGTGTCATCTTCAATGAAGTTCACGTTGATGTGCCTTGATTGAGGCATGATCGTTCCAACTGGATAGTCTGATGAACGTTCATCAATCCCAACTGGCGATAGAGAACTAATGTGCTCGACCTTGATGTGACCGACCTGCTTGATTGACTGACTGACTGACTGAATAGCCATTCCAGCTCCCACACCCTATTAGACAGGTTTGATCCAATGTTGTTAACGCGCTGCGTGAAACAATGTTGATGGACTAGTACCTGCTCGCAAGATTGTCTCTCTCACTGGCGCCATGTTGACTAAATGTGTTTGCCTTTGTGATGCGATACATGGTGCCTTTCCCAATTGATGTCTAGCCATTGTCCTCACTGATTTTGGTGGACCTCCTTTCCGTCACCAATGTTGTATAATCATACAAAATGTTGCACAGTCCTAAAGCGCTGAGGATTCATTGATGGTGAAGCGACTCTCGAGAGTCGCCTAACGTTCTATGAGAGTGACCATAATCAAAAGAAGATTGGCCACCCATTACCACGTTTGGATGTTGCTGTGTTCTTTGGGGAGCTCTTGCCCTTCAACTCAATTTGGTAAGTCTGCCACGCGCCAGGTTAGTCATCAATCAAACTCAATCAATCAATTGGATGAGTGAATGTTTAATGTATACATACTCTTCGTTTCTCTCGACAGTTCTTTGTTTGGTCCTGTCGTCGTTGGATCTTAAATGGTGAAGTCAACACACTTGTGAAGTTTTGATTGACTGGTTGGTGATGAGGCACATTCACACACAAACTCAAAGGGTTGATCTATCTTCAAACAATCTTATTATCTAAACATACATAAATAACATCCATACATATACATATACATATATATAACAAGCAATGGTACTGCAAGAGAATGATACCTTCCTCACAGCACTGAACAATATGTTTAAGGCAAGGAATTCAAAGGGTTCAGTTTGGATCACTATAAAGAGATGTATGATTGATTGATTGAATAAATGAATGAATGAATGAATGAAAGGGAAGGACAGATGATTTACACTGCAACTCTACTTAGATACACCAGAGGATAAGAAGGGAGAAGCCCCAACAGCAGCAGAGGAGAAGGAACACATGTGTTTAGTGCGTGCGACAGATGGACAAAAGAAGAAGATATCAACTCTAGTATGTAATCAAATTCGATTGATTGAGATGTTTGATCGATCATTGGTATTAATCAACATACAACACAACAACTACAACTATAACAATCAATAACAGGTTGAAGCAAAGGATATAACATCATTCCAACAGAGCATTAGGAATGTACTACTGATCAATGTTGACAATCTAAAGAAAGAACAGAAAGAGAAGAAGAAGCCTGCTGCTGTTGTAAAGCGAGCGAACAAGGTGTAAATACATGTACGACTGACTTGATCGTGCGATCATCATTATTATATTATATATACATTAGATTATCAAAGTCTACTTTATTACTCTCGACTCGACATGATATATACTCTTGTCTGCCTGGACTATAGTACATTCAATTGATGATGAATGATTCATTCATTCAATATGACTGGCTTTGAAGTACTCCCATCACATGATGAATGATTCATTTGAGGTCAACTTGACTTGTTATTATCTTGTTTCCAAATGGACTAAGACTAATGTTTATCTTGCTCAATCAAGATTATTATCTCTTGTACTGTCCTCACGTTGTTCGCGAACAATGAAGGTGCGATAGTACTTTGTGAGACGAGCGAGACCCATAAAATAAATGTGCTTGGGCGTTGAACTAGGTTGACCATTCTGAAATGCAACAATTTGTTAATTCATGTCACGTCTCTTAAAGAGTCACCTTTCAATCGTGAAAAGATAATTGAAATGTGCTCGAGACGCGATAGAGCCTCAGAAGTAAAACTGTCCAATTTGAAAGGTGTAAATTACACAAGCATGATTCGCGGCTAGTAGTACTTCTTACATTAAACACAAATAATCATTTAAACAAATATAAAGATAAACAATCAAACTACTAACCTTGTATTCTCTCTCGCTCACTCTTCGCACATCATGAGAAGTGAACATCTCTCTGTTTTTCATTTTTCCCTCATCATGTATAAATATCTATTTTTGAACTTGATTGGAGTTCAAGTCAGATGAATGATTGATTGATTGAATGAGTGATACATATACATAGAGATAGAGATAGAGATAGATATTGAAAGAGATATGTCACAGACAAGACATCTTGTACATATAAAGGGTGTAAATGATGTAGAGAATCTAAGTGATCATACATTTCAAACAACAGGTATACATGATATTGGTAGAGGAGAGACCTTGAACATCTCCGAGAAGAAGTGTTCAAGAAAGCAACTATTACTAAAGTTGGATGATAATTCAAACTATTACTTAATAGCTGTATGTTGTCTTACATTCAATCATACTCATTCAATCAATCAATCATACTAATGCAATCAATGTTCATTCTAGAATGGAGTCAATCCATCATATATACGCAAGCATGATAAGGATTACTTTATGCAGATGACCAAGGGAGAGGAGTATAGACTTGATGATCAAGATCACTTCTCTTTACTCTATGAACACTTGACATACTTGGTCAACATTGTACCAAATCCATCTTATGTATCAACATCATCAGGAGCAACGTCTTCATCATCATCGACATCAACATCTATATCAATGAAACGAAAGATGGTTGATGATGTGGATAATAATGGAGCAGATAATGGTAGTGATGATAGGATAGTTGACAAGAAGATAAAGGTACAGACTCATGTTGCTGACCAGATTGATCAACCACAACTGCCAGTATGTCCCTTTGGAACTGGTTGTTATCGAAAGGTATGTCGTTAATGTCCCGTGGTCGTGTGGCTTTGTTCTAACTTTCATCCATCCAGAACCCAGATCACTTCAAACAGCACAGTCATCCATGGAATGACAAACCCAAGCCATCATCAACTACATCATCATCCGCATCCACGTCCATATCTACTTCTACATCTACATCAGCATCTACATCAACATCCACAGCAAACAAACCGTCATCACCATCGATAGCTTCAACCAAGCCAACTCCATCACCTACAGCATCGCCTGTAAAGCCAAACAAACATGTGCCACAAGCAAATACAAAGTTGCAGAGTGATCAATTCGATGATCTGATCTTATCAGACTCGAACGTTGCCAAGCCAACCAAGGCTCCTCCCGTCGCCAGCACTGTAACAATCAAACCATCATCAATCTTGAAACCTCTGCCGGCCAATGCACCGGCCAAACAACCATCAAACAACAACGCCACAGCCACAGCCACAGCCGCCCCATCCTCCACCTCAGCTCCATCATCAACATCATCTCAAACATCATCAATATCAACTGCCAGATACAAGAAGAAGAAGATCAATCCTTCCAAGCCAAGGACAATGACATTCCCATTCATATCCACGTTTACATGCAGCTTTGATCCAGTCAAGGCAGCGGACATTGCCGCCAAGGAGATCCATGCCTACCTATCCTTCCACAAAGGAGAGGACGACATCAAGCTCACCATGGTGGTCGACAAGTCCATTTGCACTGATCAATTGATTGATCAATTCAAGAAGGTAAGCTTCGTCACTCAAGTACTGGAATCATTCCACACTCACTCACTCAATCACTCAATCATTGGAATAGGTCACTGGATCAGACTGGGAATCTGGAAGATTCACTGTTGTTGAGCATGACGTTGTGTCGGACGAACAGTACTTTAACAACAGCAGTCGGTATATTGCAACAGAGACGACATGGAGATTGAAGAGGACACCTCAGAATAAGTCTTTGTACGAGTTGCTTGGACCATCATTTGAGAAGGATACAAAGGCACGACATCCAAGTACTGGCAAGGTGCCCAATGTCTATGCCGTGCCCATCACCGACAATGACTGTCTGATGAAGCGAGAGTATGGCGTGGCGGCAGTCTTCCTTACGATTGGACCCAACATGAATGAGCAGAAGCCAGACTGTCTAAAAGACTACGATCAAGCCTCCTCACTACTTCGACAAACATATCAAGAGCTATTCAGTGCACTTGACAACTTTGAATAAACCTTGTATTCATTCATTCATTGAAGTTGGTGGAATGCGTTGGACGCCAAACTTGGACACTAAGCACGAATGAAAAGTTAATTTATGGGATGAAATGATAAATTGATCTGATCTCGCTCATTTCAATCAATCATTCAAGTTAATGTACTTGTACATGTATATATATAAATAATGTCTGAACAACCAAAGGATGATCATAAGGTTGTAAAGAAAGAGAAGGATAAGGAGAAGACGAAAGAGAAGAAGACAAAGACACCAAAGGAACCAAAGGAGAAGACAGCTAAGGAGCCAAAGGAACCAAAGACACCAAAAGAGAAGACACCAAAGGAACCTAAGGAACCAAAGGAACCAAAGACACCAAAGGAGAAGACACCAAAGGAGCCAAAGACACCAAAGGAGAAGACACCTAAAGAGCCAAAGACACCAAAGGAGCCAAAGACTCCAAAGGAGAAGACACCCAAGGCGCCCAAAGAGCCAAAGGCAAAGAAGGAGCCAAAGGCAAAGACTCCAAAGGAGCCAAAGGAGAAGGGCTCGGAGGAGAAGCCCAAGAGAGAGACAAAACGCAAGAAGGATAAGGGTGAAGCAGCAGACGATGACAAGGATGGTTCGGTCAAGACTGTTGCACCACCCTCGCTGGTCCTCCCGCCGGGCGGGGTCGCCAAGCAAGCACAGACGCCTGCAGCTACTCAAGAACAGACACCAGCCGCTTCAAAGGGTAGAGATAACAAGAAGAGGATTGGCTCACCGCCCAGCGCTGCATCACAGAGTGCTACCAAGAAGAAGAAGCGAGATGTCGAGGACGAGGACTATGACGAGGAGGAGGGCGCAGACAAGAGCGCAGTTGTAGATGATGAGGATGAAGAGGAGGAGGACGAGGAGGAAGAGAGCGAAGAGGAGGAGGACGAGGAAGAGGACGAGGATGAAGAGGATGAGGAAGAGGAGGACGAAGAGGAAGAAGAAGATGAAGAAAATGAAGAGGAGATTGAAGAGGCCGACGAAGGCGAAGAGGCAGATGAAGATGCAGAGGATGACGAGACGACAGTGGCACTGACCAACGAATCGGATGCAGTGTCGCGTGAGGATACAGCACTACTCGAGGAGATCTTTGAGCGATTCACTCAAGAACAAGCCACTCGCTATGAGTTCTATCGTCGATCAAGTCTCAACCGAGCCAACGTCAAGAAGGTGATGCAGAGTGTCATCACAACGCCAGTCAATCAGACATCAGCCATCATCATGGCCGGTATCACCAAAGTGTTTGTTGGAGAGATAGTAGAGTTTGGTATGTTATACAGAGTCTTGTGGATACGTGCTGTTCATGTTCATGTTACTAACGGGCCTGTCTGTGTATACTCTTAGCACGATACATCATGGAGGAATGGCGCGAGCCACCTGGACCTCTACGACCAAGACACATCAGGGAGGCTTACAGACGTTTAAAGGAAGCAAACAAGGTGCCGTACTTCAAGCGATTGAATCCAAAGTTAAATTGATTGATTGAACGATCAATCAATCAGGTGATGAATCATCATCAGAAGGCGTCTCATTTCACGCCTGCAAGTCAACTTCACCTGCTCTATGGACAATGGACAACAACATAATGGACACAAGCAAGCGAAGCGATGAACTGTTGGACATTCCAACAGCTGACTATCTATCTCTCATACGCATGTTACCCAAGAGAATCAATCCAATTGGCATCATCTGGAGATCGCCAAGAGCAACATACCCTCGCTCAAACAAACTAAAGTTTGTAGTTGTTCTCGTTACTGATATCAGGTTCGACACAACTGTTGTAACAATCATCCATCAACTCTTATTACATTTGTTTGATTGTTAGTTTGTTGTAATACAAGTATATGCATTGTTGTTGCATGCAAGGATCATCGATTCCCCAAGTTTGAACATCATCTTCAACTTCACACACATTGAAATTGATCGCTCTCACAACTCAAACACTCAATCATCATTGTGTGTTCATCATCATTATCCTTTATTATTATTATTATTCATTAGTATATATATAGATACATATTCATTAAGATATACATACATACATTGTTGATTGACCAAACATTTAGTTAGTTAGCCAGCAACAAATAAGACATCTTTAAAAATAGATAGAATATTAGAAGATCTGCAACGATTGAAAGAAGACATCATGGAGTCATTATTCTCACTCAATCCAGGACCTTATCAATCAATAGATGCTCATGCTTCAAGTATGTCAATCGCCAATCACTTGTGTTCATTCATTCATTCACTAACTCACTCAATCAATCAATCAATCAATCACTCAAACATAAGCATTGTTGGACTTTAACGAAGATCTGAAGGAAGGAGTTAATGTGTCGATTTCTCAACCATTTGTCTCAAAGACTACAGGATTCGAGTTGGAGTTGGCACCGTCGCCACTATACATGCGCGCTTCGGGTATTGTTAGAATGAGTGGTGGCAACTTGACAGTGCGAGTTGATAATAAGGAGGATGTCGTGGCAGAGTTTAGAAACAGACTGGGCAGAGACCTGATGGCAACGATGGTGGCCAGTGCCAAGCTGCAGTCGCTCAAGACACCAGACATCACCGGCAATCTGCTGTACAAGGGCAACACCTTTGTGTCAGAGATGCGCGCCAGCAACAAGAGCGAGGGATTGGTTGGCGTATCACATCTGCACGCGATCAACAAGAGCTTCGCCGTCGGCTTTGACACCTTCTTCAAGCCCACCTCCAATCTGACGGGCGGCTCTGCCGCGCTGCGCTACCAAGGCACATTTGGCCGCGCTCCCTTCCAGACAAAGCTATCGGTCGACCATCAACAAATGATCTCGCTGTCGGGCTTCACCGCATTGAACAACGCCAGCTTCGCCGCGCGTGTCTGTCTCGACACCCAGAAGCAGGAGCACTGCGCCGTCTTTGGCTCAAGCCTCTGGTTCTCGCTCAAGGTCGGCGGTCACATTGTGCCCATCACCATCACCGGCCGTACCAGCACCACCCTTGAGCATGCCGTTCTCGTCCACATCCCAACTCCCCAAGTAGCCATCTTGATCAACACCTCCATCAAGCAGAACAAGCCAACATTTGGACTCTCCCTGGTCCTCTAATTTGGTCCGCCGTCATCCCTGCTACCCTTCAAAGTCAGTCAGATCGATTGATTGATTGACCATCTTGTCTTGCCTTTTCTTGTCTTGTCAATTGACTAGACTTGGCTTGACTTGACCCGTCCTGGCTATGCTCCAGCCCTCCCCAAGTCGTTACGCCCCAGGACCTTTGCACATAATTACATCATCATCATCATCATCACAAACTAAAGTCCTTCCCTTTGCTCATAATGTATCTATCTATCTACATCTCATCTCAACTCATATCCCTCATTCATAATACTAACTGGCGGCCTCATCAAGAACTCACGCACGAGTTTGCAAAAAAAAGGGGTCGCAAGTATGGACCTTTTGCAAATAGCAAATTGGACCTCAAGATTCAAAATCCATCACATGTACCCAATCACAATCAATCAACATATATTCTTAGATATATATATTTATATATTATATATTTTATATTTATATATATATTTAAATGATGACTTTAAGAACACCAATATTTCTTTTATACCTGCTCTGCCTGATGGCCCTCAACCATCATGGATGGGCATCAACAACAACAAAGACAATTACCCAATCACAATCACCATCATTTTTCAATCCATCACTCCAAAGATGGGACAATGCTTTCATGCAAGTTTTGGAACAAATGGCTTTAACTTTACAAGTTGGAGGACAGACACAGATACCATTATATTACTATAATAATGGTAATCCATGTATGCTTGAAGTTGCAATGTTCGATAGACCATCAATCGACACGATCAAATCGATGTCATACGTGATCAAGTCCAACAATGGCCAAGTTCTGTACAAATACGACTTCTGGCAGAACTGCTTCATTGACAATAACAGCACATGTGCCTACACATTGCCATTGACTCGTTGTCCATTGTCAACTGCACCCAAGTATGTGTGATCACTCCATTCCATTCCATTACATCCCATAAACTAACATTATACCAATCAATCAAATAGTACGATTGACACAACAATGATAGATTCGGCCGTTGCCAAGTATGTAAACTGGATGAAGACATCCCGTAACATCTACTATTATAAAGATACATTGCTTAGAGAGAGTGATGTGTTGAGAGGCTACACAGACACATATGCTACCAACACTCTCCAGGATGCCTGGTCCCAAATAGTCAATGGAATGACCTCCTTGTTGTCCAATACTATCCCTATCCTACAACCTTATGGATACGCGTTGGATAACCTTCAGACACTGCTCAATGCCGTGCCAGCCAGTGCTCTGCCAACTGATATCCAGCAACAGATATTCAGTCAAGCCAGCTCCACCGTCAAGTCCGTGGCCTCGTTATCTGGCAACCTTCTCACCCTCTGGAGCAAGATCAAGCCTGGCTCAATGTCCAACATTGACACCTCTGTCAAGCCAGACATCAGTTCTTTGTTGGACTCATTCAATGCCAACCAGAACACTCAGTTCGCCACCTTGATGTTGCTTCTCAACAATGCCAACTACACCCCCGCCAACACTGTCTACCTTCTTCCACTGCTACAAAGGTATGTGATCACGATAAGTGTGACAGTCCATCCATCCATTCATTCATTAACTAGCCAACCTTAATGATCATTATTATTAGCATGCTGGAAATGTACAACTCATACTCTGTATCAACAATGATATTTAATATGATCGGACTCGAGATGATCAATCTAATCGACTTCTCGCAGAACGCCCTTACGACCAACTACCAGGTTGGGTTACAAGGACTCTTGACCAAGGTATGTCAACCTCAATCAATCACTCAATCACTCAATCACTCACTCGCTCAATCAATCTAGATCAATGGCGACTGGACATCAATCAGCTCCAACATCAAGCAGAAACACTCGTTTGATGTGCAAGCGATGCTGGGTCTGCCATCGGCCAAGCAAGACCCGTACTTTGGACATTATCTTTATTCCCAGAGGATATCTGATTCAATGTCTAAGATCAACCTCAACCAACCTGTACAACAATCACTCAATCATCCAGACTATGGATTCCTCAGATATATAGACAATCTCAAGTCCAAGACCCTGCACGACTTCACATGGCCTCGCGGCGTCACAGGAGTACCATCGTCTGATGGCAGCAACATCTACCCTACACTCGACCCCGCCGCCAGCTTCAAGGGTTCCACCAGTCTGGTCCAAATCGTTGATTCGAACGACTCACTTTCGCTAGGGGTTGCGCGAATGATGGACCTTGCCCCCAACACGACGATACTCTATGCTCCAGGGGCTCACCTGTTTACCCTCTTTGCCGGCAAAGATAGGCAAGCGGTGAGTGCCGCATCTACGAATTGCAGCCAGCCCTGTGCGTTCCCTCAGGGCTGCAACTACGACCCTAATGGCGCGTTCGATCCGGTGTGCATGAACTGCCCACCCAACAAGTACCTCGTATCGGGCACATGCGGACTGTGTCAAAACGCCCCGCCATACTCCACCTACAGGGCCAATGAGTACTCGGACAATTACTGTCCATTCACCTGTAAGGCCGGGTTTGGCCGTGACGGTATCTCCTACGCAGGAGTCAACTGTGTGACGTGCAACATCGGCTATTTCAGTAATGGCATAATCGATGGCTGTTTCCCCTGCACCTTCCCCTCGAGATGCCGTACCGCTGGTAACGGCCCCGACTCTGGCTGCGATTTCCTCAACAGCGCCGAGTCGGACAGCTGTCTCGTGGGAACAATGTACAACCTTATTCTCGTGGATAGCACTACATTGAATCCGCTGCTATCCCTGCCGACGGTCTACCTCAACACGCAGCGCACAATCCAGATGTGGCAAACGCTTACCAACCTCCCAACCAAATCAGTCTTTTACTCACTGTTTGGCGTACATAACTCCTTCAAGGTCGGCTTAATGTATGACGCCCAATCAGAGACCTTCAGGCCCGTGATCATGGGTCCTGATTTCAAGGGCACGCCCTTGTATGACTCAGAGTCATACCAAAAGATCGTGCCTGGAGTACCCTTCCATTTGGCCATAGTTGTCACTTCCACGATGTTGACCTTCTATCGCGATGCGGTCCCACTCAAGGTGTTGCCATACTCCAACTCACTGCTGCCCAACGCCTGGACGACCAATGCCACGTACCTTCACTTGGGTGGCCCAGTAGGACACCGACTAAACATCACCCAAACCGAGGTCAAGATCATAAACTCCGCTCTCACTTCGGTCGAGCTGGGGTGGTCGCTGACCGACCGCAACATCAGGTACGCCAGCAACCCCGCTGCAAAGGAGACGATTTGTGGCGGCCAAGCCGTGCGTTGCAACACAGATGTCGGCTTCGTGTTCTCCAACTCAACTTGCAGTTGCCAATGTCCGCTTGGCTCGGAGAGGGTAGGCGACCGTTGCCTTGAGCGTTGCCCGGCTGGTGCGATCAGACAACCTGACCTGACATGTGGCTGCGCCAATGGTGACACTTTGGCATTTTCAGGTGACACAGTGACCGTCTCAGTCCTGAATGTCTATCCCGATAACTCTGCAAAGTCAGGCGGAATCAAGGGCTTGACGATAACAGCAAGTAATGGACAACCAATCTTGCCAACCTCCTGCGTGGCCAGTAGCTTCGATCGCAACGACTGCACCGCTTTGTATGACGGCGACAACAGCACATACTGGGTCTCGGCACCGAATACAGGCGGTGGCACAGTCACATTCACGCTGCCGCCCAATGTCAGCATCTCCCAGATCACCGTCATACCACTGAACACATCTCAGACGGCGCGCGACGTACAGATACTCATCGGACAGCAGGTTGTCGACTCATACACGATCAAGGAGTACGGACAAACCCCTTACTACACCACCAGAGCACTTGCCACAGCACCGCGAGGTGGCTCGCCAGATCAGTACCTTCGCTGCACCCCTTGCCTAACGAACTCCACGATTAAGGACAACCCGACCTCACCAGACTACAATTACGCACCTACGTCAACCAATGGTGTGTGTGGCTGTAATGACAACAACAAGTACCTGGATGGACAGGGTTGCTATGGCCCTCTCCCTACCCCAACATTGTCCGTGGTCGGTAAGACAGCCATTGGCACACAGATATATGCTGTGTCCAACTTTGCCAATGTTGCCAACACTCCTGGCTACAAGATCATTCAAACGAATGATGGCACAACACCCAATGGCAACAGTACAGTACTTGATCAAACACATCCGTTCACCTCCAACGACATTGCCAACGTGGTATACACATTAATAGCACGGGCGCCAGGTCGTCTAGACAGTGTAATTGGTCAGTATGTCATATACTACCAAGGTTTCATCAGCTGTATCATCACTCCAGCCAATCGTGGTCCTTACAATGAGACTGCAACAACTTGTAAGTCAACCAATCAACATGGAACAACTCCAAACAATCGTTCAATTAATCACTGACACGCACTCACTCAATCATACAGATGTCAAATGCACAGCCAACCCTCAGTTTGGAAACTCAGCATCACTGATTGGATATTGGACCATAGATGGAAGCACTCCAACAGTCTACTCTGATCGCTATAATGAACAGTATGGTATCCAATTGGTCGCTGATCCATACATTGGCATCAACATATTCCAAGTCAAGATACTGTTCATGATGGTAAGGCTCTACACCATCCTTCCTCTCTCGCCTCCACTCACCCCTGACATCCATACCTTTGCCCTTCCCTCACCATAGTCTGGCTACTTTGACTTCACAGACTCGGCCAACTTCACGGTCAATGCCAAGGTACGGCCGCCAACCATAGTTCCATCTGACACCAAAGAAGTGAATCAAGTCTCACCTAGGTTCGAAGAACCGGTACAAGCAACTGATGCCAATGGTGTGCCACAGCACTTCATCGACTACACCATATACTGGCGCCTCATCTATTCGGGAGACTTCAACACCACCACCATACCATTGACCAAGGCAACAGGCACCCGATATGACCCTGCTGTCCCCTTCATTGTTACATGTCCCATCCCCACAGACTCGTGTCTTGTGCGACTCCAAGCAATTGGATGTCTAGGTGACCTCTGCTCCGAGACCGTGACCGTAGGCTATCATCTCAAGTTCAATGCATCGGCATTGAAACCCGCCATCACATACGACTACAAGTCGGGTATGACCACTGTGACCATCGACAGTCGAACCACCATCACGGTTGGACTGAAGACAATGTACGTGATGGTCTATACCAAGTTACGTGCCAACATCAGCTGTAGCTCAGATGTGGTCGACTGGCTCAGCCCCACACAATACCACTCACCGTTCCCGATCACGAACCAAGGTTTCTACAAGATATATGCCAGGAACTACTTGGGAAGTGTTGCTGGAGAGATTGACTGCGTGCTGATCGAGCAAACCGTTCAGATCGACCCACCTATCATATTAGCTTCCGACCTGATTTACGCGGACCCAGATGGAGAAGTACGTATCCATATCGTCGGTAACAACACCTACATCGTACACGCAGCCAATATAATGGTGTCGTTGAATAGTGGCATTGCCAACAATTACACATCGTCCAGCCTCTCCAGCGGCTGGCTCACATTGCAATTGGCTCCAGGCATTCAATCCCAGAGCTTCATAGTGTCAGCCATTGATAACACGCCAGGGTACATCCCTTCAGAGGCCACGACCATGACCATCACTGTTAGACGAGTTTGTTCGGATCCCGAGTTCTACCCATCCACAGTGAACCATTTGGCCAATGTCACCATGACAGGATCATGCCAAATGGGTTGCGTACTGTACTGCACATTTGATGGATCGCAGCCTGGTAGCGCCAACTCGGAACCATGTCTACAAGGAAAGTTGCTCACGACCAGAGACGGGGAGGACACTTCAACATATGTCGTGTTGGCAGGCTGCTTCCACTCGGTGATGGGCGACAGTAATATTAAGAGCCAGACCTATGTGATTGAGTCGAAGGACCGTCCTGGCCAAGGAGTAGTCTCACCATCACTTGTTCTCAACAATCAAAATGGCACGGTAACGATCACCTGCCCCTCGAATGACCCGCAGCGCGAGAAAATTGATCCATTCTACACTGTGAAGGATCGTGAGACCGGAGCCATCATACCCATTGACAATCAACAAGCTGGTCAATATGGACAGCAGTACAAGTATGGTGCACCATTCCAGATTGATGGACATATTGGTGAGATGGGGGTAACAGTTGTGTGCTCGGTAGTGTCGTCTCCACACCAATACCAAGTGTATCAATCATCGGTATCGACAACATATATCAAGGTTATTGACAAATGCGATGGTGTGTACAATGCCGGGCAGAATGGAACAGTCACCGAAACAACGATTATCACTCTGTACACTCACGGTGGCTCATTGGACAACATTCACTGGTGGGTATCACCCACACCATGTAATGGTCAGTCACTTCCATCCAACTCAACGCTCTACTCTGGACCATTCCCTTTGAGCTCAACTGGATACCTGTGCGCTGTTGTAAGTTTATTTAAAATCCAATGGTTGCCCTAACCCTTGCCCTAACCCTCGCCCTAACCCTTGCCCTTGCTCTAGAAATCAAACAAATATTGTATTACCAACTCTACAAATGAATGGTATTACAAGTTTAAAGTAACAAACAAACAAAGCAGGGAGACTTATGATTGGTTTAAATTAGTAAGTAATAATTATATTATATTATATTATATTATAAAATATATACTAACATTATTTGTTGTTTCTCCAAATTATTTAAAAGTGGATGATTGCTCCGTTTACTATTGCTATTGTATTGTTTATTACAGCAATTTATGCTGCACTTAAGATACATCGAGCAAGACAACTAGCCAATCACAATGCAATTTTGGCAGCAATCAATTCGATGGGTTACCAGCAATTGCCACAACAATAATAATAATAATAGTAATAGTAATAGTAATAAATAAATATTCAAATATTAATAAATTGATCAGTGGGAAATAGAAATATTTATCCGATCACTTAATTATTTGATCGACTCTGATTGGTTGGTGGGAGGGTAGCAGTGATTGGTTGGTGTGGTTGTGATGACGAATACATGGATAATCATATATTTTATTATTAGTAGTTAGAATAAAGAGATAGATGTATAAAAGTCAGAGTTGGGGGTGTTGATTGATTGTCTGAGTGGGTGGGTGAGTAAGATTGATTGATTGACCGGTCCATTTCCTGATTGACTAGGGTGATTTTCCGTCATTGATTTATTGATTGTTCATGGTCCATGTCACTATAATCATGATGTAAACTTTGTTTAAATTATACATTTATACAAATATAATAACTATTTATATATACCTACAAACTATGGAAATAATTATAAGTAATTCAAAAGGTAAGTGAAGTACCAACAACATTATCCATCTCTACATTTTCGTTAACATCATTCATTCAAACCCTAGATAATTTGGAGTCAATTCCAGTTGTTGCCAAGGATGTGACATTAACAACAAATGATGAAGTTGGTCCATCTAAATGTGTCTTCCAATGATAGATTGAATGAATGAATGACAAAGTATTATCCGTTGTGTTGGTGCCAATGAACAAGGAATAAAGAATATATATATTGTATTACTTCTTTCTCTTTTTGAAGAACCTGTTGTTGTTGCTCTCGCTTCCACCATCATTGTTGTCATTATTGTTGTTGTTATAGTTATCTCTGTCTCTCTTCTTATTCTTTGCCTTTCCTTTGCTCTTGTGATTGATGTCCCTATCCTGGAATTCCTTCTTTTCCTTCTTCTCCTTCTTATTCTTCTTGTTCTTGCCATTATTATTGTTATTGTTATCTTCTTCCTTCTTATTCTTCTTCTGTTTCTTGTTATAATTATTGTTGTCATTGTTGTTCTTGTCTGTATATTTGCCATTGTTGTTGTTAATGTTGTTGTTATTGTTGCTGTTATACTTGTTGTTGTTGTTGTTGTTGTTGTTATTGTTGTTCCTGTTGTAATTCCTACTGTTATCCCTATCATTATCTCTATCTCTATCTCTGTCTCTATCTCTATATCTGTCATTATCATGCCAGCCATTGTGATGTCTGTTGTCCCTGTCATTGTTATCCCAACCTCGACTACGACCTCTTCCATCATGGTGATCTCTATATCCATCGTTGTCTCTACTCTGGCTTCTATATCTATCTCTGTCACCACCTCCCCATTCTCGATCCCCTCTATATCTATCTCTATCTCCTCTGTCACTATCTCTACTATGATGACGATCATTTCCATATCGTTCCTGTCTGTATCTCTTTCTATCTCCGCCGCCGCCACCACCACCACCTCGACTGCGTGATCTTGAATGTCTGCCTTCATAATCGTCACCTCCATCATCGAATGTCCTAAGTGTTCCATCTCTGAAGAAGTTCTTCAACACATGTGATTCGTTCAAGTACCAAAGGTTGCTCCTCTCGCATTGCTGATAGTGTCGCGTGGGTAGGGTAAGGGTAGGAATGGAAAGGAAAGGAAGGGAACATGGATTAGTATGTCTGGAAATATATGGAAAATGTCACGTGATCAAATGCCTGGTCAGCTGATTACAAATACTGATCAGCTGATTAAGAAAACTGATCACGTGACATCAGACAAATGATGAAGTTGGAGATGGAGGACATACTCTTGGATAATGTCCATAGAGACCGCACTTGAAGCAGACGAATACTTGACAAGACTTGGTGAAGTGACCAAAGTCGCCGCAGCGGAAACACGCTCTTTCCTTCTTGATGGAGCATTCGAAGCTGTAATGATCGTCATGAACTCCACAGTTGTCGCACTGTATCGGTGCCTCTCCTCCATAGTACCTATCCACCGGTGCCCTCTTTCGCTCAAACTTCGTTGGCTCCGTGATGGATATCACCAGAGCCGATGCTGATTCATCGGGTTTGTTCGCTCCCGAAGAATAAAAGTCTGTGATCTGCTTGAGCAGTATGGGCGGAGGTCCTTGCTCGACCTTCTTGATGATCTGCTCATTGTCCAATTCGCCAAGTGCCGCTTTGAGCATGAATATGTCCTGTTCGTCATCGCCTTGTTCATCCTCCAAGAATGAGTCATAGTAGTCGCGCAGTTGTTCAAAGTTCTCCTGACTAATATCCGCCATTGACTGCGGCATGTTCACCGAACAAACACTTAGATTGAGGTTGTTCGAGTTTGAGTTTATCGATGATGTTGCCGTGATGAGACTTGTGTCTCCTGCTTCTTTGTGTTCCAGTGGTGACTCCAAGTCTATAATGTCCAATATGTTGTTATTGTTGTTGTTGGCGCCATTCTCTAAACTCTTGCGAAGTAGTTTCTTTTTGAGTTTCTTCTTTGATAATGTTGTTGTTGTTGTTGGAGTCGATGATGATGTACTTGGTGATGATGATGTAGACTTGATGATCGGACTTTTGGATGTCAAGACTACCGAGTCAAGGTCTGTTATTGTCATTGTTGTGACTGCATCTCCATCATCATCAGATATGATGATCTCATTAGAAGACATCAATGATGCTAACTTGATTGATGATATATTGTTGTTGATGTTGTTGTACTTGTTGTTGTTGTACTTGTTGTTGTAGTTGTTGACAACACTCGTCACTGGTGACTTTAGTGCTTTGAATGATGAGTGTTGCAGTGATGATGAAGTTGATGAAGGTGTGATGTCTACTCTTGAAGTGTTCACGCTCACTACCATTCTCTCCTTTGCATACTATGACTGACTGACTGACTCTCTCTCACTCTATCTCTAATAATAATACAATTATCTGTAGCTTGTGGGAATTGTGAGAAACAAACGATGTTCGGTCGTCTTTAGAATCATCAAACCACTCGTTTTCACATCTTTCCGAATTTCACTTAATCAATTCCTATCCACCTAACTAATTAAAGAATGATCATTCATTGATACTTGAGTTGGAGGACCAATAACAAATGTTCATTCATTCCTCACCATCATCCTTTGTGTGAGGGTAAGGGTAAGGTCCAGGGTTGGGGTGAGGGTGAGGGTGAGGGCGAGGTTGTGATTGGGATTCATTCCACGCTGATGATCATGTGACAGCAATACAAGGCAAACCCGATACCGGATATGGTAAAGCCAACAAACAAGTACTTGAGCTCTGAACATTCATTAAGTTAAAAAAATGGGTATCATTATCTTCGATCGATCTTACCATCCATCAAATCAAAGCCGATGAATAGGAATGAACGAACGAACGAATGGATGGACTGATTATATACTAGTTATTATTATTTGATCAAACAAACAACTTTTGATTGGGTACTGGTATGGCTCACCGAGCTTGAAGCGAATAATCATCTGACTTTATTATTTTTAAGTTTGATGGATGTTCGATGGATGGATGACGTCTTTGCAAAGGACGACCCATACGCATAAAAAGACGCGAGAAGTCAGATGGGAGATAGATCCACCCAGCCATCTCGCCTCGACTCAAAAAAACCCCCCAAAAAGCAATAAAAATCAAAAAAAACGACGATGTGAATCGGTTGGACATTGGACTTTGACACCCCTTTTAGTTGAATGAGCTTGATACACACATGTGAGATAGTGTGTCTTTGTCATTCAATGACCTAACTAGGTCCTCTTCCTTTCCAACCTCACATCTCCGTCATCCATCCTTTCATTCATTCATTGATCTGACCTCTATCTATCTATCTCAAGGATAACAACATATTATATTATTTATTATCTCACACTCATTCATTCAATCATATTCAATCACTCATTCAATCAATCAATCAATCAATCAAACATACTTGTATTTGTAGGAAGAGGAGACATATAGACATATAATGGCGTCACATACACATACAGGGCAGACACAACAACAGACTCAGATGCAGACACAAACTCATTTGGTTAGAGTGTATGATCCACAGGGTGTGGAGTTCTTGTGCGAGTTCAGACCGGATAGATCATTCCAAGCACATATTAGACATATATTTGGAAATATACTGGCGTATACTCAACCTTTTAGAGGCTCAGCACTCAATCTAAACGATGGTCTGGTTGCCCTACATTATGGCCTGCAAGAGGCTTCTAGTGGCCATTGGATCGAAGACTCAAAAGATGGCCGTTTGGCCAAAGAGAACAACTCATTCTTCTTCAAACTTCGTCCACTTCATGAATATATAACGGCCGTCGAGAACTTACTGCCTCCAACAACATTGCCAATCATCAACCCAACAACATCACCAATCCTTGGATCCGCAGGTACCGCCAACGCGCCACAGCTACCATCTCCACCCCCACCCCAATCCATTCGCAATCACATAGAGACGCAGATCCAGACACAGCTGCGGATGCGCACGGCTACAGCCGCCACCGTATCGATGACACCAAACACCAGGATCAACAAGGTGGCGCTGCGCTCGGCCATTGACAGCCTGCACACTCACCTGACGCTGCTGATGATGAAGGAGCGACGCACAAAGAACGACATTGTGCACATCAGCACCGACAACCTCTGCAAGATCATTCGCATCATCTTCCGCTCGCCGACACTCTGGGCTCTCAATCTGCTCGTGGACTATCTCCATCGTTACAATCTCAAGGTGGCCAGTGAGGACTTTGCCGAAACTTCACATCCACGCAGCCAGACAATGAAGGGCTCGGGTGCAGTGGCGGCCGGCATCTTCAACACGATGATGTCCGCCTCCCCGCCCGACATCTCGCCAACGTCGACACTTGGCCACCACGCGGGCATCTCCACGTCACCGGGCCTGACGGGAGGCACGGGCAAGTCGCCACGCCCCGGCATGGGCAAGCTCACACTGAACGGCAGTCGCGACACTGTCAACAACTCGCATCACGACCTCTCCAGCAACATATCATTGTTCACACTTGTCGACCAGGCCATCAAGATCTGCTCGACCGAGTTCAAGAAGAACTTCTATCAACATCTGTTTGATCAGTACACTGATCGCAGCACGCAGCAGAGTGGTTCGGACGGCCACGACTCTGGTTCAATGTCCACGAACAGTAACAGTAACAGTGTCGTTGGCTCGATGACCACGAATATAGATGGCGATGACAACAACAACATATTCACGGATATTGATCTCAACCAGCACTTGGACGGCTCTCAACACAACGTTCTACAACGTGAGATCATTGTCCAAACGATGAACTTGATCAACAACATCTATTTATTAGCATCCAACCCTGTAAATTACCTTGTTAAACTACACAAAGAGAATGTCTTCAAGTCACTTGTCGTAAGTATCCCTCGTCCGCCAGTCGCGTCCACTCACTCACTCAATCACATTCAATCAATCAATCACAGGAATTGAAGAATAAGGATCCAATCATTGCAGAGAGCGTACATTATTCGATATTGAGGAACAACTTGATCAATGAGTTGAGACAACAGAGATTGGAGGTGTTGGATGCCGAGAGTATACAGCATCAGATATTGTTCTCAGACTTGTGGGCAACGAGTTTGGTCTCATATCCATACGCAGGCACCAGCTCATACCGTTGGCTGCAGATTGGCTTCAGAGGCGCCAACCCCGTCGACGACCTGGGCGCAACCGGCACGCTGGCACTACGCAATCTAATCTACATGGCCAAGCACAATCAATCGATATTCAGACATATACTGATGCTACAGACTGAGCGTGAGATGCTGGCCAACGAGGACATGACCGTGCCATCCTCCTACCCGCTGGCCGTCGTGGGCATTGCCATCACTCACACGCTGGCCAACCTGTTCAAGATCAAGGCAGAGAGCAACAGTCCGTCGGCCACCTCCTTCCGTGAGGGTTTCACTAGGCCCCATCACCAAGACGACGAAGTGCCTGGCGACACTCTTTGGGACATAGCATTCAGTGACTCTGAATGGTTTGACAAGTGTTACATCACAGCCATGCACCTGTTCGAATCCCTGTGGACCGTCAGATCACAGTCCTACACCGACTTCCAGATGATCCTTGGCACGACTCAGTAAGTTGATCAATCAAATCATTCAATCAATCACATGATCATTCACTAACATCCTACTCCTCCCAGGTTCATATTGGAAAAGGCGATGGAGGTCTTCCCCAAGTCAATCAAAGAGGTGACAACATTAATTGAGGAACAACTGTCCAATGAATACATGGGCACTAAGCTTGTTCAGCGATTCAGACAACTCTGTACCACAACAACGCCAACCAACAGCGAAACCAAGTTCTCATGCAAGCATCTCATCACATTCTTTGGCGAGTGCATTGAGCCTGAGCAAGGTCTATACCAATATCTTCCAACTCATGTAAGTAATCATATTGATTGATCACTCATCACTCGAATCATACTAACTAACAATCAATCATTCAATCAAACTAGTTATCCACAAGCAGTAATCAGGACCAATCAGTCAATGAGAGGAATATAAGAATTAATGCGTTCATGGGACCATGGTTACTCAATGAACAGGTTGAGTATAATGAGAAGGTTCGCGCGTCTGTGGCGATACAGGCATCACTCCTTACAGCATCTTTGAAGAACATGGGCGCCAATGCAAGTGGAGCTGGAGGAGTGGGTGGCATCAACAACAGTAGCAATGCAGTTGGCGCCAATGATGCCAACCTCACCAACTCGAACAACAATAACAATGGCGATGGCAACAGCAGCATCAACACAAGCCCATTGATGTCCAGTGGCAATGGAAACCAAGTGGACAACACAGCAAGGATACATAAGTTGAACAAGTTCTTTGGCGAGAAGGTACCAATACCAAAGATTGCCAACCTATCGTCGTCCATCGACTCTATGCCGGTGGGATCGGGACCGGGATCGTTGTCCCCACCTGTATCACCATCAACGTCTCCAGGCCTACCCGATGACGACTCAAGACATCATCGACCGGACAAGGTACAACGTATACTTGGCGAGAACATCGATGTGAAGAAGGAGAGGGAGGCGCTCAACTTTGCACCTCAGCCACATCACGTCAGGGAGAGCAAGTTGCAAAAGTTGTTTGGCGAGGTCATCCCTGCCCAGAAGCTGCCGCCCAAGTCAACTACGACGACCACACAGACAGCAACACAGCCGACACAGACACCGGCACAGGCAGCACCGACAACGATTCAGAACTCACCATCTTCACCTTCACAATCACCACCATCTCACTCACCTCCAGCGACACACATTCATCCTTCCTCGCGCGACACTGACAAGTCATCACTGTGGAAGAAGGGAACAACCAGCAAATCAACCTACCACGCATCAGTCATCATCCCATTGTCATCCAGCGCGAACAACCTCACCAACTCGACCGACAACAGTCCATCATCATCACCTGTCATCGAGCACCACCAGCCTGGCCATGGACAGGGTGCCGGTTCGCCACCAGTTGGCTCGCCACCAACAGAGTCGCTACAGCAGCCATTACCATCACCATCCCATCCAGACCTGGAAATGGACTCGGACATACCAGAGATCATTCAACCATCTGGCGCAGTGTCGGCATTGGTAGAGGACATACCTCCTTCATGCAGGGCGTCAATCAACAGTTCAATAGGCGCACACATGATGGACGAGTTGGATTACATTGGAGATGAGACGAACAATGTGATTGGCGACCGTCGATCAATCCACCAACTGAACCTATTCTATAACCAACGATTCGACAATGAGTCTGATGTCGCCATGTTGTCGCCCACATCACCATTGAAGAGGTCGGCGCAGTCTGACGTCAACACATACACACAAGACAAGCAAGAGACACAGCCCAGCATGGTCGATGTTGTTGATAATCAATCACCAAAGAGTCCACAATCAATCAAGAGTAGTAGTAGTCCAGACCGACATGTCATAGCTCCACCCATACCACCAAAGTCAGCCAGTCCACCTCTTTCATCACTATCACCAGTACAATCACATTCCACAGTCCTAAAGCCAGTCAACACCAACGCACAACCATCACCAGCAATCAAGTCACTTCAACCAAATCCAAATCCACAACATCCACATCCACATCCACTTCCACCAACACAAACAATCAAGAAGGCACCTCCCAAGATTGTAGCGCGTACTCCACAAACAACAACATCAACACAATCAACGACGACCACGACAACTACAACGACACAACCACAGAATGTGATTGAGAGACCAAAGAGACAACAAGTCAATGTTGTGCAAGACCCAAAGTTGTTGGCTTCCAATGATCACTCCCCATCAGTATCATCATTGATATCAATCTTTGGTGAGAAGACCACATCACCATCCTCCCCTGTCAAGCGTTTCCCCATCCCACCCAAATAAACTGGGACTTGAGTTGAGTCACATGACCTCCTCCTCTCACTCACTTTGCAATAATATCCCTTGTTGGGCTTTTCCAAACTTTGATAATGATGGAAACTGAAGGAAAACTTGTTGTGCTGGATCGAATGTGGTTGAGCACCATCATTTGATCACATGACCAATCAGTGAGTGAGTGAATGAGTAAGAGTAGATTGATTGATCAGTCCAACAAACATGATGTTGATTGATTCCATTATAAGATGTTCCAACTCATTCATTCTATTCATCATCATCAATCAATCACATAATCAACCATTACAACATCAATCATTCATTCAATCAATCACTCACATCCTGGAATCATCCCATCACTCACTCAATCAATCAATTGATGAAAGGTAAGTGTGATGGTATCATCATCATATCCAAGCTCATCCTAATCGAACAATCATTCAATGTATAGATGATGTCCAACAACAATAACAACAACAATAACAACAACAACAATACTAGGTGGTGTTATTGTAAACACTGTAGGACACCTTTGATTCCTCATAATATGTTATTCTTCTTTGAGGATAACAACAAAGGGTCACATCTTTGTTATCAATGGGCCTACAAGTTTGAGACAATCTACATTGCAATCAATCCCAGGGAGAATCCATTCTCACCTAACAAGGTATTCTGTATGAGTTGTAAGAAGGGCATTGGCAATGAGGTCATTGAGAAGTTGCCCGGCCTAAAGAGTATCTTCACTTTGGACAAGGAGGACGTCATTCTCTCGATGAAGGACCTCACTCGCAAGATAACAAAGAGGACCAAGTGGAGGGAGATTGCTCCTGAATACCCGCACATCAAGCATCTCAACTCTCAATCTCCGGTGTTTGCGTTGAAGCCCAAGGTCGTGGCCAGCCCTGACCACACGCCACCAAAGCCTGTGCGCAGGTATGCATCGACCAAGTTCTCCAACACCATCAACAAAGCGGTGATGACCACGAGAAAGATGGAGCCCAGACCCTATCAGATCGAAGCATTGGTGGATGCCATGGCAAGGAACTCAATCTTGGTAATGCCCACCGGCAGTGGCAAGACCTTGGTGTCAGTCATGCTCATCCAACAGATGATGGCTCTCAACGCACCTCAGACAACTCAGATCAAGAGAATGGTGTTGTTCGTTGTCACTACACTACCTTTGGTACATCAGCAGACCGAGGCCATCCAGTATCATAACCCCACGTTGCGCGTGATCGAAGTCAGCAGCGCATCAGACGCCCAATCACTCACGGTCGACATGTTTGATCATAATCATACCAGACCGGATGTGATGGTGATCACATCGGGATCATTCTTCAACATTGTGGACATTGTCGTCACGATGAAGGACTTCCATTTGGTCATCTTTGATGAGGTCCATCACGCCACCGGCAATCACAACTATGTCCGCATCATGAAGGAGTTCCACGATGTCATGCCGCCAGAGTACCGTCCACGAGTGTTTGGCCTGTCTGCCTCGCCGTCGACTGGTCGCACCCAAACGGTTATCGCCAACAACATTGCTAGCTTGGAGAATGTGATGCATTCACGCACATTCCGGCCACCATCACTGCCTCACGAGGCATCACTCGAGTCTGATCGAGTGATCTTCAATATGTCCTACTCAGAGCTGTCATGTAATCAGTTCTTTGCCGATCACCTCAATATGTTGACCGAGGATCTGATGGACAAGGCCAAGTACACCACTGACAAGTTGAAGTATCGTCAAGTCAATCCCATGCCCTTTATCACCGAGCTCAAGCGATTCATGGCCTATGTCTCGGACCACAAGATGGACCTGTCTGTCAACATTGGAGATGTGAGAGCATTGTTGCGACGCTTCACCAACGTGTCAATTGAGGGCTATGTGCCCTTTATCAAACGTCTACGCGACGACCTCGCGAGCAAGGTACCCTCGCCACGTTGGCGAACCTTCCTCCAGGGATTGCTCAATGGTCTCGAGCAGCGAGGCGCGAGCTCGGTCACTCACTCGAGCAGGTTTGACGTGATGTTGAGGGAGCTGAAGGATATGGTCGACACGGACAACAAGCTGGACAACTTCCGTGGCATCATATTTGTCAAGACCAGGGCCACGGTCGACTGTTTGGTCAACATGCTGGTCAAGGATGAGCTCAACGCCAAGCTCAATGTGAAGAAGATGGTCGGCCATTCCAAGGAGGGCGGCATGGACACGGACGACCAGATACGCATAATGGAGAAGTTCACCTCGGGCGACACCAAGCTGCTTGTGGCCACCAGTGTCATCGAGGAGGGCATCGATGTGCAACGCTGCAACTTTGTCATGTGCTTTGAGAATGACTTTAATATTCGCTCACTCATTCAACGACGTGGTCGCGCACGCAATAAGGGCGAGGGCAAGTTCTGCTGTCTGATGAACCAGGCCGAGAACGACTTTGTCAACGAGATCCTCATCAATGAGCAGATGCTCAACCTTGTGATTGGCGCCAAGATGCGGGCATCGAACCTTGCGGACCAACAGCGCGAGGCGGACCGTGTGTGGAATGAAATGTTCGAGTCGCCCGCCCAGAACCAGGTGTACGTGCCACTTGGCGAACGCAAGACCGTGATCCTGGACTTCTGTGTCAGCACCCCTGAGTTGGACACGATCCTGTCGCGCAAGTTGGCCAAATCGCTGGTCAGGCGACCCGTCAAATATACGAACGAGCATGAAGATCGCGAGTACCTCAAGAGCCACAAAGAGTTTGTGATTGGTGTCGAGAACTCTGATGAAGAGATCAATCACTTGCTAAAGATACTCTACGAGGTCAAGGGTTGGTGGGCCAGGGTGACCTATCCCGAGGCTATCAACTTGCCATCATCAGCTACCAAGACTGGTGAGCATGGAGGAGAAGAGATCACGGCATTTGGAGTACAGTTGACTTGTGGCAACTTTATGGACCCGACCAAGTTTGTGGAGACCTTTGTTGGCAATGGATCATTGGTGTTCAATAAGCAGAGTCGTCTGCTTGACCTCTCTGTGCGACATGATGAACTCTCTATGGACCTTCGCATACGGTTCAAGACTGAGAACCTTGTAAGCTTCGCTCTGCTGGACTGTGACCCTGACTCTGAGTATCAATCACTCTACATCATTGCCAAACGATCACCAATCATATGCCAGATTGAAAAGATTGTAAAAAATGGAGTAGTAGTGGAGATAGGGTACTTTAGAGTGGATCAAGATGAATGTCCATTCATGTCCAATCGATTTGTTTACCGTATTCAAACCACAAAGGAAGAGATGGGACCATTCCTCGATATGTTCCCAATCCCATTTTACCTGGCATCAATCAAGAGTGGTCCTGATCCCCAGACCAAGACAGCCCTCTTGACTGGCCCACTTGAACATCCTATACTCATCAACTCCCATCTAGCCTATCAAATTGCTGTCCTAAAAAGGTAACTATTGGAATGGTTCCAGCCCCACCCCACTCATAACTAACAACCCAACAACAACCAATCAATCAAATCCAGCAACACGAACACTGGCTTTGGAAGGACAAACATACCAGAGGTATTCTTGAACAAGTTGACTGAGCTTGTGGATGAGGGCAGGATGTTGGCCGCTGAGTATCTGATTGGCCAGGCATTGGAGATACCTGAGTTTGCATCGTATGATAGATTGATCTATCTGGACTTGTCAGGCCTTCCAAACGTCAGTCCAACATCATTACCAAAGAACCATGCGATGATCAAGAGTGCCTACGTCACGCCCTCACGTGTGGTATTCAACATGCCACGCATCCAACAGACCAATCGTGTCATCCGTGTGTTTGGTGCCGACCGGTTCATGACGGTGCAGTTCACCGAGGAGGACTTTGGGCCAATGGTCGAGAACAAGGACAATCTGCAAGAGTACTACTACAACACGCTCAAAAATGGCATAAAGGCCCACGGCTGCGGAACATTCTACTACCTTGGCAACAGTAACTCTCAAGCACGCTGCCAGATGTCTTGGTTCTACTGTGTCGACGATGGAGATGATGTGGACTTGACAATCGACACTGTCAGATCTATTATGATCGGACCGGACACCAACTACATTAGTGCGCGCAAGGCTCTTCGTGCAATGGCCTTAGTATTCCCATCGACCACGCCAACATTGGTCAATGTTGACTATCACTCAATCCAAGACATGGTACACAATGATCACATATTCACAGAAGGCGTTGGATACATTGGTCGAGACACTGCACATGAGTTGTGCAAGGCCGGTAACTATCCCACTCATACCAGTGCCTTCCAAATCAGACTTGGCGGCCATAAGGGCGTACTGTCCGTACACCCCACCATCAAGACTGGTGTCTTCCTGAGACCCAGCATGAAGAAGTTCCAGCCGATTGGAGCGCCCCATGATCGTGTACTCGAGGTTATCAGTGTGAGTGCGCCCAAGACCTGCTTCCTCAATCGCCAGATCATCCTGTTGCTGAGCCAGCGCATACCTGATGGCTACTTCATGGAGCTTGAACGCAAGGCCCTGTCCAAGCTCGTGCACATCTTCCAAGATCCGGAATATATGCGCGTGGTACTTCGCGAGCTGTCCTTGCTCAATGATGCGATCGATGAGACAGACATTGCCACGCGAGATCCACTCATAGCCAGCGCGCTGCAGAGTCTCTACCTCAAAAAGTTGGACAGCATCCAGGACAAGTGCTTCATCCCCATCGAGCTAGCCAGGACTGTTATGGCATCTCTGACGAGTCATCACAGCTGGGTCCAGGCCAAGTGTTTGTCCAGATCACAGAGGCTGATGGTAGCAAGAATGTCATCCGCGGCAAGGTGTTGGTGTGCAAGAACCCTTGTCTGCACCCAGGCGACATTCGCGTCTTGGAGGCTGTGGACGTGCCGCAACTACGCGAGGTCTATCTCGATGTGATTGCATTTTCCCAACATGGCGAAGTGCCAAACTTCAAGGAGTGTTCTGGCAGTGACCTTGATGGAGACAGGTACTTTGTATGCTTCGATCAGGAAATGATTGATTACTATCAATCACACGATGATCCATACCTTGGAGAGGACTTGGATGCTACTACCGAACCCAAATACAAGGGTACTCGCGATGAACTTATCCAACAATACTTGAAGAACATCACAAAGTCAAAGCTGGGCATGATCGCGCTCTCACACTTGGCCCTCAGCGACAAACTTGGCCCTCGCGACCCACTCTGTGTGCAACTGGCCAAAGAGCACTTTATCGAAGTGGACTCGATCAAGACTGGCGTGCATGGAGAGATCCCTAAAGATGCTCTCAAGGCTCTCAACTACTTCAGCCTCTTCCCACAGTTCATGGAGCACGCCATGCCTCGATGTTCATACTGGGAGTCGACCAGTGTTCTAGGCAAGCTGTACCAGGCTGCGTCCATCCTGCGCGCGGTGCCACAGATGCTGCCAGAGGTTGCTGTCGACCCCGCCCGACTGGTCCCCGGCTATGATGACTACCTGGAGAATGCTTGGAGCTGTTACCAAAGCTACAAGTTCCTGGTCAACTCACTCCTGCATCAGTTCGACTTGGAGACCGAGGTGGACATCCTGGTCAAGTTCATCAAGGACACAAAGAACATGTTCAAGTACACCGAGCACATGGTCGAAGAGATCAGGATCAACTACAAACGCATCCAAGCTCAGTTCAAGGATGAGTTCCTGTGCGACTTCCCAGGCGACACCCCCGCCGACAAGTTGAGATCGTCCCCGGATGAGATCCAGATGAAGGCGGCCGCCTGGTATTGCATCGCGTATAGCGATACTGGCGCTGACCGAGTGCTGTCATTCAGCTGGATCGCCAAGTTGTTCACACCCAAGCAGCAACTCAAGACCTTGGCTCGCGAGAATCACTCAATCATCTCAGAGAGCATCATTGATTTTGTCAATGGTGCCAAGCCCGCGATGACCCTGGGTTACTTGGAGCGGGTGGACATGATCCAAGACCTCCTGGGACTGATCAGAAGTGAGTCCAATGGCGTATATGAAGACTCTACAATATTGCTCTATGGATCTTCGTCACTCTTATTGTTTGATCAAGTTCAATCGGACCTGGATCTATTCCTGAACTGCCGCATCCCTCGTGGACAGGTCGCCCACGACATCTTTACCGACCTCTTCGGTGTGATCAAGTCACACGAGCCGACATCAGAGGTCAGGTATGTCAAGAATGCCCCGGTGCCCGTGATCAAGTTCATGATGAACAAGCGCGCATGTGACCTCTCACTTGACCCCAACGGATTCCAAAAGACTGGAATGATGTGCGATATAATGAACAAGTATCCCTTTATATACCAGCTGCTATTCATAGTTGTCAAGTGGGGACGCGAGACCGGACTCTTGGTGCACCAGAGCACCAACATTGCCAAGTCACGCAACCTCAAGACTTGGGCGCTCGAGTGGATGGTCATCCACTTCTTGATTGATCGTGGACATATTGAACCAATGGACCAAGACATCAAGCCGTCCCCAATGGTCAACAGGTCAGTCCAGTGGTGGACCGACCTCCTGGACCGTGCCATCAACATCAACATCGGATCACTCACGATCCAATTCTTCAAGTACTACTCCAAAGTGCTAGCCCGGCTACTTCGCAACAGGGATCAACTCCTTCTCCAATGTCCACTCGACACCCCCGATGTGCCCTCACTGAACATTGACCTTCGTGACAAGGAGGTATGTGCCCCACTCAATCAATCAATGGATGACACTAACACACTCACTCATACATTTAGGAGGATGACAGCTTGGTGGTCTATCTCCAGGAGATATTCACGATAGCGCATCATACATTGGTGTCGTCCAGCAGCGTCAAGGTGTTCCTGAGTCGTTGTTTGTACGACAAGACCAAGATTATCAATCTTGATCGAGTGACTTCAAAGTCTATCCGTGAACATCAGCATACGATAATCTCAAAGATAACGATGGAGTCCAAGGTGAGCATCCACATCTACAATGCAGGCCGACGTGGATGTCTCCAGGTCAAGATCAAGGGCGAGCCATCCAACATCCAGCATGCAATCGATCAGTTCTACGAGATGGCGCGCAACGCCTCCAGCATCCCCTTCCACGCGTACAAGTCTCATGTGCCTGGCGGTGGATCCGTGCTGTTGTTCCGCGGCAGCCAGAGCACCCACAATGTTCTTCGTCTCACCACCGTCCCCAAGTCGCGCCAAGACCTGGTCAACATCCAGCACAGGAACAAACCCCTGCGCCTGTACGGACTGCTCAAACTGCCCGAGACCGTGCCGCACGATGAGTACATGCTTGGTCACAGCAAGATGAGGTTCCAGATGAACTTCCTCAAGCAGCTGGCATACTGTGGAGCCAAGTCCGACCCCCTGGAGTGTGGCGAACGACAGGTCTACATCCGTTTGGGCAATGTATACTTGGTCAACTGCAGCTTTGATGGCGAGGAGATGACCATCGACGCGCTCCAACTGTGTATCTCAAAGACATCTCGTCGCGAGCTCAAGTTGGATCGCAAGCTAGCCTTTGAACAACAAGAGAGCGAGGAGGAGGAGAGTATTGGCAAGCCCATCATGCTCTCGGTCAATGAGTTGAGGAGAAGGCAAGTTACCCCGATTGATAAAGGTGCGGACAGGTCAAGGTGTGGCACTGGAGATATCGTGGATGAGGCCAAGAAGAAGAAGAAGCCATGGGTGCCCAAGAGCTCGTTCTACACTCACACTGCCAACTTCAAGGTTCATCACATTGCAAAGATATTTGAGGACATGGGCTGGACCAGGTCCAGTACCCTGGCCCGCGTGGCCAAGGCTGCGCGAGAGACCTACATTCTTTGCTGCAAGGTCAAGGACAAGGGAGTGCCCGAGTTCAAGGTCACAGTGCAGGCAGACATGCAGCCACCCAATCTGATCAAGGACCAGGGCATAAACTGGTTTGTATGTGATCTCTCCAACCATGTGGAGCAGCTCAGCGACTCCACCGCGCACTTGTTGGACGTGAGGTTCTGCATCCAATCGAAGCGACCTGTTCAGGAGCTGGGAGCATTCAAACAGTTTGCGACCAAGCAGGTGGTCACCAAACGCGAGAACACACAGGATGGACGACTGGCACCAATCATCCTGAACAAGGACCTGTCAGAGACGGTGTACCTGATCAGACATCACTCAAGTGTCACGTGCTACATACCACCGATTGATGACCCATGGAACAAATTCAACATGGCACTGGAGGTGCACACGATCAGAGAGTTCCGCAACTCTGGCGAATTCCTCTCGGAAAAGGTTGAGTTTGAACTATGTTGTGATCTTCCACAAATCTCTGATACTCTTTCATTCACAGAGTTATATTGGTATGTACTTCCTTTAACTTGGACCAACTCAAACTCCAACTATTAACATTTAATTAATTATTTAACTCTTCAAACAATATAGGAATATGGGAGTTAATATCACTAATTTATTTAATTATAATTATTATAATTATTAAATAAATTTGGTTCAACTTTTTGATCAGAAGTTCTCGCGAGTGATCACAATCAAACAAATAATATTTTATAATTCAAGAAATAATAAATGGATAGACTATCTGATGTATTGATCAAGTCGATCATTGATATGATCACAAGACGATTGGACATTGATATGATCACAACACAATCAGTGATGGTGGCCACGAGGACCAACATCACCATTATCGACGCAATATCTTTTGGTTTAACATGTAGACGAGCTTATATGATCATTCGAAGAATGAACAATCAGTTCAACTGGAAACGACAATCACTGATCTATGTGTACAATCATCAACATCATGATAATGGACTCATTTCAATACCAAGATCAATTATAGAGTTGACGATGACAAATCAGTTCAATCAACTGATTACGCCAGGCTCTCTACCGCCTTCTCTCACCATCCTCTCGCTGGGCCAATCATTCAACCAGCCGATCGCGCCTGGGACTCTACCAGACACTCTAACAAGTCTTGCATTTGGTGAATCATACAATCACAACATCACAGTTGGCGTGTTGCCAGCCTCGATTACACATCTCACATTGTTTGGAACTGAACCGCCTCAACTAAAGGCATGGCCTCGATCACTACTCACACTAGTCTATGGCATTGCACAGCCGATCAAGTCAGACACACTGCCCAGTACACTCACATCATTATCGTTGGTCGCCAAGTACAACCATGATATCATACCCAACACATTGCCTCCATCACTCACTCGATTGGTACTTTGCAATCCAGATTACAAACAGCAGATCAAATCGTGGATCCTCCCCGGGGAGCTCACCGACCTCATCGTCATGTCTGAGCATGGTCAGTTTGAATCAGACGCGCTGCCCGCATCGCTCTCGTCACTGACCATAAGTGGAGTGACAAAGTCTAACTTTGTACACTTCCCAGCATCAATCACAGCATTATCCTTAAGCTACAAGTTCAACAACACCATCACAATGGGTTGGTTGCCTCGGTCTCTCACCATTCTCACGCTGGGCAACATGTTTGATCAAGTGATTGAGGTTGGCGCACTGCCAATGACTCTGACTGTGCTTGACATTGGCGACAGGTATGACAGAACGATCGTCAAGGGCCTCTTGCCACCTGGCCTTAGATCATTATCATTGGGAGCTCGTTTCAACCAACCGATTGAGGAGCTGCCACAGTCACTCACATCACTATGCCTTGGCAATGACCTTTTACATACTCTGCCAACATCTAATCTGGTCGCTCTCAAGACTCTATCATTCAACAACAATTGCAGACACTTTGAACGAGTGATAAACTCGACGCCATCAGTCGAGGTGGTATACATTGGCGGGATGGTATTACCCTGTTACATCTCCCCAATCACGCCACATTTGAAGGAACTGCATGTCAGTGGCACGTCCACCAGCGCACTGACTCCTGGACACATGCTAGAGGTGCTCCATCGAGTAGTCGCCAACGTGTACAATGTACAAACCTACAGCATAACAATCAAACGTCGTGGATTTATGATGAATGGAGGTATGTCAACGGGGGGACATGTCTCCACTCCACTCTCCATCATACACTATCGTGCCATTGACAACGATCACGGTCTACTCATCCTCGAGAACAAGTCTGCCACCAGCTCCACAGTCACAGTCCAAAGTATATCAATCGTTCATCAAAGTATCCTTCTTAGATTTGATGCAATCATATCATAGTTGTTCATCGTGTCGATCATTCATTCATTGTTATAATAATAATGAACTACGTGTAGTTCGTTGAATTATCATTGTATTCTCTCTATCTCTATCTGTATCTCGCGACTTTAACTTTTGTTGAATACTTGAGTTTTTCACAAGAATTGGACTTTGTAGCGAATCAAGTTGGATTGGAAACAAGATGGATGTGCGTGTCCGATGAAGTGGAGCCCTTAAAGCATTAATGGCAATGGTCCACAAGTGACATTCAATCAATCAATCAAAGTTGTGATCAAGTAATAATAATAACACCACTCATATCATATGCTCGTGGACTTACTTAAGTTACAATAACCAATCATTTAATCATTCAATCAATCAATCAATCAAATCAATCATGTCAACTACAACCAATAATAACAATAACAATAACAATCAAACAACTGAAGATGTTGTAATTGTTAAAGCAGACAGTGTACAGGATATCCAACATATTATAATATCATCAAAGTTGACTGTACCTGTGGCTCATGCAATCCTGAACTCACCTCTGAAAGATGAGTTCATTGCATCATTCACACTGTTGCTTACTACAATGGATCTACATCCAACTACCAAGGTGGCATTCTTGGCCGGTTGCTTTGGCAACAGGATGTACGACTTGGGTCGCAGTCTGCTGGACACCAACAAGTTCACCTTTGTCGAGATTCTAAAGTGTCTCAAGGTGCTTGACTCGAAGCGTGTCCTTCGTGTCTACAAGAAGAAGCTGGCCACAATGTTGGAGAAGGCCAGGATCAGACAGGAGAGAATCGACAAGATCACCGAAGAGTATATGAAGACCAAACAAGACTCCAACAACAACAACAATGGCAACGACACCAAGAAGGAGAAGAAGGTAGAAGAGAAGAAGGAGGATGTGGCCGCGGTGGAGACCACAAAGAAACCAGCCCGCCCAACCAAGAAGGTCGCTGCAAAGTCAAAGGGCAAGGGCAAGGGTAAGGGCAAGGGCAAGAAGGCCATAACACCAAAGGAGGACGAGAAGAAGGAGCTGACAGAGGACGAGAAGAAAAAGGTGGAGAAGCGCCAGTCCAAGCAGGAGCGCGAGGCAATGTTCAAGAACAGGTTTGAGAACACCAAGAAGTTCTTTGAGTCCAAGATCGCAGAGTATGAGGCATACCAGTGCAATGGCAGCCTGTGTGGCAGCGTGACCAAGGTGTTCAAGAATTGGTTCAAGACCGTTCCCGTCAAGACCCTGGAGTTCTTTGCCCTGGGACAGCCCAAGGAGACCTGGAAGGAGATTGCCGACCTTCTTCATTTAGCCCCATCAGACTTCCAGCTGCCCTGGTTCCTGGAGTTCATGTTTGGCAAGCCCGCACCAGAGGGCACCTCTGTGCACGCTTTTGACCAGGCCAAGGCTGCATCGGACGAGGGCAAGTCCGTGGACTATGGCGCCATCATCGAGAAGTACCGTCCTCCCTACTCTTTCCTGAGAAAGCGTTTGACCGAGACCGAGTTCACTCAGGCGCTCAAACTAAAGGTGGCCGAGTACGAGGAGGTGTCCAACGTACTATGGTGGTACCACGAGTTCCAGCACGTGGCCGGTGCTGACAAGCTCATTGTCGAGAGGATGGCCAAGGGAGAGAAGCTGACACTGGCCTATGGTACACTGATTGAGAAGACCATGTCATTGACCAAGAAGGAGGATCACAAGGAGGTGTTTGAGGCACTGCTCAAGGCGACACTGGACCGCCTGGCCACCTTTGCCAACAAGTTCTCTCTGCCACCACCCATCGCCACACTTGGCGATCGATCAGGATCCATGGAGGTTGCCGTTAGGTTGGCCACCATCATCGGATATCTGATCACCAATCTCACACCCAACTCAACGTTGTCGTTCTTCAACACTGCCAACATGGAGGCCCCCGTCAAGCCGTCCTCCATCGACCAGCTGTTCAAACTGACCGATCTGGTCAAGGCAACCGGAGGCACAGCCAACGCAGTTGGACTGCAGCCATTCCTCAAGGAGAAGAAGCCACTCAAGTACCTGGTGATGGTCACCGACGAGGAGGAGAACCAAAAGGTGGACAACATGTACTTTGCCGAGATGTTTGATAAGTACAGAAAGGAGGTGACTGCCGACTGCAAGCTGGTGTTCATCTCATTCTTGCGCGCCAACCAGAAGGGCCAGATGGTGACGCAGCTCAAGAACACCTACGACATTGAGCCCATCCAGTTCGTGCTGGACCGCTCGACACCAGACGTCACCAAGATCGACATGATGCTGACGTCGCTGTCTTGCGAGTCGCCAATGTTCCTCGTGCAGCAAGACCTCCTGACCAAGGTGTTCTCATTGTTTGGCGCCAAGTTCTTCTTCAAGTACCTCGAGGAGAGCAAGAACAAGTTGTTCACCTACGGCTTCAACTCAGAGATTGAGGTGTTTGTGTTGCAGCACCTGTGCAACTTCTACCTCAAGTCGCTGGACAAGGAGGATGTGCTGCTCACCAACTTCAAGGGTCTGGTCGGCGACGAGTCCAACTGTCTGCGCATGGTCAATGAGCATCTCAAGACCCTGGTCACAGTCTCAAAGGAGTGTGGACTGGAGGAGTTGGTCACGCAAGTGGACATCATCACCAAGAAGTTCAACTCATTGCAGAGACAGCATTCTGTCGAGTACCTTCGCGACACCCTCAACAGTCTCGACAAGGAGTTGTTCAACAAGAGAGTAGAGGCATGAATGAGATAATAAACAATGACAGTCAGGCACTTGCGCCTAACTGTTTGTATACATAAGTCTTTATTTGTTTGTTTGATTGAATGATTGATTGATCGATTGATCAATTTGAGGACGACTATTTACAAGGTATGAATGCACTCAGGACTCCGAGGGCATGTTATTGGTATAGATGCATGAGGGCACTCTTACTGCATCCATACTGGGTATGCCAATGGACAATGGTATGAAGATACTCTCCAACTTCGACTACCTTGGGACTGCCAGCACCTCCAGATGGATCACAATAGAACACATAGGTGATATGTGAGTGTCTATGTTTGAAGGCATCACCGGATTTGTACTCAACGATTAGACCATCAGTCTCACCATCTTGACCTTGGTGGAGTGACCAGAACTCAATTCCAGTGCCCAACTTTGTACACTTCTTGGTCTTGTTGTCATACTTGTAGGCAGGGGCATCAGTTCCACAAGGATTATCCATACCAACAGTATTATTACATATGTTCAGGTAATAAACTACATTCTTGTCATCATTGGATTGATAGGTGTAATCATCATCACTTTATAAACAAAGGTGTCAGTGAGGTTATTATTATTATTATTTGTTGATATAAAGTCAAAACATACCCTTCATGTTTGATTAAAGGTGATAGGTCAAAGGAGTTACCTTCCAATGTGACTTGACATGCATTGGGATTATCATTTAATGATAAGTTGGCATTAACAATAGTGAACAATAATACCAAGGATATGATTAATAAATATCTCATTATATAATTATTTGTAAATAATATTATTATTCTTATCTTGAGTAAGTCTTAGGAACACAATGGTAAGAATGAATGAGATGAAGGTAATCTATATATATATAAACGGGACAAGTCCTTACCAGGTGATACCTACTCCAAAAATTTTATTATTTGATTGGTGATTGCCCGTTTCCTTTTATGTAAACGTGGGGTTATTACCAAAAGAGGCCTCATTCCCAAAACTGTCATAGGATGGAAGTTCCAAATCAGGCAATCTTCTTTGGTACCTGAGTTTAAACTTAACCAATCGATTTATGTCAGTAAATAAGATAATAAAATATGTCACAAACAGATAATAATGAACGACAACATCTTCTGAACGAAAACAACAACAATATCAATAATAGTGTTGTAGAGGAGGAGTACCCTTTGAAGAGTACTCTAACAAAGAATCAAAAGATAATTTTTGGTATTGTAGTTGGATTTCTATCTGTGGCATTGATCGTTATACCTTTGACAATTGCATTCTATCCAACTAGAAATCATGCTCCACAACATCATGGTACAAACTATTGTTCAAACCAAACATGTTGTGTAGGACCAACAGGTGAAGGACTGGCTTGTGCTGGAAGTGTAAGTATTTGTCGATTAATCTATTAATCAATAAATAGACTAACCCTCTGAATCAAATTAAATTTAATAAATAGTATCCAAGAATCAGTTGTTGTGGCCAAGGATATTGTCAAGGTTTGGTAAATTGTTACTCCTTTGTGAGTAAAGTACAGTCTTGACTTGACTTGAATGACTTTTGGACCTCTTGAACTTGAACTTGAATTAAGTAATCATTCTTGAACTTGACTTGAATCTTGAATCACATTCAAGTTCAAGTTCAAGAATTGATGACACTTGGTTTATTGATTGATTGTTGTTGGTCAAGAACGCCTGTAACTTGCGAGTAACAAACGATTTGCCTATTGTCTTGGGCTTAAGACGGTTCCTGTTGGCTGTTACCATGTCTGGTCCATGCTTGAACTGGCGCTCCAAGAACACAGATGAACAAGATATGGCAAGATAGTCCTTGGCTATGGCTGCCACAGTAGGATACAGATGCTCATATCTCCTCCAATACTCCAATGCAGTAAGGCATTCCTCTCTTGGCGCGGCAAGGTATTCCTCATACTCTGTCCTCGACTTGGTTGTGTTTGTATTGGGTTCGTCTTGTTTACTGCCCTTGAAGAAGACACTTGCTCTATTCTTCTTCTCCCCAGTTGCTTCTGTCTCAGGAGGTTGCATATAGTAGTGATTGAATGTGGCCTTGCATGTGTCCTTGGCAAGCTTGAGATAATCATTATCTTTAGACCAACATTGCTCAAACAAGTTGAGTTTGGTTGTTGGGTCAGCAAAAGTTGCTGCGTAGTAACAGTCGGTGAAGTCGCACTTGACATAGTACTTCATCAGCTTACTCTTGCCTGCCTTTAAAGCTATCCTCGTCATTAGTCAATGTAAATATAAATAAATATTTGTTGAGACACTTACGCTCGAGTAAGAAGTGATATGGGTTGTCGACAATGTTCCTGACCTTGGTAACCTTGCGTCCACCTCCCTTGGTTCTGACAACCTTGTCGACATGTACAGATATCCTGGAATGCTTGATACTTACTTGCTGTGTGGACATTGATAAATATCCATCTGAAATGATATCTTGGAGGTAATGCCAACAAAGTACTGCTTGAGTTGTTGGCGATACATATCATAGTGTTCATCGAGCAGTTGTCTCATAACCTTGCTAGAGGGGACTACAGAAGTAGGTGATATTGAATGTATCCCCTCCAAGACCTCTTCACCTTATTGATTCCCCTTTGGGTGGTTGTTATTTCCTTGTTTGGACATCAGGTTGTGTGTAAAAACAAAAAAATGTCAAAATTGTTTTGAATTGGACACATTCATTCATTTAACATGATATTTTAAGGATTTGAACTCAGAACAAAAGATTATCAATTTAATTTGCTTCTCACTTTATCAAGTGAACTGTGGAGAGGTGGAGGACTGAAATTTCGAAATTTATACAGGAAAAAACAAAAATATTAATAATATTGTAGTGATCTTACTCACTAACTCGAGCTCGTTGTAGTATGGACTACTACATCTAGATCAGTCCTTTACCCAGTTATATTAACTCCATATTAAGGTACTTCATTATATTTGGCGACACCTGCAGTCCTTTACCCAGTTATATTAACTCCATATTAAGGTACTTCATTATATTTGGCGACACTTAAGATACGCGCCTGCTGGAATTGGATCATGGCTAATGTTGAAACCCCGCTGGTTGCCAACGCACCGTTATTCTTTGGTTCGGATGTAGATCCACAACCTGTGGAACTTTTTATAGCTCAGTTGAGGGTTTTGTATCCTCAACGTTCTATAAGGCATCTTATGGCGTCCTTGAAAGGACAAGCTGCCAATTTACTATTATCCGTTCCACAAGGGGAGAGAGAGACATTTGATAATGCTGCCAACATTCTTATAGCCGCTTATCGGAAGCCATCCCAAGGTCCTGTAGCTGAACTGATGGAGTTGAAACAGTCTCAGTTCCCTACTTTGTCCCTGTTCCTTGCCAACTTTAAGACAAAGGCGTCTACTGTTCCGCCCGGGGTGATGGGTGAGCAAGTGAAGGTGCTCATGTTGCTCAAAGCCCTGAACCCACAGATTGCTCAAGTGGTTTCAATGTCAGGTATCCCAGAGACTCTACAAGCCGTCATGGATCGTGTCCTGACCCTGGAATTTGGTGCAAACCAATTCCCAGTAGCCGTTGCACTATTGCCTGTAGCCCAACAACCAGTGGGCCAACCTATGCTACAACAGGCATTCCCTCAGTTCCCCGGTGTAGACCAACAGGTACCGGTTGGATTGATGTCCAATCAATCAAACCTCTGCTATGAATGTAACCAACCAGGTCACATTGCAAGGTACTGCCCCAGCAAGTCCAAGAATAACCAARGCAACAACAACAATAACAATAATAATGGCTACAACAGAGGTGGCAGAGGTCGTGGAGGAAGAGGAGATAACAGAAGATACAACAACGGCCGCAACAACAACAACAGAAGAGGTGGTGGTGGTGGCAACGGTGGAAACTATATCAACACAATCTCGGATAATCAAGCCGACTATAGTAAAGTGCTGACCATCGTTGATGTTCAACCAAACATTGTGGATGCTGTCATGTCCACCGCTGGAACTCCAGGACTTGATATTAAGACTCTGATGACTGACAACGCGTTACCGTCCGTACAGACTATACTGGAGATCAACAACCGTCAGGTTAGAGCGGTTGTGGACACTGGAGCTGTGTACTCACTGGTACGTGAGGACCTGGTGTCCGAGCTTGGTGCAAGAGTAGGTGCGCCAAGGAGTATTCTAAAAGCTGCCAATGGCACACCAATCAACGTGGTGGGCAGTGTCGAGCTGGTTTTCAAACTGGCCAAGATAGAGACCGTTGTCAGACTACGTGTCATACAGAAGAGTGATCTGTTATTCAAGTGCGTTCTAGGTTTTGACCTCATGACCGCACTCATGTTGGATGTATTGACAAGCAAGAAGTTAATAACCAACAATCAAGGCTGGTCCAGTAAGCTGTTCGCTTCATCGGATGTCAAGACCGCCGTAGGTTCTATCGTGGATGTCACCGAGGCCATAGCCATTGTCAATGAGTCAATGCCAACTTTAACAAAGTCCAAGCCTGAATCTACAGAGTCAGTGGAGGATGTGTTGAATGACTACGATGATATCTTTGCTAAGAAGTTGGAGAAAGCTTGCCAAGTCACTGTTGTGGAACATGAGATCAACCTCATCCAAGGTGCAACTCCAACTACTGCCCGTCTCCAACACTTTTCAATCAAAGAGAAGGCATTCTTGGAGACCGAGATTGATAGACAACTCAAAATGGACTCTATTGAGGACTCTTCATCTCCATTCTCCGCTGCGCCAGTCCTTGTTCCAAAGGGTGACAGCTATCGTCTTGTCGTGTCGTACAAGAAATTGAACGACATCACCATCAAAGACAAGTACCCGTTACCAAGGCTGGAGGAGCAATGGGCCAACTTTCATGGTGCCACTGTGTTCAGTACCATTGATATGTTGAATGGTTACACGCAACTCGCCGTCGCCAAGGCCAGCCGTCCTATGACTGCATTCATCACTCATACTGGTCTTTACCAATTCAAGAGTTTGCCGCTCGGTCTGTGTAACGCTGTGGCTACATTCTCTCGTTGCATGTACACTATCTTCAAGTCATTGATCAACAAAGGTATATTTTTGTACCTCGATGACGTTATTCTCTATTCCAAGTCTCTTCCAGAGCATGTCAAACTACTGCGTCAAGTGTTTGAGATACTACGCAAGCACAACTTCAAGGTGAACGTCAAGAAGTGTGTCTTTGCCAAAGATCGACTTATCTTTCTTGGCTACCTCATATCCAACAAGGGTCTCCAGGTTGACCCAGCCAAGTGCAAGGCTCTCCAGGAGCTCAAGCAACCTGTCAATGTCA